CATCTAGGACAGTTTGATAACGGTCGCCAATGTTGCTTGGTTGACAGAATCAACCCCTGAGATGGCTCTGCGGTGATACAGTGATAGCGTAGCATTCATACTCTCTCTCTCCCGCTCCGGGCGGCTGGGTGAAGTCTCCTATTCCTATTGTGATGGAAAAGTCTGGGGTTGGCCTCGGGCCTGCAGTGAGCCGCATATTCCCTGACGACGTTGCTCATGGCTGAATATGGTCAGCAACTCTGAGTCTGAGCAAGCGAAATGAAACGGGTATGTCTGTTGAGCTTGCCAAGAACTTGACCTATCATTCAAGTCCTCTCACTATTCGCTTTCGCTCGCATAACATCCCCTTGCGTCGCAACTTGAATTTTCGACGCAGGCACGTTTTCTTAGAGACATTGGAAGCAGGGACCACATGGCGTCTCCAGTATTCAGCAACGGGTTTCTCTACGATGATTATTGCTGGTTTTCTTTTTTTGCTTTTTCTTCCGTATTGCCTTATCTCTCTGCTTTGACGCAGTTGGTCCTGGTCCTGGTCTAACCTGGAGCGTCGCATCGTGCCTTGTCTTGCTTACCAGGCGATCTGACATATCACATTCAACGTGCGTTCCCCGCATTCTTGTACTATCTTCTGAGCTGGGGTCTCTGCCACAACAACTTCGGCTGGCGCAAATTTGCATGATGAGCCACGGAGCTTGTCAGGGCCTGTTGTGCCACGCCTGTCTCTACTGCAGGTTCTGCTGCAACGAACAAGGATGAGTGCTGTTCAGTCCTTTGCTGTACAGTTACGTAGCGGCACACAACCAGTCAAGGACTCAAGATGAGCTCGGATCCCTTCTTTTTTGAGCTTGCACCCTTTGAGTGAACATGTGTTCAGAGAGGGAGGGAAGGAAAATAGGATTGGATGTTGAATATTGGCCACCCAACCCCTTTGACAAACAATAATATGTTTCCAGCACAGGACATATTGGCAGCTGCTAAGCCCATGTGGTACTCCCAAACCCAAGACCGGGGCAAATCCTATCAAAGCTGCTGCAGCTGCTTGCTTCTGGACAAAAGTAAGCCTGCCGTCGTGGCTTATCAAGGGGTGTTGTTCTTCCTTGCCGTGCAGTCCCCGTTCCTGCGCTGAGTGGTCGGTGGTCAGTGGTCAATTGGGGAACATGGGGGTTACACCTGGCCCAATTTCAAGGGTTCATGGCCGCCTCTGCGCCCTTTGCCGTTGAGCATAATCGACAAGCTTGCGTCGGGACAATCGAAGATCAGTTTCGGCCGCCTCGCTTCGCTTCAAGGCAGCATAGAGGCAGAACTCGCAACAGTCCTGCAGTCCTAGAAGGGACTTGTCAGGTTGCACAACCAAATAGCTTCGGGAAGAGACAGAAAGAAACAGGCGTGTGTGGCGAGGCAAAACTTAGGCAGACTGACAAGGAGACGGAACTGGTGATTCTCAAGGCAAGGGGACGAATTGAAGTTGAGATACTGTTGCATCGCAGCAGACCAGTTCCTCCTGTCCCTCTTCTCTTCTCTTCCTCTCCAGTTGGCAGGCAGTACTCCGTATCAGAGACGTGGGTGTCTTTTGGTGATGTCGGTTATTATCTTCAACCTTCAATATTTGGCCCTCACCTCATTCGCAGAGTCTGCCAGCTGAGATCGCCACGAGGTCGCATTTTGTTGGACGCAACAAATTTCAGAAAGACTTGAGCCAATTGCAGATACGTCTGAGCAACCCCAGACTTGATGCTACGCCCTTGACGTGGGGAACCCCAAACGTTGAAATTGGAGAGAGGGACAGAAAAGAGACAGGGAGTGAGACTGGTCGTGCTACGAGTTAGGCCTACAGGGAGTTTCTGTGCCGTCCTGTAGCTGTATCTGCATCTGTATGTGGACGGTCTGGGGACGGTACAGTTGCGGCTGCGGCTGCGGCAGGCTCTGGCTGTAGATGAGTGATAGTGGCATTGTTCAACGTGCCATTCTTCGGTTTTATGAGGCATCATGACTTTACCTGTCATATTATTGTTGTTGTTTTTCAAACCCCCCAGGGGAACCTCTACACCGTGGTCTGATTCCTAACCCAGAACTGGTTGTCATGGCGTGTCATGTTGCACCAAGTGAAACCCCTCTCTCTGTGTGTGTTCCTCGGTCTTTGACCAACGTTGACCCTGTTCCCATTTTCAATGTCGCTAACCGTTTGATTGACTAATTACCCCGGATTTCTCCAGGCCCCGGACTCGGCATCGTCGGTGGGTTTTCTTAGTACAGAGCTAACGGCAACGCCGTGGAGAAGGCCACGAAAGCCGTAATTAGTAGTCAGATACGGGTTCAATCCAACGTTACGAGTTCTCTGTTGTTTTGTTGTTTTGTTCGGTTGTTCTTTGTTTGTTTGCTACGGCAGGCGCTTCCAGTTGCGCCAAGAATGGTGTGATTGTTACAGTTCCATGGTCGTGGTCGTGGGAAACTCCCGTACTATTAGGGCCATCCGTGCTGGGCTACCAACCACCAACAGAGGAGGCGAGCAAACAATATTTGGCGTAAGCCCTCTGTGGTGATGCAATCGCAGGGTGAATGGTTGTGGCGGACTTGAAGATCCGACTGCTTGGGTCTGGACTCTGACGACATCTTCATCAGACTCACACCTTTCTCTCTGAGGCTCCTGCACGTTATGGGATAGTCCTGCATGAGGGAGATTATCACCAAGTACAAACTACGTATGAAGCTCTCGGTGATGTATGTTTGCTTAGTGCTTCGTGGCTCATTTAATCGAAACGCAACTATCCTACCCTATTCCTGGTACAGAGTACGAACTACAGACTGCAGACTGCAGACTACGGATAGTTCAGTTGAGGTTGAGACTGAGACTGAAGTTGAGCGGATGTGAACCAAAAGTCACACCCCCTCTCCCGTGACCAAGACTTAAGCCCAGGCCCAGACCCAGACCCAGACCCAGGTCAATCAACGCTGATGTTGCGTTATCTCACGTTTCCCGTTAGGTCGGTTCTTGGCTCTGGCTCTTGACTCTCCTCCTTGTGTGATTAGCCAGAGCGTCGTGCATCTCACCTCTCATCTTTCTTGTCTGGTTCCATTCTAGTGCACAAAAGGGAACGGGGAATGCTGCACAGAACAACTCTACTTGCTTGGATTGCGGAGGTGGCGTCTGGGTTATGATGTCTTATCTGTATGTACGGATATGCCATGTGACCTTTGGTGTGATGAACCAAAGAAAGGCTAGAAAGGTAGGATTGGGGTGTCCTTCTGCAGGAACTTTGAGACCCTGGGCACTCTCTGACTCTGTCTGAAGTTGGATGACATCCTCGATAAAAGAAAAGGCGCGTCTAGCCCTGGAAGGGCGAATGAGACGAGTTGGAGAGGGTGGGTGTGGTGACCTCTCACGGGACCATAGTGATGATCTTGGTGAGCTTCATTCCGTGGGGGGACTACGTAGTGTAGTACGGATACGTATGATTGATTTCGGGTCTAAGGTCCAAGGTCTAGGGTAATTGGCGATAAGGGGGATAACGCTCCAGATTCTGATTCTGTCCGTCTTGGCTTACTTAGTGAGTTCATTCCAAATGACGAGATTGAGGAGATTGATTTTAATGTTGATATTGATATCAAGATGGTGTGTAATCAAGTCTTGGTATAATTGCTACTGGCTAGGAACGCCATGAGCGGCTTTTATCTCCTATGCAATGGCGCTCTTGTAATAAACGTGGTCCCTATGGCCTATGAGTAGCCCTAAAACACACTGACCTCACCTTACCTCAGATATCTCACTCACTCACTGCTCGGATAACTTCCACCCGTTCATATTCTGATACATCACCAACAACAAAATAGCCACCATAAGACAATGTAAATTATGTCATTGACATGCTTCGATTTTACCCAAAGGCTGCCCCCCCCCTTCTTATCATGCACTTACCCGTCTTTGCTTACCTACTTTGCTGCTTATTATTGCAGCTGCAGCTTTTTCTCGCGCTTAAAATCAGAAAATGCTGCTACCCGAGACCTGCCATGCACCTTGATACCGATCAAGCCTAACTAACCTACGTCTCGGTATATTTGCCGCAATGATTCGGATACTCGTATTAACATAGAGGCATCGGGTGACGGATTGACTGCCTGCCCATGGCTGATTCGCGATTGTTACTCTGTTTGTCTCTATTTTTTTATTATCTATCTACTATCATATGAGATACGGGGTATGGGTCTGATGTGGATATTGCTGCTTGACCGAGGAGGGGCTCGGCATGGGACCTTGATAGTGAACCCTGATGATTAGACTATAAAGGCGTGCCGTTAGTTTTGGCCGAGACGAGATCAGCAACGAGGCCAGTTTGGAGTCAATGTGTTCTGCCAGCATGCCCTTACCTGTACCCATAAGCATGCAGTGAGTGGTATTATAACAAGGCATCTTGGCAGATGATCAACATAACTACCTCGGCGAGACAACGTGTATCGCAAATCATCTTGGGCAGCTTCATGGAACGTAAGGATGTGACTAGCTATTTGAGATATATACAAAGTGGAGATATCCTCGTCGACTAACATAGCTTGCGCCTCTTGAAAACAAGTGATCGGCTATAGTTCCAAGTAAAGGTTCTGACAACACGGCAACCCATGTCTGGTTAATCATTAACTTTGGGTTCCCTGTAGCATCATGGTGATCTTCGCGTAGTCCAGTTAATGGACAAAGCAGACACCTACATGGTCTTGTATATCCCAAATGGTTCAATTGACCTGGTCATGTTCTCCCATCTACACGCGGCTTACATCTAAACAGAAGGGCCAAGGACACCGAGCTCTTCGAGTTTGGTAACTCATATAAGTCGGTTCAAGACTATCCGAAATCCATGACTTTGAGCTACATGAACTACTGGAACTTTATCTGAAAGACTCTATGTTTGACGAAGATGCCATCCGGACTCATACTTGACATCCTTTTGCTTGCCGGACAACCCTACCATCTTCTTCCAAACATCTCTCGTATGTGCTGCACAAGAAATCTCCTAGGCACGCTTGATCATGGCCTCGCGATCAGGACCGGTTCCAATCCACTTGATCTAGCGATTGTTAGCAAAAGCCTGCCTAGCAGGAATACCTCAGATTTAGCCTACCTTGACTCCAACAAGCTTCTCGATATACTGAAAAGACTATTAGCACATGATGTATTGATACTGGGAGATATCATACCTCGACATAATCCCTGGCTTGCTTAGGGAGATCGTAGAAGGTCCTGGCGTTGGTAGTTGGCTTCTTCCATCCAGGCATTTCGGGATATACAACCTCGGCTCGGGCGAGCAGGTCAAGATCCGCAGGGTAGTGGCTCAGCTCCTCTCCGTCGACCTTGTAGGCAATGGCGACCTTGATCGTGTCGAAATCGTCCAGGACATCGAGCTTGGTGAGGTTCAGAGCAGAGTAGTAGTTGATCGAAGCGCTGTACTTGACAACCACGAGGTCGAGCCATCCGCATCGGCGTCTTCGGCCAGTCGATGTTCCCCATTCTCGGCCAACCTCTTGGAGCTTGTTTCCAACTTCTTCAAGATCTTCCGTCTTGAAAGCTCCCTGTCCGACACGGGTGGTGTAAGCCTTGACCACTCCGATAGTCTCGGTGATGTTCTTGGGGTTCAAGGTGAGTCCGGTAATGATACCGCCCAGTGTCGTGTTGGAGGAAGTCACAAATGGGTACGAGCCATAGTTGACGTCGAGCATTAGTGCGTTTGCGCCCTCCACGATGATGTTCATGTTCTTCTCCTGGGCCGACTGCATGAAAGTAACGCCATCCACAGCGTACTTTTCCAGCATGGGTCGATATTCCTTGAATTGGGTCAGCTCCTCTTCAATATCGTACTCGAATAGGTCTCCGAAGCGTTTTCTGTAGCCATCGGCCAATTTCCGGCACTTTTGCTCGAAAAGTTCAGGGTTGAAGACGTCAACAAGACGAACGCCTTCACGCTGCAGATGAGTCAGTAAGATGCCCAAAAGACACATGTATCAGTCTTCTCTTACCGCTGCGGCCTTGGAGTAAGTTGGGCCAATACCTAATGCCAATGTTATTAAATGCTCGGCGTCGAAGGATCCACTGAGGTATCAAACCACACAAGACTGGTTTAAGCCAAGAAGAATTAATCCCCGGCTTGGTCCAGTCTGGTGTGCTTTGGGTCACTGAGGAGAATTGAGGGCATACCCCTGCCGGTCGTGCCAATCTTCTTGTCTGGAGGTAGTTAGATACATCGTCCGACCGTGTATGTGGAAAGCTAGGACTGACCTCCAAGCTCCTTCTCTTCGAGTCCATCGACTGCGATGTGCATCTGCAAGATGATGTGCACTCGATCCGAGACCAAGATTCGATCATGGACGGAGGGAAGACCCTCTGAGACTCGCGTTAGCTAGTTTCCACCAAAGCCCTCCATTCCGATGTGGCTTACTAGCTTTGAGCTCATCTAGCTCTTTAAAGAAACTAGGACTAATGGCGGAGTCAACACCTCGAGTATTGTTTATAGAAGATGCGTAAATGTGCAGATCACACGGTGGTATGATGATCGACATAGCGACAACGGGGTTAGAGATATCATGACTTAAACATGGAAGACGACCCCTGAGCCGATGAAGTTCATGCCGTAGAGACGTCAGGATCATTATATATAGGTATATCGGAGGTGAAAGTACCAGTTCGGGTTAATGAGACCAGAAGGAAGCAAGTGGAAGCTATGTTATGGTGAGAGGGTACTAAGGGGTTTCGATGTCTGCTTGCGCCCACCTATACGATACGCCGTTGGCGCTATTTAGAAACAATCAGCAATCGATCCTCTTAGGTCACTTCCTGGAAAGCGATGAGTATCGACTCACAATATAGTCCGGCATTATGGCCACCAGCGGCTCGGGCGCAGAGCTGTGCCTCGGGGGCAAGGATGTCGGTGAGCTTTCCCTTCTATAAACGTAGTTCGTTAGACGTTGGTTCCGAGACGCGATCCATAGCCATGAGAGTTGGCCGGGTCCGAATCGCAAGGCAATGCAATACGTACGCCCTCGTCTCCTAAAGATCGCGACAAGTTAGCATCATGAAATAGAATTGAAAGACAATTTAGATCATTGCTTACCCCATTGCGATCCTAGAATGATTGAGATTCCCATTTTGCGATAGTTCTGGCTTGAACACGATATTTCTCGTTGTTGCAGGAAGAGCAAATTCGCGGAGCACTATCGGCGCGGGGTTATTCCAACATCCATCATTAGTGCGGGGCAATATGAATCATACCTAAATTACCCGTTATCCGTTATCGTTCTACCCTTCACTGGGGTTTCTGGTTTCTAGGTGGAATCACCTAGTCTTATTTGCCTCATGATAATACTCCATACATCAGTTTTCCACTCAATCTAGTTATTCCTCCGCTTATTGAAGCCTGGAATATTTGATTTCACAGCTACAGCTCCTCCCAGCCCTCGTGGCATGTTCATCAAAAACTTGCCGCACGCCTACAAGGAGTCCTAGTCCCAGATACCTAGAAGTAGTTCATCGGAATCAAAAGCTGCTGATGAACAAGGTGGAGCTAAACGATCACCGGCTTTTCTTTAGATGACGAACGGACGACCCATAAAATGATCTGACTCTCAACATACGAGATATCATGAGCATGGTTCTTTATAGTAGTCCAACTCCTATAGCCCTACTATTACTAGACAGTGGGGAACCAAAATGGCTTTAACAGACCTGGATTCGTTGGCAGAAAGAACTTTATAGCAGCAGCTAGTCACGAAAAGCGTTTTGTGCACAACAAAGTGATCCCATGTAGTAATGTTCGAAGGAGTTCGCATAAACGCCAGGGGCCATCTAGTTACGGTACCAGTACTAGCTATTGCCTCCCCTCAGATTCCTCTACAAACGCCATCCAATGCATCAGTCAGTCTGGTTACTCGACATGCACCCCCAAGATAGTAATAGCCTACAAACGCCCCGCGAAGAAGAAAACCCATGATTACGTATACATTTCGTCTGCTTCCACCATGCGTCCGAGAATCAAACTCTGGATCACAAGCTCATCATCCAAGACACGGATATTCTCAATTTTGGGTTGAGTTGCTGCTGCTGATTTCCGGCGCTTTTTGCCGCCAGATACCTCGGAAGGTGTAAGAATCGCGTCGATTGTCCCTGTGCCTTTGTCCAGATACAACCAGTCAAACGGATTTCCAGCTTTTTGTTGTTCCAGTAACAGTTCCCGCGCTTGTTGCGTGGAAAAGACTCTGGAAATAGACGGCCCCAAGACAGTAGCAAGGAAGATATAAGGCTCTTTGGCATCGTTGCGTGACTTTTTGGAGTCTACGACAACTAGAATTCGTTGCCCATCTAAAAGCCGCGGTCGTTGTTCAATAACATCAACTAGCCTGGCTTCAGCCGCTGAGTATGGCGCCAAAATTCTTGACCTCAGCGCATTACCAAGCACAGCAGACGCACCTGCACAAAGGATATATGGTTCCCAGTCCACAATAGCACCTTTATTACAACAGGCTGTAATCCATTGCTGAGCGAGACATGGCAACCCTAGGGCCAGTGCCTGCATGTATTTGACTTTGCGTGAGTGGGCATCTGCGATGAGTGCCGTGAACCCACTCTCATAGCTTTGCTTCGTAAGCTTCAGTGCATCTTCCTCGTCCATGACTGGGCTAGTTGTGCTCATGATTGATGAATGCTCAAACATGTCTTGAAATCCTTCTGTGAGGATAGTGCCCCCTGACTGAGTGATCTTTGTCTCCATCTTCTTACGCTCCTGTGGCTTAACCTTGTCTTGAAAGGAGAGGGCAAATACCATACCCTCGAACAACCGACCAGTCCGATGTATAGGAGCAAAACTCTGCTTGAATGATCTGCCAGACTTTGAATGCACCATGCTCCTTTCAAGCACACTCGCGGCTGGCGAAAAATGTAACTCGTCGGTGGATTCCGAGTCAAGACGTGGGAAGCGTTTGGATATTCTTGTCGATCTCGTCCCTTGTTGAGGGGACTCTGACTTTGTCCCTGATCGAGCCTTCCTCTTGCGCGAACTCCGGCTGCCTCCTGGCGATGGAAGAGTCACTGACTCTGGCCGTTCGGAGGTGGGCGAGTCTTGCGTTCCAGGTGTTGTCTTGTCAGAAGGCACTGGGGTCGTTGTAAGAACGCTCAAACTTGAAGATGTTGGTAAGTTTTGAGCAGCCAAGCGATTGGCAATTGGAGTTACTGGGGTTGTTACAGCTGGATCATTTCGACGTGAACGAGTGGTCATTGGTGGTGGGAGATCGGCATATACGTCCCGAGTCGTTTTCCTGGGTCGTGACGCCGGTTTCATCTCGCTCTTATCGGTCATTCCTTGGGGTACCGGCAATTCTTGTTCCGACTCTTCCTCAATCATCGAAACTGCCACTGCCTTGTGTAGGGGTGACGACATAGACGTTGGCCTCGGTTCCAGTTCGCCCAATAGACCGTCGGAATTCGAAGAGCTCAGAAAAGGATTCCTACGCTTTTGCCTAACTGCACGTCCATAAGTCCTATTGGTGCGTTTCCGTGGTGGAGGCAAGGAAGAAGGCTCTGAGTGCTCATCGAAACCTTCTCGCAGGTCTTCGTCGTCGACTCGGAGTCTAGGTAACTCAGGCTCAGACGGCGTTGGAAAATCAACTGGTGCTGTGGGTGGGAGAGAAGGCGCTGGACTGGGTGCCGGACTAGTTGCAGGTATCCTGTCCTCATCTACCGCAACCTTCCCAGCATCCACCAAGATTATATCTCCATCATGGTCAGTTACCCGGCTCTCGGGGGCGCTGTTTCCCGGAGTGGCTTTAGTTGATGCAACAGGAAGCGTCTCGTTGGAGCCCGCTACCCCCTTCTGAGAGTCATCCACAAGAGCTGGGAGTTCCTGCCCCTTGCTGAGACTGGCGTCAATCTTGGGCAGTCCATGAGGGTGTTCAACATCTTCAGGTCTTTTCTTCTTCCTTAAAAGCCTCTCTGCCGAGTCATGTCTAATCTTTGGTGTAAAGCTTACCCGGCCCATCTCTTCTGCAGCCTTGGCCCGTTTCCGCTCAATCTTCTTTCGTCTTTCCATCTGTCGAATAGCATCGTCGGAATCGTCGTCAGAGTCCACTGGAGATATGAACACGGGTTCAATCGTCTTCCTCTCCTGAGACTTCTTCATTGGTTCGTAATGTGTCATTGGCTCGGTATTACTTGAAGATCTTGGTGCTTGTGGTCGAGGTGTAGCGTCAGAGGACGAGGGCGACTCCGGGATCATGTCACCGCCTGTAGATCTACCACCAAGGGGCGTTTGTGCTCGTATTGGATCTCCGTGGTCATCTCGTAGTGATGTTTCGGGTATTTCGTGCAGTCGTTGAGGACTCGACGTACGTATATCGGTTGGCGAAGAAACATTGGCTCGATTCTTTAATGGCGACGTCTCAATTATGTTTGGTGAGATGGAGTTGAAGAGATTCGGAGATGGTCGTGAGGATGTGGGGCTAACACGCTTGATGGCAGAGGAGAACTGCGTCTGGCCAAACAATTGGCTTCCAGCCAGAGGTGCAGCTATATTTGGTTTCGTTGCGAAGGGATTCTTGGGGACCGCAGGCGTCTCAAAGGCGGGGGCATGTGGTCGATGAGGGGTTTGGCCGTTGTTTAGCTGTGATGTTCCATCGGGATGCCTCCAGTCACCTTTAGTGTTCTCGAAACCTGCATCTTCTGAGATTTGGGATGAAGGTCGACCCAACTCGCTTAAGTTCGCAAAGTTGACGGCTCCTGTATCGTCATCTTGAAGAGTCCGGGGCTCAAGAGATCCGGACTGGGTGTCGCCGTTCACAGGACTAGAAGGTACAATATCGCAGAATTCACTGTAATCACGATCGTCATTGACCTGTGTCGGGGTTTGCTGAGAGAAGTCCATCTTTCGCAGAGCTGTGGTTGCAGCGATAGTCGGGGGCTTGATAGTCCCAATCAGAGGCTCGGGTGCATCGTTTTGCACTGTTTGCGGCTTCGCGCTGTCATGACGCGCAGGGAAGTTGCCAGAGTATCTTGGTCTGATGAATGTGTCAAGTACTCGAGTTTTCGGATTCACGCTGCTAATCGATTTAACGTGATTCTCAGGACCCTGGGCAACGCTATTCAGCTCATCGGCCTCGAGAGTTGCACATTGCTTTTTCGACTGTGTCAGTGCCACCCCAGTCGTGTCCCAGTGCGACGGATCGTCATTCTTGGTAGTGGGGCCCTCTGAACGCGCTCTGTCCGATAACGCGTCGTGGGGAGCCGAGCGCCTTGGAACCACGTTTTCGACAACTGTTGGATCGGATGATGGCACAATAACTTCACTCGCTGGTGAAGGTATCTGTCTCGAGGTTTTCATAGGGATTCTCGAAGACGACACAACCTTTGGAGGCGAACTGCTGAGCTATATGAGGACATAAGTGTTAGCGCATCACGGCTGTGCGAACGCAACCCCCAGTGTAAAGACATGGCTGTTGCACTGTTTACGTACCGTGCCGACACCAAACTCGGCCCTGTAGGCCTCGAGAATGGCCTGGCTGTCCTGCGACTCATTGCTGCCTGCCTGAGCAAGCATCTGAGAGTCTGTCATTGTGGTGAGTCGTGCATCTTCTAGGTGAAGACTGACGCGAGAAGGCGACTTGCAGAGTAGAGGTTGAAAGAGATGGATCGACTGTTCTCAATGCGGCTAAATTGAAGTGAATTGGAAACAAAGGCACGGCAAAGTTGCGAACGTCAGTGACACGACAGCACGTGACGATCACTTAAACAAGAAGACCATCTTCTGCTCTGACCACCACTTAAAGGTGCCTTACATGATCTACACCGGGCGATGACCACCAACTACGGGAGCATATCAAACCTCTTATTGGGCTCAGCACGTGTTATGAAGCCGCAAGAGCTTTTACTCGAGTGCAAGGTTTGATTCTGGTTACAACTAGGTACTAATGATATATCTTGCTGTGGACATGGGTCAACGACCAATCAGCATCCTGTAAGAAATAGTACTGTCGTTAACATTTTGCTTCATGAAACTGAGAATAGAAGGATAAACTCATTGACATCCCTGTAGTTGATGATCTTACATATCCGTACTTTTTCACAAAATTGTGTGCCACCTATTCCTGGAAAGTTACATGGTCCCTGCTGCTAAGTGCTAAGTACTAAGGTAGGTACCTAATAGCCCAGGGGTCAAACATCGAGGGGATTGCATCATAGTGTCGTTATTCACTTGGCGATAGCGTCCACCAGGCGGGGTGGATATTCCATATTTCCCAGCTGTATTCAAGGTTGCCCTCTGCCTCCACTCTAACGTCGATAACGTACGACAGTTTCAGAGAGATTTGGGCATAAAAGCTTGTTAGTTGGGTGGGCAATATTACTACAGAATGGGGGAGCTTCCACGCCAAGACATATAGTACTTGATTGCCATCGGCACAACTGGTTAATACGTAAGGGTCCTTGGGACACAAGAACGACAACCCGTAAACTACTAGGTACCTAAAATGCTTCAAGTGAGACAATCTGAAGAGCCAATAAACTACGGGGCGTGAGTTTCCACGTTCCCGGCCCCGCGGCAGTGGCTGGTCTCTATCATGCCTAACCAAATAAATCCATATACCTTTTCTTTCTCCGCCATCATTGCTCAAATCTATCGCCACCATCAATTCAGATCCTAGAACCATCGACCGTTCGAGACCTCAAGTTTGGTTGATAATCTGAGTATGGCCTGTCATTCGCAACAACGGTACCCTTTAGCGGTAGGTCAATTTAACAAGTTCCCTTACTATTGTTGATTGACTAACTCTCTTTGATGGTACAAGATTTGTGCTGCCACACATGATTTAAAGATTTCCACCCGTTGTTGCATATATTCGTGAATTAACATCTTTGCGACGCCTGCCGAGGCATTTGAAGGCGCACTATCTTACTGTTTCCTTGTAGTGGGCATAAAGCTTCTCATCAACCGCAGTAGCCGCCTGACTTGCCACCCAATATCGACATTAGAGTCATTAACAGAACATACCTTCTGCGAATGTACACAATTGTTTACCAAGATAAAGCCTAACCTCCAATATGGCCTCATGTCCACCCAAGCTGGTGTCGGAACCAGCCCGTGAGAGGGAATCGTACAAGTTCGTTCTCCCGCTTCCAGTTCATGCTCCCATATAATATATGACGCATACTTTCGCGTTTGCTCACAGGTTGTTATAGATATGGAGCGTCTTTGCTGAACGATATCACGGACTCACCGAGCGAAGGCGCCTCTCAATCATCCGGCCAAAATACTCCCTCGGGAAACGAAAACCAAAACGACGACATTACCGAACAAGAAGTAGCATCCAGAGACACTGTACTAGCCTCACTTGCGCAACTAGGCCTCTGGAGAACAGGCACCGACCGTGCTTTGATTTCTCTTTTCGATCGTAATTACCAGTACGTCGTCGCCGAGACGACACAACGATCTTCCCTCGCGCCAGGTTCAATGCGACCCGATAATGACAATGGGGAGTTTTGGTTGTATCCCGGAACATTTCCACGCCAGCTTTCGGTCTGCGATCGGGCTCTTATGGCGGAAACAAAGTGTCCTTCGACCGTCGACAATGAGTTGCCCCTCACTTTAATACCAGATCTTGCAACGGATGTCCGACTCTCTAAGATTCCACATCCGTTATCGGAATGCCCTGCTAGGTTCTACGCTGCAGTGCCAATACGATCACCTGCCGGCGTCGACATTGGTGTCTATTGTGTGGTAGACCCCGAACCAAGAGAAGCTGAAACCTGGAGTCCTAAAGACACACAGGCTTTACGAGAAATCTCCTCCAATATCATGCATTACTTACGGTCCAAAAGTGTTGGGGACGCTTATCGTAGGAGTGTACGAATGACCAGAGGGATCGGTTCTTTTGTCGAGAGGGAATCAACCATGGCGGGTTGGAAGGCTGGTACTAGCTCCCCAGCCTTCCATGATGATGCAACTAGGGAAGGCGCCCTGAATTCCGAACAGCAGGCACTGCAGCGGTTCCGAGATCTGAGCCTTGAAAATGCATCGTCTGTCAACACGCAAACGCATCCCAACACTACAGCAGAGACGATTGCAGTGAGTTCTCACTATGCTGGGCAAGCAAAATCGTCCAGTGCTTCGTCGCCGAGCAAGCCTACCAAAAAGTCTGACGCCAATGCTAAGGAAAATGCCGTGGCCAACATATTCTCTCGGGCTGCTAACCTTATACGCGAAGGGATAGAGATTGAGGGTGTACTCTTCCTAGACGCCAATTTTGATGCGTCAGTAATGGAGTCGACGCTTCAACAGAGTGAGAACAATTCTACGCCAGGATCTTCATCTAGTAGTGATGAGGATATGTCTGAAGGTTTTGGTTATGATAAGGGTCCCTGCTGCGGTATTATTGGTTTCGCTACCTCCACTTCTTCGAGCATCAACTTGGACCCAGGCTCTGACCTCCATGCCGCTATGCCATCAAAATTACTTGCGGCATTGTTGCGTCGTTATCCTGCTGGGAAAATATTCAATTTCGATGAGAATGGTGGACTGTTATCAAGTGGTTCGTCAGAAGAAGACTTTTGTCCCTCGGTTTGCAGAAATGATCCTATGGAGGGCTCTGCCACGGCTACTCCCAGCAAAAAGCAGCGCCCTTGGTCGCGAGCTTCTGAAGGACTTTCATTATACAAGGTCTTCCCTGGGGCCCGGAGCGTGTCTTTCGTGCCAGTTTGGGACCCTAAGCGAGATCGTTGGCTGGCAGGAGGGTTTGTCTATACTCAGACGCCTACAAGGTCTTTTACTATCGAGGGTGAGCTGAGTTACCTAAGAGCTTTTGGTATGCTGGCCACGTCAGAAGCTCAGCGACTCGAAACTCTGCTTGTAAACAAGGCGCAGTCTGACGTGCTTGGCTCCCTTTCTCACGAACTGCGGACGCCTCTTCACGGAATCATGTTGGCAGCCGAGCTGCTTTCTGATACTCAGCTGGATGTTTTCCAAGGAAACCTGCTACGTACTCTTGAGACTTGCGGTCGAACACTTTCGGAGACTATCGATCATCTCTTATACTTTTCCAAAGTGAACCAGGTTGCAGTCCACCGAAAGAGGGAGCGTCGAACACGGAAAAAGCCTATCATCGTTGATCCTTCTGTGACTATTGCTGCTGGTGTTGAAACGTCTGAAGTTAGGCTCGATGCTCTGGTGGAGGAAGTTATGGACAGTGTTTTTGCCGGCCATGTCTTCAAGCGCAACGAAGCTGACAAAGTATGGCAAACCAGCAGTCAAGGCGGGAGGCTAAACATCACAGATGATCTGCAATCTCCTGGCTCCAAAGAGATGGCAGCTGGTTGCACAGAAGACACGATGAAGTTTGAAGTACCACTCGGGCATGAAAACCAGGTGGCAGTCTTCCTCGATATCGACCCATATGTTCCATACCTCTTTAATGTTGCAGCTGGAGCATTGAGACGTGTGGTGATGAATCTTTTTGGGAATGCACTGAAGTACACGCAAAACGGCACAATCACGATTTCGCTCTCTCAGAAGCTTCTTCACCCCAACCAGCCCAGTAACAACAGATGTCTGGTTAGTATCGCGGTCAAAGATACGGGCCAAGGAATCGCTCCAGACTTTCTTCGCAACGACCTTTTCAAACCGTTTTCCCAGGAAAACCATCTCTCAAACGGCACCGGACTGGGGTTGAGTCTGGTCAAAAAGATCGTGGCATCAATGGGCGGTAAGATCTCGATCGAGAGCGAAGTCAACAAGGGAACTACAGCAACAGTAACATTGCCACTTTCTCGAACGGACGGCTCAGAGGATACTCAGAAGGGAGAAGACCGGAACGAGGTCGATAAAGAGGCAAAGCGCTTGAAAGGACTGCGCGTACGGCTAGTTGGTTTCCCTTCTGATGAGGATATCAAATCTCATACTAGGCAAGGCATTCCTATGTCTGCTATGAAGACAATGTGCCATCGATGGTTAAAGATGGACATTGTATCTGAAGATTCATACCGGCACATAGCACCAGACTTGGTGCTCTGCAATGAGATGGCAATGACAGATCCAGTCTTAAGTAGCGCAGAGCTTATTAGATCTCCTGTGGTTGTGGTGTGCGCCAATGCCATTACAGCACATCGACGATCTTCTGAGAATAAAACATCCGAGGACCAGCGAGTCTACGAGTTTGTTTCTCAACCGTAAGTTACGTCCTGAAACGGCTGATCTTCAACTTACTAATTCTTTCTTACAGTATTGGGCCCCACAAGCTTGCTAGAATCCTCCATATAGCATTCCGTCGATGGGGAGATCTGCAGGCGTTGTCTCCAGCGGCACTTACAAAGGCAGATGATGATGATCACTCGCACCTTACATCTGATGGCGCGAAAAGGCATTCGACCGGAGGCAATCTTGGAGTCGATGTCCCAGACGATAAACCGACGCCACCGTATCTAGGAATGGAGCCCCAGAGACGTCCTAGACCCCCACCGCGCGCGCCTTCAACACGTGTTCCACTAGATACACAACAGCAAACATCACATTCGAGTAGCGAACCCAAGAGCTTCTTACTCGTTGATGATAACCCCATTAACATATCGGTTTTGTGCGCCTACATGAAGAAGCTCAAGAGCAAGTACGCCACAGCATCGGATGGCCTCGAAGCTGTAGAGAGATTCCAAGAGAATCCGGATTTGTTCAGCTGTATTCTGATGGACATCAGCATGCCACGAATGGACGGGATCGAGGCCACGAAACAGATAAGAGCCTTTGAGAAGAAGGAAGAGCGGGAACCGGTACTCATCCTTGCCTTGACAGGCCTGGCATCGGCGAGTGCCCAGCAGGACGCTTATGCAAGTGGTGTAGACGTCTTTATGTCCAAGCCTGTAAAGCTCAAGGAGTTGAGCACCATACTAAGAGAGTGGAGTTTGGCGTAGGCACTACTGGCGATTCGCAATGAAAAAGCAAATAGTATATGATATTCATGAAGTGTACGACTTATACAGATGTTTAGAGTTTCACAACAGGTTGGGTGATGAGTAGAACCACGGAGCAAAAAGAAAGAAAAAGTACAAAAGTCCTGTCTTGAACACGGCTACATAGCATAAATACGATACCTCCAGTTACATAAATACATCAATGACTCGACATACCATCCAAGGGCACCATGTTAATTTACAATCTTATTTGTACCCTTTTTATTAAAGCTTGTCCAGACATAGGGTAAATGTATGCTGGATATCGTGGATGAAGATGATTGATTTTAAAAGACTAGTGTGAAAGAGGGCATATCATATTTATAAGCATAATATGTTTATGGATTTTAAAGGCCTTGTGAAGGCAAGGCTGTTAACGTGAGCCGGATATGTCGGAATATTGTAGAGGACGAGTATGTGTTCTAAGTTTTATTGTCACCGTTTGACTGCCGGGAGGTCACCAAGTGCTCAAACCAATAGATGCTAGTGGTCCCACGCTATCAGCGACTACTAACTAGAGTCAGCGGGTATGAAAATAGAACATTTACGATATCGATCTATCTTCTCTAGCGGAGATATGCCTACTTAGAGGTAAGAGGGAAGTATATACTTCATTGACCTCTTTATCTATAATCAGCTGAAACAACCCTTTGTGTAGGGCGTTAGTAAGCCCGTTCTAGCTATTCGTTCTGTCCACTATCAAGTCTGAAAATCAGTCGATAGGTAGCCTCATGACATGCTACCGCAAAGCACGGACTTCTATATCTTTATCATCAATCAATTTAGAGCATTCTCTCCCTAGCGGGTTTTGTTAGTACTTCGGGACCGTGACGTAAGTGAAGGCAGTAAGTACCTTAGTAGGTAGCCAGTATTGAAAAACGGGCATGGTTCTGATGCACTTACTTACACGAGACCTAGTCCGACTGCTATGGCTTACATGTGAATTAAGCCTGCAGTTTCCAAGAGTTTCTCGGAAATCATCCAATTGGAGTTGGAAGCCTATGACGTGCCAAGCCAACATCATGGGATGATCAGAAAAGAATTGTGCCAAATCAATGCCGCAAGAAACGAAGTAATGGGGAGAAAGCTCCGGTGTTGGGCCTCGGCGGTAACTCAGTTAAAGAGAACTTGGCAAACCAGAGCCTAGAGTACGACTTAAAGAACAATTGACAATATCTTGGTAATAGGGCGTGACTCATTTGGACTGATCTACAAACTCAGATTGAGCGCCAAGTCATTCAGTCGGTGTGGTTTGCGATTCAGAGTCTAAGCTCCGGAAGATCCGGACGTTGTGTATTGAACGTCGGAGGTCGGAGGCATGAGACGGAGCGTTTTGTATATATGGCCGGACTTGTATCTCGCCCGTACTTCCGTTCACAAGCGACTTTTCGATGATACAGTTGGAAGTCGATCGGACCTTTACAGGAACCCAGAATACCATCAGCATGTACGGAGAGCTAGTCAGGGGGGATTCACAGGTAATTGTAAGGGTGATTGTATGAGCGGTTGTCGAATGGTGGTGGTTGATGGGCACGGGCAAACAACACCATCATCAGGTCTTTCTGCGTCAGTTTTATTGGCCCTGGAAAAGCGTAACTCGCTCCTGTTTGAGTAGAGGAAATAGACCGAATAATATCCATCCTCACACGAGCATAAGTACCTACTAACATGTACATTTGAGACGAGATTAGTTCACAGTAAGTCACTCCTAGGGTTTATTTTGTCCAGCTTCAACATGTCTCTTTTCTATGACTGGTCCATTTGCCTTTTCCATCGCTTGTCAGCAGTGTAAAGCTGGTAGCGGACGATCCATTACCTTCACAACCTTGTCTAGCGTACTTCCATGGGCTGTTCTTTTTCAGGTGAGCCTAGAGCGCTATAATTGGCTGATCCGACCTTTACAAGCCGGCATCCGGCAACAGAGCGGGGATTAGAAGCTTGGGGCACGGGTATCCCCTGTTTGTGGCTGTCTTAGCGCTTCCGGCCGACTTACAGAAGACATGTCGTGTGCTCTCAGAATGAGGTGCCTACCTTATTGACTGGACTAGATTCCGGGTACACGCAGCAGAAGAGCTTGGATTAACAGTGTATTTGGTCATTTGACCTATCATCGAATCAGTGCACTGGTCCCTACCTAGGTATCTATCCTTGATCGAGCTGTGCTTGTGCCTGTACCTCAGTAGCCATCAGTAGCAGTAGCAGTATCAACCCGAGCGTTCCGTCATACCTCTCCGCCATCTAACAAAACCTGTCTCTTCCCCTACTACAAACGCCTTTTTCAAGTTTTCTCTTCTTCCTATGATTTGACAGCAACTACAGTTACTTGCATGATACCCCCTTGCTTCCTTTTTCTCTTCCTGTCATATCTCGGCCTTGCCTTGTGTTTGAGTTCCCATACCCCCTCGTGGCGCACAACTTACGCCGAGCGTGTGCCTTTTATTACGGCATTGACTTCTATCACAACAAAAACATCAACAAACTCGCTTAATACATTTAAAAGCGGCACGCATAACTTAACTTAATCCTCAACCGTCACAAACTACCTCCATCATGGGTGTCGGCGCCTTTCTCGAACCGCTTATCGTCGTGACCCTCCTCTTTGGAGGTGCCTACTTCAACCGAAGCAAGGACTACAACTTCTGGACAAACAAGACAGGTCTGCCCGGCCTCAAGGGATATAAGCGTTCCGATGACCTACCGAAGCGGGAGTCTACCGACAGCCTGATGAGTAGCTGGAGCGGTTCACGTTCGCCTAGTTTCGACTCCTCCGATATCCAGTCGACTCTGCGACGTCGCAAGTTGCAAATATTTGGTTATAAGCGCATTGTCACGACACCAAACACTCATGTGTTCGAAGACCGTCTTCTAAGCCGTCTCCTCAAGAAGCTGCCATTCTTGGTCGAGTGCTGGTACTGGTTCCTCATCTACTTCGTATACCAGCTTGGCCGCGCTATCACTGCGCTGACCCTTGACGAGGGTACCGTTGATGTAGCTCGCAGACATGCGCTTCAGATCATCCATCTTGAACAGCGACTTCACATCTTCTTGGAAGTGGGCTTCCAGAAGTGGTTCCTCGCTAGGCCTGCTCTCCTCCATTGGGTCAACCGCCTCTACTCTTTTATCCACATCCCTGGCACCATCACGTTCCTCGTTGTGCTATACTATTTCACCACCACTCGACACCGACGTTATGCCGCTGGTCGTGTGAAGTCCGATACTGTAGCTGCTGGTCCTGCTCTCTACGAAGCCCGCCGACGAACAATGGCCATGTGCAACCTCCTTGCGTTTATTGTCTTCACAAGCTGGCCTTGCATGCCCCCCCGTCTGCTGAGCGATCCTACATATAATGGTCATGATGCCGAGGAGGCTAAGAGTTTCGGTTTTGTCGACAGTGTTCACAGTGGTACTGGCGAGAGTAGCGTCTGGACTACCAACCGTTTCTGCAATCAATATGGTAAGTGAAAGTTTTAGACGGCGCATCCTTATACACTGCTAACCCAATCTTATAGCTGCCATGCCATCTCTGCATTTCGGATATTCTCTCCTTGTCGGCCTTACCGTCGCTACTATCCCAGTCACCGGCCTCCGACCGTCCTCGTGGAAGCGAATAGTCATTGTCGTTGCAGGCCTATCCTACCCAGCTATGATTCTAACCGCCATCGTCGCCACAGCGAACCATTTCATTCTCGATGCCGTGGCCGGTGCAATGGTCTGCGCTATTGCTTGGAACTGTAACGAGTTTCTCCTCAACTTCTGCATCCTCGAGGACTACATACTGGCGATGCTCCGACTTCACAAGCCAATCAACTGGACCGACCCTGAGACAGCTGTTGATCCTGAGTTCCAGACTGGTCTCCTCAATGAGGACGTTTGAAAAATTGAAGCAGGGATAGTTGAAAACGAGCCCCATGACCTTTTCTTACAAGATATTTGACTCTCTTAATTATTTTAATTTCTTCGAAGTAGTGTTCTTTTTGCTTCGCCTTTACCACCTACGGACTGAGTCTTGTTCAACCGAAGCTGAAACTCTCTTTGTCAGGACAGGAACGAGTTGTGGTAGCGGCATTCTGGTTTAATGGTGGTCTGTTGTTATATGAAGGGAGTCAAGGGATCAGCCAACCGGGGTGCATGGTTGACAGGCGCAGACAGGGGTTCTGTACACCATGCATGCCATGCGATCAATAGAGTACCTTACAGGCTACATCAATACTACGGATAAAGCAGAAGGGAAAAGCCTTAATTTCTTAAACCTTATTATGTTGATAGAACAAATACCTGCAGATATAGTCTCGTCGGTCTTACCAGTTGACTAAAAATGCTCGTGAGTTGATCAGGCCTACCTTATACAGTACTAAGTTGTTTGACATTGTGAAAATGCTCTGTTGCTGCACTCAGCATAAATATCCCAGTTGTTTACGCAAATATATACGTATTGAAAGTACGCGGTCATTAAATCAGTTCATATCTTCCGTATGCTCGTGACGACGCTCAGTGGTAAGGCTAAGTTTCTTCCCACCAATAACTGCAGCCATGATACCTTGGAGTCTGTCACTCTGCTAAGCCCTGTGAGCAATGGGTACATGCTTCTTTGTTAAAAGTGCACCATTTTATAGCGGGTACAGCCACGAGCTTAGGTACCGCTGCTAATATGGGGCGGGGAGCTGCTGTGGCGGGGCACGTCGTCATCTGTGATCCGTTTGGGCAAGAGACAGCTGCCTCCTCCTGCTTGCATTTACTCACATGCCACCACTCGTCTTTTTCATCGTGACCATTTAAACTAGACACTCTCTCTTTATACAGAAAACTCCATTGTGACTCTTTAAACACGCAGTGACTGAAAAAAAAAGGAGGCTTTCCAACAACGACAAGGCAGAGCTTGAGCTCTCACTAATCCCACTCGCCATGTCGCAGCAGGATTCTGGGGCAGCTGATGCCCCGCCACAGCAGCCTGCGCAGCGATCTGCGTCACCATCGAACAGTTACTATGCGCTGAGCGACGACGAGGAGGGCGAATACAACACCATCAGAAATGCCGAAACGGGAAAGGGAGTGAAGCTTCTCTTCTCCAAGAGCAAGGTAAGCCATAGACAAGTCTTTGTGGCCTGCGCTAGGCGTTGCGCATAAGTAGGGAAGGACGACAGCTAACTATCGTAGGTTTACGTTCATCCATCGCCCTCCTCCAAGGACAACATCCCAGGTTATGTCGCACTGCTTCAGCAACGAGGTCATCGTGAAGAGCGCCCTTCTTCATCTTCGTCTCGCGATACGAATATTGCTGCTTCAGATCTCCTTCTCGCCTGGATCCCCGAGTCGTCCCTTGGTGATTCAGCCAACATATATGTCAAGGTAGACCTTTGCGATGGCGACTCACCCCCGAAACAGTCCTACCTGGTTCCTCCTCCACCGACCGTTACGAGCCATGTCGGGTCCGTTGGTGGGTATGCTTTTGCGATTCCCGTAAGCGCTGTCTATTCGCTCCTTGTCCGCCCTCCGAGTCTGGGCTGGTGGTATGGATCCGTTATCATCAACACCCGTGCAGGCGAAAGTTTCCCGGCTCTATTCTTCCACGACAATGAGTGTCAAAGCACGATTCTTCAAAAGAAGAAGATGACCCGTGACACATTTGATCCATTTGGAGAGTCGGGGCAGATGTTCTGGGGTGGCGATGAGGTGGTCAAGTGGCTGCGTCGTTATGTTAAGATTGAGCGATCTGGCGCAGAACCCAACATTTACTTGATCGAGCCTTCAAAGGAGGACAGTGAGGCCTTTGGCCACAAACCTACTTCGAGCGCATCGCAGGCTGCTGGCCAGGACAGCTCTGTAGGAACGCAGTCGCGTGGCGCCGGAGGTCCTTCGAACCGAGATGCAGAGATGGACCCATTCGTGAAGTTGATCAAGGAGACTGGATGGAACTTGATGGAGAAGTTCAGCAAGGTAACCACCTTTACGCGGAGGGCAGCTCAAGACATTGTCGAGAACCCCAACTTGCCGCCGCAAGTTAGGCGACTTCTTAGGAACCCGGAGGTCCAGACTCTTCAAGATGAGTTTGACAGCGCTAGGATTTATCTAGCTCGCTGGGCTATGGGCATCCAGGAGCAGAGTGATCGCGACCGCAGACAGAGGATATGGTCCGCCAATGATGTGATGGAGCTTGAAGATACCGATGTTGGTGAATTCGAGCTATTAGAAGGGGCCAGTAACCTGTCACTTGAAGAACGTCGGAAAAAGGTGACACTGAAAGAATGGAAGACATTTTTTGACCCTCAGAGCGGTCGGTTGTCAGTCACGATCGATGAGGTCAAGGAACGTGTGTTCCATGGAGGTTTGGATCCCGAAGACGGGGTTCGAAAGGAAGCCTGGCTCTTCCTTCTTGGTGTCCATGACTGGTACAGCACTGCCGATGAGAGAAAGGCACAAATTGCTTCACTACGTGACCAATATTACAAGCTAAAGCTGTCATGGTGGGAGAGACTCGATGGCGATGGGGGCGAGGGTGAGACAGGAGAGTGGTGGCGCGAGCAAAAGGGACGAATTGGTAGGTTACTTGCCATCTCTCAACCTTTCTTTCCCAACGAATATACTTACCGTATGACTACAGAAAAGGACGTCCACCGAACAGACCGCAATGTGCCTATCTTCATGGGCGAGGATACACCCCACCCCGATCCAAGTTCGCCTTTTGCCGAAGTTGGTACCAATGTCCACCTTGAGCAGATGAAGGAGATGCTTCTGACCTACAACGAGTATAATAAAGATCTCGGCTACGTTCAAGGGATGTCGGATCTGCTGGCGCCAATCTACGCTGTAATTCAGGATGATGCCGTTGCCTTCTGGGGCTTCCAGAAGTTCATGGAGCGCATGGAGCGCAACTTTTTGCGCGATCAATCTGGTATGCGCAATCAGCTCCTGACACTGGACCAGCTTGTTCAGTTCATGGACCCGGCACTCTGGAGTCATCTGCAAAAGGCGGACAGCACCAACTTCTTCTTTTTCTTCCGCATGCTCCTAGTCTGGTACAAGCGTGAGTTTGAATGGCTTGATGTTCTTCGATTATGGGAGGGTCTGTGGACAGATTACATGAGTGCGAACTTTCACATTTTCATTGCATTGGCAATCCTTGAGAGGCATCGCGATGTCATCATGGAGCATCTGCAGCACTTTGATGAGGTGCTCAAGTATAGTAAGTGGTGCTGCCTATTTCACTCACTGAGCCTTTACTAACATTATCCAGTCAATGAGCTCTCAAACACCATCGATCTTGAGGCGACTCTTACTCGCGCGGAATCTCTATTCAAGCGATTTAAGAGACTTGTCGATGCAGTCGACAAGAAGCAAAACTTCCCTGCACCCCGGTACGACCAAAAGAGCTCGTCAGGCTCTTCTGAGCCGGCAGAGTCAGGAACTTCAAAGGATAACAAGCCATCCGGAAAGGGCAAAGCCACAGAACCTGCGGCACCTCCGCCACAGCCAAAGACGATCACTCCTGAGTTGCGCAAACTATTGAGTAAGGACATAGAAGTTCTACCCAGGAAGACGGTCGCGCAAAAGGGCGAGGGTATGCCAAATAAATGAAGGCATGAAGCGGAATAGCTGGTGAGTGGTTAATTGGTTAAGCATTTGTTGTCTGTACTTTTACGAAAGTCATTTTGTTGGTCTCGAGGTACACTATGACAGGGAGTTAATGGCTAGGGTCAATTAAGCAATGTTTTGGTTTATATATTATTCACCCGTTCGTATCAAGAGATATCAATACACAAGACATCTCAACATACTATTCCAAGGCCATCATCAAGTAAACAAAATTCTATTATTACCAGGGGCAACGCCGTTCTATCCTTTCAAGAATTGTAAACGCCAGACATCCAACAATCCCCTCCACTCCTCCGTCTCCCTACAGATATAGCCTTCTTTGACATAAAACAACTCTTATCTGTAACCTCGGGGGCCACTGGGTAACCCTCCTCTCCTCAAACCAGCACTACCGCCACCGCTGCCTCCACCACCGCCATGCCCAGTTGCCTGATCGTACATTCCACCTGGCGCAAAACGGTCCTCATAGCCCCCGCCCCCGCCTCCGTTACCTCCAGCAGGAGGTTGAAATGGTCCTTGACTTCCGGCCTGCGGACTCGTCGTTCTCGATCCGCCTCCCCAGAGTCTTTGTCGCAGTCTATCCTGCGCGGATCCTCCTCCCGCAGGACCACCAGGCGGCACACTGGCTGTTTCGGGCCTACCGAACTGGCCGCCTGTGTTCTGGTAGCTTCCTCCGCGTTGCTGGCTCGGCAGTGGTCTTCTAGAGACATCGCCTCCGCCGGGCTGAAGCGCTGCGGGTGTTCGTCCGCCTCCGGCACGGAGACTCTGTGGTGCTTGTTGCTGGGGCTGCTGGGGACCATTGTCCCATAGACTGCTGAGTCCGGCATGCTGCTGTTGGCTTTGAGCGCCGAAGCGCTGACCGGCCTGTGGCGTCATGACAGGCTGGATGGTTTGTTGAGCTGGCGCCTTGGGGTCCGGAGGTAGCCATGATGGAAAGGGACGACCCTTTTCGACATAGTATCCACGGAGGACGCGGCATACGTGAGTATCGTCTTCGGTGTCGCCGTCTTGTTCGCCTGAGAGGAGGTTCTGGCGGAGCGAGGAGATTTGCGAGGACGTCTTTTGGACGAGACTTGAGTACCAGGACGCCATGGTGTTTGTTGCCTTATGTTTTTGATTTTATAAACAATAGAATCGCACCGTTTCGCATCGAATGGTGTGTGGAGTTTAGTGAGATGCGCGTGTCTCGTGAGTTCTGTTCGTTCGCTGTATGTTGAAGAAGCGGTATTGGTGTCTAGAAGCTGAATTGGGCCGCGGCTAGGACTTGTAACGACGAAGGTGATGCAGTGATGCTGCTGCGTTCGAGTAAGTTGTGCAGCCAGCTGCGATTGTGCTAATAGAGGAAGTGGTAGAAAGGTTTCAAGTTTCGAAGGTCAGCGCTGGCGGATTTAAAGAGGGGAGAGAAGATGGTGAAGCAGTGACGTTGACAGGGATTCTTGGTGTCGAAGTGGGTTGGGGGGTTTCAAAGCTGCCTGAGCTAAAAATGCGCTGCAGCAGTGAGTGGAAAGATGGGCTATTAGGTGGGGCGGGGACTTCAGGGTAAGCGAATAGGACTGGGTGGTGGCGCAAGGTTCTGCGCAAGACTCGGCTTTAGTTGAGTCTCCAATTATCAAAGACAGACAGAGCAAAATGAATATCATAAGTAAATCAATTTTGATTAAAGAAACATACGGCAGTCTATCTGGTATCGCTAAACTGCCAGGCAAATCAGCTGAGCAATAATAAAACATCATACTGTATAAAATCCCGTGCTCAGTACAACAGGGACGATGGTGCTTTTCCCCTCTCCTTCGTTCATTTTTCATCTTCCTTGGAAACGCAAACTCCTTGAACGCCCAGGCTTTACTTTTCAGACGAGCAATTACCACGTGAGATCGTTGGTGAGCGTCAGCTTCTCCTTGTCCGCCTGTCTGGGCTTCTTGTTCTTCATCTTGGTAACCCGTCCACGCTTTCGCTTGTTGGTGGCCTTCTCGGTCTCAGACTCTTCGCTGTCATCTTCGTCGTCATTCTCATCGTCGTCGCTGTCGAGCCATTCCTCGAGTTCGCCAAGCTCCTCGTCGCTCTCGCCAATGTCGGAGACGTACTCAATCTGGTTCTCGATGTTGTCTTCCTCTTCCTCGCTCCAGTCGACTTCCTCGTTGTTCTCGTCAAGACCCTTGTCCATGTCCACGTCACGCTGACCCTTGCCTTCGCGCTCCATGCCGTTCAGGACCTTCTTCCAGATAGCCTCGCTGACGTTGAGGGGTTGATCGCCGTAGGCACCCTGTCGGAGACGCTCGACAAGCTCGCGCTCGATGGTTCGCTCCAGCTTGGCAGCTGCCTCGGCCTTGCGCTCACGAGCTTGCTCACGGTGCCTGATCTTAGGCGCCATCTTGGGCACAAGCTTTTCGCCCAAGCGTTCCTCCTCGGCGGCAATACGGCGCATGCGAGTTTGGACCTGGGTCAGACGGGTAAGGCGTTGCTTGCACTTGTGGATCAAGTACTGGGGCCAGTAAAGCAGAAGCTCGTCAATCTGTTGCAGCGCCTGCGCATAGTTCTTGCTGAGCTTGCGCTTCTCCCATAGCTTAGAGGGCAAGTGAGCTCTCTCTGGTGTCTTTTGGAACAAGTAGATGACGCCCTTCTCTTCTCGAATCGTGGCATATCTCTGAAGGATTGTCAGTCATGTTTTCAAACTATATTCATCACCGCAAAATAAACTCACCGAGTTCGCAAGAGGACAGCTAGTACGGTTGCAGAGACCTGATACACTGTAAGGGGATCGACAGAAGTTCTGTCCCTTATCGGTTCTGTTTAATGGTTAGCAAACTCTTCCGCTGTTCTTGTGTCTTTCTGTTGATGTTCATAGAGCAAAGGACAAATGTTATAGGCGACTTACTTAAGTTTCAGACTGCAGAAGCTCTGATTCAAAATTTGCCAAATTACCTCGTCTGAAGCCATCGTGAGGTCGTTGTGATGTTGAGGTGGTGAATTGGAAGTGTAGTTTGCAACGTTGGCGCAATTGACGGAAAAGAGCAAGTTTGGGAAGTCACCACTAAGAAAGGGTGCACTTGAAAGGTCCAAGTATTCGACAACGGGACTTTGGGGACTGTCAGACAATCGTAGGTTCTCGTATCGAGAACTTTTTGAGTTGTGATAGTGTCGTGTCGGGTCAAGACAACTATCGTGGGTCTTAGAAAAAAAAAGTTGATGGCCTGGGCGAAATCTTAGATGCTGGCAGACAGACCCACTACCTGTGCCTATACACCAATCATCTAGCTGCTGATACCGACCAGCTACTCACCGCCTTCCAATCTGGATTCGGCTGCATTTCCGCCGGATCATAGTCCCTCCGAGCCGCTTACGCCGCGGCTCCCGTCTGCGTCACCCTGCAGTACGTACCCCGTTGACAGCTGCTCGCGGATAGCATCATCTTGGAACTTGGCCTACTGTAGCCGCGTAACTCAGCCACCATCAACGAAATTCTTCTCCGTCGCGCTCAACGAAACCTGTCGCCCAGTCGCCTCAAGGCTCAATACTCCCTCCCTTTACCGATAAGATCCTCTACTTCTCTCCCCGCGGGGAGCCTGCATCGCCGACATCGCCGTATACAAAACACCCCCGATCAACATAAACAGCATTGCCCAAGATGCCGACCGCCGGCCTCAAGACCATCATCGCCCTCTCCTTCGTCCTTGCCGTTGGATTCCTCCTGGTTATTCTCTCGTGCGCCCTGTGGAAGGTCTACTATCCTCTGCTCGTCGTTGCCACCTATGTCATTGCGCCCATTCCCAACTGGATCTGCGGACACTGCGCCAACCCTGATGACTTTGTCGAGAGCTCGGGTGCAGCTGTTCTAGATCTTGGACGTTTCTTTACAGGTTTCTTTGTTGTTATGGGAATTGGTAAGTCCCCCGTTTCCTTGTTATCAGGCGATTCAGCGCCGCTGGTAACAAGGGATTAATCTATCCGTTGTTACTCGCGTGCCTAACTCTTGTGCAGCCCTCCCCGTCGTCCTGGCTCACGCTGGTCTCATCGAAATCCAAGCCATGGTCATGTCCATAGTCGGCGGCCTATTGATCTACGGAACCATTGTTAGCTTTGGCATGTTCTTCCACGAGGAGCAAGATTTCTAAATGCGCGCATGAGATCGGATCGCATAAGTCGGACGAGGCCCGAACTTGCCGACGAAAAAGACTACAGATACAGCGTGTCGCGTTTCAGGAAAGAGGGGGGGGGGGTAATTGCTGGAATATAGCCTGTATAACGCGTGTATGATCACAAGGCAGAGGGGTGGCATTGGCTTTCAGCGGGGGTTATAAACGGCAGTCTCAGGTACTTGCGAGCTGAAATACTCGGGTTTGATGGCGCCCATGAGATGGTTATAGTCGGTCGTGAATGGTATACCTTTTTATGAGATATATATCGTGCCATTTGTTGCTATCTTTCGGATGCTTGTGGTTCCTATCCTTCCTGTCTATGCTGTTGAAATCCTAAATAAAAAACTCCGACGATGTGTACGTTGAGGTATCATGTCCAAAGCCAAATTCTGCGCCTATCCATATATCTTACTCAACCTGATCTCTCCCTCGAGAACTGGCCCTCAAGCTGCGTCTCTGAAAACGCCCATAGGACCAGCCAGTTTGGTAAACATCTCGTCCCTTTCACCTTCAGGGGTACTAAGAATCGTTACCGCGCCTCCAGCTCCAATTCTCCAAACTTCTCTCGGTTCGGTCTCGCCCTCTTCAGCGGGAGCCTCCTCATCGTCCCACCGGAACATTGTTCGAATAGTGACACTCCAGTCACCTGCGCCTGTGACGTCCATGTATCCCACGACACCAGAATAAAGACTTCTTTCATGCTGGCCCTCGATGACCTGTAGGAGCTCACAACTGCGCTTCTTGGGCGCTCCTGTCATACTTCCAGGGGGCAGAGCCGCAGCTAAAGCATCTAGGCCTGTATAAGGGCAATGAGAATCGAAGCTGCTTCGGCGTGCACCATGGGGCTTATGTCCATTGCGCCCGGGGAGTTGACCATTGACAACAGTGATCATCTGGAAGACAGTCGCATATTCCTCAACCTTCATCAGATCAGGAACTGTAACATGGCCAACACCACAAACACCGTGTAAGTCGTGTCGAACTAGATCGACGATCATGAGGTTCTCGGCCACCTCCTTGGGCACGTGGAGGATCTTCTCGGCCTGTGCGAGTGTCGACACAGCCTCCGACTTGCGGACAGTACCCTTCATTGGCCTCATTGAGCATAATCCATTGCTATCATGGCGAAGGAAGCGCTCAGGAGAGCAACTCAGCATTGTTGCGCCGCCAAGACGAATGAAGGATCCAAATGGAGCTGGCTGTCGTTTTCTCAGCGTTTGGTAGATGGTCCAGGGGCTTCTCTGGTTGTTTCTTGCACGAGGTCTTGCCATTGTGGTTTGCGATGTGAGGCACAGCTCGTACGACTCTCCTGCGGCGATAAAGTCCTGACACACTCGAACTTGCTCCTCGTACCTGTCTGGTTGTGGGGTTGTGATCATGACTTGGCTGTGCTTAGCAGAGTTGCCGTTGATATGTCCATTGACACCGTTGCTCATCTCTGTAGGTTCCCAGTACTGGGATTGTTGAATCCTCCTGGCCATATCTTCAAGCCATGAATCATCTGACCCTCGGACCTTCAAGTTCTGGACATGTGCAACACCTGCTCGATGATCAATAACAATGCTCTTGGTTACCCACGCTAAGCAAATATCCGGCCTCGTATGGCCCCTATCTTCTGAGACCATCTTCTTCTCAAGGCTGTGCAACCCCATTTCGTAAGTGATGAAGCCCATGAAACCACCTTTGAAAGCCGAGTTAGACTTATCAGATCCAGCAGGGTGACTTCTCGTCTCCCAGAAATCTGAGATAATCTCCCAGACGTTGACAGTTCCATTTTCAAGACTTATCGTCTCGATTTTGTCCTCTCCACCAACTCTAGCGGGGAGTCGTACGGTAACATAATCGTCCAAGACATTGTACTCGAGCCGCAGTGCCTCTTCGACTTCGAGGGCCACGATGCTGTTAAGAGCCAGCGCATCGCCGTTCTTTGAACTCGAGGAGTCAAGAATAACAGTCTCGCCCTTTTCCAATCCCAACGTCTCGACTATCTCTGGTACGCCAGCCCCTGGAGGTAGAGAAATTGTGCGATGCGTATATTCTGCCCCTTTCGCAAAGTCTTTCAACGGTGTTCCTTCAGTACGAGACGTCGACCACCAATCTCTTGCTAGTCGCTCCTTGTGTGCAGCTGCAGCCTCGAGATGGTTCGGCGGTGAAAGAGTCTGAATTTCCAATAGTGGCCCATGTACTCGTCGTCCATGGTAGTTGTTCCACTGCAACGCAGCCTGGAACCAGTTGATAAGAACGCCTTGTGCATTCTTCTCAGTGCACACAGACTCTGGGTGATACTGAAGGCCCCAGAATGGCTTCTTGAGATGTCTCACGCCCTGGAGAATCTGCTCTCTTCGACCATCGTCTCTGGTCTCTGTCGCCCACGCCAGTGGTGAAAATTCTGACGTTGGCTTCCAGCGCTTCTCATCCTCCCAATCATCACTGTACTGACCGATATCAACACACAGACTGTGGTATAGAGTAGCTTTGAAGGGCGGCACTCCTCGAAAGATATCTTCTCCCTGGTGCTCAATCTCTCTCACCATACCATGCAGACCCCTCTTGAGCCTCCTCACAGACCCGCCATGCGTAGCAAGTAGACTCTGAAAGCCAAGGCATATACCCAAAATTGGCAACTGGCGATGCTCGGGGAGATCCCAAAGCAAATTGAACGCACCAACATCTTCCGGGTTAAGCGGAGATCCGGGACCGGGGCCGCAGACTACAGCGTCAAATTGATCAAGATTGTTGAGAAACTCTTGCTCTGTCCACTTGGCAGGCGCATCATCTTCATTGACTTTATCAACCACCGAAAGATCGATTCTTATCACAAAAATGTCTGCGCCGAGGATGGTTCGGAGGAGTGAGACGATGTTATTGGTGAAGGAGTCATAGGCGTCAATGAAGAGAATCCGCTTCGGCGCCCGAGCCGAGGGTTCAGGGCCTGTGGTCATATTCCAATAAGTGGGAGTTATAGCAGGAGTGTCAAGTGATTAAGAGGACGAAACCAAAAGACACCTAGAATATTTGGTGGTGAGAAATTGAGTCTGATGGACTGAGCCTTCGTCTCTCGGCGTTTGATATAAAATCCAAAAGATTTGCCGCTACAAGCCGGAGCTGACTCGGCGTCCACTGTCCGCTGATGTACTGTAGCTACTGTACTGAAGCCGTTGAGGCTTTTGAAGCTACTGCGCCTGCGGCCAGTAATTATCATGTGATCGGACAAACCAGAGAGTAGAGAATACATTAGAGTTGGCTTTAATTTATACAAATTCGGAGCGTTTACTTGTTAAGGAAAGTCTCGCTCCAAGGCTAGCAGTGGCGACAATGAATCGGATGCGTGGAATGGTGCTACTAACTTAGAACGTTGAGATATCGACACTACTGTAGGGTATGATCAACGCAAAACACCTCAAACATAAGCACTCCTGAAATAATACATAAAAGGCCATTAAGCGCTCTCGAGTATCCGCTAAATATCTATATCGCATTGTAGTACATATCTCCATATTATCTAGCATATGTAGGCCAAAGTACAAGTCTCTTGGCCCACGCCAAAATCCCTTCTCATTCTCCTACTTGCGATCCCTCGTCATCAATAGACAAGGCCGTCTTGCATGCCACATCCGTCTCTCCTTTACTCCCAAAGCCGCATCCATTCTCGTCTGCGACTCGGATCGCGTTCGCGTGGCCTCAGACACAGGGCCATCCCAGACCTGCACCTCTTCTACCGATGCTGAAATCTCGAATTCACCGCGGCAGAGCACTGTCAGCCCCACCGAGATCTCAGCACTTCCATGTGGTTCCAGCACAGGAATGTGTTGTTGTAGGGTTCCATTCCAAGCAAGCTTTCGTGTATACTCCAGCCCAACATTCGCAGGCCTATGACAAAGCGCCGGTAGAATCCGGACGAGGGGGTGGATTTTTTGAGCTGCTCGGTTTGTAACACGCACTTTGAGTTGCATAAACTCATCCACGTAGGCCACATCCTTCTCGGCCGCATTACCGTTGGCATCCGCAACCGAGATATCGATATCAACCTCCTCAACCTTGATGGCTTCGATCATTCGCGTGGTCAGCCTAATACTTCTCAGGTCAATGGAACCACTCCTCTTAGGCAGCGACGTCGTCTTCCATGTCGCTCTGAGACAGTTGAGAACCCTCTCCCTATACCAAAACCCTTCGCGGTTCGCTCGCTCCATTTCGGGTGAGATCTTACTGGCGCTGACCACGAACTGTCGATTCCGCCCAGGGTTCAGGGTTGGTATTGTGGCATGCGGATCCTCTAGATACACCCTTTTAACGGGCAGAATGACACGACTTGTGTTACCCGGAAGAATATCCTCTTGAACGGCGATACCGTCATTGCTCTCCAGCTGCACCACCATCTGACTTGGCCAAGCGTTGCGAAGATCCACAGACAAGAGACAATATTCGTCAGGTTTGGCTGTGAAGGAACTGCCTAATCGATCCCACAAGGGCTGAGGAATCTCACCATGAACCGGGAGCGCGTCAATTCGAGCAAGCTCAACGCTGGCATTGACTGTAACCGTTAGATCGAGAGAAACCTGTCGAGTGTAGAACTGCTCAGGCATCTCATCCTGCGGGCATCCCAGATGCGTATAGTCGACTTGGATCGTTGCCGCCGTAAGCCCAGGCTTGCCCAGTATCTCAAACTCGAATGTCGCTTCACCGTTGGGAGCAATATGTCGAGTCAGCTGGCTGCTAGGAAGTCGCAACGCTTGCTTCTTCATCAGTGCAAGTTCGTACTCGTGGAGCTCCGATGGTGTGGCATCTCGGTTATTGATCGCGGTTTGCAGTGGCTCCTGAGTGGAGTCTTTGAAAGAAAAGAGCATAAAGTCCACGGGTGTAGCAGCGAGATTTTGCAATGTGACAGAGAATAACTGCCTCTCACCTTCAAGAATCATGATCGAAGATTGTGCGAGGGTCGTAGACTTGACGACAACTAGCGGCTGTGCCTGAATCGCAGTCAGACTCAAGCTTTCAGTCTCGAGCTTTGGAGCAAAAGGCTTGATGTCCGTTACTGCTTCCTCAAGTGCAGCCAAACCCTTAGCCTTCACCTTTAGTTCCTGTTTGGGTGTCCACGGCATGGAGAAGACTGGGAACCGTCGTTCACGACATCCTCGAACCTTGATCATGGCACCAGTGACTTTAACGGTTCCTGCTTCCTTGGCTCTTCCTCTTAATCGTATCACTTGTGTTCGGTATGGTCCGACCATTGTTGCTTCCTTGACAGCGTCAAACTTCACACCATCGGTAGCCAGGTGGATGGATTCGACATCTACTTCGATATCGTATGGGTTCTGCAGTGTGATCTTGAATGTAGCATATTCATCGGCCACAAGTGTCTGCGCGACTTGCTCATCAGGTTTCTTCAAGAATGGATTGTAGATGAAAGGGTCAACATCCTGCGATGCCCGACTAGCGGTGGCACCAGGCAGAATGCTCTTTGAGTGAGCTACCGGTGTCTTGCTGTTCAGTGAGGGCTCAAGCTTAATGCCTCTTACGAAAAACTCGTCCCAGTACTCGGCTGCTATATCGGTATAACCCAATCTCTGCACAAGATTGGCAGTTCTTGATATTCCGGTAGCTAGTCGTACTTGCTCATCCCGGTTGATAATCGGAGAGGCATCCTCCCGCCGTGGTCCTGGAGCAACGCCTGAACCAGCTGTTCGCAAGAGATCGCTCGAGAATCGCAGGACACCATCGAAATCTGGCAGGGCTTCTGAGAAGTTGATACAAGCCCTCAGAATATTAAGCTTAACGTCGGGGAACCCAAAGAAACGAGCTGCGGATTGGCCGCGTATCCTAGCAATCACGGCCTCATCCGAGTCATCGACATCTTCGTTGTTCTTGGCACCCGCCTTCCTCGTTAAATCAAAGCCCACAATGCCATACGATTTGCAAAGAAGGGTCATCAGAGCTTCGATGCCTTGTTCGACGTCGCATTCTCCAATTTCCAAGGCCATAGAGCCGCTGCTTGATCCGCCCCCTGAAGTCAATGACATCAGCCCGGCAGCAGGATGGATGCCCATGTCTGCAGCACCTCGGGTTCTTGCCTCGACAAGACCACCGATAAGCACAGACACAAGTTCTCGTATCACCATAGCTTTCTTTCTGTGAAGTCCCAGAGGCCCTAGGACAGTCGCTATACCGCTCAGAATAGACGCTCGGTCGACAGTGGTAAGAAGTTCCGAGGCTCCAGCGGGAAATGCCTTGAACAGCATTGTTCCAATCTGTTGTCGGGAGGGTGTTACGCCAAACCTAGGCGGCGCAGCATATGGCTGGTCAGGGACGATTCCGGTAGCTATCATGGCCAAAGACTCTTGGTCAAGGTAGCCATTGCACAAGTGAAGGGCCGAATAGATCTTGGAAAAACGGATAAAGGTTTCAGATAGGGGCAAGGGAGGAAGGTTGTCTGATGAAACCCTAGAGTAGAGGGCGACAATACGTTCCAGAAGCTCCGGTAGTAGCCATTGGAGGTTTCTAAGATGCTTTGGCTGATTGGGGTCTTCAGGAGTCGGGTCTGGTGTTTGCTTATGAGCTGGCTTATCCGGGAACTGGATGAGCACAGTGGGCACATGGAATTCGATGTTGGACCAGCCGAGAAGGAACAGGTTTACAAGAATAAGCTCCAATGCCTTTCCATGCCATAGATGATCGTTGACAGACCTCGCAGCCATAGCACCATCACTAAGCTCCTTGATCGAATCGGTCCATCGCCCAGCCTGGAGAAACATGGAGCCCACAACAACCGCTGCTCGACCCTTTGTTCTATGCCTCCAGCGGTCGTTCACACCCCCAGAGCCAAATCCTTGCGTTGATATGCGATCGCGACTAGCTGATCGAGAATTCTCGGTAGTCTCTGGCAGGGGGGTTTGTTCTGGCGATGAATGATCACTGGGAGGCGGGGTGTTACCATCCGTGGTAAGGGGTGGGTTCGACAAGCTGCTCTTCGTGCCTGTTGATGATAAACCTGGTGTTGAACTGCTCGAATGGAGTCCTGGGCGAGCATTGGCTGGCATAGACATGCGGGCCTGGGTCTTTTCCATGATACCGCCCGCGGAGTTGGAGCGCACAGAATGTCGTGAGGAGATACTCGAACCTCTCCTCAACAGGGTATTGTAACCACCTTCACCACCCCAGGATCCACCATTAGTGTGCTTAGAAGTGGTCGAATAAGGTACGGGAGACTCGATGTTGGTCATGGCCTCGAAAGACTTGGCCAGTGTCGTCATCTCGGCGAGGAGCAACGAGGAGATGTCACACATAACAGTTCTTATCGTAGTCACCGTGCATTTCTCAGGCGGAGGGATTCCGACAAGGCCTTCGGGCATTGGAATGTCGGTGTCATGGGGGTTGAGATAATCGAACAACAGGACCTGATGTACCAAGGCCTTGGGGTAGGTGTCGCGAAGGTCCTCAAGCTCCTGGTACAAAGCTCTAATGTTCTTCTCTGTAGTCGTCGGACCCGTGCCATTGATGGATTGGCGCTTGTTGAAGCTCTTTTGGTGTAGCTCGGTGCCATCCGCCAGAGCTATGATAGCAAGGGGTTCTCGGTATAAGTCGAAGGGAGTGAGGGCGAGGTGAGAAGGAGGAGGGACGTGGGTAACGAGGTTGTATATTATAGCGCCATCTGGGTAGGCCAGAGGAGAGAACATGTCTGCGCAAGTCTAGGTCAGAGCCATCTTCAGCGGGTGATGTGAAGGGGGATATCACTTACTCCTGTTGGGTCGGCCATCAGCGCTGATGTCGCGGAGGTGGACAACATGCTGCTGGTTCAGTCGTTCGACGAAGGAGGCGAATCGGTCTGCTTTGATCTGACCCAGGGGTAGTAGAAGCGTCTTCACCCGCGCAGGAGCGACGGGGGCCAAAGGATCCAAGCTCATCCTAGCATCTGGTGTTTGCTCAACATGTCCGCCAGCGCAACGTATGTGGTGTTTCGCTCGGGGGGGGGACGTCTTTAGGGGCGTCTTTGGGAATTCGATCAGTAAAGAGATGTGGTTGTCTACAATCGCATTCTCGTTTCGATGTCGCTTCGTTTCGTTTCGCTATTATCGCTGTGCTTTGGAGGTTGAAATGTCGTCTTTGATCGCCGGATATTGAGCTCGATGTCGTACACCTGTCGCATGCGGCTAGGAGCTGTACTGTACCTATGTAGGTATGTAGGTAGTCTGCCCTGACATGGGTGGCCGGATAAGGTGGAGACTCAGGAACCGGAGTCGACTTTTTGCGAGGCCGACGATCGCATACCAGAGACAATAAGTCTACGTCAGCACTGGAATTGTTGTTATTGACATGCCGATCATATTCAGTTAAGGGCACTTCCCAATGTATATCAGTTATTTATGGATGAGCAGTGAAAACTCGTGGTATCTCAAAGGCTCGGCCTGCCGAGAATATACTACACGTTTGGGGTATCACAATTTTGGTCTCTAACAATATGCAATCCTCTTGGCCTCTCCCAACTTTTCCATATCCAAAAGCCAGAATGTCTCATTCATGCAAATTCAAATCACTGTCTGAATCATCCATCTCGATTCTTAACCGACTGATGACGGGGGCCCGTTAGGACTTTGATCCGACGACTTCCTCTCCCTTGCCTCTGCTTGCAACTCACTCTCAAAGGTGTCAACAGACAGACTGGCTTCTACAAAATCTTCAAGCTCTTCTGTCACTGTTTTGAGCTTCTCCTTTACCGCAACCGCAGCCTCGTGACCAACAATGTGGCGCGCCGGAGGGTTCTCATGTCCTCCAATTGCTGACAAGGCATGAACCGTCTCCATAACCAGCTTATCTGCTGCGCCAGGCGGTAAATTGGGATAGCGATGGATGATCTCACCAGGCGCCGCATCTGGTTCGAGAGAGGTACTGGCGGGAGACATGGGTGAAGGCCCCCATTCGGCTGGTGATGTGGGGTATGGGAGAGCTGTGTCTGGGTGGGTATTGAGGACGTTGACGAGAATATCGCGAATATTCGGGGCAGACTCGGAGTATTGATCGTAGGCGGCCATCTGAGGCGCAAAAGTGAGGCGATTGGTTAAGGAGAGAATTTCTTTGTTTGGTTGCACAACAGTGACTTTGATGTTGAAGGGCGCAATCTCGTATGCGAGCGAGTCGCAAAACCCCTCGAGGGCCCAGGTGGCAGCCGTATATATTGACATGCCTGGCGTACCGATATGGCCACCGGTGCTGGTGAGCACAATGATATGTCCTGTGTGCTGAGACCGTAGCTGGGGGAGAGCAGCTCTGATGAAATTGACCTGGGAGAAGAAGACAGACTCGAACTGGTCGCGGACGAGATTCTGTGTGAAAGGAGTTGTTGAGAGTTCCTCTACGGTTCCTACAACCGCTGCAGATCAGTTGAGTTAGTGGACTGGACCAAAGCATAAGCTTGCGAGCTCCATCAACTTACCATCGGACTTGCAGCATAGTAGAATGTCAATTCGTCCAAAAACCTGGACAGCTTCAGCAATAGCAGCACCACAGCTTCCCATGGAAGCGCCATCGCACCGAATGCCACGAATACGATCTTTCCATCCCTCCCGATCCTTGCGAGAGCTCTTACACTCATTGACAAGCTCGCGGAACTCGGCGCTGCGGTCCTCGTCGTCGATCTCATAGGGCGGTAGACACGCGACCACGTAGTCGCCATGCGATAGAAGTAGCCGGATCAGTCGGACGGACAGGGGGGAGAGGGCTGAAGTGAGGAGCCATGTCCGCGGCGAATTGTGCGTGGCTGTAGAAGGGTTGGAGTCAGCGTCGGCCATTATAATGGCGTGTACATGGTTTTTATAGTGTTTGGATTAGGTGCGTCCCAAGCTCTTTTCAGGGAGTCACAGATTCCCCCTCTATAATGTCTTTGATTATGTAACTCAAAGACTGATTCTCCAAAGCTTGCCAATCTCAGCAAAAAGGGAATTGAGAACAATTGTCGGATTATGCCAAGGTATGAAATCAATAAATGCGGGAGAAGTGTGGAGTCGTGTATAAGAGTAAAATGTAGAGCTTAGCTGAGCTGAGCTTCGGGCGAAGAAATTACATCATTGGGGGGATGTGCCAAAGAAAAATAGCATTTTAAGCCCCTCTCAGGCGACATTGATCGACCCGACAGGAACAGGATATTAAGACAGAAGCAGTAATGATAAGAGACTAACGGACAACGGTATCAAAACGAGACAATTAACTTTACGAAAAGATATTGCGCTGTACAAAAGAGGAATACGCCGAAGGGCTTGAGACCAGGATGGGAAAGCTAAAAACCAAGGCAAGACATAACAAACGATAAAACAATAACGAGGAAAAAACAACAAGGAATAGAAATGTAATAGAAATAGAAATAGAAATAGAAATCTGGGGTGACTTACGAAAGGAGGGGTTCGGTATTGATTGAGAGCTATGCCGTGGGGTAACGGTAAATGCCATATCTTGACTGCCGCGACTTGGCCGTGGTGGCCCCAGCATCGTTTGCGTGTCTGATTGTATAAGTAGGTTTTTTTTTGTTTGGATGCGATGCAATTCTGGGCTGGTTCTCGATTGGGATAGAATTACTCTTTCTTCCGTGTTGAAATTGTCGTCGTCTCTTTTAAAGCAGCGGTTATTCTGTCTGCTTCTTAGACGTTGAATATCATGAGTAGCACTGCAGGAGTACAGCCAACCGAATAATTCGCTATTGATCAATACCAAATCAATGAGACAATGGCATGAAGAATATGATCCTCAAGTCTTTGAATGAGTTGGTCGTCGACAATTGGTTAACCGTATAAGTGAAAGTGTGAACCACAATTTCGATCAAGCTGAGGACCAAGATGCAGCTATCATGCACCTAGGGTCTTGGATAAGGCCGATTGGATGAGGAAGCACTCGGCCAACACTTGACTCAGTCCAAGCTGCAGAGCTGTGGAGTTTGGTGAGCGAGAAGAGCTCGTAACTGTCGAGTGTTGTTGGCAGACGGAAAGAATCCCTATGCTCAAGTCAAGGGGCAATGGCATTGAGGCCCAACCATGGAGACTTACAAAGTACACCACGAATACCACAATAGTAGTAGTACCTTTTTTTTTTTTGATTTTTTTTTTTGAAAGAAGGGCCTAGTGCGGATATATGAATTGGGAAAAGAACGGGCTCTAGCAAAGACAAGATAGAAGCAATATACTGGGAAGATTACGAGGAACTGAAATAGGGTTATGAAGAGCTAAAAGAAGGGAATGAATACAGACAGTACTCCGTACTTGTGCCTTTTTCTGAACCTGCGGGGACCCAAGAGGAAAGACGGACTCGATTGATGCCTCAATGCCCCATTTTGACGACAAGGGCAGAACGTTTATCATCCATGTAACGGGCGGGCATGGCCTGGCATGGATAGACAAAGTAGCGTGAGCGTGCGTAGCCGAACCCCAACTCTGTCTTTTGAGAGAGAGAGAGAGAGAGAGAGAGAGAGAGAGAGGCCCCCTCCAGGTAACATTGACCTTTAAACACCGATAAACAGCAGAGAATAAAACAAACTTCGAGTCTTCAACGTCCATGCTTGTTCTCCTTGTGGGTCTTGGTGTGTCCAGTGTCTACGTTTGCATCGAGGGCTTCCTGGCCGTTGGTGATCATCAAGGCTACAACCGAGACATCCGATTCGAGAGAGGACTTTGTTATTGGAATTTGGTATCATGACTGTCTTGTCACTACAACGTCTGTGTCCTCTCTTGTACATACACGCACAGCCAACTCCAGACAAACAGGGCTTACATGTGGATTTTCCAATGATAGGATACGCAACCAAGAGAGAAGATAGAAAGACCAGTTTCATGTGTTCATCCTCATAGGGCAGAAGTAGCTGTGGCCCTTGTCCCATGACCATGGTCAAGATAGGCATCTTTAAGCCGTTGAGGCGGGCAGACGAGTCAGGCCCCAAGGACAGGCCACAAAAAGGACCCTGGTTTAGAATTTGGGGCTGTCCTAGCTCTGGGGTATCGGTATAGGTATCGGTATGCCGTATATTACCGTTCATACTTGACACACACACTGCCTGCAGGAACATGGGGATATTGATGATGGATGACACAAGACACAAGACACAAGACGTTAGATCTGGTGTACTCCGTAGTATCTGAGCAACGATGCGGCAACACCAACAAACAGTAGCACAACTGTTTACTCGACTTCTTTTTCTCTTGTCTTTTTCCTTCTTTGTACCTTTGTGACTTTTGTTCTCTCAAATCACAGTTTCCCCCTCCTAAGAAAAAAAAACATGAAACGATGAAACGCCGTCTCAAACTTTGAAGCCATTTGAGCATGGGGGCTCCCTTGTCAATCTTGCCCATCTTACCCACCAAGGCTAGACATCCGACCTAATGACGATTGTCTTGTTCTCGTGAGCTGCCTTACGTAGTATATGCATACGTACCTTTGACACTTCTCTCTCTCTCTCTCTCCCTCTTATCGAGGATCAATTGCTGCCCAATCGAAAGAGAGAGAAAAAGCAAAAAAAGGGGTCGTGGTCGGACAATTCTTTACTGTCTCAAAAAGGGCACTATAACAGATGGGCGACGCTGATCCTGCGACACACCAAAACACCAAAACACCCAAGCAGAGTAAACGCTACTGTCGGTAGTGGACCCCTCCACGAATGAGACGAACCGGACCAGAACGCAGCCGTTAGAGGAGGACAAGCCCTGTAATTCCTTAGTACCTAGAGAGCCAGTCGCGATTGTAGACCTGTCACGGCTAGTGGTCCTCTGGGGGCCCGGGGAGTTCTAACTTCTACTGCACGCCAAGAAGGCCTAGAACCTTCACGTTCGGTTCTTTTAGGGGCTTGAGCTGTTTCTGATTGGTCACTCGGCAGTGGCCGTTAGACTCCACAGCAGGGGTCTTTACCTTTCATCTCAATTCCATCTCAATTCTCACTTTCTCAGCCTGACGTTTTATTAATAATCTCTATCGAAACATTGCAGCCCCTATGATTTTAATCTCGCAAATCACTAGCATCAGTATTACATACGATAATCCATGTCCCACAGTGACCATCTTCGGTCCGATCTTGCATACCCAGATGACGATGGACATAATCAATTACACAGAAACACAAATCACAGATCACAAACCACAAACCACTAACCCCCGCAACAAATTGTTATTTGACTAACTAGGTAATCAAGTATTATCTTGCTCTAGTTAGCTAAACCTTCGAGGAACTTTTGAATTTTGGACATGACCCCAGAGTTCAGAGTTTACCAAAAAGAGGACGTGCGTTGCTTAGACTCTATCATTGCGCCCGTAAATTGAGTATCACGGAAGACAAGCTCCTGAATTTGCAAAATCATGAGGGATACGGATACAACTACTCGATTAAGTTCATACGTAACAAGGATGGTTAGCCCGGTGCATTGAACTTGTATGTGCAGAGTAGTCATGTTGAAACGTCAAACATCCCATAACTGACTCTGCAAACTCAATCCGAGAATCCGACATGATATATTTAACTTCCGAGCGTCCCTTGGCACCTCCTCTTCCACGTAACATGGTGTTATTGACCTATCGGGTCGACTCCACGGCAAGAGATAGTGATACATATGCACAGCGTCACGCATACGTCTATTCTCTACGTAGTAAATATACTTTGATCCTGAAACACATTGTCTTATTAGTCTAGCTCACTTAGTTTCCTTGTCATCCCATCCTTTTCGCTACGCGAGCAGATCCCTGATGAAGTCATATCATAATCAATTTATCTCTGTTGGTATCAGCTGAAGAGTTGTTGCACCCAGTCATGATGTGAACGGGCTCAACTTTCAAACTATGCCTCTATTTCTGACAGGATTCTGATCGTAACAAGTCGCATTTCAGGTATGTCTTCAACTAGTTATAGATGTAATTGCATCGTACACCATAGGTATATTGACCCTATACTTCACTGAGAAATATCCAAAGTCGTGTCCTCAATCATGAATTAAAGCGATGGTCTTTGACAAACTCCCGTTTACCACCCATTCAAACTAAACGGCTTAATGCTTAGTTCTTGGTGGACTTCGCCTCGGCAATCTCCTCTCGGATACTGGGAGTGCGAGCTCCCTCAGGACCCTCGGCGTCGAGCTTGCTGTGAAGGTCACCAACACCAAAGAGCTCGTCCATCTGCTCCAGACTGAGACCCTTTGTCTCAGGGACGCAGAACCAGACAAAGAGACCCATAATCAGATCGAAAGTACCAAACATGAAGAACATGCCCTAAGGAAAGCTTGTTAGTTATCATGTATTCATCATCTTCACAGCATAATGCACTTACGTAACCGGCAGGTCCCATAGTCTTCTGCATAGTGAGCACAGTTCGGGCAATGATGAAGTTGAAGAGCCACTGAGTAGCAGCACCAATGGCAACATTCAGAGCTCGAAGCCGGGCAGTAGGGATCTCAGAGACGAGAATCCAGCAGCAGGGTCCCCAACCGAATTGGAAAAGAGCAGCCCAGAGGTAGATGCAGACAATGGCGACGTATCCGAAGGCTGAAATGCCGGCCCCAGCAACCGGAGGCTCAACACGGCCATAGATACCAATGATATACATGGTAAAGGCCTGAGCAGCACTAGTCCACAAAAGACTGCGTCGTCGGCCAAGAGAGTCGGCGCAGAAAATGAGAAAAGTGGCACAACCCAAAACCTTGACGATACCGTAGACACCAGTAGCGAACAACGAGACAGTTGTACCAGTCATTCCAAGAGACTGAAAGATTTGAGGAGCGTAGTAGTTGACCGCGTTAACTCCAGTCATTTGCTGGCAGATCATGAGTGCAACTGATATAATAGCTCGCTTTCGGTTTCCGGGAACAGTGGCAAGTTCCTTCCAGAGGGTTACCGCAGAGGCGTCGCCAACAAGTCGCTTCTCAGCTTCAAGCTGTGCAGACATCTCCTGAAGCTCGGCCTGAACATACTCGTGACTCTCGGGAAGCCTATAAAACATCCTGAATTAGCAAATGCCTTCTGCCAAGATATGAGTGTCAACAAGGGAGAAGGGGGGTTAAGGTTAAGGTTGAACCCCCTTGGTCACGCCAGTCGTCGAAGAAGAACTTACATTCTAAGGCTGATCAGAATGGCTTTGGCGCGTTCCCAGTTATCCTTACGAGCACACCATCGAGGGCTATAAACTGTCAGCAAGTTGGAACAACATTCATTTGTTGCTAAGATAGGTTACCTTTCGGGAGCAGCCAACATGCAGCAAATCAAGAGGCTGGAAACAGTTAGTATATGATATTCAATGCAAACATGATGACTTACACAGCGGGAAGAGCCTGGAGAGCCAGTGGGAGGGCATAAACAGTGGGAGCTTTGAGGTGGAGGAGAGCACCATAGTTGATCCTTTTATCCTGTTAGCTGAAGGCTTGTAAGTAGAGTAGACAAATGCAAACATACCAGAAAGAAAGCATGACACCAGTAACGATAAACAATTGATAGAACGCTATCCCAAGTTAGAAACAGGTTATGGAGAATCCGATGGGTGAAGACTTACAGGTCAGACCACCACGAATAGCTCGAGGTGCACACTCAGACACATACAAGGGGACCAGAGACGAAGCAGCTCCAACACCCAGGCCACCGACAAAACGACCCACATACATAAGGGGGAGAGAGCCGCTACCGGTAGAGGCAGCTTGAAGAATCACACCAATGGTGGTGACAACACCAGTTCCAACGAGACACCATCGTCGACCATACTTCTCGGTGAAGTACGAGGTGAAGAAGCACGCAGCAAAACAACCAGCCTGGAGAGTTGAGACGATGTTCTGATCGAGAGTGACCTTGGCCTCAGGTGTGTAGTTGAAGCGCTCCTGTGTGGCCTTCATGGCAAGGACACCTCCGATAGCGCCAGTGTCCCAACCGAATAACATACCACCGAAGCATGAGCCGGCGACGATGGCGAAGACGCGCCAGTTGTAAATTTCCTCGGGGTCTGTTTTCATTGCATCATTGCGAATGACCTTCTTCAGGACACGCGCTATAATACCCATGATGACGGTATTGGAAGCCGAGTCTTTGTGGTGATGGTTGACTGGCAGTGACCGAAGAAGTGGGACAGCTGAGAGAGTGGACTCGAGATAGGGGATACTTTAAATTTAAGCTTGTTTCCCCGGATTTTGAATCGGCCCAAGATGTGGTGCGATCAGGGTACTAAAGACTCGCTCAAAGGTTAAAAGATACCGATGATTGAATGTGATGTGATCTCTGATGGGAAGTTCTGAATCTCGAGGGGGTTCTCGCTGGATATTAAATGATCAACCGGCTAAGGTGCTGTGTTCAAGCGTGTCAAACTCTCCAGACCACACCACCCCGAAACTGATCGTCCGACAGCCAGTAACAGCCATGTCTGGGGTACCATCGACAGACTCACCCCCAACATCAGTGCACCGGCTTCATTGGTGAGCCAGAATGTCCCATGTCAATAACATAGACAGTCTAGGAGGGTTGTAGGCCTATTTGCTAGCCTGCACCTATGCTGCGCAATTTGGAGGCACAAGAAACACAGATGACTGTCCAATTGGTACTCTAATCCTTGCCAACGTCTCTTTTGCTACCATGATACCGACAACGGGTGATGGTAAAGCAAAAACAACCGAACTCAATCTAGTACTCTAGCCAAAGTACAGAAATCATCTCTCATCAACTCTCGCTATGACGATTATACCATCTCTAAGCCAAGACGCAAATGTCCAAGATTCGTATTTACCAAGCTATGGAATAGTGAATTTGGTACCGACATTGAGAGACGGATGAAATTGTCCACGAATCGATTGTCGCATATCGTCAAGGAGGCTTCGTTGTCTAGCATGAGAGCGCCGTACCCCAAAGGTTGCGAATGTCTAGGCGGTGATCGATAGGTTCTGAGATGGAACTTTGGGGGCATCCAATATAACTCGTAACGAGCGCCCTTGAGATCGTTCATCTTGGCCAACATGCGAGCAGACTGTCGCATGGAACCCAGGGTTGTAGAGATATCCTTTCCCGATGAGCTCTCCATCCCGAGTGTAGGCTAAAATCGAAGCATGGGTGGGTGATGAGCCGTCAACAGCTTCGCCTTCTGATAAGTGGAAATGAATCTTTCCGTGCCGAGTCTGGGGCATTTAGACCAATGTGGAGCTATATTTTAAGGTTGTTGACCCGGGAGAGACGAAGTGTGATCACCTCAGCCTCAGTCACCAAGCTTGCACGAAATCGACAGCGGGAATCATATTCTGCCAAGCTTTGGGGCAAGATATGCAGACCCTCCCCCGCAATCAAAGCATTAGCCGAATAACGTACAAAGGCGGGGAGCAGGGCTTCAAATGAGGAGAAGAGGAGATGACGGCTTGATGATTTGATTGATGGAATCTCCCAATTTCCGTGGCATCCATCTGATTTCCGTCCATTCAAGCTTACCGCCTGTATTTGGGGCTCAAGAGCCCATCTCCTGTTCTAGCCAGCCTGGGACGGCTGGAGTCTTGGCCCATCCGTCGAGATAACTTTGTTTACTCACCCCAACACCCGAGGGCTTGGCATATATCGCAGATACATACCATACTGACTCACCAGCTTTAATAGTATGCTGAAGAGTTGGAATAGTGCTCCGACTCTCGACGAGGTTCGAGTTTGGGTCCGCATTAACCAGCATAGCTTGGCGGCCCTCTGTCGGTTCCAAAGCCTTGATGCCTACAGCACCTTTCGATACTGCAAATGCCCCTGATTTTCCATCTGCCCAACCATCGGGGGTCTTTAAATCGTAATTTCCAATAATCTTAGGAGATGTGCCTTCGTATTTTCCCTCGTCGTAAGGGCTAAGGTATCGCCCGTTAGTCGTATTAACATTGGAAATGGCAAAAGAGCCATCTGCCGTCATGACTTCGCGACCACTTTTGATATGATGAACTCGAAGATGCCAGTTTGGGGTCTCCTCTTGTGGGGGGATCAAGATGGTACGAATGGCGACGTCTGGGAACGGCTTCCAAGTCGAGACAAGAACAGGGTTGCCTTCAAGATCTTCAATTCCCGCGTACTCGCAAAGCCTTCGGGTTTTCCAGTACTCGCCCCCATCATCCGAGAGCCCAAGCTGTGAAGCCAGTGCATACTGCTCCAGGGAGAAGTGACCAGGGGGCACCGAATATCCATAGGCACTGCTGTAGGCGAAACCACCGTATTTGGCATGGGTGCCTTTCATTGGGTAGCTGCAGGCTTGTCCCGATGACAGAAGCATGCAGTGTCCGCCGAGGTAACTGGACTGACGTTAGTGTTGCTGCACATAAATCGCATATAAGGGTGGTCATCACCTCATGATATGACCCGGCTGATGAAGAGCTTTCACCCTTGGGATTACACTACTGGCTGTCTCCTCTTCAGATGTCCAGAAAGGGTGATCTTCTGGCGCTGCTAGACACATAAAAGCCAAGCATGCCCAATACTAAACATTTGTTAGCCGTACCGTCATGTTTCACTATTTCGGTAGGAGTCTTACTGGGCTGCCCGGGCTGTTATAGTTCTCCGCCATCTACTTGTCATTAGTTGATGCTGACATTGGGAATAAGGGCATTTGATACATACATACATATTTGGGTACGAGTACCCAATCGAAAGTGTTCCACCAGAAGTCCAGATCTCGTTTTGAGTCTGCCACCAGCGCAAATGGCGGAACACTACTCCTTTCACCATGCCCCAGGTTAACGGTGCAGGCAATTCGACATCGGCGTGAGCAAGGGCGCCCCAAAATGAAACCATAGCAAATCGATAGCCTACACTTCGACCGTATGGAATAGCTCTGCCCTCGTCGTCGAAGTAATGAATCAAGTCCAGGGCGACCTGTTGTGCGCGCTTCTTGAATTCTTCAGCTCGTTTTGGGTCTTCGTCTCCTGCTAATTTGGCATATAAGAGCTGCAACAGTTGGATTGCAAAGCTCGAGGAGTAATAATCCATTTCTATACGTGTAAGTCAAGGTCATGATAAACTCATCTCAGTCTTACGGTGAATGCCTTCTGGTCCATCATTAGACCAACCTCCACCGCGATAAAAGGTCTCGAGGTGCTCGATATCGCTGTCGAGTCTATCTTGGGAGAACTTTCCCCCGTTCTTCTTTAGCCCTAAGTTGGCAAATACTCTGAACCAAAGCCAATTGGTGTTGGGCATGCTGCAATGGGGTCAGTCAAAGGCTAGGGTGCGAGATACTAAGAACCGACTTTTTCTCATTAATGGAGTTTCCCAACCATGTTTCGACGTTACTCTTCTCCTTGTCTGTAAAACTGCTCCAGAAGTCGGGAGCAACAGCCAAAGTCCAGCCTGGGAAATCGTGTCAAATTTACCTGACATTCGGACTGCAACTGTGAGGACTTACCAAGCGGGCACATCTCAACCATTCTTTGGTCGTTATCTTGAGGGTATCCCCAGTATTCAGGGCTCTCGGGATCAGTTCCTGACTTGATACCCTGAATCCACCATTCTTTGCCGTCATAGTCACCACCGCCTGCCAGCAAAGCAGCCAAGCCCCAAAGCGGACGGCAGATTCCTTCGACTTCGGAAGCAGTTTGGTCAAACCGAACTGCTGTAGCACCAGGACACTTGACGCGAGCTTTTTGGGGCGAGAAAAAGGGTTCTAAAGGATCGAGAACCGTGCGAAGGAGTTCTTGAACAGAAGAGCGATCCTTGATCTCTACTTTGGAGAAGGGATGAGCCCCATCGTAACCAAGGCAGAGCGGCTTGGTTAAAGTCATGATGTTTGATGTATATACCGTATACGGTTGATTGCCAGGATTCACTTAGAAACGGGAGTGGGATAAAGGGGCCAAACAGGATATATATATACATATACATATGTCTCGAGATCATGCATTTGCTCTAGGTATCCTCCGGTATTAATCGTACAAGGAAGCGGGGACCAGTACTGGGGCCCTGGGGTATTATGCACTCCATGGCCGTTTTGCCGTGTTGATCAGTGAGGGGTGATCAGGATTAGGTGTAGTGGGATGTTTGACCCCAAGGACAATTGGGGGCTGCGAACTGATATGACGATATATGGCCGAAAACGGAGCTGTAGACTATCTACAGCTCGAACATGTATCCATCATGAAGAACTTCGGTTTGTTTGATGGAAAATAACAAAAACAAAGGCACGACGATAGCAACTTAGGTACGTTGTGTAGCCCACAGCTTTGTCAGCCTTTACGGTTGAGGTAGGAGCGTTTGAGCACAAAGGCCGCCACAATGCGGTTACCCTAGAGCTGGGCAATTTCATTGCATTTTGAAGAACATTACCACCAACATATTCACTCTTTGAACAAACTTGGTTCAACTCGTTTGAATTCTTGCGTATCTATTTTTACATCTGGAGTCCATTTCGGATCCATCTCGCGATTAAAGTGGTTGTCTTTTAACACGCGTTCTTCAAACTCACTTGTTTAGTGTCACCCTGACAACCTCGCGACAATGAATGAAGAAGATAAAGGCACGATAGTGGTAAACAGTGGAAGCATAGCCAATGTTCACCAAAGTGCTCCAGAATCATCTCCTCTATCTTCAGTTCCTGATAACGAGCGTAACGACACCGCGGTCCAGGCAGATCAATTCTCAGACACGCCTGGTACATCACTCACCGGACAAGAGACAACACCATCCACCACACCCAAGAAGGCCAAAGGCAAGAGAAGAGTCGTCGTGAAAAAGGCAGTGAGAAAGTCAAAATGGAACGCAGACAATATTCTCACTGACTCAAAGTCACCTCTGGCTTCCGCTGATCTCAGAGCATGTCTTCTTATTCCTCAAGCTTGAGAAACTCACTAACGAAAATAGAGCATTTTGTCGAACCCGTTGGCCTGGGATATCCTTGAGAAAGAGGAGAAAGCAGAAATTCTAGCTCTGTTCCCTGATTCCCAGCACATACTCAGCGCTGGAACCGAAGATGCCCGTCCTGATTTTGCATCGCTCATGAACGATGACACCTTTCGCTACGACTGTGCTGCCTACACGGAAAACATTGTGCAAGGTCGACATGATCCCGAGTGGTTGGAACAGGCTTGGGCGGCCCACGAAAGACGAAAGATGGGAGATTTCGACGAATATTTGGATGACAAGTTCAAAGACGAATGGGAGGTTGAGCTACCGCCAGAGCTCAAAACGCACCGGAAACCTACTATCTCAAAAGAAGAAAGCGACGTCAAGATGGGGGGTGTTGAGCCAGTGCCGAATGGGAACGACAGCACCGCAGATACCTGCATAGAGGTTGACACGACGGATAAGAAAGAAAATCCCAACTCTGAAGATAGAACGGATGAGTTAGAGAAAGATGATGCGGTCAAAGAGGAACTAATGATTGTGGCTGCTGGGCAAGAAAACAGTTCAGCGATGGAGATCGATGGAGAAGACACAAAAGAGAAATCCGCCAAAGGAGAATGTATCATGGTCAAGAGCAATGTCGATTGATACTGCATTACCAATCGCTTATAGAAACCTCAGCCATGCCTCTATTAGCGGAGGTCAGAGCATATGTGCTTTATCTAGACCTCTAACTAAGTAAGTATCTCATGGTTGCGGGTACTTCCATCATGAGAGCGGGAGGAGGATGGGATGGGGGTGGCAGCGTGCAGATAGACATAGCACGACCCACTGAATTTTAGCAACATCCACCACAAACAAGATTCAGGCGTTAGAATAATTCATTCTCTTCATACGTCTAGGGACTCAATAAATCCTATTCAAACTCCAGTAACAATAACAAAGTGAAGAAAAAAGACAAGCTCGTCTTCATCAATACCAAATTTCCTTCTTTACTGGGCCTCTCAAGCCTGAGACTGAGACGTGCCCTTCGCAATAATGGCATTAACCTCGAATATCCACGCCCGATCGCACAGTCTTCTACTTTTACAGAAGCTCCTCAACCTCCGCGATGGCGCAAGTCCTCTCACTCTCGTAATCGATAACCTCGAGCAACCTGCCAGACCAGTCCTGGGCGAGTTTGTATCTCGAGCAAAGGTACATCTTCTTCCCTGACTGATGAGCGCCAGGATGACTGACCCAAATATCTCAGATCGCAAAGACACAAGTCATGTTCTTGTCGTTGGTAACGCTCAAGAAGCCACAAGATGCAGATGTTTTCATAAAGGCTATGGGCAGAGATCTCCAAGCTGTGCGTAAGGAGTTGTTGAATCATTACCCTGCTTTCAACCCACTGGTTGACAAGGGAAAGCCCACTCAGAGTAAGCTTTTGTAAAATTATTTATGAATGTATTGTTCTCCTTAACTAACTATTATCAGGGGCGGTCGTGGTCATCGACTCACTCAATGCTTTGGCCTCCTCAGCTCCTCAGTCGCTGGCCAGCTTCCTATCGAGTATCATCACACCCGCAGTCTCCATCGTCGCCACATACCACGACGATGTCCCGGTCGTACTACCGAGGTCATTCAGCGAGTATGAACCTCACCCTTTCACAGTTTTATGTCATCTAGCCACAGCTATCCTGCGTCTCACGAGTCTGTACCAAGAGATTGAGCGGCAGAAGGCAAGGAACAGAAGCATCCAGGAACCAGAATGGGGTCTGAACGAGGATCGGGAGGGAGTACTTGTTGGTCTTGGAGAGAAGGGCAAAGACAGAACTGAGGACAGTAACGGAGTTGTCATCTTTATGGAGCTACGAAGACGAAGCGGACGCACAGTTTCGGAGAAGTTCATTCTAGGTTCTAAGAGTTCTGCAGCAGCGCCTCTACCTGGCAAGGTATGCCTGCTTACCGACCACCCGATGTTTGCAGCACCAACGGATAGCGGAGAGACTGGAGAAGGAGAGGAGGAGCCCGAGAGTACCTTCAACCTCGGACTAACAGAGAAGCAACGCAAGGACCGGGAGGGTATTGTGTTGCCCTACTTTGATGCGCAAACAGATATTGGGGCGGGAGAGGGAGGCAGAATTTTGTATGAGATGGGTAGGGAGGATGACTTTGATGACGAGGAGGATGAGATATAGAAAGTAATCCGGTTTAAAAAGAGAATTGATGTATTATGAACTTATTGTAACTCTCATTTTGGGCTCATGTTGAAGTGCATAAAGCACACGATCCCAACCTTAACCAAGTGAGTTTTCACAATCTGAAGTAGACTTGAGTTTTCTTAAACTTATATATTACAAACATAGAAAACCCTCAAAAGGCACGCAACTGACTAACCAGAGTATGTAAATCATCAAGGACCCCATCTCGAAATATTATCTTGAGCTGGTATGCTAGGTCACTCGTTATCTTATCAGCACGAAGCTCTTCTAACATGCGCCAGCTCCACTACACCCATCAATCATACATACAAACGCCCAACCCTGGAACGAGTCAAAGCAATCAAGCGACGAACCTGCAAATCGAAATTCTGACAACAACCGGCTATTCATACATTCGAATTAAGCCCTCAACATAACTAATTGTTGATTTGCCTTGGCGTGGCTCAGTCTCGTGCCGCCTCGACGTCATCCCTTCATCGCCTGTCTTTCTTGACACGTTGTGGTAGCTCGAGGGTCTTCAAAGGGTCTTCAAGACACCGACACCGTCGCAACTCTCCCCTGCTATTCAACTCCTCCACTACAAACCGCGAAAATGATCTCCTCTACGCAAATATCGAGGCTTGATGGTGTGTTCTTTTTCTCTGCTATAGCGCAAGCACATGCACTGACATTATGCAAGGTCTCATGCTCTGCGCCTCGGTCGATGATGAACAGGTACATCTCATCTCCTATAAGCTATACCGCAGCTTTAAACTCACAGATGTCGCTACATAGGCCGAGTCCACTCTCGTAGAGACCAAGCAAAACGTGCGCCAAGTCCTTCGCAAGCTCACCCGCAACTCCGAGTCGCAAGCATCCATCGAGACGCCCAACCACACACTGCACTACCTTATCGACTCCGATATCGTCTTCCTCGCCATCTGCGCCCCCTCGTACCCCCGAAAGCTCGCCTTCACCTACCTGGCCGACCTCGCCCGCGAGTTCACCACCACCTATCCAGCCTCCCAGGTTCACTCGCCAGCCCTGAGGCCATATGCCTTCATGGAGTTTGACACCTTCATCTCAAAGACAAAGACCACCTACGCCGACTCGCGCGCCTCGGCTAACCTCGACAAGCTCAACGACGAGCTGCGTGATGTTACAAAAGTCATGACCAAGAACATTGAGGATCTGCTCTACCGTGGAGATAATCTGGAGCGCATGGGCGAGATCAGCTCGAGGCTGCGCGACGACAGCAAAAAGTACCGCCGGGCTGCGGTGCGTATTAACTGGGAGCTGCTTCTCAAGCAATACGGACCCATTGGTGCCCTTGGGTTCATCATTGTTTTCTTCCTGTATTGGCGGTTCTTCTGGTAAATGCAAGCGAGCTGTTTCTGTTTATACACACTTAATACGTACGTCTAGCTACTTTAAACGCATACTGATAATTCCTATCATCTAAGAGTTGCGACTTCAATCTTCAAGGACGTCTGGACCCGAGTGAAGCTTGCGAGTGAGATAGAGGGTACGAATATTCCACGCAGTTTATGCAATCAATTCATCTATCCATGTGCTTGCTTTTGCAAGCCTTGCTAAATCATAATGCTCAACCGCTCCTGAACCATGCTGCCTTACCGTGGTCATTGCGCGTGAGACTCCAAACTCCAAATCCCATCTGTTCTACCCAAAGCTATTCATGAAAGCGAAAAACACGAAATCTTAGTACCAAGCCCTGGTATTATCCGCCTGCTTCATACTACATTACTATGCAGTTATCTGAACCCGCCTGTGCTTGTGAGGTTGGCGCAGTCACCGTATGTTGCCATTCGAGGTGTTCCCGAAAGGCCTCCATGTCTTCGTAGCCCAGATCCGGCCGATATGCATCTTCGTCATCGTATTGCTCTTGAGGCTCTGTTGAATCCGCTTCACAATATGGACATAGTAGACCAGCTAGCCAGTCACGATGCTGTGGTGCCACATGATTGGCGATAGCTACTGGCGCAAAGACAACCTGCTTCTCCTGGTGTCCAGATAGAGTAAAGCCAGTCGCTTGCCAGTGGGGATTATCGGTGGTTGGTGATATTGTCAAAATCGGAGACGCAGCATCCTCTTGAAACGTTCGTATTGAAGGCATGTTCTCGATGTCCTCCCATACTATATGGCCGTCGCAGTAGTCGCACACAAAAGCAATGTCTCGATCACCGAAACGCTTGAACGATCCAATCGCATTGCAGAGTCGCAACTCCTCTCGGTATCTCCGCGAATACTCTGCTTCGTCTGGTACTGTTTTGTTAAGTGTCCACTGACGTTGTTGCCGGTAGACGAGGAATGCTCCAAGACACCTCGAGGATGATTCCTTTTCTGAGTTGTATATTCGTCGTGCTGCTCGACATTGTGCTCGGTGTAGTTTCCGTTGGAGAGAATGTGTTTCGCGCACCCAAATGGGGTTAATCGGACCGCCTGAGCGACTCCAGTCTTTTATTTGTTCGACGTGTGATGTAAATTGGGCCTTGAGAGCTTTCAACTCCTCGATGGATTCAACTGGTGGGCGAGTCAGCACATGGATACCTCAAAAGAAGCTGGCCTTGAGCTGTCCAGCAGGACATGCCAAGAACATCGAGGGACAACGTACATTTCCGGTCGGTCTCGTAGTATATCTGGCCATTGACCAAAGGCGCCAGCTCTTGAAAGTCCTTCTTTGCTTCATCAAGCGCAGCAGCAAGGGCATGGACCTGCTCGTGCTCGTCAGGGCCCCAATGGTTCTTGTCGGCCAAACTGAGTATGCGCAATCCTTGGGCGATGAGAGTTGCAATGGCCGCAAGCAATGACCCTACCGATTCGAGGCTGCTCATGATTTGGTTTCGAGTGTAGTGTTTGCGATTCCCCTCCGAGGGTCGCGAGGATGAGGGCGCGGGGTTGCGTCGAGGGATGATAACGTAAGCTCAAGACCTCGTAGATGGGTATGATTCGTAGTGTGAGGTAAAAGAAAACGAAGAGAGGTTGATATACGAAGTGTATATCTGTATATCACCCTCGTTGTCGCGGGGCGAGGGACAATTGCGGTCGGGGGCGGCGCATGAGGGTTTGTCGGCTTGAACCGGCGTCCCCCGGCTCGAGAGAAGAGGTTGACGAAGGAAGCTTGAGGTGACGGTAAAACAGAAGTAATAAGAGAGCCCAGATAAGGTGCGCATACGAACAATCGTTGGGCTGTGCTATTTATTTAGTTGCTTGTTTATGGTGAGCCGGGCAGAGCAACCAATGCGATGGAACGCATGAGGCTGAGCAAATGGTAGGTACGTAATTGGTGTAGACTGCAGCACTTTTTAGTTCAGGGTCTTTCCCTTAACGTCAAAGTGTCCCTCGTGAAGACGAGGCTGTGCAGCTAAGGAATACCGGGGTTGATTATTCAGACCGTCTGTTATAGAGTCCAGGGGGGTTATAAGAAGGATAGTAAGTAGAGAAGGATATGCTTAATAGAGAGTCTGTGTCTAACTACTTGTAGTTTTCTGTAACAAGATGAAGCGTGGCCTTCTGAGATCGAGTCTGAAACATGTAACTTGATACACGATACACATGCTGAGGCAAAAGCTGACGGGGACCTAGGCGTGAGCTCCTCCGCAAAATGACGGAATTTCCCTTACGGTGCAGGTCCCCTGTAACCTGTCTGCTATGACGCTCTAATTAGTGGGTCGGTGTTGAAACGGGCTGTGTTCTGGGTGCATTTCATTTGGGGAGTCGTATAATTGTCCATCTGTAGGGCTGTTGAGCGTTGACCAGAAGACATTCCCGGCTCAAACTAGGAGAGTATTAATTACCATAGACGTATTCAGAGAACCAGCAATTGCATAAATAATATTTAACTTTTAAACTTGTATTCCCTCTAACTGCCTAGATCAGAGGATATACTTTATTATCCAACTGAAAGTGGCGGACAATACCATAAGATCTGGTTCTGGAGATCAGATGTAGACCTCTGTTGAGCATCAAGCCAAGTTAATCTCCTCAGATCTTACTGCCGTTCATTGATTCACTTCCGCTTCTTGGCACTGCCGGTATCCGAGCCACTTGTCTTGGCTTCGGCCTTGACATCTTCAACCAACTTATCCTTGGCCTCCCCCTTGGCCTTCTTGTCATCAATAGCCTCATCCTCACCACCCTGGCCGAACTCGTTGACACGAGAGTAGTCAACGCGGTAAGCCCATCGCTGGTATATGTACACAAAGAAGATAACGTCGTCGCGAAGAGTCGCCAATCGATGCAGCAAAGGCATCTTGATAGTGAAGGCGAACAAATCATCAATGAAGGTGTTGAGGAACTTGTACATCATGGCCTTGGCGGGCATATGGGCAACACTCTTCAAGCGGTAGTTGATGTAGAGCGAGGGAATCATCATGAGAAAGCCGTACGCGTAGACAGATCCCACCAGAGTCGTAATGATGTAGGAGTACCACGACTTGTGCGAGTCGTAGTATAGCGAGTAAATACCGTACGCGATCAGGAGAGGAACGCCAGCGATATACATGTACTTGAAGGCGATCTCATCGTATTCCTTGGTCTTCTCTTCAGTCTCGGTCAACTGCTGCTTGTCCTCGAAGGCAATCGTGTAAGGAAGGTAAGATCCTGGTCCACCGGGACGGACGCGGACATTGACAACGGTAGTAATCTTCCAGAACTCGATGATAATACCCACAACCTGAGATCCGAGAATCATCCAGCTGGTGTTTTGAGAGTTGTCGAGGAGGTACAAGAAGATAACGGCCTGCATAAAGACATTGGCCAAGATGGAGCGGACAGAGATACCGACATTGTCCTTCTTCTTGCGGTAATGGGCAATATCGGATCCAAAGGCGAGAGTCTCGAGAATCATGTGCAGGATACTGACCACGATGGTGACACCAAGCAGATAAGGGTTGGAGTCAAGGAAAACTTCCTTGATCATCTCAATCTCAGTACCGTCACCGCCACCGGGAAGAGAGCCACCAAACGCAGCTTGACGAGCGGACTCCTTAGCATTGGTCTCGAGTGTAGACATAAGCTGGAATTGCCAGCCAGCCAAGTTACCAAGATCAATGCGGAGAGGAAGCTCCTTGACAGTGTCATTAAGAAGAGTCATTTGGTTCGTCAGTTGCCAGAAAGTGTTGACAAACAGAACAGGATCTAGTAAGTCAGTTACTGAATATCGGTTGCTAGCCGTTGTCACTTACAGTACCAGGCATTTTTGCCCGAGCCATCTCGTGCACCAGTGGCCTCAAGTCGCATATACTGTCGCATTTGAGGAGCCAGCGTGGCATAGTCCCTAACCCCCAAATCGGGGACGAAAGAAAGACTTGCATTAGGATGGTAGTAATTGGCAATGACAGGACCGTTCGGCTCATCTTCTACAGGCTCATCACGCTTGGGCATATCGTCGAGCAGGTTGCGTGTCTTGGCAACCTTCTTCTTAGGAAGATACTGGGTCAATGGCCAGGTGAAGTAGTATGCCTTGGACGTGTCGTAGCCAGGCTGCTTGGGATCGAGATTGCTTCCAGGAAGGCCAATATAGAAATGTCCCCAGAGAGTACCATTGTGCTGAACCGCAGGTGGAACCGTAAACTTTGTCTCGACCGTTCGCTTGTCGGTCTTGTTGCTCAGATGAAAATCCTTCTCTTGGAGCACAAGATATTCCTCGGGAACTTGCGAGATGGGATCCGGGTTGAACGACTGGGAGAGGGTCACAATGATGTCGACGTGGCTGTCTTGGGGCCAGATGGGCGCGATATTCTTGGGAAGGTTATGATACGTCGCACCCTCATTTAGCTCCTTCGGACGAAGCTCGAAAGGGGGGATACCCTCCACGTTGCCAGGGACTTTGATGGCCTCGCCTGTCTCGGGGTTGGTGATGGTGACTCCCTTCTGGTCCTTTTTCATGGCGAAGTTGATGGCCGCATTGAGGCCAAAGTAGACGGCGCCACCGAGAAGAAGCTTGTTAAAGCTGAAGCCCTGTGTATGGATTACGATTAGCCAATTTTTCGCAATGCCAAATCTCTTCGTGGTGCATTGCGATCACTTACACTTCCACCTCCCTCTCGCTGTTGCTCGCCTTGGCCACGAGGCAAGACTTGTGCTTCAGCCATCGCGCGTGTCTGTTTCTGTTATCGTAGAGAAATACAGACAAGATACAATGGGTATGAAGCCCTGCAAGACACTAACAAGATGCTAGAGTCGAGGTTGTTGGTTGTTGCACCAAGGATGAAACGTGTTTGGTTGGTCAAAATTTCTCCCAGAAAGTTGCGATCAGATGGAAATCCCCTCGCCTCCTTGACAGTTGACGTTGACGTGCTGCGGGCACCCACGAATAGAGATTGGCCACCAGAACACGTACCCCTGTACCCTTAGGGAAGAGGCGCCCAGGCCGTAGTCGGCTCGGAGATTGAGCACGTTGGAGCGATGCGTCCACTAAAAGAGAGCTTAGATACAGTGCATCAACCCCCCGCGCCTCAGCTAATGGGATGGATTGATTAGCTACAGGTCATGGCCCCGCCATTGAACGCATCAATGATGTCCAAGACAATGCTCACGATGCAAGATCCATGCTAAACCTGACTAACGTTAGGGGATCGTCCTGTCTTGCTAGAACACGCCTCATATCTCATCTTGTCCAGCTGACCTCTCTCAGCCATGCCATCACCCAGTAGCATAACTCACAGGTGACGGTTGTAGTGGCACAACTTACATGAGGTGCACCTCTAAAGACGTGGCTCCCACCTGTAATCAATAGCCCGATAGGTCGTCGATAGAATGATTGTGTTGGTTAACCAAGTACCTGGTTGAGCTTGTCATGACGAGATTTCCTATATAAGCAACGGCCTTCTATTGGTTTCATTTCTTTGTTTCTTGTTCTTTTTCTTTTTTGAAACCTTGAATATCTCATCTTTGACTCATCCAAAATATCCTTAGACTCCTTCCTCCCTTGGCATATAATTCTCACTGCGTTGACTCACCGAGACAAGCGTCGACTACCGCATCCACCATTGTTCTCACTCTTATATAAGGACAAACATCCCAACCTGAGCAATATTAATTCTTCTTCCCAAAACAAAGCACAAACACTCATCTCTCACTCCCATAACCTAACTATCTCTGTCTCATAAACAACTCAACAAACTACCATCATGACTGCGGATAGCACCATCCCCTCGCAAACTGCCGTTGCTGCGCAGAACACATCGAACGGCCACCCCCGAACCAAGATTTGTGTCTACTGTGGTGCTGCCCCTGGTGCGAGTACTGCTCATCTCGAAGCTGCCCGTGCACTTGGAAAGACCATGGCTGCCAACAACATCGACCTAGGTGAGTTGCTTCCTCGAGGCGGTCCGCTACATAGTCGCGGGCCGCCGACCGCCGTTCTCCGGGTAAGCACCCATCATGACTCGGATAACTAACACCGGGCAATAGTTTACGGAGGCGGAACCGTTGGACTCATGGGCGAAGTGGCAAAGACTCTCTGCTCCATCAATGGCCCAGAGTCTGTTCACGGCATCATCCCGGAGGCACTTGTCAAGTATGAGCGAGATGGCACTTATGGAACTGTCAACGAGCACAACCACATCGTGCCTGAAGAGTCTGTCTATGGCCGTACAACGGTCGTCAAGGACATGCACACTCGAAAGAAGCTTATGGCTGAGGAGGTCTTCGCCGGTGGTCCCGGCAGTGGCTTCATCGGCCTGAGTGGCGGATTCGGTACCATGGAGGAGATCTTTGAGACCACCACCTGGAACCAGCTTGGAATTCACAGCTGCGGTATCGTTCTTCTCAACATCGAGGGATACTGGGACGGTATCGTTCAGTGGATGGATCGTGCTGCTGAGCAGGGCTTTGTCAAGCCTGCTAACAAGGGTATCTTGGTCAATGCCGACACCGCCGAAGGCGCAATCAAGGCTCTACGTGACTACAAGGTCTCAGATGCCATCTATCAGCTTCAATGGGGCAGCCAGTAAGAACTTGGAAGTGAGGCGCTGAATCTGGATCCGGGGTATAGTTTCCTTTAGAAGGCGGTTGGGCGTTTCGACGGCGCTTGAGTGTATGGTTCTTTACCCGCACTTCTGGGATAGGATAGACTAGTGCTGCCATGAATAGACGAACTGATGACCCATCATTCTTTCTCTACTTTCGTCTCTTTTGAGCATGCGTAGCACTCATGAAAGCTGCATTTGCAGTGTGTATTCGTACATGATCTAACCAGCTAGTAACCTGACGCCACGAATATCCGCTTCATCATTTGCACATTTAGCTGTCAACGTCCATACCCTCACCCTCACCTTCAGCCTCATCTCCGCCCTGCTCGGCAACGCTCTCGATCCATGGTTGCACCTCGAATCCATCGTAGAGCTTGAAGGGCTCGACCTTCTTCTTTCCATCTACTGTGTTGACGCCCACCACACCGACTGATAAGTTCTCCACTGTCAGCTCCTTGTCTTGAACCAAACTCTCCTTCAGAGCCTTAAGACCGTGCTTAACCAGCTCCTCTCTCGAACAGTCGGCAAAGGCGTCGATGTTACGTTCGAGGTATGTTCGAGCCATTTGGCTTCGCGCACCAATGGCAAAGGCGAGCATCTCCTCTGTCATGCCCGAGGGCTGGAACTCGAACAGGTGGGGTCCACGCTCGTCAACACCAGCAACCAGGAGTCCAACACCGTACGGTCGCTTGCCGTACTGCTGGGTGTTCATTTGAGCCTTCTCGCCGATCATGTCAACGAGGGATCGAAGGGGGATGGCGCGGCCGTAGGTTAGTCGGTGTCCTAGGCACTGCTGCTTCATGAAGTTGGAGAGGACGCGGGCATCGGAAGTAAGACCGGCGATGGCGATACCGGCATGTTCGTCGACAGTGAAGAGCTTCTTTTGGTAAGAGGAAAGTTCCTCGGCGTTTCGCTGTGAGAATGAGAGTTAGCGTTGGATTCAATCCTGGGAGTTTATATATGGGACAAGAGATTATGAAGGAGCAGAGGAGGTGTACCTTGACAGCGCACAGGACGGCATGGGTCTTGCTAGCAATACCGACAACGACTGAACCTTGCTTCACTGCCTCGGCGGCATATTCGATCTGGAAGATTCGGCCCTGGGGCGAGCTTGGAGACGGTTAGCTTGTTAAACGTACTGCGGGATCGAGTTGATAGGTTAGGTGACGTACAAGGTAACGGAATCGTTATCGTAGTTGTTTCTGAACATGATGAGTTATCAGCTGCTCGAGCAGCGTCGCGTTTGATGCGGTTGGTAAAGGCGTGTAGAGCAGAGGTAGTTATGCGCGGAGATGTTGTAATGGCGAGCTTTGCGAGAGGTGGGTTGTGTTGTTTAGAGCTCGGGTTTGTCTAAGGTGGAAGGTGATGACAGAAATGCAGGGATCAAGAAGAAAGGACCTGGGGACATTTATAGGTGACTGAGGGAAGTTACACTCCTCCGCCTTGTATTTTTCTTTGCTCTACCTAACCCTTAACTTTATCAAGCCCAGGCTTTCCAAATTACTTTTCTAAGATCAGAATTCAATATGGTCTACGATTCCTCAAACGTTATAATCTTCAATGCTGGCAGACCCAAATCTCTACGGACCTATTGTCAACCCCTCCAAGAAAGCGAGGAGAGTTACGAAGCTCGAGCTGCCTACCTACTAACGTTAGCTACAAGGCAACTCCAGCTTCGTACCTACCTGGCTGCGCTAGGACCTGCAGCGTAGCCTCACTTTCTGCCGTGGATCATCCGCCACACCGCCTGCCTAATTGACGACCTCTTTGAAGACATCCTTGGATATGGCTGTATTTAAATTATCATCGCAAACAACAGGTCAATCCATGGTTTTGGATGATTCTGGTGACCATGACTGCTCAGGCTACATATGTTGAAAGCTCGTTAGAGCGGCCAGATCGATTGGATCCCTAGCCATGAGGTGTACGGGGCTCTCAGCATTCTTCGTGACGAATAGTAACAAGTGCAAATGTGATATATGAGGATGATCACTTTTTTTATACAGTTTTACTCCATGTCTATTTAAGTCTCAGGCCCTTCGGCATCACTGAGTTTTCAAACATCATTCGAGAAGCTTGTTTGGTGCATACGTAGTATGCTTCATTGAACAGAGTTGAGCTTCCGTATTTGGCTTTGGCTTAACGATGATTGAATAGCCTTATTCAAGATCTCGAAGAGATAGACCAAGACGCAAGATTACATAAAAAAAAGAATACAATTTTCTTCCACACATTGAGGCGTTATTTTGGCCTTTGGCTTTTTGCTTAACTAGACTTTTTGGTTGAGTGGCCCTCTGCCCATAAGCTACTAATGCTATAACCATATAATAGAAACAAATAAACTTGTTTAGACATCTAGTCTGTATTTATATATCCCCCTCGATACGTGCACTTTGATATACCTAACCGTGTATACTATTTGACTTGGTGACTCGCTAAGTGGTGCGGAGCCAGCAATTGACTGGCAGTTCTACCTGAGCGAATAAAGACTGCAGTTAATAGGCATCATGGTTTACGAATCCTTTTGAATCCTTCCGTCAAGGATAAAAGCTCCTTTCATTATCAAAAGGCATCAACATTCCCCTCATTTTCCATAAATTCATTCGTCGTGTCGTACCAAAAAAAACACCTCTTGGAGTCATACGTTTGAATACCGGATCCCTCTTGCCGGCATTTCTATTGGATGACTCACTCACTGTTACTTATATGTTTGTAGCTTTTAGACAACTCCAATTTTTTTTAGTCTTTTGATTATACACAATCTGCATATCGCACCACATCAGCATCATGCCTTCCAGATCGGACATCACATACTTTGGTGCAGGCCCTGCGCTTCTGCCCACCGAAGTCCTCGAGACGGCTGCAAAGGCCCTCGTTGATTATGAAAACACTGGCCTGGGTCTTGCTGAGCACTCTCATCGTTCAGAGCTGGCTACCAATATCATCAACGAGGCCAAGGCTGATCTCGCTTCTTACATTGATATTCCTGAAGACTATGAGGTTCTTTTCATGCAGGGTGGTGGCACTGGAGAGTTCTCCGCTACCATGTACAACCTTGTCGGTGCATGGGTGACCAAGAGGAAGGCCCAGGTTGTCGCCAGCCTTAAGGTACCTGAGGATGATCCTCGAGTGGAGCAGGAACTCAGGAATGCTGTTGAGAAGGAGCTTAAGGTCGACTACATCGTCACTGGTGGCTGGTCTCAGAAGGCTTCTGAGGAGGCTGCGCGACTACTTGGTCCCGAGCACGTCAATATCGTTGCTGATGCCCGCAAGATCAACGATGGCAAATACGGCAAGATTCCTGAGGAGAGCACATGGAATCTCTCCAACAATGCTGCCTTAGTTTACTGGTGTGATAACGAGACTGTCGAGGGTGTCGAATTTCAGGGTTTCCCCCAGTCTCTGGCCCCTGGCCCTGACGGCAAGGGTCCCATCGTTGTATCAGACATGTCTTCCAACATTCTCTCAAGGAGAATACCTGTACAAAACTTCTCAGTTATCTTCTTCGGCGCTCAGAAGAACCTTGGATCCACTGGTATCACTGGTGTCATTATCAAGAAGAGTCTTCTCCCCCCCAAGACTCCTCAGCCTTCTGCTGCCCTACTTCGAAAGCTCGGCCTTCCTATTCCTCCTATCATCTTCAGTTACGAGACTGTCGCCAAGAACAACAGTCTCTACAATACCCTTAGCATCTTTGAGTGAGTCAACCGGCGAAATGACAATAGTGACCCTACTGACCATAAACAGTGTCTACATTGCTGGCCAAGTCCTCAAGAAGTCTATTGCTACCTATAACAAGGTCGAGGGACAGGAGGCTGTTTCCGCCAAGAAGGCTCAGATCATTTACGCCGCTCTGGATGCCCACCCCGATGTGTACAAGGTGGTCCCTGATAAGTCTGTCCGCTCGAGGATGAACATCTGCTTCCGCATCACCAAGAATGGTGACACTGATGCCACTGAGAAGGCTTTCCTCAAGGAAGCCACTAGTGTAGGCCTGACTGGGCTCAAGGGCCACCGCAATGTTGGTGGTATTCGCGCCAGCAGCTACAACACCATTCCTCTGGAGGGTGCCGAGAAGCTTGCCAAGTTCATTGAAACATTTGCAACTTCTTAAGAAGCCAGGTGGAAAGCGTACCTTAGTTTGATGAGTTTATGGAATGGACGGATGCGTGTACGGAAGTGATAGAGGTTCATCTCATAATGGAGACCGAATTCAACATACTCCATATTACTACAAAATAAAAACAAAAGGAATAAACTGTAAAATGCACATTGCGGATGAAGTTGATCAATACCTGCCTAGGTACCTATTGTATGTCAATAAAATTATGAGTTGTATTAGGGGATACCCGCGCTATAAGAGCCGTCAGTGGGCCCCTGAACACTACAACTCAACCTAGGTACCTAGGTACTTACTTACTACTACCTACCTAGCGGACGCACCCTTATTTTTAACAGGGCTTTAACAGGGCTTACATAAGGGTTTTGGCGTCTTGAAAGGTCTACTACAGGTCTTTCAATTTGAATAATTAGTTACAATACTAAATCTTTAAACTGACAGGCTATTTATCTTAAAAACAGGCTATTTATCTTAGAGATTTTAATAATCCTGATAGGTTAATAAAAACTGATATTTTTATATTAGTTATTTCTCTTTAACAGGCTAAATAATTCATTATATTAGTATATCTTTTAGGATATTAATCTATCTCTTTAACCGGCATAAGACTATAAAATATTATATACCCCGCTTTTTTATAGATACCTATAGGGTATATAAAGTTCCTATTAGATAGCTTTTTCTTTTAATACTATTAAAATTATTAAAATCCTTATATAAATTAATTATAATAAGTCTTAATTAAAATAATAAGCTTTTAAAAGATATATAATTTTATAAATAATTATAGCTTTAATAGCCTACCTTCTTAGGTAGTTATTAATAACCCTATTTATATACCTAACCTTCTGCCTAAAAAGGGCCGTAATAATAATTTTTAACCTTTTAAGATAAAAGATTATAATTTTTAAATTAATCCTCTACCTTAGTAATTACTTAAATTATTTTAGCTTTTTATATTTATTTTTTTTATATAGTTATAAATTAGATATATTAATAACTAGGCTTTTTTTTATATTAAAAATGGTATTATTAATAACTAAAATATCCTTATTTTTAATTATTTATACTTATAGGCTTAGAAAGGTATCTTTACCGTAATGGCTTATATATAGCTTAATATCTTTATTTACCTAGGAATTTATAAAGAAATATTCCTTAAAGACTATTAAAAGGCCTCTAGCCTAGGAGATTAATACCCCCTTTATCTATTTATAAAGTTTATATTATTATAGAAATTTAAGCTAATTATATAGTATTTCTATACTTTTAATTATATTAATTTTAATATAAATAATAAAAAAGATTTTCTAAAGACCTTTTAAGTAATTAAAAAGTAATTTAATTATATATAAAAGGTATTTATTAAGCTTTATTTTTTAAAGACTAATCTAACTATAAATAAGTATATAGTCCTTTTTATAGATAAATTAAAATAGATAATACTTATTAAGGAAAAGTCTATATTAATAGGCTTTAAAGTCTAGGTTATTATATAATAAGGTTACTTTTTATAGTAATTTTAATATATAAAGGTATTATTAATTATAGCTATAATAATTAAGCTAAAGGTATTAAAGCTATATAATAAGAAAGGAAAGTTATAAATTAAGACCCCTTTTAATAATATATAAAGTATTATAATTTACTTACTATAAAGGCTAATAATAGTAATATATTATATCTTTATAGATAATCTTTTTTCCTTATTATAACTTTTTTATCTTTTTTAGTAATTTAATTATAAGGCTATAGGTATAATATACCTTAATTATAATATTATTACTATAATAAAGTAAATTAAAAAGACTAAAAAGCTTTTTAATAGCTAGCCTTTAATATATAATAAGGTATATCTAATCTTAATAATAAATAAATAGGTATAGATAGCTTTATTTATATTTTTTTTATTAATTTATTTTTTTTCTTTCCTTTTAGGTTCTTTAAGTTATTTAAAAAGATAGCTTTATAATCCTTTTTTTTATAATTATATATAATAAAGCCCCTCTTAATTATATATTAAAAGAGAGGAAATTACCTATTAAAAAAGGTATAAAGGTAAAGATATAATACCTAAAGGAGGTCTTTAATAAAGATTAGGCTAAAATAATCCTTATTTTTTTTATTACTATTTAATATAATAATAAAATAAATTATATAAATTATAGTAATTAAATAAGATTTTATATTTTATATTAATATTATTTTTAATATAGCCTTTAATAAATATTATTTTAGTCTTTCCTTTTTAATATTATATTTATAAATAACTTTATTTTATAAAAAAAAACCTAATAGTCTTATTAAAAGCCTTATAATATATTTTAAGACTAGAAAGAGGCTATTTATAATACTATTTTTAATAAATATAGTATTAATAGTAATATAAAGAAAAGATATTATATAAAAAAGGAAGAAAATAATAAAGATCTTAAAGTATAGTAAATTTATCTATAAAGAGATATTAATTATATTAATAAAGGTAAAAACTTTACCTACCTAGTTTATAAAGGCTATAAGTAAGGGTAATTATAACCCTTTAAAAAAAGAAATAAAAAAAGAGGTTATTTATAATTAATATTAGGAAATTAATGGCGGTTATAGACTTAATATAGCTATAAAGAATATAATATAGCTATTTATAATATAGTAAGTTATTAATATTTCTATTATATACTAAATTAGGTATATAAAGATATACCTTAAGTTATATTAATTTTAATTAGCTCTAGACCCCTATCGTAACCTCGTTATAGTCTTATGCCGGTCAAAGAGATAATAATAGCCTTGTATCAGTCATGTTAAAAAGAGGGGGGGCGTCCGCTAGGTACTAAGGTACTATACCTACCTAGGTACTTCAGGTTGGGCAGGTTTTGCTCACTTGAACCAGTAAAGCTTTAGCTAATACTCTATTCATTCAACAACATCAATCTCAGTCTCTGTTTAATATTTAATACAATCGGGATAAAATAAAGTGAGAAAATACATTCTCTACATAATACGATTTGCCAATGCTCAGATGCAGTCTTCGGCCGAGGAGACTCACTTGCAGAACGAGTCGTCCCTCTCAAATATTTTCAATACCCATAAGCCATTCCATCAACCGAGTTTCACCAGTCTTCTTGACATATCATGACGCAAACTCCTTGAGGGTATTCTCGCAGCAATCATGGCATACTCAAGGCTCTAAAGCTATATCAAGGCTCCCGACGGTGGACGACACAATTTATGCCTTATCAACGGCACAAGGCCGGGCTGGTATCGCAGTGATTCGCATTTCTGGTCCATCATGTCTTGAAGTAAGCCCTTAGTATCATTTCTAACACATCTGCTAACTTGGAATCCAAGATTTACAAGGCACTTTGTCCGTCTAAACCATTGCCAAAACCGAGATATGCAACTGTTAGATCCCTCTATGATCCCCAGGCCGATGTGAAAAATGAGCGGGTTGTCCTAGATTCAGAATCTCTCATTCTTTACTTTCCCAATCCAAAGACCGTGACTGGCGACGACGTCCTAGAGTTGCATGTTCATGGGGGATCAGCCACGGTCAAGGCGGTGTTGTCAGCCATACCGCGGTGTTCCACCACCACACATCGTATTCGATACGCAGAACCCGGGGAGTTTACGAAGCGAGCCTTCTTCAACAATCGTCTTGATCTCGCTCAGATTGAATCTCTGAGTGACACCCTGGCGGCAGAGACCGAACAGCAACGTCGCGCAGCCGTGCGAGGTAATTCTGGTGCCCTTGGGCGGCAATACGAGGCGTGGAGAGAACAGCTGCTGTTGGCCCGCGGGGAGATCGAAGCGTTGATTGACTTCTCGGAAGACCAGCATTTTGACGAGCCGCAGTCGGAGCTTTTGCAAAATGTGACTGCTCAAGTCGCTAAGATGCTACACAGCATCGAGTTACATGAGCAGGGAAGTCAGCGAAGCGAACTTTTGAGAAGTGGTATTCGTATTGCGTTGCTGGGGCCGCCCAATGTCGGTAAAAGCTCTCTCATGAATCTGATCGTAGGAAGGGAGGCTTCCATCGTGTCTAGTGAAGCAGGGACGACCCGAGATATTGTAGAAGCAAGCTTAGATATACGGGGCTATTTATGTTCATTTGCAGATACGGCGGGATTCCGATCCAGGGATTCTCATATGATCAACGAGGCTAAGAGTGGCGCAATTGGGGCCGTGGAGGAAGAAGGAATACGACGAGCGAAACAGCGTGCCCTAGATTCGGAGCTTGTCGTTGTCCTTGCGTCAGTGGAGGAGAATCCAGAAGGATTCATTTTGCAATACGATGAGGAAACACTCGATCTTGCCGCCGGGGCTGAGGACTGTCTTATCGTCGTCAACAAACAGGATGCCATTGGCAAGGCAGAATTCGAGACGCTCGCTCAGGATTTTCGAAACGTTGCTCTAATTCGTGCCCCCAAGCTAGCGGCGGCGGAGCTCGTGGCTATTTCGTGTAGGGAGGCTCAGACAGCGACATGGCAAAACACGGATCCAGGCGGTATTCAGACCGTGATCACCAAGCTCGTGGCATCCTTCGAGAAGATGACAGCAATGCCCGTTGATCTCCAGGATTTGCTAGGTGTCACGGAGCGTCAGCGCCAGCTTCTTTTCAAGTGTCGTCAACATTTGGAGGATTTCATGGCAGAAGCCACCCCTGACGAAGGTTTGGACGCCGATACTGTCCTCGCAGCCGAGTATCTGCGGTATGCAGCGGATTGCCTCGCGCGTATCACAGGACGGGGAGAGTTCGGAGATGTTGAGGATGTGCTGGGGGTTATTTTTGAGAAGTAAGTTCTGACAAAGGTGTTGATGTATAACAATATGAACTAGATGCTGACTTGAGACGTGTTAGATTCTGCGTGGGGAAGTAAGCGCTCGGGGACCAAACAATGGTTGAAAAGAACAATTGTATAAGAAAAGATTTCTATTTTCCGTCAAGGAAAGTTCTATAAGTAAAAACGCCGGTCTATGTGAGTTGAAAAGATCCGAGTCTGAGATACTGGGGTGTGGTCTTAAGAGCTAAGAAAGGAAATGAAAGAAATGTAAACATTGATAATGATAAAGGAAAGGAAAGATACCATGCTCGCTTCTATACCATGCCAATTCCAATGCTGTGTGACAAAATCCCAACGATGCTATGCTTTGCTCCCATCTTTTCCAACTCGTGATATGCGATGCTGCTTGTATAACCCCATATCATCCAATGCTCATGCTTGTTCCCAATGCCAACGCTGATGCCGATGATGATGCTGATGCTGATGAAAGCCAATGCCAATGCGTGAAGAAAAATAAACAAAACTCCATGCCTATGCTGTTGAATGCAAATGGTCTAAAACAGAAGAACTCCCCATCCATGCTAGCGCTGCCGCTGTGTATATATGCTTTTGAGAGAAGTGGCTGACAAAGTGAAGAGAAGATTGGAATGCCTTTCTCTTTTACTCTTCATCGTCACTAGGGCCATTGTAGCCTGAGCGACCCTTGTTGCCCTTGGAAGAGTCGTCGTCGTCAGGGCTGTTGTAGCCGGAGCGACCAGAGTCTCCCTCCTCAGGCTCGTTGTAGCCAGATCGGCCGCGGCTGTTTGTGGGCTTGGATTCGGAATCATCGCCGTCCTTATTGTAGCCTGAGCGGCCGAAGGAGCGGGTGGTGGGAGCAAATGTGAGGGTGAAGGCAGCCATTGTGAGTGTGTGTTGGAGTTGTTTTGAGGTTGGTGTAGATGTTATAGTGTAGTTGTGACTGAGGTTGTAACTTGAGCTGTAATTGTAGTTGTAGTTGTGTAGAAAGACTAGACTTGTAGAGTTGTAGACTTATAGGGTTGTAGAGATGGTTGTGTGTATAAGTGATTAGAGTTGTAGAGTGTTGATGCTCTGAGTCTGAGATGAAACTGTTTGTTGATGGTGATGATATTTTGAAACTTGACTCGGAAGACATGACAGTTATATACAGATTGACTCAACTACGAAACAACAGGAAGCCCCCAACAGGAACTAGGAACTCTCGGTAAGGTACCCAAGAGAGAAACACGGTGGAAGCGGCTGACGCCTGGCCGTGTCGTCGTATCATGACGATGACGATCAAAGCAAAAAGACTTCAAAAGATGCACGCCCCCATTGCAGGGGACGTGGAAAATAGAAACAACGCTATGCTCCATACGCTAATATGCAGCGCGCAGTCATGATGGTAGTCATAGTCAGAGGGTAGAATCAGAATGGAACCTTCTCTGTGTCTCTGAGCGGAAAAGGCACAGGCACACAGAGAGAAGGTTAGGTTAGTTAGTACTAAGTTACTAAATCCTTGGGCATGGTACCTGTAGTGGCACACCAAGTCTGCGCCATGTCGCCGAAGCTGACAGGGGGGGGGGGGGCATGCACCTAAGCCCGTGAGTGGTGGAGGAGAGACAGCGTAGGGCTGAGGATGCTCGAGGGGACCTTGCAGTTGCAGTTACAGGGGTTCACCCGAAGGTGAGAGGAAGACACAGAGAGCCCAGGACACGGGGCCGGTGTGCGGAAGTGGAGGTGAAAGACCCGGGCTGTATCAAGTCGAACTGCTGCGTATTACTGTTGCATACAGTACATACCTACCGTAAGGTAAGGTCAGGTACTTTATTACTTGGTGCTTACGGGGGAGGAATAGGTAGGGATTGGGATTCGGGGGCTTGGACAGGGAGTACGGATAATGATAGTGTAATAAGCCACAGCCTCACCTCAAGAAACACCCCCTGGCCCTTGTATCTCTGTCTGTCTGTCATCCTAGGTCTTGTTCCTCCACGGCTCTAGCCACGGAACGGAGACGGAAAGATAGGTAGGTACTACAGTAGATGTCATGGTCCATCATAATACCAACAGCTCGTGATATTCCCGAGTCCATGAACATGGTTTAGATTTCTCCGTCTTGGGATGGAGTTGGTGTAGTGACGACTGACGACTGACGACTGACAACCAACGGAGCTTAGATACGTAAATACGCATTTTACACCATCACTTAGGTACTTATTCGTATCAATAATCATCTCGTGCATGCTCAATTGCGCAACACAATCCCGGTGATACATTTGCGAATCAAGAAATAGACGTCATAAAAGGGCTGACAAATGAGTTCGGTGTGCTTGTGATATGGAATAATTCCAAACCAAACTCCGACTGACTCTGGAGGTTCAACGTTGGCAATAGATACGCAAACGCAACGTATAGCAATCGGCGGAGTAGAAAAATGATTAGGAATTTGTAATTTGCAATCAATTCCGCATCAAATCCGACAACACCTTACGTCAATCTGCTGCGTGTCCTTCCCCCCCTACACCGTAATAGAAAACTCTCCGTCACATGAACATTTTTCAACATCTTTGTTAAAAGGTTGCCTAAACTACAAGACATTTACCCTAAGGCATCATGATACGCATATCAGTCATCATGCTGCACTGATTATTTTGTCAGCCTCTTAGTCATCCCTAGCTACCTTCCTCAGGCTGTCACCCCCCAAATGGCGGCTGCAGTCAGTAATGACACGCGACTTCCTCCATTGGCGTGCATCGGCCAAGCCCGATTTCCCGCCAACCAAATCTGCCCCGGATTCCGCCTTTTCGTTACTCATCCCCCACCTACCTACGCAAGCATCTACCGAATATTCCGCCTTTTCTTACCGAGTACCAGCTCTTCTATCTATTGCTATTACCAGCATCATCTCTATTCTTATCGTGACTCATCCTGTATTTTCCAAAAGAACCTTGTAAGTTACTGTGCATCTGCATGTGTTCGACAAGGCTCTTTCCCAACTCGTGGGGGCAGAAGAAACCGAATGAAACGTCACAGTCCAAAAGAGACTCGGGAAACAACCTCGACTTACATACACCATACGCTCAATACTTTAGATGCATGGCCCATGAGGTAATCGTCAACAGCAAATAGCAAACACCCCTTGATCAGCCCCAATTGCGTTCACCGGGAATGTTTCGTTCCGGACTGCAACATCCCTAGTCACTTTTTCTCTCTCTCTCTATTCACCCGTCTTATCCATATACCCAAGACTCCAGGGCCCCAGGTCCCCCCTCCTTGGTCGGTCATCGCGGCCTCCCAGTGCCATGGGCCCTAATTTCTGAGCATCCCCGTCTTGCGAATCTCACTGAGATCTATGGTACCGCACGCCATTGGTCAGACCGGCCAATCCGCCATGTTACGCGGCTGTTGCAAATGACGGACAAGCTGAAGCAACAAACACCAAATGACAAAACCAACTCCGTCTTTCCTTGGTATCACTACCACCCATGTCCAACATCCATATTCAAGGCAGCAATTTGCAATCATAAAATCACCTTTCACATAATAATTCCGACTCTTTCAACCGCACAAAACAGCCGCAATGCGATGCCGGATCCTATTCCTGGACCTGCCTGCCGCACACCATCAACACCAACATCAATACCACCCTCGTCAAAAGATTAAGCGCTTTAAAAATAGAAGCCAAAAGTTCATTGGGCAATTGACGCGCCGGCGCTTCATCTGACTGTTTTCGCTTCGGTAGCTCAACGGCATAGCCCTCCAACGTGCTCCAATTTACCCAATCACCGTCCATACCAGCCACACTCGCCAGACTCACCACCACGAGGCATTCTTCACCAAATCAGCCTTGCAACCTAAACTTGAACCTGGCACCAGTTCCTTGATCCACCCCTAAGGCCTAGTCTAGGTTGCAAGATAGGGGACCATGTCCCTGCCCTGCCGCATTGTCTCCGTCCAAAACATGATTTTAATTGGTGGCGCCTGCTAATGATCCACGTTTCGTTTCTCGAGCTTAGACCGCCCCCCGGGGCCATGTCTCGGGAAGGATTATAACGCCTGTCAGTGTGTGTTGCAGGGATCTTTCGGGCGGCAATGATGTCGGCCGAAGCCAGATTGAGTTTGAAGACACATACAAACTTCCAAGCTTGATGCATACACACATACATCTCTTGATCTTGGTCCATTGCTAAGAATGGTTGCACATGCGGCTTACATGTCTCGGCAACTAGGTACTCTGCAGGACCGGCCGTGACTGGCAACAGACAACTCAGGCTTACATCTCGACGTTACTCATTCTGGAACACGATCTAACTCTATTGCTGTGATCCCGCTGACTCTGACTAGAACACATTTCCTCTTTTCGGTCTACCGACAACCCTCGGCTGTTTAATCAAGTTCCGCCGGTGTCACCAACCACTGACAGCCTGTCGTCCAGTTATGGTAGACAGGCTGTAGTCAGCCATCTGCAGCCATGAACCGCGGAAAGGCAACCGAGTCAGATCATAGCCATCCGCTCCACAATGCCATGGGCATAAAGTTCTTGAGAACTCTTCCCCTGACTTACCTAACATGGCCCGATCATTCGAACCCTGCTCACAGCCTCAGCCTCAGCGCCCCCAAGCTACACATGGTTCAAGCACGCGGTACGACCCGTGGGGATGTATTTGCTAAGTCATGCCTCTGAGTAATAGCCAGCCAATGGCCGGAATGATAATTTATCATATCCATGTTTCCTTCCACGCCACCCTGTTGAGGCAACCCAGCCTTACACCTAGATGCACCATCCACACTTAGAGCTCGTTCTTCACAGGGACCTCCTTACTGGCTTCGTCCGTAACACCATCCTTGGCAGGCTCCTCAGTGGTGTCATCCGCAACGGCAGCCTTAGTAGGTTCCTTGGCGGTGTCTTCCACAACGACAGCCACAGGGGGTTCCTCGATAGGATCATCCATGGCCATGATCTTGACAACAAGACTGGTCCATCCAGTGAAATGCTGCGTTCGCTGTCCGGCGCCTGTGTCCGGGTGGTACTGCTCCCAGGCGAAGCCTGTTTCTTCCCAGCTCTTGTATACCGTATCGACAAGGTTCTTGCGAAGTCGCGAAAATAGATCCTTTGCCTTTGTCCTGTACGGGCCTTCCTGCGAAGCGAGGTTCTATGTGCACATGTTAGTCTTTGTATCACTTTGACAAGGGACCTGTTAGGGCATCTTACGCGGAGCTGAGACACGGCTAGGTAGTTCATGGGCATCCAGACAGGGCTGCGCCAGTAGTTCTCGCCGGTGTTGTAAAATTTATCCTGCTTGCTCAGACTGCGAATGCCGTGCGGGCTCCAGAGGTGCTCCTCGTCGCCGATGAGGTCCAGGATTTTGCCCAGCTTGGGGTCGTCAGCCTTCATGAGGCCAACGAGGAAAGGCGTTAGGGAGATATAACCCTTGTGGCATACGAGCGCGTGTTCCTCAAAGTCGTCAAGTGTTGCATCGCAGTAGCAGCCATGCTCCTCGGACCAGTGAAGATCATTGAGGTTGTGCTCAATGCCGTCTAGGTTCGTCCTATACTCATCGACATCCTCGGCCATGCCGAGGGCGTCGGCGATATTCATGAGAGACTTTGTCATTAGACCAACCCACGACATAAGATCGACATGCAGCTCGGCCGGAGAGGGGGGCTGAGGTCGGGGATAGTCATCCAGGCCACTGGTGAGGATATGCTCTTCAGTACGACCCCTCCACCTGTATGCCTCCTTGGTAGAGAACGCCACACGATCGTAGCTCTTGATGTCACCACGCTGTGTCCTGCGGAACCAGTCATATTGACGTTTCAGAAGAGGATACAACTTCCGCAAATAGCTTTCGCCAAGCTCAATGTTGTCAAGGTGGGCGGTTTGCAAAAGGTCCGCCCCCAAGATGCGCTCCTTTTTCTCAGCCCCAGTACCATTGGCGGCGCGGAGGCGCTCCATAAAGCCCTCAATGATGAGGAAGAGAGTTGGGGGGTTCGCGTAATGGGGGAATTGGACTTGGAACTCAGGAGGCACTTTGCTACGGGCTTCGTGGCCCAAGATTTGCTCTCTAGCAATCCAGCCATCTTCGTCCATAGTATTGTACCAGCTCTTGACAATATCAAGTGTAAGGTCAATATCCCAATCAGCGATCGGAATCAGGTGAAAGCCCTCATCCCACAGGAAACCGCGAGGGAAGAAGGGCCGAGAGGGAACACTGGTGAAAAGTTCATAGGGGCCCTCGAGCTCTGGCTTTGTACGAGCTTTGGCCTTTGCGACCTCCTCCCAAAAGCCTTCGTCCTCCTCCTCGTATTCAGGGGCATATGACCGATCAATGAGCTGATGGCCATGGAAGTAGCCAATACCGCCGACAAGATTGGAGAACATGCTCTTGCCGAACTTCTTGTACTTGTCGTCAGTAAAAGGCTTCTGCAGTTTGAATGTGCTTGCAAAGCGCTCGTTGAAGATTTCAGAAGTCCTCTGAATTTGTTCAGTAACGTCCTCAGATGTAAACTCTTTTCCGCCAGAGCCCGACGAGAAGATAACATCAAACTCGAACGGCCCCTCGAAAGTCTTCTCCACAATCTGAACGTTGCCATTTCCAGGCTCGTGGGCGATGCGGTATACCTGCCAAGGTGGGGGAGGGTCGTCCTGATCGGCATTCTGCTGAACTGGCAAGATAGCGTCCTGGAGGTGCTTAAACACGACGGGCTTGCCCTGCCAGGAATGCTCTAGAGGAACTTCATTGGTGCTTGCGACAATTGTAGTGTCTCCACGTCGATCTGGGAGGGACTTGTGACCCTCCTTAGGGTGGTCTCCAGTACCTTTTGTAATGAGGAGACTGTAATCTCCCAGTTCCTTTGAGCTGCCCTTGAAAGTGACATCGTCTTCGAACCCATACTTAGTACCCTCACCCTCGACTGCGAGCTCACCCTGACCGTCCTGCGCGATGTAGTAGAACAGCATGGTCCTGGTATTATCAGGCGCTCCATCCCGAAGCTCGCCCTTGATTCGGGCGGCCCAGCTGCCTCCGTTGTTACCACCTGGAATCTTTACGAAAGTTGTTGTCAAGTCGATGTTGTTCGCCTTGTCGTGAATTGATTGCACACCGCCAATGCGGGGGTCATATTCATCCCATCCGTAGCCATGGATATCATCACCCTGCTCGCATGTATATCTGAAGCCTAGAAGACGAAATTCAGTTGAGTTATACAAGATAATGTACCGTTTTACGAACCTTTCTGAATATCATGGTAGTTGTCGACTTTACCCCACATGAGTCCTGTCCAAAGAGCATCCGGCGTTCGTGGTCGTACACCAAAGTACAAATTGGACTTGTAGGGGCCCCAAAAGAGACTCTGGTTATTTTGGCGGCCAATTTCTGTTGTCAGCACAGAAGATGGCTCATCGGCGGCTGAGACGCTCAGAGCGAGTGTCGCTGCCGACACCCAGTGAGCTATTCTCACCATGATGACGAGAAGAAAATAATCTTTTGCAGGTTCTCAAAAACAAGGGCCAAAGATATTTCTTCAAACAGAACAGAATGTGAAAGATGAAGGTTCACAGCTGCATTGAGCAAGTTGCAGCACTGGAAAGTTGTAGTTGGAGCTTCAGTGAACACGTAGGGTGGGACCGGACCTGCCATTTGACAATGACGACGCAAGGCTGCAGCTTCCTGATAATCGGGGTCCAGTGCTTGAGCTTTGACCAATCAAGGAACTCCTTCAGCCACCGCCACTTCCATTTCGATACCCACTTTAAAGTTGTTTCAACTCAGCCTTCTCCTTTCTAGAACTCTTTGGATGCTTTCTCGAACCTTGTGCCTGTTTTACACTTCATCAATACCACATCAACACCAGAACCGAACTCAAATTTAATACCGCACACAATGAACGACTCGAGACGAAATAGGCGACCCGACAGTCGTCAAATGTGGGACGAATCCGAGAAACGCGACAGGCGCGGAGGACGTGACAGGGATAACAACGACCGTGATCGCGATCGCAGAAGCTACAGGTCACGATCGCGCGAGCGCCGTGGATACAGAGATCGATCAAGATCTCCAGATAGAAGAAATAAGGACAGAGATGGAGATAGGAACCGACCCAGGGATAGAGGCCCCCGGCATCATGATGACCGGGACAGAAGGGACAGACGGAAAGATGATATAGAGGATGCGCCGCCTAGACCTAGACGGGATGAGCGTCGTGATGATTTGAAGGACAGACGAGGTATGCCCTTCTATTCGACTCATCGCTCTATGGAACTAACACCACAGTCAGGCAAACCCCGTCGTTCAGCCTCACCACAAACACGCAGTCCTTCAAATGAGACATCGCTTCCCACACGCACTCGCCCCGAACCTAAGCGTCCAGCACCTCACATGTCCTTCAACGTCGGCTCTCGTTCAAGCCGCTCACCACCACCGCCGCCGTCAAACGCTGAACGTGAAGAGACAAAGGCTCACTCAGAAGATGGCGAGGCTTCAGACATGGACGAGGACCCTGTTGTGGCAGAAGACGACGACGTGGCCGCCATGCAAGCCATGATGGGCTTTGGTGGGTTCGGAACGACAAAGAACACAAAGGTTTCTGGAAACAATGCTGGCGGCGTGCGAAAGGAGAAAAAGACCGAGTACCGCCAGTACATGAACCGAAATGGTGGTTTCAACAGACCTCTGAGCCCTTCTCGCTAAAGGGTTTCTAGTTGAAGGCATTGGCACGGTGCAGTATAACTGATTTATGACATCCGTGAGGGCATATGGTATGCTAAAGGTTATGTGCGATATATTTAACTTAGACAGGCGTTTATGTGAGAATGGAAAGTCAATAATACGTTTATGCTCAGCTCGTGCAGACTCAAAAAATGCACTCAACAATAACCTCTTTTGTCAAAGGTGCTTTGTTACATGACTATAAATTTGGGTCTCATTCCTATTGTTCCATTCTTCTTCTTCTTATTGCCTTCCTATCTCTATCTACAACGCTCGCACTTCTACTCTCAGAAGCTATTTCAAGGCTGCACCACATCTGTTCCCTATCGATCATATCGGACTTCTATCTATAATCTTCAAGTCAGATTCTACCATGGATATCGTAACAGCACCAATGGCCCATCTACGGGCATACTGCAACAAACTCACACCGTTCCAGGTGGCATACCTAGCCTTTGCCCTTGCTATAGCTGCCTTGAACATGATCCTCATCTCGCTACGCAAGCTGATATCACGGCGAAATACGCCCACGCAAGAGGAGGTTCTGCGCCGACTTCGTGCAGAGAATCTCATCGAACTTCCCGAAGACACAAGCATTCAAGTTACCTTTGAGTCAAATCAGGGGGACCACACCCACCGTGATTCGCCCAAGTTGTTCACTATAGCTATGTCTTTTGCCATCGGCACACTCCTTACAACGAGGGTCATGTTGTATGTGCGCCCGGAATGGCACCAAGCACCACCTCCGTACTTCGACTTCATAACGCTCCTTGGATTTTCCGTTGGACACCTTGCGGCTTTTGTACAGATCACCATCGACTGTTTGAGTCTTATCGACAGCATTCTCTTCGAAGCGTCATGTCTTCTTGTCAACTGGTACCGTCGATCTGGACCTTCTGACTCCCACACGGACGAGCACGCTGAGCATATCGATAGCGACGAGACATTGGAGGCTGAAAGCCAGGATGAGCCAGACTAGCTGAGCAGTGATGAGCCTATGGTGACGCAACATGAGAAGGACAAGATCGAATAGTTTGCAGGAAATCGACCGGGTTGGGAGGAGGTAATAGAATAACCAGGAGCGCTCTTGAGTCTTGTTCCGATAGATGGTTACTTGTCTAGGGGTAAGGCAACAGCTTAGCTGGTCTTTGCTAATCTAGTAGCATTGATCTGATTGTTTTGATTAAGCGATGTATGATGGAAATAACGGCCACCTTTACAACAAAATAAAACCCAACTACGTCGAGAAAATCACAATGACACAAACAAATTGTTAAAACACTCTCTTCCACTGTATGTGCTGGTGTAGACATTACGTATAGTGCGTGCAATACATACAAACACGGCCCCCTTCTAAACATTTCCCAACACCATTGGTATGCATGTCGAATCACAAACACCGGCCCTCCATCTCATCCTCATGCCTTTTCCCCTTGCTCTTCCTCTGCAGTACCATCACTTGTGGTTGGTCTAGGTGTCGGCACATCATCTTCTATGGGCGTGTCCTCCTCCTTTGGCTCCGGTTTGGCAGCCTCTTCTTTTTCTCCCTTTGGCTCTTCCTTGGCCTCATCCTTGGCCTCATCCTTGTGCTCCTCTGGGGTTTCTTCTGATTGGTTTGTTGTTGTCCTATCCCTTCGCCGTCTTCGTAGCCTTCTTTCTTCCTCTGCTGTCTGTCGTCTGGCCTTTCGAAGGGTTTCTCTCCTCTCAGGGTCGTTGTCGTCTGCACCATCACCACCACGCATGCCTTGCAGAAGAGCTGCCGCTCGATCTGCCACGTCATCACCCCCTTGTGATGAGAGACCAGGACTGAGCACGCTTCCCTCATCAGCGGATGCGGATACATCCTTGTCCTTGAGACCAACCTCAACCTCTTGAATCTCGTCGATGTCTGGAATCTGCTGTCCTGAAGCGACGCGGACCTGATGACGATCCTTGAGCCGTGCTCGCCTTCTTCGGTCTCTCTGATCCCGAGCTTGGGGCGCGGCTGCACGTAGCTTCTCCAGAAGAGAGTCCATGGCACCTGTACTAGATGGTGACGCTGGTCCAGCCTCCATATTTGCGCTCGTGAATTTGATTTGTGCGGTGTGCTTCCGCTTCATCGACGCCTCGTTGCGCCTCCTCGTCTCTTCAACCTGCACGTTCTTGTCACGCGACTTCTTCCACTCTCCCACAAACAGAGCCAATTTGGCAAAGAAGTCTCGGCGGGCACCATCATCGGCAGGGTCTTCACCGTAGAATACCATGATGTCCTTGTATGTCCTCATCATTTCCTCCAGGTACAGCTCCATCTGCTCGGACTTCCTCCTGGCGTCCTTCATGATGCGCTGGACGACTTGACTGACTCGGTCCTGAGGATGGAACATTTTGGGGTCGCTCAGGTTACCTGAATCCAGGGACATCTGGATGTTTCGAATATTGTCAATGTATCTCTTCGCATCAGCTTGAAGCTGTTCGATGTTGATCTTCTGCACCGTCATGACACCATTGATATCATCTGCAAAAGTCTCCCACTCAGGGTACTGGTTTCGCACAATTCGTTCCACAAGATCGGCCAACGTAGACTCGTTCTTGTCATCCTTGACCATACCCAATCTCGCAAGGGAGCTAAGCTTGAAACCTCGTGCTTGCTTGTTCGCATCGTTCATGTAGTTACCGATATCCAAAATAAGACCAAGAACGTTCATCAATGAAACGGAATCACGCAGTGACTCGGACACTGTAACAACTTGTCGGATCTTGTCGTTAATCTCCTCATACTCTTGCTCGAAACTTCTAGTGAGAGCAAGAGCTCTCATTCGACTCTTCCAGTAATGGTGTAGCTCAAACGCCGTGTAAAGATAGAGTTGATCTTGTCGGGTAAGCTCAGAAGGATCATGCTCGCGCTCTTGAGTCTTGGCATCAGGGCCGGTCCAGTCCTTGCTGTATGGCGCCATTTGCTTCACTGTGTTGTCAGGAATATTACACAGGTCATCCTTCTGTAAGAAATCCATCACGACTACGTTGTCTAGGATATCTGTGTCGCAATGAATGATCATCTGAACAACCTTTTCGACAGCATGTTGCGAGAACTTGGCGAAGGCGATTTCTACATCTTGTTAGAACACATAATGTATACGAAACACTGATGAACTTACCGTATGCTTTACGGAGATCAGAAGAAATGATCTGCTTCTTGTCGTCTTTCTTGGAGGCGCCTCCCATACCAAGTTTCTTGATCTCCTTGGCCATGAACAGCTTCTCAACCTCGTCCAGAATACCCTTCTTACTGAGCTCTTGGTACTTCTCCTCTCTAGCTTCAGCCGAGGGAGTATGGGCCGCCCAATGACTGGTCTCAGGAGCATCTACCTTCTCCCAATGCAAAGCCTTGAGCTTCTTCTTGGGGCGAACAACGGGCAAGCCAATACCTGGCGCGGCCGCGAAAGCGGGCCCTCGTGCCAAGTAGTGCCCAGACATAGCACCAGGCATTGGAGGAGGCGGGGGAGGAGGCATACCACCAGCACCAGGTAGAGGAGGAGGAGGCGGTGGCGGTGGAGGACCGCCCGGGATAAGCATGCCTGGCAAGGGAGGCGGAGGCGGTGGAGGTGGAGGTGGAGGGGCCCCGGGAGTCTGCCCCGGCATAGGGGGAGGCGGAGGAGGCGGAGGCGGTGGTGGAGCTCCGGGTATCTGACCAGGCATAGGTGGAGGAGGCGGAGGAGGCGGGGGAGGCGGGGGAGGAGGGCCACTAGCACTGGTGATTTCGATCTTGGGAGTTTCACTGTCACCAGGAGTAGAAATATGCTGATTAGGATCGTTGGTATCATCCTCAGAATCGCTAGCATCATATCTCTTGACCTTGGAGCCAATTTCACCGAGTAAACCAGCTTGTTGCTTGGGGTCAATAATTGGTCGCTTCATTTCGACGATTCTGGGCTTCTCGTAGATAACACCATCCTCGCCCTCGGTCTCATCGTCCTCCTCAATCACCTCACCATCGGATCTTCTCTTAAGAGGCTTGCGAGGAATCTTGGTGTTGCGGTGGATGCTGCCCAAGACACTGTTGGTGAAGTCTCGTGGTGGTGTTCCACCGCCAGGGGGCGTTCCAGGTCTGTCATCCATTTCCTCACGAAGGGCTCGGAGACGGTCAGAAGGTCCGACAGCATCTCCCCAAACACGTCCCTCCAGCTTGTATTGGGTCTTTTGTCGCTCAATTTGCATCTGGAGGCGCTCCATGAGACGCTCACGATCCAGGATACCTTGCATACGAGCAGGGTCTTCAGGGGGTGCAGTCTTGCTACTGACGCTAGCAGTGGCATTGGCGCTCTTGAGAGCCTTGGAAGCAGCGACATCCTGGGCGTCTCGAAGCATCAGGTACAATTCTCTGGTCTCCAACTCGTATCGTTGGGCTTCCTTGGCTCTCATCGTTTGCATGCTATCCAATTCAGCCTTGAGCCCATCTGCCTGTCTCCTTTGAGCATCGATAAACCGAGCTTGTTCCTCCAATTGCCTTTGCAACTTGGCAACCAATCCATCGGCTCCCAGTTCAAGCTGGGACTTCACCTCATCACGCTCAGCCATAGCGGCCTCGGCAATCTGTCGCGATTCGAGCGCCTCATCTTGGGCTTGTCTGGCTTCTGAGTCTGTGTGCAGCTTATCGAGCAGACTTTGGACAGTGAAATTGAGACTTTGCTTGAGGTCCATGTTCGGCAACCGCCGATCCATGGCAACATAGCTAAGCATGGAATCCACCAGCTGAAACATTCGTAGCCGCTCTTCGCCATCATTTGCGCGGATGAGCAGAAGATGTTGGAGAGCCGAAACGAAGTAGTCGTTGGTTTTCGTACCATGTAGACGCTGCTGAATAGCGTCTACTATTTGAACGGGGTCAGTCAAATCCTTGACCTCGCTCTCGACATCATCCTTGATACTACTATTCTCTCGCTCAAGCATATCCTCATAGTCAATGGCCTCGTTTGTCCGGAACCGCTCGATCTGCTTGTCCAGGAGTTCGTACTGGAACTCCTCCATCTTTGTCAAGATCCGCTTGATTCCGCATGCTGTGAACTGAGCTCGAATGTGTATCCGCAACTCTAAATCTCGCTCAGGCGAATCAATAATCATGTTGACGAGCATGAGTGTCGCAACGGCGTATTCCATAAGCAAGTTCTCCATTCCGATACCACCAGTCCTCAGTTCTTCGCTGGCACCGACCAAACTTCCCATCTTGCCTCTGCCATCGATAGTGACCTCCACCAACCGCATCCAAGCATCGAAGCGGCCATTCTCTCCTGATGCCACCTTGACCTCGTCCAGAGCCTGGATAACCTTAATATGTCCTTCGGCATTCTCTCCCCATGTACACAGGAAGGTGATAATTTCGCTAACAAGTTTTCGTGTGGTGAGTCGAGGAGATATGAGTGAGCTAGCAAGAGCTACCATGACCTTTTGGTGAATCAAGGCATCATCGGCGCCGAATTTGTTGTTCATAAGTGCCTTTACACACTTGATGATATCGTACTCTCGGTCGAGGTTCCTGTCGGTTCGGCCACCGTCCTGGGCTGGTCCCTGTGCTGTCCTGCGGTTGATCTTAAGCAGCAAGGTCATCAAGGCGACCTGTCCCTGGCATTCGACGAATCTCTTGACCCAGCCAATCTGCTGTGTTCTAAGGTTGACCTCCAAACTTCCCATACCCTTCGTGTCGAGTCGGTCCTCCATAACCCGACGAACATACCATTCCGGAGTGCCTTCTTCGTCGGAGTAAGTCGTGATATCGGGGGTCGCGGTATACTGGCTCGGGCGTGCTGTTTGTCGGCGCTTCTGCTCGCCCTGCCATTCGGTGAGTCGATCTTGATAGAGCAGCGTCCATTTCTTTTGAGCTGGGTATGCCATCATCTGTCTCCTAGCTTGTTCGGGGAGGTTGTGCCATCCTCGCTTCTGCATTAGTTGAAGGAACATTTGCTCAACTACGTTATCGTCGTCAGGTTTCGGAAAGTAAAAACCACCCTGAGGGTCGCTTTGACCTGGGGGAGGTCCTGAAGGAAATTTGGTGAATCGGTGTGAATCGCGGTTCGAGTGCTGTGAAGGGGCGTAGGAGCTCTGCGAAGACGCACTAGGCATTGCTGTATTTGGTGAGCGCGATGTTCTAGCATCGGTGTAGTTTGCATTACCTGACTGGATGCTCAGATTATCAGCCGACCCTCGAGCGGTGGATGACATGAACGAATCGTATCGAGGGTTGGGGGGGTTGTTTGAGTGTGAGGAGCTGCCCCTTGTAGGAGGACCCCATTGCTGATACTGGGTTTGACGCCCTGTTGAAGCCATGGTAACGTTGCCATATCCATATCCAGCAGGCTGTCGTCCAGGAGAATGGGCACCAGACTGGCTCGACTGTCCGTCCCAGCTCGGGTATTGGTGAAAGTCCAGGCCGTTTTTATTTAGGTGATGTGGAAGAGGTTCTCGGCGCACTGGCATCTGCTCGCCTTTGGGCAGGTATTCGACAGGTATAGGAGAGCGTGATCCCCCTCCGACGGCGTCATATGGGATGGAGGTTATGACACCTGCCATCTGGTTGATACCGCCATCGGAAGAGGCTGGACGATCGATAGAGACAGCCGACGACTCTCGTCTGTGGCGCGAGGAGCGAAAGCTGGCCGCATCGTCTGCGGGGTACTTCGATTCTTCAGCCAAACGCTTGTCCTTGTGCTTACTTCGCGAGAAGAGAGACCGGCCGCCAGAGGACTGCCTCGTCTTATCAGACATGGCGACGGCAGTAATAGTGACAGGGCGGTCGTGGCCGCGACAGTCGTCGAAGCGGAGGCTCTACTTTTGCGAATCGTATGTCGAGGGTAATGCTGATGTCGATCTGGGGTGTACTACCTATGTAAGGAAAAAAGGAGGTACCGGGGTCGACAAGTCTGAGGGAGCGTTGACCAACGGCTACCAGTTGGAACACGTGAAGTTGGCGATGTGCTGGCCCAGAGCCGCTCGCCTCATCGGGGGCACGATATCGAACGTCAAAGAAATACTGAGGTTGTTCGGGACGCGGGCGGTCTCCAACTCGAGCCGGCGGGAAACGTTGCGGGCGGGCTTGAAACGTTGGTCGTCGGGGGGTTTTTGGTGGAAAGAAAGATAAATAGGGAGGGGGGTTTTTAGTTAGAAAAAAGGACAAAGAAAGGGCCTAGGCTTGGCCTGTGATGATGCCGTCGCTTCAATGAGTGGTACCAGAAAAGAATTAAGTCGAGATGGTGTGAATAAAGGAGTGTAGCGTAGCGTACAGAGTACAGATAGATTAAACAGATGGTACCACAGCACAGCGAGTTACAGTAGGCAGCTGGAGCTGTAGTGTAGCGTGTAGCACCGACAGTAACCAAAGACGGTGATGAGTCTCTGCTCTGTGATCAGGGATCATATGGATTTGTCCAGAGCCAAGCCGAGGGTCAGAGTCAAGATGAATGCGGATTGGTTCCAGGGTTTATGGGGACGATGGGCCTAATATTGCTTAGCCGCCGCTTAGGCTGGGTTAGAGCGGGCCTTGTCTTTGGGCCCTTAACCTTTGGGGTCGGGTGCTGTAAGAATAAATTCTTCAATATTACCCCAAAGCGAGAATCGTACATCTTATAGTTACAGGACCGGAAGTATCCATGATAAGCAAGATGCGGCCTCTGACAAAGCTGATTCAGAGAGGCTTTATGCCTTATCGCGCTCCTGGAGAATGCATCATAAAATCACAGGGCGTTTACAAAGAGGAGCTCAACTGTCAATGCATCCATCTATTATATCGTACCCTGAGCAGCGCTGTGACTGGGTACTGGCAGCAGCGCCAGGTGGGGGGGGCTCTTGTTAGCACCGGTCATCAGGGATCTATCAGGGGGAGTAAGTGGGTTCTGTAGATTGGGGACGCGCAGACGTGGTCAACCTGGTTGAGGCATGAGGCTTGAGAGATGGTTATTTATTATATGCACAGCATTCAAAGAGTCTGTTCTTTTCACGATTTAAATTTGAAGTTGCAGAGTATAAAGGTTGGCTTAACGGACCAAAACACTGAGGTGTGTCTGACATTGTAATCATCTTGAAAGCCATATCTGAGTTTCCTGGTTAGATTCCAATGTTCAAAACCTAAACTTGCACAGTAAACTCATACAAATCTGAAGAGACTTTGTATGTACGGGAGAGTAACATAAAAGATCTGCATTGGCATGATGCACATTGCTTGCAAGTGTGAGTGGTTCTTTATTATGCATTTATTTTCAGTATCGGGTAGTTTCAAGCTTTGAATGCGTGCTTGTTACACTTGCGATCAATATCAGGTGTTGCACAACTCCTGGCATTGGCTCATCGCCAGATCCAAAGTGACATGTCCATCTCTTGCTTACAACGAAGCTTCCTTAAGCCGAATAGACATCTGCAGAACCATCCAACTGTCTCGCCTTGCCCTTTTCAATCGCGTGCAGCTCTGGGTTCTTTGTCTCAGGAAGATCCCATCCACTGTCTACGGAGACGACACGTCCATGAGACAAAGATCTCCCCCCCCCATCCTTGATTCTTAAGCGAGGTCGGCTGTCTCAAAGTCTACGTTCCATTCGTTTACAAATGCCGTCCGGTGGATAAAGACATTGCTTCAGCAAGGTGACGTGTCCTATAAAGTTCCCATGTTAAAGCTGAAATGCATTTAATTGTCATATTGACCCGCTCGTGTAAATGGCGTGCTAAATCTACCGACGATGGAGCTAATGCAGCAACTGTACGGAGTACATGTACAGATGGATGGATATCTCAGCCCAACAGATAGTGCATGTAACAGATAGATCACATGCCGTGACAACATGTCTTTAATATGCATATATGTCATCCTTATCAAAGCTTAAAAGGCTTCATATGTATAATTGCTGATCGTTTGCGTGATCCTTGAACTATGGACGTCGATATTGGCACTTTCACCCCCCCCTGACAAGCCTAAACTCTTCTGTCCGTCGCCCCTTTTTTAGCGGGATCTCCGGCTTCGTCACCTCCCGCCGGGCCCTTGTGGCTGCAGCCACGTTTCCTGGGCAAGCTGCAGCCTCGGGGCGATCACAACGTCTGATCCTCACCAAACTTCGTGGCATCGTTGCTTTCGAAACCTGGTGATACTTGCTACAAACCAAAATCGAGCTTCAACATCGTCGCCCACAACACCCGAGAGGAAGAACATGGGCGCAACAATGTCCGTTATCAAGGTATGTCCCTATCATGACAACCTACTTACTCACTGATCCGATCCAACCCATCATCTTGGCGCAATGCTAACACTCCAAACAGACACTCGTTGTTCCTGCGGTCATCTCTCTCCTCCTCTTCATTCTCTTCACATACGTCCTAATTCCACTCTGGCACCGATATGCCCGCTACAGCCAATATCTTCCCCTCGACACACTCTCCTCCCAGACGTCTTCTTTGCGCCAACGAATAACGTCTCGCATGGCCACTTGGCGCTCTAATCGCGGCGTCGCGTTCGCATCCGATGACATTTCCGACGATGGTTTAGGTGACGATGACGACGATGGAGAGGAATTGGGGAATGTTGACGAGGATACCTGGCGTCAAATGGAGGCAGACACCCGCGCAGCCCGGCCAGATAATACTAGGCGGCTAAGTAGAGAGTAAGCCATCATGACACCCTTGTCAAGCACCGTTGTTGTTACTGACTTTGGCATCACCAGCCTCGAGGAAGGATTCAGGGACGATAGCGATGATGAACCAGAACGACTAGCAAGGAATAATTTCAGATCATAATCATATAAAACGATTGCTCCTCTATGTCATACAAGAAGTAATCCACAGTCTATGAGACCGCATGGTCCTTCAAATTACTTGTTCTGAATAACCTGAAAGCCACTGCATAGCCTACAAAGCGTTATCCCCGCTCTCTCATTGGGAAAGTATATATTACAACAATCGCTATCTATCATGCACCTAACTACTGCTCTCTGTCAACTGCTATCACACGGATGGTGGACCATTACCACTTGGAATATATATAAAAGGTCGCTGAATTCATATCGCTCCTTATCCAGTATTTCAAATCGCATCGAATTCGAAAGCAGACCGTCAACAAAACATTGACATTGATCATTGGGATGATGAGCCAGGTTCCTTGGCATCAGGGATCTTCGAGTCTCCAACTTCCTCGTCGTGGTTGAGAACCTCGTGGCCAATGTTCAGTCTGCGATTGATGTAGCCCGCATGTATTCCACCGTCCGCAATGCGCGAAGAGTTGGACTTCACAGAGGATTCCGAAAAGGATTTTGCAAAGGATTCCGCAGCGCGTTTAGGGGATGGTTTGGAATCGACAGGTAGCGCAGCCTTAGCAGCAGAGTCGACTCTCTTCGCTGCTATGCTATTTCGACCTGACGCAGGACTGTTGTTCATCAGAATTCCACCAAGGGAACCAATCCTGCTACTTGATTCTGGGCTTTTCACTGCTTGGATGGCCTCTGGCGGTGGGTCAGCGAACCTCACCCTTTTCGGTATCTGCGACGGTGCGGGTGTTTTAGAGGAAGCATTGGACTCCGGCGGAAGGTTCCACGAATTCGAAGCGATGTAATCAGCCATGGAACGATTCTCAGGATGGTTGGTTGTCGCCTTCCCCTTTCCCTTTTTATCCTTGATCGCCTCGATGTTCTCTTTCCCCTTCCCTTTGTCCTCCTTAATTACCTCAACGTTCTCTTTCCCCTCCCCTTTGTCCTGCTTAATTGCCTCAACATTCTCTTTCCCCTTCTCCTTATCCTCCTGAATCACTTCGATGTTCTCTTCAGCCGGGCCGGATTCCTCCGCTATGTCGGGTAACCCTCCAGGACGACGCAGGGGAAGGGTTTGGGGATCTCTGACAATAATATCAGGGAGATCATCATCTGGACGGAAGGCAAGACCTCTTCTGATTGTTTCGAGGTCATCCGGTGACATATTTGTGTCAGGCCATACGTAAGCCTGCTCCCAGAGCATCCGCTGTCTGGCGATTTCGTCAAATCTGCGACTGCGATAGCTTTGATATTGGATTTCAATCTTTCGGGTGATCCTGTCAAATTTCCAGTTATGCCATTTGTTTTGAACTCTCCATACCAGGCGCACGAAAGGATTTGTCTTTGGCATGGTCCGCAGCTTCTCCTCCGCAGTTCTTATATTGGCGTGGTGTCGGTATAATAACCGCTGCAGCTTTCTTGATTCAATAGTCTGGCAGTATTCACAATCTGTCGGTAAAAGATGAGGTCCTTCGACCGGTAAGGGCTCTGGAGGAGAGGTCAGTGTTGGGATGGTGATATGGGAGCATTCATGTATGATGGAAGCACATGAACCCATGGGACATCGATGATTGCGCCCATCAATAGCTAAGCCGTCGAGGATTTTCTTTATACATGGTGAACCAAAAGCATGGCCACAAGGAATGTAGACTCGCTGCTCAGAGTTGAGCCATCTGGGCCATGTTGTAGTAGTATGGGTGTATGGTTTGCTGCACACGGGACAGGATGCAACGTGCCCAGGGTACTTGATTTTTTCGGAGCGTGGATTCTGAGATGACAGAACTTGAAAGCCTGGATTCGTAGCTACGGCCAAGGAATCTGCTGGACTTGAGAATCCTGGCGCAGTCGAAGATTCTTCTGGTCTCGGTGACACACCCGGTGTTAATGTTGTAGATGGCGTCACTGTAACGGCCGGTGTCGAGCTGGTACCTGGCGTTAAGGTAAACGTTGCAGTTAAGGATTCAACTTGAGTTGAATGGCTGGGTCCTGCCTCGGGGGGTTCATGTTGAAGCTGGGCAGGGCGTGCCTGTTGTTCAATCGAAGTCTGCGAAGAGCCGTCCCTCGACTCGGTATGTCTCCCAGCCCATTTTCCGCCAAAAGCTGCCAGGAATCGAGGCTTATCTGTCTGTTCGCGAGATGACGGCATAATGCCCGTGATGCGAAGTGAAATTGCCCATAGCGACTGTGATGGGACAATAGAAGAATGAGTGATTGGAGAAGAAATACGGTGATTATATTCTTGATGAATTGTGTTGTCTATGACGATGGTCAGTGATAGCTTCTGTAAAGCTGTTCGAATACTTATGGCCTTTAATACTGGGAGAATGATGATGGAGAGGAAGGGTTTTGGTCAGGAAGATTTGTTGTTATCTGTGGATGAGAACTTGAAGCCAATGGGTGAAAGAGCGGTCCTTCCTAGCAACTGACAAGATGGAGAGGGCCAGCAAGGGCAGGAGTAAGGTAAAAGCTGCCATCCTACCTACCTCCCTGGGTAGGTACCTATCTCGTAACAGCCAAGTGCCTGTGGATAGTAGGCAGGGTGGACCATGGGCTCCTGCATTAACATCTCACACCTAACTCCAAGAAGTCAACAATATGAAGGGAATACTCAGGCTTGGATGCTAACTCACATTTCAATCAGCTCATAGATCCAAAATCAATAGCCTAACATCCAGCCATGTATGTAGGTTGGATGCAGCAACTATCAAGCTACCTTAGTAGTTGAGGTCGCCCATGGACGCTCTGGGTTTTCATCTCCAAAAGCACAGATGGCCGAGTACTTGAAAGTTTCCATGTTTACCTCGTAGTATTTGCAATATTCTATGATTTTCTACTAGAGTCGTTGCTTTGTCCAGGTGTTACTGATGTTCTAGGTGTTAGTTGTCGCTCAGGAGCAACGGAGACTTAGGCCGATGCTCGACAAAATGGGAAGAATGGGGATGTTGGAAGATATAGAAACTCTGTACGTAGTACTACCTTATACAGCAGTCAATCCATTTAAGAGAGTTAAAATGCCATTCTCCATAGTACTTAGTCAAAATTACTGTTTATATATCTGTGTCGTTACCTACCTATACCTTAGTACCTAGTAGGTACCTGTGGAACTGAGTGGTGTAAGCCAACAGCTTATTCTAGGCCCCACAAATATCACAACCAATGGACCTCGACATCATCACTTTCTGTACCTACCTACACCACAACCCGCTTTCACACTCACTTTCACCACTTTCACTTTAATGCGACTTCCTCCAAAATGCGCTTTCGAACAGAGCTGAAAAACATTCGCACATTTGCTAGTAAGTCTCCCCTTGTAAAGTACCTGCCTTCTTCCATCTATCTTCAACTCTTATTAACCATGAATTCTCAGAGCTTATAGCGGCACTTGGCTCACTCGAGAAGATCGCCTGGTTGCGTTTGAGCGATGATAACGCACGATTCACAGTCATCCCAGATATGGGATCTCAAGTCTGGGCGCAAGTGTTTTCTCTTGAACCAGCCACGTCATTGCTAACAAGTTTCCAGTTCACTTGCCATGGATTTCATCTTTGATGGCTACCACATCCAATCTGCGGAGGCAGGAAACACCATTAACCTAGAGCTTCCCCTCCAACCTCTTCAACGCGCCCTCAAGTCCGCACTGAACAGCATGTCTGCTTCCTTGCGTCTCACAAAGAAGGATGGTCTGCCGGTGCTTTCTATGACAATAACGACTACTACCTCAACTGCAAACCCACCTGGAGCTGCGAAACCATCAGGGACGGCCGGTGGTGATGATCCCTTTGATGATGACGAAATGTTTCCGCCTGAGAACCTTGAGACTTCGTTACGGCGAGAGCACGAGAAGATTATCACCCAGGACATTCCAGTTCGTGTTCTCCACCCAGAGACAGTCGAAACTATCATGCAGCCCAGAGTGCGTGAACCAGATGTCCACATTCAACTACCCCCTCTCCTTCAACTTAAAGCCATCTCTGACCGCTTCACCAAGCTTGCCATGGCTTCTAACTCTGGCTCTTCCGCAAACGCCAAATCTCCCAAACTTGAGCTTAGTGCCAACATGCACGGCGGTCTGCGATTAAGAATTGCCACTGAAAATACAGACATTTGCAGCGTATGGTCCAACCTTGAGAATCCAGAGCTAGACCCTGCACAGCTTGACTGCCCTGTCGAGGAACATCCAAGTACGAAATTCCGTGAAGACGGCCCCGAACGGTGGGCGACTGTTCGTGTGGATGGCAAGGACTGGAGTCGTGTCCTGAGCGTTGGCCGTTTAGAAGGCAGGGTCATTGCCTGTTTCGCTGATGACCATGCTCTAATTCTTTATGTATATGTGCCTCACTACGATGATGCCACAGCTGATGATTCTGTCGTAACGGTAAGTTCTTTTGTTCTATATGAATATTGATCAAATCAGCTGACGACCGCAGTATTATGTACAGTCATATAGTGTATAAGTAACAGGCAAGGATGGATTGGGGTTTACTGCGGTACCGGCGTTTGAGATGGGGCAATTTCATGGTGAACTTGGGCATGTGACATTAAAAAGCTGTGGAAACCATGGTCTAACCATGTGAATATATATACCACAGCACAGGTTGATCAGGCACTTGACAGTAAACTTCTTCATCATATTATCGTTCTGCATAGAATACCCGTTCGAGTCGTAATCATATCTCGATGGTAATATCGCGCTCTCTATCTTGCTGCTAATCCAAAACATTACAACTCGACTTCTTCTCCAATATATTGTATACAGTCACTGCCCATAGCCCCAGGCCAGTGTTCCTTCAACACCACTGTTTGCAACATTACAAAACACGACCATAGTCTATGTACTAATACAAATTGATTCGTTCCTAGCACGAATCCCCACGAAGAACGCCTGAAAGTGACGTGGTAATTCAAATCCAACTGAAAAAGACCTCCGACATCTGCTTTACTTGGCCATGACATCGACATAGCGACCCTTTCGTGCCTTCTTCTTGTCGCTGGCCTTGCGTGGGGCAACACTGAGCAAATCGTCAATGCTGCTAGCATTGCTCATGCTCGTTGTTGGCCGACTAGGCGGTGCACTTGCGTTGCTGGTGTTGGAAACTGATCGAGTCATGGCGGGAGGTGCCAAGCCCAGGCTTTCTGAAGACGATGCCTTTGTCAGTTCTGGTGTACCAGCGCGTACCTTTGGAGGCATCAACGGTGGTGGCGCGCTGTTGCTTGAAATCAAAGGTGGCGGAGGGGTGCCAGTAGGTGGCGGGGGGGTTCCGGAGACAGAGCGAGGGCCAGCCCTGGGAGGAGGGGGAGTCGCAGTCTTAGCTGGCGTGTTTTCGGCACCAGGCTTCTTGTTGATCCATCGCTTGAGGTCAGGATCATAGACAAAACTGCTGGCTTCACCAAGCTTAGCACGAATAGGCTTGCCAGGTGAAGAATCGCCAGATGATGACTGTTCGAGGGGAGCTCCTTTCTTTGCACCTCCGAACCAACCACCAAAGCCCCAGCCCTTCTTGGATGATTGCTGAGCAGCTGCTCGCTTGGCTGTCTAGCTGTTAGCGATTTGTCTTACCGTTTAGAAAGATTTTGAACTTACCATCCTCTTCGGCGGCCTTACGGAACATTTCCTGGTTCTCCCGGTCCTTATCCGCCTTTGACTTATCCGTAGACTTTGCGGACGGAAAATCATCATCGTCATCATCCATGAAGCTCTTCTTTTTGGGTCTGGGTGCATCATCATCATCAGCGGTAGACTGAGGTTCGAACGATGGTGGCTCGTAGCCGTAAGGCTGGAAGGAAGGGGGTTCGTATCCCCCGCTACCACTTGCTCCAGCGTTGTCCCCAGTCGCCTGTTCAGGTTGGTTGGAAGACAACTGAGGTGGCTCGTACCCATAGCTAAGAGGTTGGAAACCTTGTGCTGAAGAGTCGGCAGGCTTCTCGTCATCGCCTGCCGCCACTGAGTCTGGCATTCCATACGGCTGGTATCCGGCAGGGGAGTAGCCCTGTGTAATTTGAGCTGCAGGGGCTAGTCCTGCTGGTCCACTGAAGCCAACGCTATTTGACTGAGGCTGAGGAACCGATGGGGCGTAGCTGTTGCCTTGGTTGGCTGAAGGGGCACCGGGATATCCAGGCTCATATGGGTTGTGGCCTTGTTCGGCAGAAGCTTGTTCCATCGACGTTCGTCCGGGGGTGTACTGAGATGTTGGGGAGTAGGGATTCGCAGAACCGGCAGGTGTCATACTCGCAGGCGCATATTTGGATGCCGCGCCGCCCGCTTGTGTTTGAGCAGGCGTCATACCAACAAAACTAGGTGATTGCTGACCGTAGATGTCAAAGTTGGACACCGAAGGTGATCGACTAAATTCTCCAGAGGGACGAGTGAATGGTCCTGCCTCTCCAGCGCCTCCACTGTTGTCCTCGGTATCATCTCCGGCAACGAACTTGTTGAATCTGTTCCACATGCTATCAGAAACCTTGTTCATGCTTGGTTTAGAGATCCATGAGCCGCCTTCCTCCTTGGGTGCTTGCTTCAGCCTCAACATGAAATCCTCAACCGCACTTTCAAGAACAAGGTGATGATAAGGCGATCGCTTGGTTTGAGAAGAAATGGCTCCCAGGATAGCATCGCAATACTGCATAGCCTTGTCTCGATGGCCGTACTCTGCAAGAGTCATTGCGTGCTCAAGTTTGTAGGCTGCCAGATGGGGCGTTCCTGCTGCTGCGAGAGCTCCTCCTGCAAGAGATAAACCGTACTCGTAGACTTCACTAAGTTGTAGAGCCTCTGTCTCTTTGGCAAACTGATCGGATTGTTGTCGATGATCAGCCCCAATGAGCACAAAGTTTACGTTAGGATCATCCAGTCCACCGAAAACAGATGAGTGACGGCCAAAGATAAAACAGATGTGAGCCGCCTCGGCTCGTCCATAGCTGGACAAGAGACTACCAAGAGCATTCAATCCCTGAATATCATTGGTGCTTCGGTTGCTCAGCACGAGCGACAGAGTCTCTCGCCACTTGTCCAACCCGTCGAGAGTGTCCTTCGTAGGTCCGGAGCCTACATCTGTAGAAAGAAGCTGAAGACCAGCCCGAGCATGAACGGGGACTAACTCATCGACGCAGTCTTCCAAATTGCCGGAAAGAATCTTGTACAGCGCAGCCATGGACTCATTGGCATGGCCAGGATAGTTCACTTCCTTACGGACGAACTCTTGTGCAACGCGTTTGTAAAGGTCGCCTTCCACGGTATGTGAGATTAACATGGCATGTCCCCAAAGTCGCTTGTCAACGAGAGCCCAGACAGCCTTATCTCGGTCACCCCTTAGCAAGTGATGCCGGACCTGATCCATTGTTGATACATCGACGCCATCCGCTTGCATTGAGGTGACAGAGGCAATTCCTGTGCTGAAGCTACTGGCGCCTGGAAAGATTCCATCATCGCCAGTGGTTGAGGCGGCCTCACCAGGAGAAAGAACATCTCGGACGGCTGCCTCAACAGTAGGGTTACCCTCGAGGACACCATCATGCTCAATGAAAAGTCGCATGATTTTCCAAAGAAGCAACCGTTCAACGGCTCGCTTTGCCTCGAGGGAAAGCTGGGAGTGGAAAGAAACATCAGGGAGATCTTTCTCAAGTAGCTCAATTCCAGAATTAAGCCAGGTGATCGTCTCCTTCTTCTTTGATTTACCTCTGAGAGGGCCCGGAAACTTGGCCACATGATCGTGTAGTGGCTCAATGTCCTTGACGCTTAGGACCTTGACTTCTCCTGGAGTCCGCACAATCATTGGAACAGACTGGTTCATACCATATCGAGGAACACTCTTGGGGAATGAGGTGACAACAGTGCCACCCACACCCCATGAGATGATAGGCACCCCTTTCCATCGTTGAAGCTCATCGTGCTCTCGTCCATCAGTAGGGGCAACCATGTTCATTGTGATGGACTGCCCACGGGTTCGGACAGTAGAGACACCGGGAGCTGGTGCTGCGGGAGCTGCCGGCGCATAGGACGAAGGGGCTGGCTTTGCCCCTACCGGAGAGGGATAGGAGTGAGAGTGAGCAGACGAAGGACGGCGGGTTGAGTCTGATGATTTCTGAGCCGGCTTGTGCCCAAAGGCAGCGCTTGGTGACTGTGTCTGGGCTCGAGGAGGAGGCACAAAGCCAACCTGAGCTGTTGGCGGTGCATGAGGCGCGTATGGGCTTGACTGCTTTGGTGGTGACAAGGTAAGCTGCCCAGCATAGCTCGGAGGTGGTGTCTGTTCAGAAGACTTCGGAGGAGATGCAGGATTGTACCTCAAATCTTGATGAGGAATAGAATGAGTAGCACTTGCCGACCTGGTCGGGGTCTGTGACTCGTCCTCCTCATCCACCTCACGTGTCGGGGGCAGAGATGAAACGCGGCTTAGCCTGGGCTCAAAATGAGCAGTCTCAGAATGAGTCAACGGGCTGGATGTTCTCGGCTGATGTGGGAGCACAGGTGCAGGGCCTGAATTAGCCACGGCTCCATACGATCCGTGGGTCTTGGTAGCAGGAGGTGCAGGCGAATAACGGCTACTGATTGGAGCCGGTGGCGCAGTATGGCTTGTACCTGGAGCAGGAGAGTACCGTGAAGTGTTGTTCAAGGGGGGCGGGGGCATATGGTTGGCGGAAGTGGTCAGAGAAGCATATGGACTGACCCTTTCAGGTGCAACCAGGCCAGCTCCTGGAACGAGGGACGGCTGGCTTGGAGGTTCACTATAGGCCTCAATGGGAGGCGCCGATGTGGCAGCCAAAGGCGGAGAGATCATCTGGTTAGGAACCGGAGGTGCTAGTGGTGATGGGACATGTGGTGCGCGAGCCATTGGAGGTTGGTTTCGAGCGGGAGATGACGCCCTCTGACTGGTTCGCGAGCTCGGTCTAGGCCTAGACGTCATGGGGAGTTCCTCGAAAAAGTTCTCCTTATTCTGAACACCAGGTGCTGTGGCCTTTGGAGGTGCTGCGGATTGCTGAACGGGTAAGCCGTGGCTAGAAGAAGGCGGCGTGAGTTTAGTTGGAGGAGCAGGCATGCCAACGCTCGCACTTCTAGGCGGAGGTTGAACCGGAGCATGAAGATGGTTTGCCTGAGACAGCTGCTGCATGCTTGCCCTCTTTCGAGGCTTTACCACATTGGTGACAAGATCAGTCGGCAGGTCATAGGGTGAGTGGTATCCTCCTTTTGACTTATCGGCGAAGCTTTGTGCTTTCGACATCTCAGGGCGTACTGGGGGAGGCTGGCCGTATTGGGAGGTTGAGCCGAAGGTAGTTGTAGCAGGCGCTGGAGAGTTGAACGCAGACACTTGAGGAGCAGGTATTCCATGCGCTTGAAAGCTTGGGGCGTAGGGAGATGGTGCCGAGTGAGCTACTGGTGCTTGTGGCATATAAGGGTTGGATCCCGAGGGTTGGTGTGTTGTAGGTACAGGCGCAGGTGCTGGAGCCTCAATAGGTTCCTCTTCCTCCAGAAAACCCTCATCATCGCTTCCGAAAAATGCAGCTGGATCAACTTGTTTGTCTTCTCCGGTATTTTCCTCGAGCAGGAAGTCTTCATCTTCGTCGTCAGCGAATGCTTGTTCCCATTTTGATGCGAGGTCTTCTTTGTTGGCAGGAGCCGGATCAGACGCAGCGGGCGTTGGCTCAGTTTGTAACACCTTTTCATCCTTGACTTCGACTTCGTCCTCTTCATCATCGTCATCATCGTCATCATCGTCATCATCGTCATCATCTTCTTCTTCTTCCTCGTCCTCTTCCTTCTCCTCGTCTGACTCCTCATCTGACTCCTCTTCTTCATCCTCTTCTGGTGTCTCTTCAAGTGTAGGCTGCTTTGAAATAATACCTGCGTTCATCGAATCCAGAACTTGCATTGTCGATTTTCGTTCCAACGCAGGAGGTTGCTCATCAGACACAGGTTCGGAACCCTGGACTTGAGTAAAAAAATCGACACCGTCTGCCTCTTCATCATCATTAAATACGTCGACTGGAGTCTTGTCCTCCTGCGTACTGGGCACCTCATTACGTTCTTCGGCAGACTGGGGGATCAATGGGATTCCCTCTTCGTAACGCTCATCGAAATTCTGGCCCTCTGGGCTCTTCAAATCTCCTCCTATAGATATAGACGAGGAGTGGCCTCGTCTTGGTGCCTCAAGTCCCTCGGCTGTCTCTTCTCGTTGGTATAGCTCCTCTTCCGCGTCGGCTTCCTTCTCTGTCTCCTCCAACACATCCATGGCCTGGTTTGGGGGTAAAGGTTGATCACCAACCTCTGCATTTATGTGAGCAGGTGGGACTGACGGGAAAGAATTTGTGCGGTCGTTGGGAGGCATAAATTTGAAAGGGTCGGTGTCAGTGCGGTTCAAGCTCCATTCACCCTCCTCTTCGTCCCCGAAGCTGATTTCGTGGGACACTGTACGAGCGAAGGATCGGGAGCTTGAGTGTTGAGACGTCGATCCCTTAGGTTGTGCAACAGATTCAGGCTCGGGTTGCTCAGGGAGAGTCTCAACAGGAGGCTCCTCTTGTTGTGCTTGGTTTGGTGCATCGTCGGAAGCCAGCCAATCGTTGCCTTCTTCTTCTTCATCATCTTGTGAGAGCCAGGCGTTCGCAGCACCGCTTTTTTCTGGCGAGTTTTGATCGTGTTGCGCCGGGACATCTTGGTGTGTAGAGTCGTCGGGCTGCACGGCCGTGTCTGTTGTTGATGACGTCGTGGGAGCGGGAGCGGGAGCCTCGGTGGAGCTGGTAACATCGGAATCGTTTGGCATCGTGGCCAGATCTGGCGCTTTTGGCGATTCGGAAGCCATCGCAAAGCCGATCTGGACGTTGGCTCGGATGAGAAAAGAACCAAGTTCAGTGACAATAGCAAATACTTTGTGCAATCGTGTCAGCGTAAGGGTTTCAGTACAAAGGGGCTACTACCCGAGCTAATCTGCGCGGAGCTTGGACGGAGCTTTGCGACTGTCAGGGGGGAGAGGAACAGGGTTGTGATGGAGAGGGGAGTGGTCGCGTACTTAGTATACAAGAATCGAATCAAAGGATCTGGCTTAGTTAATAGTCGCCTTTCGCCATTATCATTTGAGGAACGAAGGAGGCGTTTGTTGTAGTTGGAAGGGAAACGTTCTGGAAGTACAGTACAGATCTCAAGTGCAACTTGGCATGTACCAAAATATGGGACCCAAAAAAGGCAACTACCACCCGTTGGGTTCCGTCTGTGGAAGGAATTCTGTACTCAGTGATGATTAGATACAGCGACAAAACTCAACGTATCATCCAGTATACGGCTATTTTCTGCCGCTTCAATCTAACCTAGACTTTTATTTACCAAATCTGGTCTTTTTCAATGATATAACGTTTGGTCATGCTATAAAGATACACTCCAAAATATATGCCCCTTGTCCAGTATTATTACAACCAGCTGAACCCTGCATGTGCTCAAGCTCTTTTATCTCTACCAAGCGCAAAAGCCAATCACTAACCGCGATCCGTCGATTACGTTATGTGTCCGCTCCTAGTGTAAGCTTCCCCATCAACGACTGGAATCTAGACCCAACTCTTTCGCCATTTCCGAGTGTTGCTTTGAATATCTGACGACCTCGGAATAGATTTGCGCTTCCAGACGTGTCACGCCTTGGATACGGCCGAGAAATGACCTCTGATTTGTACCTTGGCCCATTCCTTCTCATGCATAGGCCAACGCAGCAACATAGCAATTTCAAATTCCGTCACGAGAATCGCCTACTTCGCGAGTTACCCTAGAACATCATCTAATAATTCAAACAATTCATTATTGGAGGGTATTATGGTATTATCTATGCTGTCATCAAAACAATTATAACTTTTGCCCCCTATACCGGAATCTCAAATGCACAATTAACTGTCCAGAGCCTGCGCTTCACACATTTTGCGATACAATCCACCTTGCGCAAGCAGCTCCTGATGCGTTCCAGCCTCCATGATCTTACCACCCATGAAAACGCAAATCTTATCAGCATCTTTAATTGTACTCAACCGATGAGCAACAGCAATTGTGATACGGTCGCCTTCCTTCGCCGCTTCCGCTAGAGCACTCTGCACAATCTTCTCACTCTCGGTATCAAGAGCACTGGTAGCCTCGTCAAGCAGAAGAACCTTGGGGTTGCGAATGAGGGCTCGGGCAATGGCAATTCGCTGCCTTTGACCTCCCGACAATTGCGCGCCGTTCGAGCCAGCCTGTGTATCGAGACCTTCAGGCAAAGATGAGACAAAATCCCATGCATTAGCTGCGCGAAGAGCTGCCTCAATCCGCTTGTCAGGAACCGAAGTGGTTGGATCCTTCTTCTCAGTCTCAGGATCGTCGATACCGAGGGCAATATTTTCGCGTATTGTGCCTTGAAACAAAGTTGGCTCCTGTTGCACAAGGCCGATAATGCGACGGTAGAGGCGAGGATTGAGTGAAGGAAGTGTTGAGTTATCGATGCTAATAGTGCCACTGGACGGATCATAGAATCGTTCAAGCATGGCGACCATTGTCGATTTTCCACATCCAGAAGCGCCCACCAAGGCCACAAACTGGCCAGGCTTGACATCTAGATCGATACCGCGGAGGACGGGAGCATGAGGTCGAAGAGGGTACGAAAAGCGGACATCGTTTAGAACGACCGGCCCTCCTGACTTGGGTCCATTATCGCGGTTTTCGGGTGTCTCTTGGACGTTTGGTTGGAGTTGGGCGAGCCAGAATATATAGTTGGCAGCGTTGACTCCCTTGGTGATACTAGTTGAGAACTGGAAGAGCTGAGCAGAGGCCTGGCCCGAGTAAAAGACACCCAAGAAGGCCACGAAGAAGTTGTACATCGAGATATCGCCATACGATAGAAGCCGGCAGCCATACCAGAAGCCGAGAGCCTGGAACCAATACTCAATTGATTGAGTCAGAGCAAAGAATATCATGATTCGGAAAAGATCGTTCTTCGATCCACCGACAGCGTGATTCAATTCATCGACGTATTTGTTCAGCACTGATTCTTCAATAGCCAGTGACGAGACAGTTCGGATGGCAGTGATGGCCTCAGAGGCAATGGAAGCGCTGGTGGAGTATCGTTTCGAAGTATCCCGATCCAACTTGGCATCAAGACGAATCTTGAAGTAACCTGAGCTGACCAAGGGGGGAAGACCAGCACAAACAACCACCAAACCCAGCTTCCAGCTGTGGATAATAGCCAGCAAACTGCATGCGAGCAAGTTAAGAATGGCAATCAGGATAAGCGCAACATTGAAGCCCATGAGTTCCAAGATGGACTGAGGGTTGGAGTCGATTCGACTAGCAAGAGCTCCAGTGCTATTCTCCTTGCGGTCGAAGAACTGAAGGTCTTGGCGGAGCATGTGCTGGAGACTCTGCTTGCGAAGCTTGTGGCTAAGGTACTGAGCAACCGTGTTAGTGGCATAGCCAAGAGCAAAGTACGAGACGAGAAGACCAGCGGCGAGGACAATAAACATGCTGGCATAAAAGTTTCCGCGGTCTCTCATCCGATCGCCAGTCAGAGTAAAGACCTCCACGACATGAGCAAGCAGAATAGCCTGTCCAGGGAATGCTGCGACAGCTCCCAAACAACCGGCAAGAACAAAGAAGTATGACCAAGCCACCTCGGGGCTCTCTCGGATGAGTCGGTAGATGACATAAAAGATACCCAGCTGCTTGTGGTTGTCGTAGTTGCCAAGCTCCATGCAAGCCTCGAGACGCTCTTGAACATGGGGCTCGTATTGAGTTACTGTTTTCGCAAGACCGAGTTCTTTCTTGTCTCCCTCAGGGGCGACCTCTTCCTCCTCCTCTTCGGTGGACGCATTGACAGAGTTGTCGTCAACTGAAAGGTTCTGGATCTTGACGAGCTGTGCATAAGCGCCGTCTGCAGCGATCAAAGATTCATGCGAGCCTTGTTCGATGATGGAGCCCTTAGACATGACAACGATGTTATCAGCCTTGCGGATGGTAGCGAGCTTGTGAGCAATGACAATGGTGGTACGGCCTTCGGATGCCTTGTCGAGTGCTTTCTGGACGACGCTCTCCGCGTGGGGATCAAGAGCACTTGTAGCTTCATCGAGAAGAAGAACCTTGGGCTGCGATACGACGCTGCGGGCGATAGCGACACGTTGTTTCTGACCACCAGATAGAAGTCCACCTCGCTGCCCAATTTCTGTATGGTAACCATCAGGAAGTTCCTTGATAAAATCGTGGGCAAAGGCCATCTTGGCAGCCTCCTGGATACGTTCCATCTGCTGCTCGGCGGAGACGTTTTCCCACTCGGTTCCGATTAGACCGTGCTTGATGTTGTCGAAAACAGACCCCTCGAAGAGAACGGGCTCTTGCTGGACAAGACGGACATTTCGGCGCAGCCAGTTGAGGTTAAGTTGATCAATAGGACGGCCATCAAGCTTTATGGTGCCAGACTTGGGGTTGTACCAACGCTCGATAAGGCCGACAATAGTACTCTTTCCGGATCCCGACTGACCTACCAGAGCGGTGACCTTTCCTGCTGGAACATTCAAAGAGAAGTTCTCCAAGACGGCAATACCAGGTCTGGTAGGATAAGCAAAGGAGATGTTCTCCAGCTCGACATGACCGATAGTCTCAGAAGGAGTCTCGCCGTCCTTGGAAAGAGGGTCGATGGCTGATTCTCGATCAATGAGAGTGAAGAGCTGAGCTGCACCAGACATGGCACGACTGAAGTCGATCGTGTAGGGGGTCAGCTGGGTCAGTTGAACGGCTGCAATTACAACCGACAGAAGGACAGTGAAGATGACACCCGAGTCGGTAATTTCTCCAGTCGACAGCATACGGACACCTTGCCAGAAAGCAAGACCGAAACCGAGGTAAATAATCGTGTAATCGGCAGAGAACATAAGACCAAAGAGAATAGAGATCTTTTTCCCAACTGTATGGGCCTCCTCGAGGTGCTTATCGAACTTGTCGACGAGTCTGGCCCGCATCTCAAACGCGTGGACTGTTCGGACGCTGGCAAGGATGCCCTCAGCAAGCGAGTTGGCTTGACCGTGGATCTCTAGAATCTTAACCTCGTGGACAGCTTCCATTGTGGCAACCACGGTCATGACAATGATAGTTGCTGGTGCAATGCACAAGCAGATGAGAGTGAGTTTCCATTGAACGACGAAGGAAACAATGAAGGCAGTGAGGAAGGCTGCAACACCTTGGAAGAAAAGACCCAACTTTTCGGCGATACCAGTCTGGATCAAGCGACCGTTTGAAGTAGCCTGAGTAGCGATGGAACCGCCGCTGCCAAAGTCATAGTAGGCAACTTCCTGTCGAAGAGCAGCACGAAGAAACTCCTTTCGAATGTTGCGTACAATACGATATGAGGAGTAAGTGAGAAAGACGTTCCAGATGTAGGAGAGAACGAATCGACCAATGCCGAGATAAACAAAGTATAGACTTAGGGAGGGTTAGTAGGTGGATGGAATGATGTTGGCTTGGTGAGACTCACGCTAGGTCGGCAACATCTTGGCGGAACTTGCTGGGCTTGGATTCGCCAGAGGTAAAGTCGGTGATGGTGGTAATGAACTGTCCGAAGATGAGGTTTTGGAGAGCGATGCCGGCACCTGAACCGATGGCAGCAATAAGTGCAATACCTTGCATCAGATATTCCGTAGGGCCAGCATATGTAAGGATTCGCTAAACAGTGTTAGTAGAATATTTATCAAGAGGCCTATGAGACTTACTTTGTAGTCACTCCAAGAGCCCTCAATTTCTCCTTCTTCGGCTGGGGTGGCAGCATCACCATCACCACTTTCAGTGTTGACGACGACATCTTCAGGAGTTGAGGTGATGTCACTGCCTCCAACAACCTTTTCGTTCTCCTTCTCGTTGATACTTGGAGCCATTTTGACTTGGCTTGAGAGCCACTGCTCTAGACACAGAAATCACCAGTGGCCGTTTATGGTGTTGGAAATTAATGACCTGATGCTGTGATGTACAAGTTGGAAGAAGCACGCGAGTTCAAGGCCTCACTTAAGCCCCGGTTTCACAAGGAAATTAATGAATTAGAGAACTAGAAAAAGAGGAAAAAAGAGACCATTTTGCAAAAACAAGGGGATAGCGTGCTTTTGAACAAAAGACCAAAGAACTTTTGAGAAGAAAACCCGGGGGGTGGAGTGAAAGTAGGCCTGATTTAGACGGGTAACGAATGGTGATCCTTGGCAGTTTTATTAGTGTGTATCCGTATTTTTTATCAGATCCGCATGCAAAGTGGTCCAAGTGGAGCCCTGATTGATAATGGATATCATGAAGGTAAAATTGTCTCTGCGATCGCGGAGGTTTAGGGCTAAAAAGGGTGTGCTGGGTTTTATGTTTATGTATGTATGTTTTATCTGATCGTGGGTCTACATGATGTTATTATTGACAGTAGTTTGTATAACATGAGTACTACATATTAGTAAAGAAGTCCTTTGGTTAATCGACAACATTACCACCGTGGTATGCATCAACGCAGGGATCTTTCGGAAATGATGCCGGGTGCATGTCTAATGAGTGCTGAAGTCTTGGCTTGATGAGACGTCAAACCTCATCCTCAAGATCGATCTTATTCGTAATCCTCATCATGACTCAACAAGGTCTCAGCATCATCATATTACGCAAATCCTCTTCATAAGCGTCCAAAGCTTTACGAAGCAGCAAGTAACACAGGAGATGAGATTGAGAGATTAGATGCACATGAACTTGGATCCCTCGGTCTCTTTCTATTGGCTCCTTCGGCCTCACGGTCTTCTCGGGAACCGTAAATATACGTATCCACTCCCGAACTTCACCTCCAACGGTCACTGTTCTTCCGGATCCCGCGGGTTCCGTATTGATGAATCTCCACCCCAAACTCCATCTTACTACGTAGTAGCTCTCAAAACGCCATGTAAGTCACTGCATGACATCTCCCTATCGACTTCTTTGTGATAATATCTCTTTGCCATCCCCTTTCCGTTCCTGTTCCCCCCAATCAGTCCGTTGCTCGGCACAGGTTCCGTTGTCCGCATTTGAACATCAACGGTGCCCGTGATTCCCGCTCTTCACATCATGGCTGAGAACACCCAGAATCAGTTGGACATTGATGTTGATGGTCCTGATGAAGGATCAGATGGACCCCAGAATACATCCAACTTGACCATTCGACGAGCAGTTAGTGTTACACTGTCCCAGCAGCCTTACCCTCATCCCTACAGGCTACCTACCCACATGGGCTCCTCATCACTAACTTGCCCTGCTTGCTTAATCTTATTAGTGCGACGCATGCCGAACTCGCAAGGTATGTACTTATCAATCTAATCAATCTTTATGCAAATCATTTTATCACAATATTCAAATCGTCGAGGGTCTGTCTTCTGGCATGGTGGGGTTGGTGCAACGAGAAGCCATTGCATAAAACGCTTGCACCACTGAACCATGTTGTCTCGAACAAGTATAGCTACATAGATAATAACATCAATCTATATAGATCCGATGCGATAGAAACTCACCATGTTCTCATTGTGTACACGCCAAAATCCCCTGTACACACCATGAAACCCGACCAAAAGAGAAACGAACCCGTATTCTCCTCTCAGCCCAATAGTAAGTTACCCCAGATCTTGATGTCATGTTTTATGTCCAATCAGTGTCTGATTACTATTCAATACCTTACCTATACCATAATACACCACCAACTTCTCAATAGGCTAATGACCATGTAGTGAGAGAAAGATCGACATCATCGATCGCCGTCTTGAGGCGCTCACTGAGCTCATGCGGGATATGAAGATGAATATGCCATCTGCAAACTCTCAGCCGAGCCAAAACCACACGCCCAAATCTGATTCCACACGCCAATCATCAGCCCAAGCCTCCAGCTCAACGCCCTACGGCCATCTTACTCAACCCAATGCCGACAGCCCGGTCATTGAAGGAGAGTCTTCTTTAGCTGCTCATGGTGAATTTGCAAACGAGTTTCTCAAAAATGCCGTCGGGACAGAGTCTCTACAAGGCGCCAGTCTTGAGCTACGTGAAACTCTGGATTCTCTGCATCACATTGTCAGCTCATTGAAGCAACAGACGGCTGCTACAGAGATGTCTTATCCGTATGCTAGACTGGTACCCCGCCCTACACTCAAGAACCATGAGTTGCCACCAGTACAGACAGCTGTTTCCATTATACGGGAATGTGAAAGTAAGTAACAACATGATTCCAGGGTTCATACCCTAGCATATGTGTGAGTATTTCACCAGCCATACTAACCAACGCTTCCCCTCGTAGGTGAGAACTCGGAGATTTCAGCTTGGATCAGAGAATTCTTCTCACTGGAGAACTTCTCTGGCATGTGCCTTCATGTATACTTCTCAGAGGATGTCGCAGAAGCTGATTTCATCCTCGTGAATGTCGGTCTGATGTACATGTTCATGGATCGTCAGCAGCGCTCGACCAATAAAAAAGAACAGGAAGAGTGTGAGGAATATTGCATGAAACTTCGAGAGAACACCGAGACTGCGTTGGCAAACCTTCCTTTTCATCTTCCTGCGACTTCGAATATGATCTCTGCTCTTCTGCTTGGGGTATGGTATCCCCGCCGCATTTGACTTGACATCGTATTAACATAATCTCTAGGCATTTTATGCTATTGAAATATCAAAGCCATCACTCTCATGGACTTTGTCATGCAAAGCATCTGAGCTATGCCAAACCCTGGGATATCACAGAATATCAACTATGAAGAATGACAAGCCCATCGAGGCGCAACGGAAGAAGTTCCTCTTTTGGAATACATACTTCATCGACAAGAGTCTATCTCTCCGTCTCGGCAGGGCTTCCACTATACAGGATTGGGATGTGACCGTGCCCCTTCCCACTCAGAGTAACAGCAACTCTACCCCTCTGTCCGCCTTTATCTCGCTTTGGGTCGCTACAGCTCGATGCCAAGGCCATATATACGAGCTACTTTACAGTCCAGACTCTATGACACAGTCAGATGACGTGAGGAGATTCCGTGCTCAGAAGTTGGTGGCCGATTTAGACGACATCGCGAGGAGGAGTCGAGAACTGAGTGTAAGAACCCCTAAACTACCCGCCTTGCGCTGAATTCTTCATAATTTGGCCCTATACTGATATGAATGATATAGAGAACCCGAGAAAAGGAAGTCAGGACAAAACTTGGGGAATATTTCTTCGACTTCATTCTTATCTCTGACGACGTACTCCGGCTTTCATTGCGTACCCTGATTTACAGGGCTACTCCCGCGCCCCCTAATTCCAGAGGGACATTTATCCCAGAATGTATTGAGGCTGCACGTGCGACTCTGCAGCGTCATCAAGACTGTATGAACCTCCTGGGACGAGATAACACATTGTATTTTCCGTCTTATGTTCACTGGTAAGTAGGCTGCCGGAACCCATCAAGCGACTGTGAAGTCTGACTGATCCAGGACTGTTCTCTTTGCTCCTTTCATCCCTTTTATTGTAGTCTTTTGTCAGGTCATCGAGACTCAAGACCAAACCGACCTTGCCCGTCTCCACAGCTTCTGTACGTCTATGGAAACCAGCATTCCACTATCAGATGCAGCGGGTAAGACACACCGCCTGTTCCAAGTTCTCTACACCGTGGCACTTCGTTACATCGAGTTTCGTACAACCTCCCCTCCTCCAGAACAGACACAAGCAAGCGCTGAGCTTAATAACTATCTCGCTGCACTCGGCTTTCCTCCAGCTGGTATCAACAACGGAGGCCATCAAGCAACCCACATGAATCCTGACCAAACCGGTGCCTTTTCACAGCCTCTGGGGGATATGGGCATGATTGATGATGCAGAGGGTCAAAGAGGGGCAAACACCATGATGTGGATGGGCAATACGGCGCAGCTTGAGGAATGGTTCAACAGTAATCAGCAGATGATGGAGTTACTTGAAGAGCCCAGCTTTACGTTTCCTCAGCAGCAATAAATCGCTAGCTAGGCGGCAATGGCCAGATTTCTTTGGAAAGGTATGATGTATAAAAGTTAGAAGGTGTATAAAACGCCACTCACATCACGGCTTTACGGGTTGAGACAATAGAATTTAACAAAGTCAGGGTTTCAAGTCGTCAAAATACAGTGTGGCGCTTTTCATAGCCATGCAGCGAATGAACTTCATCGTCTTATATGAAATGTCCATGTAAGTATTGACTTAAGCTTTTACAAAATCTACCTCGAAAGCCTCAATTCTTCTGACACCCCCGGGTCAGGCAAAAGCATAGGAGACCCCTCCAACTCACCCTCCAGATTTCCATGTCTCTCAACATCATCCAATGGCACCTTGGACGGTGGTGGCTTCTTCAGCATAACCACACCAATGGCGCTTCCAAGAATCAGAGTGCATCCTGCACCACTCATAAGTCCCATTCGATGTCCGAAAACCCATCGGTCGAAGCCCGCAGCAAAGAGCATGTGTGTGTAGACCATGGAGTTAGCACGGTTCGATTTGTCGGCTCCAAGACCTGATGTAAGAAGGAATTGCATGATGAAGCCCAATACACCCAGTGGGAGAAGGAGTATCCATTGCTTGAATGTTGTTGGGGTAACCCATCGTAGGGCTGGTTGTTGGATATTGAGTATGGGCGCAAAGATGAGCATAGAGAGTGCAATAAAGGTGGAAATGATGCCGAAATAGTTGACCGAGATTAGAGGATGGGCTCGTTTTCCGATAGTTCGAAGAGTTGTAAATGCACCCGCTGCGCCAAAAACACCCAATAAAGCTACCCCTACAGCAATCAGACGTTCCTCAGGCGTGGCTTCATGGTCAGCGCCGGGCATGCCTGCAGACTCTGGCGGGTCAGTCGTTGAGGAATGGTCATCATCATCGCCGGAGTGTGAGAACAGAGAAGCAGGTCGAGCAATCAGCACAACACCAAGAAAAGCAACCAACGTCGCAAGCTGTTCAATTCGAGTGAATGGCTCTCGTAGAGCAAACCAGCAGATAATACCAGCGACCCCAGGTGCCAAGAACGTGATGACGGTAGCATCAGCGAGCGAGATATACATCATGGAGTACCAGACGCCAAAAATACCCCAGAAACCACTCGCTCCCCTCAACCACAGCAGCCATCGAATTTCTTTCTTTCCAAATGGGAAATCTGGCGTTTTACTCCACCACATGTAGGTTGAGCAGAACAAGGCCGTTATAGAGTGTCGTATCAGTAATGCTTGGACGGGATGCATGCCGTCGCCTTCGAGTTCGAGTAAACGGGCACTCAGGTTCATCAAAGCCCCGAAGAATTGAGATAGCGCTACATAAGCAGCGGGCTTATTCTTTATCCAGAGTTGCTTCCATTTCGATTGTGGATTTTCGGTTGGTGAATCGGCTCCGTTGTGTGAGAATCGTCTCATGGGAATGGGTGAAGGGCATGGCGATGGACTTGACGACATGCGACGGAAATCGTCAAAGCTTGTACCATCGAGTTTCGAAGGCATCAAATTTGGTGATGGCGAAGGCGGTAATAGATGCTGGTGTGATTCATGGGTGTCCCTGGGCGCCAGCTTGACTCCGAGAGTTTGAGGAACCTCCTCATATGGTGGAGGAGTCCGATCCATTATTGCGGGATGATAGTGAGGAACTACTGTTCTTCCATGAGGCCGTCACGAACTGGCAGGAGAATGATGAACGATGATTCACAGTGGAAGAAAAACCAGAGTTACAGTTTATGAGCGACTACGCATCTTACAAATAGGGAATTACCTACAAGGGAAAAGTTCCGGATCGACAACTCCAGAGCGTCAACCATTGACAACCAACCACCCCGCAGTCGAAACCCACTGATCATGATTACGGTATCCTCTTTTCCTACTCTCTTTTTTCACATCAACCAACCGATGAGCCAACAAGAAGAGATTCTCTTGCGGTGGGGGCGGAGCCTAGCACCTCGGTAGCAGCTCTTCAAGAACCCTTGATGACGATGACAGACCGAACCCCAGGAAGGCAGGGTCTGAATCCCGGTGCCTAGACAGTGTTCCAACTTGGGAACTCTTACGGGTTCCAGGGCCAGGCACGGAAAATAAACGGCCACTGAAATAGAGGGAAGGGAAACAATAATTCTCAGCGTTGGCACGCGACCTGCAGCAGTTTGTTTTAGGTGGCGAGGGCCTCAAAGAGCTGGTGGGCGCTTAGGATGAGTTGAGGGCTGTTGATGTGACATGGTGAACCACCTGCCACCTGCATCTCTCTTGGCTCTGCAACTAACAAGAAAAAGAATAAGCTCTGCCCGACTTCGGCGTGTGCAAAATAGGTAATCGGTACAGTCGGCCGAGGATGAAGGGGGAAGTCCGGTAGCGTTAGCCGTTGGAGTTGGAGTTGCGAGTGGATCCGGGATTAGATTTGAAGATGGGGTTATCTCCGTGGGGGTATATCTTTAAAATATGGAGGTCATAGTTGGAACGAGTCCATCTTGGAATTCAGGAAGTTATAAAAATTCAACATGACTTCAATATTAGTAATTATAAGTTCCTTACCTGGGTAGGTAGTCTGCCTCACAAGTCCTAAGACCATTCAATCTATTAGTAGGTATTGGTCTGTAACGTACGGTTATACTTATAAGTGATATGTCTTGCTACTGGTTCGAAATTCATCAGTCTTCTCCCTAGTAGGTACGCACTGGTCTGACTGGGTTAGTACTTAGGTAGGCCCAGGTATAGTACCTCTACCTAGGTACCTAGTCCTTCTAATCATCAGAGGTATTAGTCATCAGAACTTGCGCCTGTCTGCGAGGCGCTGGCCACGCAGTCAGTCTGTAATAAGGCTGTGAAAATGGCAAGAGTGACGCCTGGTTCTGGGGCTGAAACTGCCATCCTTACCTACTTTGCGGGGTTACTTCATCACGTTGACGTTGTTCAATCCTGCTCAAAATGAGTAGCATTGCTGAAGCCGAAGGCAATGTTGAGGCAAGTGCAGGTGCCAGCGACCTCAAGCGTGATAGTCGTAAGTTTTGCTCTCGAGTAACTTAAACTAAGTACCTACTTTAACCCAAACACCAAACAGTCAGGCCCACGATGAGTAGGGCACTCGACCATCTAAGCGGAATCGCGTGAACGATACACCTGAGAGTAATCCTGCAGTTTCTGCAAAAGACTACACAGTGGGTTGGGTATGTGCTCTCCCGTTGGAAACGGCGGCTGCGAAAGGAATGCTTGACCAGGTTCACCCCAATCTTCCACAACAGAACTCCGCCGGTCACAACAATTATATCTTAGGCCAGGTTGGGCCGCACAAAGTTGTTATCGCCTGCCTACCTGTAGGCATCTTTGGGACGACGACTGCTGCTGCAGTCGCCAAGGACTTGATGCAGACCTTTCAGTCAATTCGCTTTAGTCTAATGGTGGGCATCGGCGGTGGTGTCCCATCATCAACTCATGATATTCGACTTGGAGATGTCGTAGTTGGTCGACCCACCGGAGTGTATGGACCCTTGAGGTCCATGGATCTATCGCTTCTTACGTGTCCTTCTGCCCAGATGGTAAGCTTGTAACATTGGCAATGCTTAATAGTGCAATACGACTATGGAATACAGCAACTGGTACTCACCTGGTGCCATTTAAAGACAGTACGGATGTATTGGACTATATCACCTACATGACCTTTTCACCTACCGAATCGTGTTTAGCCACAAAATCAAACAACGGAATGGTTCGAACGTGGAATATGACGACTTGGGCACATATGCACACGATTAAGTCTGGCGATGGTGATATTAGAACTTTTAGTTTCACGCCAGATAGTCATTTGTTAGTATCGGTCACTGATGCAAACACAATCCAATGCTGGAGTGTAGATACCGGTACACATCAGCAGACAATTTTGTCCTCTCCTACTTTCTTATTAACTTGCCTCTCGTCCGATGGTCGGCTTGTGGCATCAGCCTCCACCAACCAACCTTTCGGGGGTCTATTTTCTCATCCAATTTGCCGCTTTTAGCAGCAAAAGGCCTTGATGATTCAATTGAAGTCTGGAACTTGCCAACTGGTACGCTTCAGAACAAACTTAGAGATCGAACTCATACATTTTGTAATATGCCCTTCTCTCCTGATAGTCAGGTTCTGGCGTATCAAACCGCGAGCGGCGCAATTAACCTTTGGGATACAACGATACGTTCGCCGCAACCTATTCTTGAGGGACACAGCCTCTATGTAGACATAATCGTCTGTTCTCCTGACGGCAACGCAGTAGTATCATCATCTCGTGACGAAACCATCCGACTCTGGGACGCAGTAACAGGTTCATGTCTGAGGACACTTGCAACCCCAGGTGTTGCCCGACAGCAAGCTCTTAGGAATCGTATATTATGACGGTACAGCCAAGCTCTTCGATTCAAAGACCGGCAAACAGGAACAGGTGCTCATAAAGGATGTCAACTTGTTTCGGACTGTTGCTTATTCACGCGACGCCAATTTTGTAGCTCTTGTAGCATTAGAGTCGTTGAACACCATCAAGCTTCACAATGCGTCAACTTTCTCATACATGAATACCCTCGAGGGGCATACTGGCGCTGTTCAAGGCATTGGCTTTTCACCCAACAATAAGATCTTGGCATCATGGGGCGAGGACATGACAGTCAAACTCTGGGACACACAGACAGGCGTGGTTCAGTCCTTACTTGAACCCGGTCCTCAATGGACCCTTACGCTCGTATTTCCGCCCGATAGTCAGGTCGTGGCCATCCCAATGAAGGACGGTATAGATTGGTGGGATTTAGGCACTGGCATTCGCCGACAAACATCGGGAATGAGAGAGCCTCCTGGACTTATTGCTTTCTCATCGAATGACGCAGGCTTCATCAGGGACATCTCTTTCTTCCATCACGAAGTTGTCGTCTCTGTGTCTGATCACGATCTGCATAGTCTCTGCGACGTCTGGAACAGAAATATTTGGAACGAAGCAGTTTGGAACAAAGCAGTCATTTTTGAAGAATTATACTTACCCGATCACAGCTACACAGGAGATAACTACACTGGAGGCTACTCTACGTCGTGAAGTCAGCCTTAGCGTTGACAGGACTTGGATCACCAGAGGTTATGAAACGATTATATGGCTTCCTGGGGAATACCGACCGACAGGGATAGAATCTTATGCTCGAAGAAGATCGACACTTTTCATTGGATGTGCATCGGGTCGAGTTTATCGTTTGCAAATCTCTTGATCGGGCTCTCTTACTGCCGTAGCCGATCTATCACAAATTTCGCTCTTTTGTTTCCCACATCTAGGAATACGTCTTGTAAGACTGGCCCCTGGGGTCAAGCATCAAGATCCAATAACTGTGATTATACAAGCCATGGCAAACATTTTTTCCAATGCGCTACCTCGATTCAAGAGGTTGACTTAATCTGTGAATGCATATGCACGTACTTTGCTGGTGTGGCTCTTTCTAACTCCTGGCCATGCGCCATGATAATCCGTTGAAACGCCCAAGCCATACCCATAACCGTGTTTCTGTATAACGCCTGAGGTGTGCCAAAACGACAAAATTCCGATGAACAAGGGCAAGCCTTGTTTTGAAGCCCATTATCTCTTCTTACCCAACGCATCAAGCTCGGCCTCAGCATCATCATCGGCCTCACCCAGCTCCTCCTCCACTCTCGACGCCGTAGGAACCACCAACGCTCCTCCATGACCAGGTCTCGTATCAGTCTTTTCTTTCTTCTTCTCTTCGTCTGCAGCATCCTTCATAATCTCGTCCTCGCCGTCGCGCAGAATCTCACGAGCCTTCTTGATCTCCCTCTGCTTCTCAAACACCTCTTGGACTTTGCCCAGGAACGCGGGGTTCTTACGGAACGCGAACTCGAAGTCTTCGTATTTGATCTTTTGACGTCCGGAGTAGTTAGCTGCCCGTGTCGCTTCGAAGGCGATGGATTGCATGAAATCGGTAAGGATCTCGTCGAGAACTCGGACGGTTTCAGGGAGCGGGTTTTGAACATCGCCGTGCGCATAGAGCAGCTGTGCTACTGGAAGATGAAGAATTCAGCATATGGGAGAAGAGTTAAGATGGAAAGGATTCAGACATACGCTCTGCGTGGCTAAAGTTCATCTTGCCAACATTCTTGCCGGCACGCGCTCTAGGCTCCATGATGGATGTAGCTGCTTGCGCCTTGAGCGCTTCCAACAGGAGAGTATGTAAAGTGAAGAGTTTGAGTAGAGCGGAGGAGAAAACTAAAGGAATTAATGTTTTCAAATATCAAGATTGTGCAGCCTCGCAGTAGACATGTAGTTGAAATACCGTCCCCAAGAAGATTCATGTGCTCAGCGCAGCCTTGCGAGCTGTTGGAGGCTCAGTCCGGGGTGTTCAGCGGGGTCCACAAATTCTGTGGGGGGTTTTAATCCCTTAACGTTCAGCGGGCGGCAAGATGGACGTCACCCCTTGGAAAACACGTCGCGGCTCCGGCGAATCTTTACCCCTAAGCACACTTGTCGCATGTGAGTGTGAGAGCAAAGTCAATAAGGGACACTGTTGAGCTTAACGACGAAGTCTACGAACAAGCCATTCGACCTGAAATACAATATTCACATACGGGTCCAGCTTCGCAAGTTATCAAAATGGTATGCGCTCTTCTCCTTCTCCGCCAAATCGACATGCTAACAGCTCCTCTCTAGTCTGCCCTCTTCAACTTCCAGTCCCTCCTACTCGTCCTCCTGCTACTCATCTGCACGAGCGCATATGTCCACCACTTTACACCAGGTATCATGGACCGAAACAAGAACGGGTACGGAATGCGACGCTCCGACTTTGGGTGCGACGACGCTGACACAATAGGGTAGATTCATGGGTATCTTTTGGAAATGCGCGAGGATAGGCGAAAGATTGAGTCCATACATAAGCATATGCTGTGTCCTCATGGCTGTAAGTGCTATTTTCTGTCAGAGACGTCAAATACGTTAAACACGCTAATCAAAGGGTTAACAGGTTTCCATCCTCCTCAACTAAGGCTTATGCTCTTCACGACATGTTTTTTTGTTCTGTTTTTAAAGATATCACGACAGGTTATGAGTTGAACGGAAGAGAGGGGAAAATAATAACCAGGCGGAGCGTTGGCGCTATCTATTGAGTGCACAAAGCCTTCAAGTGACCATGATGAAATAATTCCTATTTGCCTTCTCGCAAGATTTGCCCGAATAGCTATGAGCGAACATACCTACCATCCGAGAATGTGCTTGCGTTACATCCGTATTCCCAAGGCTATACCACGCAAACACTCAGCTTCAAAACCCGGAACGAAACCTTGATTCGGGTACCTGGTTTGTTTTGTTCACATGTTCGGGAAGTATCGAAATTGCAGCAAGTGCCACAAAGCAATACTGTGTTGGGATGAGGGCTGGAAAGGTAGCAGCACAGAAAGAAACTCGACATGTATTTGTACTTCGATAGCGTATCAACCTAACCTGTACAGGGATCAGAATGAAGTGTCTGCAGACAAGTTGGCGCACAAATGTGACAGACATGGCAATCTATGTGATAGTGGAGGACAAGTACGGCATTGGTTTCGAAGTTTATCATGTCTCTTGCCTCTTTTCTCTTATTAGAGGGTTCGAGAGCCTGAAATATAGATTTTACAACAGTCACAGCATAAATTCCATACTAAAACAAAGCTGTCAAACCAATCAAGCCTCTGTATACTGTGTATCCAATGCCGTCCGCGAAAAGCATGTAAGAAGCCACATGTGGTTCATATCATTTGCACATTGATAAAAGATGCCACATTGACAGTGATGAGACAGCAAGGTGCATACCGAACCGCCATTTTCATTTCTTGCCGGCCGGAGGTTGCTCTGGAGTCTAGCTAGACCTTGCATCAAAAAGCAAAAGTAGGGTAATCGATATGGAAAAAGAAATGAGAGACAACAACATGAGAATCTGGGGTCGGATACGGGAACCAAGCCTCAAGGATCAATTGGCGTGATGCGGATAGATCGCGGTCTTGATTTGTTGGGAACCCTTTACGGACAAGTCGTGTTGAGATCTGGGCTCTTATTGTCGAATCATAATACCATCCACCACTCACCAAACTGGCATGTCAAGTTAGCAGCAGGCGACTCAAGCCGAACAAGACAGTGGTCAGACACAGATAATGAGATGTTACCATCCTCCCATCGTGGTAGCACACACTTACAAGGCTGGTCATCATTAATAAGTATTGCGCTGTAAACTGTAATCATCAGCACAGCCGCCCAACGCCGTCATATGTGTAGTAGTGTGCGACAAAGGCGTAATTCTCGCATGAATACGATTGCACACCGAGCACGGTTGCCCACATGGCACACACGCATACCTATAGTACATAGGGAGACATGCCGCATAACAAAGCAAAGTAAACCAGAGTAAGCCCCAAGTAAACTGATGGTATGAGATGGTTAATGGTGTGCCTGTGGCCATGTGCTGACCGAGCATGCATCGAAACCGCCATGCCCGAAATGCGGCCTTCCGCCGCTCCTTGCAACTGACTATACCAGAGCTTGGTCCTAGAGTTAATAATATCAGTCACTATCGCCGTGCCGTGGATCTGCTCCGGCCCCGAGCTTCCAGCCCCGAACTCGGCCTGAAGCTTGAGGTGGCCCCCCAGTCTGACTCGCTGCGACACCACCTACTCAATCCGTAAAATGAGCTGCAGTTCGGGCGGTGGGAGGTGGAGGTGAAACCACCACAATGCTTTCGAAATGAAACTCCGGTGTTAAAGCTAAGCGCCTTCAAGTATAGGTCTAAAGACGAGGAGACTCCTAATAAAGGGGGGATCTGGCTCCGATATGCGAAACGATAGTGACGGGAATTGCGAAAAGAAAAATGACGGGAAGGATCTTTTTGGTGTGGTTGGTATGAATAATCCGCCAGTTGTATGTATGGGTGCAAGCACTGCGTATGCAAGGCGAATCTAGGTGATTCGAGACGATGATAAGACATCCACTGAGAGGGAGGGTTTCTTCTTCTTGACTTTCGGCAGACCTACACTACAGCAGCCAAGCATCAAGTCGGGGATCAGGGAGCCAAATCAGGGACTAGAATTGAGTGGACACACGATAATACGACGAGTGGCAATAGCTTGTCCCTGATTCAAACCATCGTCTCGGTCTCTTTGCCCTGCATCTCGCACCCATTCTGACTTTTATGGGCATCGTCCATCGTGGGCTAGGAGACCAACATGCCTCGTAAAAATACCAAAGGTAATTGCCGGGCCAGTCACACCAGTCAATTGTCACTGAATCGTCCGCTGGCTTTGGGGTTGGAGGGTTCCTCGCCTTGCATGGCACTATTGACTATGCCGTCCCGGCTGGTCTCGTTCCCAAGAAGTTGGCCATCATTTTTGGGTTTCCTGAATTCGAAGTGTTTGCGACAATGGGGAACAAACAACCTTTATGTTAGTGTGTTAAATGGTCATTTTTCTCACTCGCGTGATCATCTGTCAAAAGCATTTGTCAAACTGTCTTGGTTGCTTGCGTCACACAGACTAGGATAAATAGATTGTGTGTGTCCTACGATCCCAGCGGAAAGGAAAGTTTCTGTTGTCGTTCCGGGAAAAAAAAGTCTGAGGTAATCATTGTTTCTGACTTTTTGGCTGTGGCAGCCTCGCGGTGTCCGAAATGGTGGTTCCCAACCTTGGCCTGGGACGACGGAACGGGACACAAGGGCCCCGCTGCATGGACAAATTGAGCTGAACATGGGTTTGAGGCGAAACAGCTCACGATGGATGACTTTGGCTAGAGTTGCGCTCACGAGGAGCATTCCAATAAGAGTCGGCTTCTCCGATTCGAGTTTGGCGTTGAAACCAATTATTAGGATTTGAGATCAGCTATGTGGAAATGAACAAGAACACGGTCATTAGTTACACTCATGTTGCACTTGTTCGCTGATTAACGGCACTTTTGAGTCTTGCCCATACGGTAGGTAGACATTCAATTAGCGGTTTGTTGTGGACAATAAGAGGTGTAATCAAGTCAGCCACATCTTGCTGTCGTGAGACTGTTGTGGCTGTTCACTGTGACTATGTCTACAGCGGTGAGGAAACCTCATCCGTTTCCATGGCTTTGCAGCGCCTTGGGCAGAATAGCATTGCAGCCAAGTTTTGGGCTGTATTTCAAACATATATGCATTGATGCGTTGGCCACTTCGTGTCCTAGCGGATGGTGATGTGGTCCCACCCCGATGGTGTTTTGCGATTTATCTTGGTGTGAATGATGGAGCCTCTGCTTGTTGTTGTCAATCCTGACTCATAAAGAGTTGTGAGCAAGTGTGGGCTGCGAATCGCAGCCCAAGCGTGAGCTAGAAGGAACACAATGCCCAAAACACAGGGCCTCAGTTTTCGATGAGTATAGTTCGGACAATAAACAATAGACAGGGCTGGCTGACTCCGTCGAGAAATGAACCGACGGTGTCTTCTGAACTGATGCACGCTCCCTGTTTCCCCTGTCAGACCAGGACTCGACGAGGTCCACATCAAGGCCTTACTGCCAAACATACCACAACGACACCACTACCATCTGACGCTTCTGTACTTCTGGGGCCTGTGTACATGGGTAGTCTGGCAGGTACTTGCTGCTGGGTCTGGATTTAATGTTCGAGGGCTCGGAGCTTGGGTTGACCCTGACATATCTACCCTGGAGAATGCTCGCCGTTCGGGTCGTTATATCCAAGGCCCGACAATATCACTATGAACATCCACCAATCCAGTTCAATGTAACAAATGCTCAGCGGTGCCGAGGCTGCGGTGCACCATTCCATTGATACACTGGAGTGTACATGGGATATGCTTGCACTGCACACTGTACCGGGTATCCGTACTGATGAGAGATTAGATAGCCAGAAACGCCATCCTGGTACCACCAGGTTGGGATACACTGTCAGTGGCGTTGACCAACTGGCGAGACCGAAATCGGGAAATGGCCGTCGCCGTGAAGTTGGAAGTATGAGAAGTCTATGAGTTTGTGACAGTACAGTACAACCTCAAATTCACATCCACCCACGAACATCTCGGCAAACTTTGCGTGCTGGGCGAGACTGTGTTGCAGAATGGCACGTCGTGATGTGTTGACTCAAGTCACCGCTCCGTCTGGCATCGTGACAGTATAAATTATGTGCCATGTTCCCCATTGTCATGATATTGCATCAATGTCGTTCTGTCCGTGGCAAAGCGCAAGTAGTCCCGGAGGAAGAAGGATTCCTGGCAAACACTCGAGTAGCAAAATACAGGCGGCATTTGTGGTGGCGGCGGCAGACGGCCTGGGCGCATACCGTCATTATAAGAAATCTCTTTTCTGATCGAGGCTCATCGGCATGCATTGCATCGTTGTCACGAACACTGCCACAGGAAGCATGATTTTTTGTATTTTCGTTCATTTCTCAGTCAGCACCGAAACTCTCTGACCAGCGAGAGTTGCAGGTTGATTCGTAGTGCCCGAAGCTGGGGCGGCTCATTAGTCGCGCGCTCGGCTCCGCTGTAATCTGCACGCTTCTGGTCTGTTTCTAGATCAGCGGCGGCGTCGAATGGATCTTTCTGTGGCCCCGAGGGTGTGTTGACTAGTGCGATGACGATGGTCCCTAGTCCCCAGTCCCTAGCACACCCCTAAAGCCTGGAGGGAGAGCCCTTGGGCCCTTGAGTTTTGGGGACTTGGGGCTGTCCAATTCTGGCCCCTTGGAATCGATGGGCGAATCGGCGGGTCGAGTTTGTCTATCCCTGGCCTGTTTTGGGTCGAATGTTCCTGGAACTCGATCCGCCTTCGGCAAGTGCAGGACTACCCTGCTTGTTTATTTTTGTGAGTGTTGGATATTGGATGTTGATGTTGATGTTGGGTTTCCCTGCATTTCCCATGACTTTCCCCTCCAGATTTTGGAATTTCTGAGATTTTGGAAGCTATAAGTTGGTTCTTGGTATCGCCTTCCGGCCTTGAATGGATTCCAGAGCTTGTATTGGACCAGGTGATTTTAACCTTGAGTGGAAAGCGGGAAAGTACGAGCTATCTTGCCTTCTTAGATTTCATGCTCTCGGGGCTGCTTGCCCTGTAAGGTGCAAGGGAAAGAACGACCCCTTCTGTCCAAGTTACCAACTTCAATTCCATTTCCATTTCCATCCCCATCTCCATCTCCATCCCCATCTCCATCTCGTCCCGCGGATCCCAAATGACATCCATGGCAAACCCACTCGCTCCATCAAATGATATGGATCACGCACTGTATTATAAGAGCATCTAGAGCATTTCTCCAACAAATATATGGGGCTATCATACGTCGCTGCACTGCTAAAAATGCGCTATGCGACCTTATGCTACAGCACAGAGCACCACATGCTGTGCTTGCTACCCTACTATACCGCGATTGCCATGGATTGGCGCTTCTTGTCATAACCGTAGCTATCGTCTGCTTTGTGTTCTTATCAGGGTTGACAAGCATTGAACAAAGCATGCAGCAGTCCACTGTTCTACATCTGCTACTTTTACAGCATGGGCGAGCAAGAGTCAATATTAGACAAAGAAGAAGAAGAAGAAGAAGAAGAGAGAGAGAGAAAACTTGGTGAGTGCCCCTCGTGATGCCCCCTTTAGACTGAGTCAAGTAGCGTCTGACCTCTCATCTAACAGAGACGAGGAAAACGACACAATATCATGCTGGCAATAAGGCTCAGATTCAAATGTCGGAGGGTCACGCTGTCGCTGTCGCTGCAGTGTGTAGTGTGTAGTGCGCAGCATTAAGATTACCTCGCACTCCCTACCCTCGCCAGCATGTCGCAGGAGCCTGCCTCGCTCAGTCTTCAGTTTGTTATCGAGTGGGAGTGACGGTCATTATGCCGTGCGCTAACTCGCAACTCGCAACTCGCCTCAGTCTCAACTGCTGCTGAGGGTCTCAGATCCAACTGATGTGCTCCTGACGCGAAGAGGAGATACTTATCACATCTCTGGAAAAGTTTCCCTAAACTTTCTGCTAGATTCCAGGGGCGAGCGCCTTGTCTGGTTCCGTTGCAGCCAACAAAATGTCAGCCAGGTACCGCTAGGTATCTGAGTGTGACATGACTACGCCCACCCCCTAAAGCTTTGGACACCCATACGAGGACTGAAGAAAAACAGCATGGACTCAGCGAGTTAGCCGAATTTGCCTCTGGTATCGGGGTTTTGACTCTCCACCCATGCTGAACCCACCGCTTCTTATTATGGAGGATGCCACGAGATTTGATTTGAGGCTGGTTATAGCGCTTCACCGGATGGAAGGTACCTTGTCGTAGTATGCGAATGCTTGACTCAAAATAATACTCTGTTGTAGTGGGTGGTAGCCCAAGTAGACCAGGGAGTGTGCCACTCAACCTATATCCCCGTCTCCCATCGCCAGTATCCCCTTTTCTTTTCTTTCTCCCTTCTTGCTATTTCTGCTTCTTATTATTTCTGTCTCTGTCATCAAACATACTTATCTCTGGTATATGCTTCTCAACATACACTTGCTCTTTCCCAAGTCTTTGTCTTGTCCGTGTTATAGATCGTCGTCAACCTGCCTGCTTCAATACCCCTCGACTCGCTTGCAATAGTAATCACCCATGCGAAATCGACAGTGAAATATAACCGAAACGAACTGCAAGGCAACACACCAAGGAACATTTGCATTTGAGGAGGAAAGGATACAACCAAACACTGTCACACGACCGCACTTTCAGTACACACAAACGCGCATTGTTCACTCTGCAAGCTCGTCCAGATCCTTGTAAGTCGACCACATAATCTGAGCATTCTCCCTGGCCTACGACTTGGCCGACCCCTATCCTGTCGTCTGCCTGTCCAGCGGTGTACAGGATTTGGCCGACGAACAGTCCATAGCCGAGCGCCTGCAACTCGCCGTGCACTCGTGACTAGGCTGGGTTGCATACATCGAGCTCACAAGTCTGCTTTCGATTCAAAGATTTTTGTTAAGACTAACAGTCTTTGAACAGTTGGGGCTTCTCGAAGGAAAAAGAAATCTGAATCTATCCTATACAAACATCAACAAACAACTCGATAGACTAAGTCAAGTGATCCGTCAGTCGGCAATATGACGGGGGATCAAGGATTCGGAGGTCCAGTTGAGCGATCCAGAAGGAGTTTATCAACATCTGGACCTGGACCTAATGGCGAAGGCGAGACGAGGCCCGAGAAGGAGACTACCAGAAAACCATCAACCGACGAAAAGGAGGACATCATACAATCATCACAGGTCTCACCACGTGGGTATAGCAGCACTTCCAACACATCAGCACCAGTGGCAACACCTCTGTCACGAAATCCCTCCGAAATATCAACAGTATCAACCACATCCAGCCCAGGACCCGAAAGCCGGAGGTCTCCAGCTCCCTGTCAGCCACTTGAACCACCCGTTACAAAATCCAGTCTGGGCGAACTGGAGGTATCTAAGATTATCAACAACCCGAAGCTGAGGCACGACATCAACTTTGACCCCGAGCTTCATTTCCGACCCAACGTTGAGGGCGACAAGGGCCGAAGAAAGCATGATCGAGCAAGCATTTTCTGGACAACACTCAAAGAAGAATTGATTGAGTTCATTGTGGACCGAGAAGGCTTTTACGCAAAGCATGGTACAGGTGACGACTGGTGCTTGCCAAAGCTTTTAAAGTCTGTCAAGGAGATTATTCAAACTTTGGTACCACAGCGCGATCGGCAATTCCTTGACGAGGGGCTGAACGTGGAGCTCCTGATGCAGCAGTTTCACCGTGGAATTGCTGATCTGGAGAAGCTTGCCTTGTGGCTTTCACAGATTCTCAAATCTCATTGCGCACCTATGAGAGATGAATGGGTCGATTCCATGTATAAGCAGCTCAGCAATGGCAACAGCAACAACGACGTCGAGGAGCTTGTCGATGGCATGAGAAGCTTGCTCAGTGTCCTAGAGGCTATGAAGTTGGATGTTGCCAACCACCAAATCCGCTGCCTTCGACCAGCTCTCATCGAGGAGACTACTGCTTTCGAACAGAAATTCTTGATGAAGAAGCTACGGAATCGTAAGATGGACATTGGAGATGCAAAGCCATGGTACCAGGAGGCTGCTCGAACTTATCCCAGCGGATCTGGAAAGATTTCTTCTCATTTTGGTGAGATGGGTATCTTCTTCGAGGGACTTTCACGATCAATGCTTCCATCCGCCGGTGAGAAGCCGTTACCTGGCACATTCTTCTTTGATGAGGACCGCTTAGGACGTGTTCGATCTGATATCCTGGACGCTATCAACTTGGATGTCTGCATGCGCATGTATGAGGACCTTGAACGCATCACCAAGCTCAACTCTGCCTCTGCCTCCGCCCCCGCCTCTGCCTACGTCAACGATCTTTCCGATGATAATGAGTTCAACTTCAACACTCCTCCTTCAAGCTCAAGCCCCAGCCCAAGTTCAGGCTCACGCCCTTCGAGTGTTGCACTGAGTTACGCAGACTCGGCCTCATCGTCACCAAGATCGTCTATGGTACTCCCATCATACCTTAACTCAGACATCAACGAGTCCAAGACTAGAGCTCGAAATCTTCGCGATACACTGGTAGCTCTTCTCCAACAAGCGCCCGCCGACCTACATTATCACGAGCGATGGCGAGCAATGGCTCAGTCCCTGGCCCTCCAGATTTTCCGATTTACCAATGCACCCAAGGACATGCTCATTCCTTTCGAAGAGAAGCTCACCGAAAACGTATCCAGCATCTCATCGCCCATTTACCAGGAGATGGAGGAGGCATATCGTATCCGACTGGTCAATGAGCTCGCTACGCGAGTACGCTACTTCAAGGCCCTTTCAGGTGTATGCCTATTCTCGATCGCTACGGGTAACCGTGTACCAGCAAGCAGCCGCAGCCTGGATACAGGAAGGGACCGGGATTTGGATGCAGCCATCCGCACGGGTCAGCAGGAGGGCGGCATTGAGGACATTGCCACTCGTATTGCTCATGTAGGTGTTGTCCACTGGAGGATATGGGCTCGCATGGCATATAAGGACGACGACGATATGTCTCTGGACTAATCAGTTCCGGCTGAACACAAACATGTATCCTTTCGTATCACCACTTCGTTATACCCACACTTAACAATTCTTTTTAATGTCGATACATGGTCGTCTACGCTGCGCAACACCCGGTCTGGCTCCTGCATGCAGCACATACGATGGAGACTCGAGATGCATCACTGGCTGGGCCGTGAAACAAGCTTGTCTTTACTGGGGATATATACTGGTTGGCGGCTCTCTGCATTTACTCTGGGTTTTACTGCATCTTGAACATCGTTGAACATCTATGGCTACTTACTCGTTGCTTATTTTCTTTGTATTTCTGGAGTTTCTTGGGGACAAGGGAAAATAGGGCCCTCTTTCTTTTTCTCGGTATAACGGGCGCATGAGGTGTTTGGCATAAGAACGGTTGAATGGTGATGCCCCGGCTGGGGTATCACAAAGGCCGTATGGCTACGCACATGACTTTTTCTCCTTGGCTCTTATCAGTACGCTGTACAAACATGCGTACAGCTCTTGCATATAGAACTGGCGGACGCATTTGATCTTACATATTGGACACTTACTCTGGATATACACATATCTACGGCGCATTGATGGGTATTAGACTAGACAGAGAAAGATTAGAAGAGACTTGCTTGTTCAACACCTGACACTCTCATATATCTGTGACTTGAGTTACTCTGCAATCTAGTAACTGCAGTTATCCTCTTCAAGACCTGAAGGGTGGTTACACCAACATGCTGTGGTAAGCAGACGATTAATTAATACTTGACTGTTCTTGGCCAAGTACACGTCCGGATCAATTCTTGCGACTAGCACCCCTTATGTATCGTCGAGCATTCTAGTTCCTTGGTGGGCTGCTCCTCCGGGTCATCTGATAACCAGCGTGTGATCATGAGCGTGTGACTACAGCCATAGACATGTTGGTTAAAGACGAGATTTTCAAAATTAGTCAGCATTCAATATGGGAATGCTAGTTGAATTCATCTAATACCCTTGAAAAGAAATGAACTTTGAGTTGAATCAACTATGTATTCTGACAAGATTTTCAAACTGGAAGTTGGCGGGTGAAGAAAGGTTTGTTTGTGTATGTAGGCCAGGGGATTGTTCCAAACATCACGATACTTTTATAAATGCCTTAATTTTTCTATTACCTTCTAAACTTTACAAGGCAACTTTTTACGTAGCGTTAACCAGACTCCCTCATTGTGATCTTGAGAAGCGATCGTGAAAGCTTCAGCAGCGGTGGTCATGGCCAATTCTGAAATTAATTTATACTAGCCAATGCTATGCTATTTGTTGAGTAGTAGTTTTTTTATACCATTCTAGCGTGAGGGTAACCCCTGAGTATAGAGCCTAAATTCCTTTGCACCTTGATAGTTCCCATTATCTATGCTATATGTAATACCGAGATGACTCTGGAACATTCTCCAGTTACGTTCTTTCCAAAGTTCAGTTGAGACATCCTACACTAACTTAAACTGTGCCGTCGACATCATGGACAAATATCGTCAAGGTTTTTTTGGGGGATTTTGAAGAACCTTGAGCTTCAGGCACAATCCTTTGTTCCTCTTGGGATACGAAGTTTGAATTGCCTTATCAACAATATTATCAACATCATTGGCTATAATGCAATGATCCATTGAGAGGAAATAGCGGTTGATATTGGATATATGGACCACTACTGCATACATTTCTTTTACAATGCATCCTTCTGTCTATGAGATATGGAGCAGTCACAAATAGTATGAGGCAAAACTCTCACTAAAAGACGGAGTACACTTCATCATACGATACCATTTGTCATGATGAACGATATCATGAGATGCATGTGGTTCAAACTCAATGCTGGCCGAATGACCCAGAGTACCTTATATTTATAGGTACACATTGGCTTCCTTCTTCTCACCCCAAGTCTGAAACTCTAAGCCACCGACATTTAACACCAACTAGCCACGATCTCCTGGACGAGACTTACAGTATCATCGACTAATGAGATTCGATATGCCGGATTGATCGAATCTCATGAGTCGGTAGATACGGTAGGATATTGGTCCTACCCAAGACTCCTTTGTATAGATTGGATAGGCGCCTTTTAACATTTTGCAGATACTGCGCGGCGTTAAATAATACGGAAAACCCAACAAAGCACCATGAGTTAAAGCATCACGAATTCAATGGCCCAGAAAAGCAAAAACTCTGTAGACCCAAGGTCCTATCATTCACTGACATGTGTCAGCTCCCCTCTTTTCATACTCTCAACGATCTGCAATCGTAGTTTCGTCCCTCACATAACTCCTCAGGCATACACCGACCAGTAGCTAACTGCAAGATTTACTCCAAGCCCAAAGACACAGCGGATAGGTTAGATCAGATCATACTCAACTCGCTTCCCAACAAGCTTTGCCTCCCACATGTAAAAGCAGTAAACAACCGAAGCAAAAGGGATACATTACTATACATCATGAGCATTTACCATCTCGGTCTCGTTCTCATTCTCATTCTTCTCCTCAACCTAAAAAGCTTGATATATGAAACTTTCTTCCATACGGACTCATTGAGGGCTCAGGGGTAGTTTGCCCGGTGCCACCCCATTTTGCTTAAGTTTGGCAAGCTCCTCTTCAAGCTGCCTTGTGCGAGCACGCTCCTCCTAATGGCACGTTAGTATTAACATCAGGCATGACGCGGACAAGAGGTTGCAACATACCTTAATGTTCTCTTGGAACTTCTTCCTTTCTTCACGCATGGTGGCCCTGAACTGCTCGCTCAGCATAGAGGCGCCCCTACCGACACCCCCATTCGGTGGGATTGCCTTGAGACGCTCGCCATCAAGCTCTTCCTGGAGTTGAGTGATATGCTCCCGGGCCTTCTCCATGTCTGCCTCAAGTCTCTGGCGCAGCTTCGTCACCTCTCCCTCAACACTTCTCTTGGACGCTTGAACATCCTGAAGCTTGTTCTCAAGCTCAATCTTCTCGCGTTCAGCGGCAAGGGTCTCCCGTGTGACATCCTCCAACTCCTGGACGGTTCCGGCGAGCTCCTTCTTTAGCTTTGTGACGTGGTTCTGAAGCTTCATCACCTCGCCGCTGGTCTTGATAGCTGCCACGTCGGCAGCCCTCTCCGCACGGGTTCCATAAGCACCGTCTAGTTCTGCCTGGGCGATGGTGAGTTCCGTCTTCATCTCCACCATGTTCATGTTGAGAAGGTCAAGCTCATCTTCCTTCTCCTTGAGCATCTTCTTCTTATTTAATAGCTCCTCCTTCTGACCATCAACCTTCTGCTGCAGTGACCTGGCATTATTTTCCGCCGATTCCCTAGATCGGTTTACCTCATCGAGTTGCGCAGTGAGAGCATCGATCACCGAATCAACACCAGTCAACTGATTACGGGTATTGTCACTGGAGGACTCGGCAGCGACCAATCTGTCCTCGAGTTGTTTAATCTCAGCCTCGAGAGACGCGATCTTATTGTTTCGTTCCTCAAGCTGACCTTGAGCGGCCCCAGCCGCTCCAGCAGCACCTGCGAGATCTGCCTGAACGAGTTCCATGTCGGACTCGAGACGGGCGACCTTAGCATTCCGCTCCTCAAGACGAGCTTCAATATCGGTTGTCTTTTCCAACTCAGTTTTGAGGGTAGCGATCGTAGCACTATGCACCTCAACCTGGTCTCGAAGGGTATTGGCCTCTTGAAGCTCGGTGTGGAGGGTGGCAATCTTGGCATCGCGCTCTTCAACCTGAGTATGGACGGTGTTAGCCTGTTCAAGCTCAGCATGAAGTGCAGCAATTCTCTTATTGCGCTCCTCAATCTCACCCTGAGCCGTCTCAAGGTGATCCAATTCTACTTCCAGGGCGGTGATCTTGCTCTCGCGATCCTGTAGCTGAGATTGTGCGGAAGCCGCAGCAGCGGCCGCACCGGAAAGATCAGATCTGAGCTGCTCAAGATCCTTCTCAAGCATGGCAATCTTCTCCTCGCGTTCCTCGACTTGTGCGTGTGCTGCACCCGCCGCACCCGCCGCGCCGGCCAGGTCAGATTGGAGACGTTTCACATCAGCCTCCAGCTCGTTGATCATCTTGGCGCTTCCCTCGGGTTCGCCTCTCGATGAACCAATGTTGTTCGCAACATTGCGGTTGCCTTCCAGTTCCTCCAGAGTCTCTGTGAGCATAGTCTGAGCAGTCATAGCATCTCTCTCAGCTCGAGCCAACAGTATTTGTGTCTCATCCAACTCTTCCTGCTTCCTGGCCAGTTCTTCGTCCTTCTCGGCGTCTGACTTGTTGTTGAGCTCGCGTTGTTGCTTAATCTGCCGTTGCAATACCGACTTCTGGTTCTTGAGCGTAGTGGCTTGAGAGTACAGCCACTGGACGCGATTGGAGAAACCAGGAAGACTGAAGGCCTCGTCGATATCGAATTCGTCGTCGGAAATCTCTTCGTCCTCGTAACCCCTGTCCATGCGAGCTCTTCTTCGTTCTTCCTTCTCTTTCTTGATCTTGGAGAAACCGGTTTGCATCATGTTCCACAGGTTCATCAATATTCTCTCCACCTGTTCGCCATCTTGCTTCTCTGGTGGACCTGCCTGAGCCACCTGTACAGCGCGTTCCAACTCCGAATCGGCAGCGCGTAATGCGTCTTCGAGATAGTCAAGCTTCGAGTCAAGGCTGTCTTGCGAAGATTGAGGTGCGACCGGGTAGTCAGGATCCACCGTCAAGAGCAGGTCTCGAACTTGTTGGTTCAAAGATTCGATGCGCTTCTCGATGGAGCTATCAACCTTGCCAGGTTCACCGGACGACTCTTGTTCCACCTCGATAGCATTCAGACCCATTTCGAGATAATCCATCTGGTTGTTGAGAAGCTCTCCGGGCTTCATGCCTGGAACTCCAAATGGAGGGTCGTAGTAATCTTCATTCTTTGAGGGATTGAAGCGAACAATAGCGTCTCTTAGCGAACCATTCAGGTTTTCGAGCCGGGCCTCCATCTCTGTTATTGACTGGACCAGTGAATTCGTTTGTCCTTGTAGGTGTAGATTTTCATCTTTCATCTTCTCCATCTCATCTTTAAGCTGGCTGTTTTGTTCTCTGATTGGCGATTTGAGAGGTATCTCGATAGGTTGTTGGCGAGGCTGTCCCCTGGTCGAGACCTTATTGGCTTGATCGTGGAAGTCATTGTCGGTCAAGTAGATATCGTCTCCGTGGCGGTCCATGCTATTGCGAGTATACGTGTATAAGCTTTCTGGGCTTCCAGGCATACCGTTGAGTGGTTGAAGCGGCGTGGTCGCATCCTTCTTCTTATTCGATGCCTTGTGAGTGAGTTGGAGAATACCAGCAGTGTGCTCTAGGAGGCGTCGCTGGGGCTCCATAAGCCGCTTCTCGAGGTTGAAGAGTTCCGCAGCCAGTTCCTCGCATTTCCGTTCGCTTGCCTGTCTTTCAGCCTCGGCGTTCTTTGCTTGGGTGTGGTCACCACTATTACGACCTAGCAAACTCCTTCGCCTGCCATCCGATTTTGGAGGATTATATAGCCTTGCCATGGAAATCGCCGCATCTCGGTATTTGGACTGAATGGTCAAGTTCTGCCGCGTCGACTCGACGCGCTGCGACAGGGACTGGCTCTGCTTTTTGAGATCGTCCACTTCTTCTTGCGACAAGATTTCGAATTCCCTGCTGTCGGAGAGGGCAGTTTCGGTGAGGAGATGGACTTGAATTGGGTCTTTGAGGTCGACGAGCGCGGAACTTTGTGGTCGATCAGGGTTCATCTGCACATCACAACGTTAGTGGCTACGACACTCAGCCTCAATAGGAGAGCATACCGGATTATACAAAGCATGGTCCTTCTCGAAGTTGTTCATTATGTCGCTGCGATAACCTTCGACAAGTGTCTTGCCGCGAGGACTGAGAGCTGGGGGTGACATCCTGTTGGACTCGTACCCATATGGGCTGCCCTCCCGCGCGTACGCACTCATGGTTTCAACGAGCTGACAATCGTGTTGTAGAGGTTATGGGAACATGAGGTAAAAATGGAGAGGTATCGTTAGTCGAGATATTACAACGGCGCCATAAAGAGTGAAAACTGGTCGGTATCGGGAAGAGTTTGACAGGTAGTTGCCCAGCCGCCGTGTCGATTAGGCGAAGCTGGAAACAATATTAGATTAGCTGCAGCAGAGGGGCGTCGCTCTCAGACACAGCTGAAGCTGGAGGATCGCGAAAAGTCGAGAACGATCCTACAAGAGGCGCTCAGCAGTTACCGCTGAAAACACAGTACAAAAGTCGCGAGAACAATTCAAGCGCTGGGGATGGAAAAGGAGAGGTCGGGATCAATTAGAAGAAAAGGAGGCCCATCGAGAACGCAAATGGTATCCGTAAAGTTAAGTTATCGAGTGGGACCCTTGTAAAGTGCTCCACTAAAAGTTGAATTACAGCAGTTGAGCTGATGGGCCTAGCCGAGTCAGGTAAGCAGGTACGTACTGTACCTGCGTAGATCCTTCAACACGTACCAGTGAATGTCAGTTTCTAGGGGTGTTGCAGCGGCTGGGGGCCTGGGGCAAGGCACCCGACAGGAGGGGCGCACCCGCATTTGATTGAGCATGGATCTTACCGTTTTGGCGATAACGCTGCCACTAGTCCATATTTGAGCTCGTAGCTCTTTAGTGGTGCTCCAGTAGGAAGTGGTCTTTGTTTCGAGCATTTCTGCTGTATGAAAGCACAACAATACTTGCTTTTTGTCCATATGTGCCCGATCATGATTGCAGTCAAGAGACTAGTAAGCTAATGCGTCTATAATCCTTTATTATTATTTTTAGGTGCCGATGCTTACTTGAAACGGCGACATGCCACAGTGTTGCGTAGCATTATGAATGGCTGCGCCGATGTTCCACGCAGTAATGCTGACTGTTTGGCAGATAGATGGTGGCTGACAACGCCATGTGTGATGATGATGATATTATTAATCTTCTCCTTCAGCATACGGACCCCCGTTGATTTTTGACACATCAGACGCGCATATCGGCATTTCCACATCAAGTCCATTCCTCCGTTGAAGACCCTTTGGCACTTGACTGGTATGCCATATACACTCTAGGCTGAGACAATGTGATGAAGACATGGGCTTCGATTTCCTGCTGTCCCGCAATTCTTCGGAAAAGCGAAAGAGATGTTGCTGAACTGACTTGTGAATGGTGGATGTCGCTCTTGTATTAACCACTAAAGAACCTCTCGGACTTGGTCCATAATCTGCTGTCCCATGGTTCTCCGGCGCTCTGTTTGACCCTCCGCCGAAGCTTGAGCCCCGGTTGCAGCCCCCGTCGTTGAGTTCTCATCCTCAAGTCGACGCCTGAGACCTTCAAACTCGGCACTCCGCCTCTGTGAGCTAAGCCCCACAACCCAGCCCGGCACTCGCCAGCGCACGAGAGCAGCAGGAAGTAACCCTTCCCGCCATGAGTATCCAACAACCCAGCCTGTGATTGCGCCCAGAACTGAACCTGGCCACTGCAGTAGTGCCAGATGTAGGGCAATGGCGTACTTGTAAGATTTGTCGGAGAACGTGAGGCCGACGAAAGGCCGGTCGGTAGGCGGCGCTTCAGATGTAGCAATCCGATACTTGTACATGTGCGGGACCATAGCATGATACTGAGCCAGAATAGCAAAGATAATGGGAGTTGGTCCAGCGGGGATGTAGTTCAGCCATCCCGCAGTGAGAGGCCGCAGTACAATCGACATGACAGGGGGGATAATTGAGGTAATCAAGAACGTGACTGTCAGAAAGGACTAAATAGAGTGTTAGCAACGAACAGAAAGTACCTATGGGGAATTACGAAGCTTACAGCAAACTTGCGCGAACCCCACATACGCTCAACAATGCGGAGATTGTATAGAGACATGGCAGCGAATAGAACTTCGGATGAGTTGACATAGCACAACTGATAGGCCAAAAGCCTCCAGAATTGCCGATAGCGCCATATGTGCACATCAATGAGGATGTAGAAGTAGTGTTTGACATCGAGGACACTGGCTGCGATGGAACCAGCTACAAGGCCGGCCACACCAAGCCGAGTTACAGGTGCGTTGGTGAAAGACATGATGGCGTGGGAACTGCAGATATGGTGATTTATGGTATCATGCTACTTCCCTTTTCTCGCGAGAAGAGATCGCAGGTCATCAAATATTGGGTATTGGCGTTGTAGTTTGGTTCAAGCCCAATGATATTGGAGTTAGCTTGTAGTTTGAATATGGGTGCAGCTACAGATGAAGCTCTGAGAGCTACCTTTGAAAGGTGGCATTTCGATATCACGTGCATGTTCGGGTAATTATGGGTCGACATGCATTTCCGCTTTTAGCCCCGCTGACGTCGTTTGGATGACCGTTGAACTGATCGATATGTTGTTCTGTTAAGGTGAAGGGATATGATACTCTATGGCAATGGACTGTTGAAGAATTATTAGGGAATTATATCCTGAACCTTCCCTGGCCTGTCTGACTTGTTATCGTTAGATACAATGTTTATATAGAGATGTTAGCAAGAATAACTTGACTCTCAAGGACATCTTGGGTACAGAGATACTTACCATGTATGTTACCTGCCCCAGGACCATGCTACTGGACTATACTACTGGACCATAAAGAGAGATCGTGTTCGACAATGAGAGACGTCTCTATGATACAAACTCGCTCTTTATAAGTGTCGTCGTCTATGCCTGATAGCATCTTGTGCCCAACAGCCTAAAGTTAGATCGTGGACCCCTGTAACGTCACGCTCCTAAGCAGCATGACTAGTGCACGTCCTACCTAAACTACAGGAGGCATCGGTATCCGCCAGGGGATGCAGAGCCCATCGATCCCCGGGCCAAGTAGTACAAGATGGCGATTCTCAACGTCAATCATTTTTTTAAACTGATTAAAACTATCCGGGGTTAATTGTTTCGTCTGCGCATGGAATTTAAGCTCATCATACTACAAAAATACACCAAAGCTTAAAAGGCAGCTGTTGTTTCCCCTCCTCTATCAACCACATTCTACAGCAGTCGCTCACCTCTAGACTATCTTTTATCAACCTCAACCTCACACCTCACACACTCGCCCTCACACCAAAACCGAAAAGTCCTCCACCAAGCGGCTCACGCGCCTCGGAATAAAGGACCCTTGACGCTGGAATTGGCGCTGATCAGCCACCCCAAGACTTGCTTTCCCCTCCCTCTTGGGAGAACAGGGCATATATTAGTTACCTTACATTATGCCGCTCGCTAACTTCGGCACCCTTGTTCTCCACCATCTCGTCTTTGTCGCGCATCTGGTCTACTTTCACATTGCCTTCTCTCACATGGAACCCAGCGCTCTTGTAGTCCTCTACTGTGTCTCCAAGCTACTTGCCCGCCGCGCCGACGATATTGACGGCCCTCCCCCGGAATGGCCCCCGCCCGGAATCCAGTGGTAGCCGGGCTGCAGTCTCCGTCTCCGTCTCCGGCCTCGTCCCCGGCACCGGCATCGGTACCGGCGTCAGCTCTGGCTACGGGCTATGAGTCGCCGTCAGAGGACCACCCTCCATTCTTTTCCGCTGCGGCGACCCCCGCGACGGCTTCGGACGCAAGGCGTTCTGCTGTAAAGCGGCCTGCCCTCGCCCAACGGCCATCATACATAACTGCCATCGCTCCTGAGGATGCTCATGGCAACAATCAACGACCAGCTCGGCTTTTGCATCATGGCTCTACCCTCACTTCGAATAGCCTTAACCATGTTATGGCCACGGCGGAGAAGTCGCCAGACGGTCGCAAGGTCGGTCTCCGGGATCGCATCGCCTGCCATAGATGGACCTACTTTACCATGGTAATACATATCCTTTATGTTTCCCTTCTGACATTACTAATACTTAGTTACTAGACTATGTCGACTGGAGGCATTGCGAACATCCTTCACTCACGTAAGATATTACTATTCGTACTTGGACAATCTAATCTGTCTGACCGTTACTAGTTAAGTGGGAAGCGCCCTGGATACGCGGCATTGGCCTTTTCTTCTTCATGCTCAACCTTACTTTATTCTTAATCAACCTTGTTCTTATATGTACCCGATTTCACCTCCGGCCTGGGAGTTTTGTGAACTCCTTCACTGACCAAGTAGAATCGCTCTTCATATCAGCTTCCGTAAGACTCCCACCATTCACATTACACGCCTGGCACTGACAAATAGTAGCTGGTCTCGTATGTGACACAAAGTGATACCACACCTCTCAGCCAGTTCTAACCTGATTAGTATTGCTGTAATCCTAATCAACACCTGCCAGTATGGCATCCCATATGCTGGCCCATGGCTCCTCAACACCATGGAGTGGGTATTCTGGGTCTACGCCGCCCTCAGCGTGTCTGTTAGCGCGTTTCTGTATCTTATTCTCTGGTCCACATTGTATGAAAACAGAACCTAACATAACCCTTCTATCATGCTGCCAGAAAAACGTTTTTGCTAACTACGAATATCAGAATATTTCCCGTGCACACAATGACACCAACCTGGGTTTTCCCAGCATATCCTCTCCTCCTCAATGCACCCTTTGCAGCAAATCTCATCGCCGCTGCGGGCTCGTCTGGCTATGAACTATCGGCGAACCCTGTAGCAATGGCACTAGGGGCTGCTGCTATTCAAGGAACTGGTTGTCTCATTGCTTTTATGATATCCTCTGCCTTTATCTACCGTCTCATGACGCAGAAACTCCCACGGGACAACCAGAGACCTGGCATTGTGAGTTAAATTTCGTATAATTACACTTTCAGCTGATTGACTTTAGCCAGTTCATGTCAATAGGTCCTTATGGGTTTACGGCTGCTGGTATAGGTATATAATCACATGATTTCCCAGATCGACTTACATAGGTATCTAACGAACTCAGCCCAACTTGGCAGCCAAGCAGACTTGCTTATACCTCCTGATTTCCTTGATACGCCACACGTTGCCAGTATCATCAAGGTCGTCAGCGTTCTGGTCAGCCTCTGGCTCTGGGGTCTCGCCATGTGGTTTTTCCTTATCTGTGTCGGGGCGCTCTGGAAATATGCTCTTGCAGGGCACCACATGCCGTTCCAGATGACTTGGTGGTCTTTTGTGTTTCCTAACACGGCTCTTGTAAGTCAACTATCCCGCCAATCACTAACCCTAGCCACAAATACTGATGTATCTTCCCAAGGTTACCGCCACGAGTGTTATGGGTAACATCTTTAACAGCAATGGCCTACACATTTTTGCCTCCGCCATGACTGTCGCCATCATTTTAGTCTGGATCACTATATTTGTACGGATGTGTTGGAGTCTCAAAGTCGGGAAACTCCTCTGGCCCAAGGATGATGAGTAGACCATGTTGCAAGTCCCCTCAGTCTCGTACGGGCTGGGTTATATGCCGTTTTTTTGTTCTTTATTAGTAGCAGACTTCTCTATTTCCAATCCTTGATGGGGTCTCCTCAAGGCAAGTTATGAAGGGTTTTAAGCATCAACTGGCGTCATAGGTTTATCTAGTTTAGACTAGCATTGGAGGTCGTCCGTGTAGATTATACCTACAGCTTCAATCACACTTTCAGTACTTTGTTGCATACAATTATGGATAGAGCCAGCTTCACCTCGGGAACATAATAAAACAGGCGTGCGGCATACTGGTATGGAAGTAATGTCCTATCATGTTTTCCTAAAAGAGACTCCAAAGTTCTTCTACAATACCGTTCATATATGTGGTGTCCCCTGTTGCCTCTGCTTCTCATCTTACAAAACAGAACGAGCCAAGAAAAACATATCGCGATTCGCTTATGGGGAATCCTGAAAACGCCTTCAACTCCGACACGACGATATTTTGCTCACCGCATCTAACCCTCAGGGTGGATAAAAAAGTAGCCTAGAAAGAACCGCCGCCTTATAACCTCGGCTTGACGCCTTCGCCAGCAGTAGCCTCGAGGTTGACGGTGACCTCACCAGTCTTCTCACCGTGGCCAAAGAAGATGACCTGGACGGTTAAATCATCACTGTGTATATTGTTAGCGATGTGTGGGGTGTTTACAGGCTGTTTGACTTACCGGTAACGTCGTGAGAAAGGAGCAGGAAGAGTGAGCAAAGCGCACACTTGCTCGTCATTGTTGCCGCCAAGAGCATTACGAACAAGATGTGTTGCGACGTTCTTATCCTTTACTGTAAATCGATCCTTCGCATCCGGATCGATGCCCCATTGTTGGACACGGATAGGAGTCTTGTTGCCATCAGGTCCAGCAGTCTTGCTCTCCTCGACAGGTAGAGGGGTCTTGGATGAGCCAAAGATCTTGTTCCATGCAGCGTCGAATTGCGAGTTGGGTCCAGCCTGTCCTTCAGACTCGATCCACTTGCCTACGAGACCAACAACTTCTTCGTTGGTAAGCATCTCCCAAAGACCGTCAGTGGCCAGGACGAGGAAATCACCCTTCTCGGGGTTGACCTTGGTTGTTGTAACAACAGGCTCGGCGGTGACATATGGAGGAGTCTTCAAAAGAGGAGATGGGCTGCGGCCAAAGAAATTCTCGCGCAGTTTCCAAGCAACATCTCTACTCCATTTGTAGACAGCATCTCCGAAAGCACGACTTGGCTCCAATCCACCGAGGACACGGCCATTACGGATGACGTTTTCTTCTCCAGGGTGCTCCTTGCGCATACGATCAACCTCTTGGGGGTTGCTGCCGGTCTGGTCATCGGACAGAGCAGTGGCTGTCCACTTTCCATTCTCCGCTCGGCGACCCAAAACTGCGCGAGAGTCACCTGTGCAAGCAACGCGCAAAAGATTACTGCGGCTGTCGTAAAACGATAGCAACGCGCATGATCCTGACAAAGCAGGCTGCAGCAACTCTGCAGCGACGGTCTTAGAGCCGCCCTTGAAGACCTTCTCGACGCTCTTGTGGACAATCTCGTTGTCCAGATTGTTGAATCCAGTCTTGATTGCCAGGTTCACTGCATCTTCAGAAGGAAACTCACCAGAGGCCTTCTTGTAAGTTTCATTAAGTTCGCGAGCGACGTAGCTAATCAAGCTTTCCCGCAATGTCGCAGAAGTAGTCCATCCCCTAGATCGTGTAAGTAAGACCCTACTTTGAAGCTATACCAAGCTCCATGCCAAGGTGGTACTTACGAGTGGCCATCGAAAACACCCCAAAACATCCAGTCACTGTTGTCAGTCTCAGCGGATGATCTGCTGGGAACCTGAACAATCTTCTCGGCATGGTCGTCCTCAATGGGGTCGTTGCTGGGTAACTGAACCAAGTCGTAACGAGTGACACCTTGACCTCGGCCGACCGAGAACGATTGTTCCAGTCGGCGTAGCTTCTGAGTCGCTTGATCGGGCGTTAGCATCTCTACGATGCGACGACCGTCGTCGCTGGTAGTCTTTGAAATAGGGCCCTCGCCAACAATGGTACCCTGTCTGAGTTCGTCGGCACCCACTACAAGGACAGTTCGAGTAGGCAGCACATCAGCCGTCTGAGTCGAGGTCAGGCTGCTCCTAGAACCCAGAACGGAACTAGGGGCGATGTTAGAGCTGTTGTAAGAGTACCAAGCGCCGTATCCGACGACGATACTGGATACCAGCGCTGCAGGCAGGCGACGGAAGTACATAGAGGATCTCAGGGGGGCTTTTCTCGCGGGGTTGGGACGGGCGTTTCGAGCGTGCGACCTGGCGTTAGATCTGGCCTGGGCAAGAGTCAAAGATGAGACGGAGAAGCCACGGCGAGGGGTATGGGAGAGAGCGCGGACGGTCGAGAGAGAGGTCGTCCGAAGGGCTTTGACTGCAGCTCGATTCATCGGGGCGGCGTGTGGTCGTACAGCAAGGGCTGCGGTGTGATGGAAATAGTATGTTGACGAGAACCGGAGAAGATCAACTAACAGTCGATGACAAAGGAGACAGCGATCGCAATGACATGAAGAGGAAAGAGGTCAAGACTGAAGTGAAGGGATAGCTCCGTGATAGCTGAGACTAGTAGTGACGATGGTGATGGTGGATCAACGCGAGTAGAGGTGGGGCTCAAGCTGCGCTATCTTATCTCGAGCCTTTCCCCTCTGGTAATGGTGCCTTAGTGTCAACCGAGCACTCAGCGAATACCGGAGTCGAGTCGAGGTAAAAAAAGGTAAGTAAATGAATGAGTGAGTATTTCATTTTACATGATTTTCTTTCAACTTAAATTTTCTTAAAATCTCAAAGATTACCAGCCTAAGCTTCGCCTTGCGACTTATTCCGATCCCTTCTCACACTTTGATGGTCACGTCTTAGTCCGTCAGCCCCACGTGAACCCACGGAATAGCAGCCGACCTGAGTTTAAATCACATCAATCACTCACTGTACGGATATAAACCGACGTCTACCGAGGCTCACATTTCACTTCTCACTCCTGTTCGAGAGCCTCTTCCACTCTAGGGAAAATCCCTAACTGCCTTATCCTAAATAAGTCAAGCTTTATTAGTCCTGTAAGCTTAACCAACCCCGGATTGTTTTCTCACATGTTATTCCTATGAGAGGTCGACTCATTCAATGAACACCATACACCAATCTCTGAATCTGTAACTTACTGAGAATTGGCAGATACTCTGACTCGTCCAATCAATACTTGCAATCATGGATCAACAACAGCAGGCTTCGTCTTCCCTTACTGGAGCGGAACGCATCAGAGCTCTTAAAGACGACAATGCTGTCTTCACTGCTTTTGATACGTACCCATGGAACAAAGACAAGAACTTCATGGTAAAGACACCTGCCGCTGGAGTTCCTCTCCCATTCACTAACATTATTCAGTCCGGCCTTTATGCCATCCTCGGTGAACCTGGCCAGCAAAACCCTCAAGCATCTCTTGCAGACATGGCTATCCACGCCCGCATTTTCTACTACGCCCAACGCATTGGTGTTAACATTGACTTTGGTGCATACAAGACCTGGCTCGATACTGACACTGATCACCAAGCTCCGGATGTTCTGCCTGAGGAGTACCACCAGCGAGATGAAGCCAAGGCCACTTCGGCCCCAGCCTTAGACTGGCAGAAAGCTGCGCCAAAGAGTGATCTGTATATCGACCGAAAGGCTGCTGCAGCCGCCCAGTCTGGCTCGCAGGATCAACCTAATTATCCAATGGGCTTCGCTGAGATGATTAAGCTGATACAAGAAGGCAAGCCTGTCCCTGGCATTCGCCAGATCCCAAACACAGTTGTGAGAAATCCTGTAAGTCCAACCTATAACCACCAGGCTTTCGTATGATATCCTTACTGACTATCCCTCCAGGCTGTAAAACCAGTTGGCGCCATGGCTGCCCCCAGAAAGCCCTGGGAGAAACATGTAACTGCTGACGCTCAGACTCTGCCAGACCTACCAAGGGCACTTGATACCGAATTCCCGCCACTCCATGATGATGTAGCTGTCTTTACAAGCTCTGGGGCCACTTAGTAAACAGGTCACACACTGGTCTATCAACGTTATATAGATAGCATCAACGGCGTTGGGGATTATGCATTCATGAGCGAAAACATGCCTCCTACAAGTATTTGGCAAAATAGAATTACTAAATAACATTTACTTCCTTTTACGCGTCAATCACAAGATAATGAGGACAAATGGGATAATAAAAACACAATCGTTGATTAAAAGTTGCTTAATAACTACCGTAACAGCCCGTGTGTTATAGGAAGACGCCTGACCCAGCACCCGCATAAAAAAACGACATACAACTTTGTAAACGCATCCCGACCTCTAAGGACGTCCTTTCAGATCACCATCACTCATACTCGCAGGTTGACTGAAGCGTGGCTCTAGCATCCCATAAGGCCCGCTCCTGCTCACTCTCACCGAGTGGCAGCCCATGAGCGGTGGGATACAAAGGTCAGCCCTGCAAGGGCTGTTGTTGTGATTAGCATCTGCCATCTCCTCCATATTGCAAAATCGATAACCATAATGTGTCCAATGCACCCAAGCAGGCAGTAGCCAGCCGGGCGTAGGATGACGTGTGATCTGTAAATTACTTGCGTGGGAAGATGTTTCTTAAGAAAGGTCGACAAATTCTGGTTTTTTGCGTGATCTTGAACGAGTGGAACGATTGGTGATCAGATAGGGGCTCCTCGACACGGATGATAAAGAATGGAAAGGAAAACAAAGGTTAGAGGGGAAAGTTCCTGTATTCCCGGTTAGACATGCGTCTCTGGTGACAACAAAGGCGAAATGGATAATCGAAATGCTCCCTAACGGTAACTGTTGTTATATCGTGGCCCTGGGCCTGGTCCCATGCGTCCGCCCATTCCAGGGCCAGCACCAGGGCCAGGACGAGTCGCAACCGCATGGTTGGTGCAGAGCATGCCAACGCGAGAGCCAAACTTTGAGCCTCGCAGAGACACCATGTGCTTTCTGATGTGGGCAGCAACAGTGTCGCGATGCTGGGGGGAAGCATTGTTGAGAATCCATTGTATGAGATAGTTGCCATATTGATCACTCGCGATGTCAATCAGCGGGATACGGGTACGGTCTCTGCGGCCTTCACAAACTCGGTCCAGGTAGCGGCCAAGAAATTCTGTACCACCAATCTTGAGACACTTCTCAACAACCTTGGAGGCGAACTGGTCGGTGCTGTACTCGGCGGCATAGCGAATCACATGGTCAACAGCTCGGCTGCGATCGGGGGGGCCGCCGTGTTCACAGATGTGTTGAATACACCAGTTACCAAATTGGCCATGGGCGACAATGTCGATGTTGGCGAGAACTTCTTCGATACAGGGACGCTATTGGCATAAGTTAGCATAATTCTTTCGGCAAGGAGGAAATCGATAACATACCTTGTCTTCCTCAAGACAATTTTCGAAAATGTTCTGAACAACGAGGCTACCGGTCTCTCCAAGGGCAACTTCGTGCCACATGCCTCTCAAAGCATCATTGACGTACTTCATGATCTGTGGAGGTGACTCGGTCCAACGAAGCTCGAAAAGCTTTTGCCAGACATGGCAGGCATAGCGGTGAATGACCGTCTCCGGAATTCGTCGCAAGAGTTCGTGAACCATGATAGCCTTGAAATTCTCAGGAACAGAATCGAACGCCTTCTGAACAACATGGCATCCAAAGGGGTCCATGGAGAGATTCAAAGTATTGCCTCGAATGGCTTCGGCGATGTTAATGACTTGGTCAGGTGTACCATGCTCGAAGCATCGCTGCACCAAGAAGTTGCCAAAACGGTTAACCATCAATGGATAGGCTTGTGCGACAATTGCATCCACGATCTCAAACTTTTGGTCAGGAGTTCCGACTTTGAGCTTCTGTTGTAGGAAAATGGAAGCCTGCTGATCGTTGTTGCAGACAATCTTATCAACGATGTACTTCCAGTTGCAGTTCACGTTGCGATCCAAGAGACGTCGGTAGTTCAGTGGCTCTGTGGGGGGGAGGTAAGTCTGATCCTCGGGCGACATGACCTGTGTTGAATTTAGTATTCTGTGTGAGTGCTTAGCAGAGAGACCAACCTCGTTCTTCCATCCAGAGCCAGAAGTAAACTCGGAAGCATGAGGTGAAAGGGGCGTTCCGACATGAGCCGGGTATGGCGGATAGACACCCATGGGACCGAGTCCTTGAGGTGCATTCATAGGTGCTCCAGGCGCAGGGCTGTTCATGTAGTCGGCTTGGTTAACGGGACTATTGTAACCTCCATAGCCAGATCCGAATGGCTGAGGCGAGTTCAAGCGACCTTCGAAACGGTTACCTCGACGTCCATAGCTCGATCGGACCGCTTCAGCATCCGGAGTCAGACGTTCATTTCGATAACCATCCATGAAGGGGTAAGGTGTTGCAATGGGTTCTGGCAGAGGCGGATTGAAAGAACGCCCTTCGAGCCATTTCCCAGGAGTCGGTACAGCGACAGGAGCTTGAGGGTTGCTAGTAAAAGGCATTGCCTGATTTCCCCAGATCTCCCGGGTACGGTTGAAAGTAGAAGCGGACATGGCCTCACTGGCATTGGAATGGGCATCATCTGGAGAGCCCCAAGCACTCTCACGACCAGGCATTCCAGGACCACGGATGCCAAAAGTAGAGGCATCGGGTCCAGGCTTAACTCCACGAGTTTCGGCCAGCTCTTGATCAAGTTTGGAGATTTCACTCTGTGCTTGAGCGAGTTGCAACTTCAGACGGGCCACCTCTTCGTGCTCGCCATGCGCGTCATCCAAGGTGGCACTTGCAGGGCGTGTGGTAGGTGCCGTGCTTGGGAACGCATCGGTGGCAGGAGTGACGGGCAAAGAATTACTTGAAGATGCGTGGTCAAACACTCTCGCATACTGGCTGCCTTCATCTTTCGGTTTGTGAGCTTCGGTTTGCTCAGAGAGCTTTGCAAGGAGCTTTTCCATGGGATATTGATGTTCGATGGTCGAGTTATCGTGGCTGAATTTCATCTTCTATCACAGTTAGCAACTTGAAACAGACATAAAGGTACACTAGCAAGTTCACCTTTGGAAGGCCTTGATTCGCGAGCTTCGAGGTGGTTAGGGCTGTGATGTTTTTCTTTGTGGAGATGCCCTTGTTTGTGTCCTTCTATGCATTTTATTAGTTTGAAAGCTCGGAATAGCTCGGGGCCGGGCGGTGTAAACAAGGTTAAGCTTTTGCAACAAATGCTCGAGAGTGGTGGAAGGAGAAGGTTGACTGACGGTGATAGAGGCAAGTGGAGAGCCACTTAAGGTTTCGCCGTGCAAAGCCGCGGCGAAGATAGGAATAATCTTCTCAGGAGATGGCCCAGACGGCCCAGGTGAAGTCATGATATCGCAGCTTGACCCAGACCTCGTTACAGTCGAGTTGATGATGAGGTTGCAGTCGGATAACAATTGTAGATGACAAAGTGAACACTAACGAGCGTGCAATGAAATAGAGAAAGGCTGTGAATGTGACAAGTGTGCGGACCAAGAAGGGTTTTGAATGTGAAGAGGAGAGAGTGAAGGAAGGGAAAATGAAAGGAGTGGAAGAAGAGAAAAGAAGATGGTGATGGCGAGATGGGGAGATTATTCACTGACGCAGATTTTCTGAAGGGTCAAGCGGGAGGAAGTCGGGACGGAATGAGAGAAAAATGGCAGGTGCCAACGACCGACAGGAGCAGCCCGAACACTGGTGCTCCTTCCACTTTCGTAATGAATGTCAGTTACAGCTGGCACTGCCCAACAGTTGGTGCCTAGATAGGTGAAGGACGAATTCTTGCAGCGAGATCATTCCCTAAAGTTCCCAAAAGGCGTAATATGTCCGGGTGTGTTTGCTGCAGTTACCTGGTTATCCAAGATCGACTACCCAGGCCTTTAGGAGTTGCGTCTAATATACTGGTGCCCCTTAAGTGTATGCAGGGCAGGTTCTATAGTATGTGCAGCGTGCATGCCAATCTTGGGACGGGCGGGCTTGGTTAGTATTACGCTTGTAACCTTTCAACTGAAAGTTCTTGCTGTGATTAGTATTTGACTAGGGTAAGAACGAGAGGACCTCAGCTAGTGTGAGTTATTAAGTACATACAAACAGGATGGTCACCAATGGATAAACCGCCTTGTGAAGTACCTTAGTTGTAGCATTCCACAAGGCTACGTCTGAGCTTGACCGTAGGTTTTACTGATGATATGCGCGATAGATTTCAAATTCTTTGTTATAAAAACGAAGAGTCAATGGTTGTTGTGAAGGGACCATTGCAATTGCTTGTCCAGGGGCTAACAACGGCGACGCTCAATTCTGTTAAAAGTGTCGCCTTGCCTCATAAAAGTGACTCCTAGAACAACATACACGTACGAAGCTTTCGAATTGGGAATCAAAACAGTTTATTTTGGGTAATGATACAAATAACTGTACATACTGTGATGAGGACCACATGGGTAGTGGCACGGATATCCTGGCCGTCTCTATCTCGTCACCATCCATAAGGAGTCGTACAATCGGCATATAGATAAATATTTTTGGTCCACGGAAAGGCTTTACGATGCCACCGTGCTCGATAGCGAACATGTTGTCATTATTGTCGTCTGGCTTAACGCTTCTTGCCAGTAGGAGCTGTAGCATCGTTAGTAACCAATCTCGACCACTGAATCGCTCAAACATACCGGGAGGTCCCTTCTTCTTCTTGGGAGCACTCTTTCCACGAAGCTTGAGTCTAAAATCACACCGTCAGCACTTATGTATACCCTCATGAAGATTTCGGGTGTTTCAGCTTACTCCTCGATGTACTCGAATCGATCCTCCTCGCCCTCGTCCCAAGTCGCCAGGGTCGGTCCGAACTCGCGCTTCAGGTCCTTGATCGTCGCTGTCTTTCGAGGATAGTAGGCGGCCATGGCCGGTCCTCTTAACCGCTGTCGCAAGACCTTGTTACCCATGCGCAGGCCTTCGGGGTTGTATGAGGTCGCAAAGACCTGGCATTGCGCCTGCGGAGCGTCAGAATAACCCTAACAAGAACATTCCAACAGATCTCACCTTGACCAGGTCCAATACACGCGCTCGTGGGACACTCATTGTAGCGTGGATGGCATAAAATGTTGCTCTCAGCAACTTTTTGGGCTTGCGTTGACGTCCGATGAAGTCTACACAAACGTTGAAGAGTGGAGCCGATTGGCCCATGCAAAATTTTGGTGGGTCAGCATGCTCTCAAGGTCCAGCTACGCAGACCAATGACAACTTAAAGTGAGGAAATGCAACTCATGACATATCTGTCTCATACATAAACTCGAAAAACGGTTAGAACATCTCATAGAGAACATAAATAGATAGGTAATCAGCGCTTTGACTAAGATAACTGTCCAATACAACTTTCGCATTTGTGTACCGAATTTCTCATCGTTATGGCTCTTTGCTTAAAGTTTAGGAAGAATTTGCCGTGCTGCCTCTCTAAGAAGGAATAGAGTCGGTCTAACTTCAGGGTAGCTTAATCTAATTTTGACTCATATTTGAGTAGGTACTCACTGTTTGTTTGTTGTTGTCCTTGAATACCTATACCTAGTACCTACTGGACAGGTGCTCCGTACTCATCGCATACTTCCTCGCACTGTGGGTCTGGCCCCTGCACTTAAAGGAATCCTAAGAAAAACAATATCCATTGCCATATACCACAAATATCAACAAAACATGTCTAAACGACCAGGAGAAGAGTCCCTTGGGGACGAAGAACCACGCAAGCGCGTGCATTTACTCAGTACAACATCGGTCGCCTCTCTCGCCCCAGGGATCTCGCGCTGGACTTCTGCAGATATCCCCGATGGCTTACCACCTCTGCCTCCGATCAGCGCAGAGCTTGGAGAAGAAGTTTTCAGACACCCCGGACTCGGAGGTCCTAATTATGAGACTTTGGAGTGGTACGGCGATTCTGTCCTCGAGATGGTATCTACAGAACTCGTGTTCGAGACCTTTCGGCATTATCTTCCCGCCGGTCGATGTAGTCAAGTTCGCGAACAGTTGGTGCGCAACCTCACGCTCGCAGACTACTATCGACAATACGGCATGCAGCATAAGACTCAACTCCCCAAGCATTTGGGCTCTATGGCCGACTTAATACATCACAAAGGCAGAAACAGGGATGTCATCAAGATTCAAGGCGACATTTTTGAAGCTTACGTTGGCGCAGTCGTCAAATCAGATGCTCAGCACGGAAACACAAACGTTGTCGCCTGGCTCAAGGCGCTCTGGAGCCGCACAATCAAGGATCAAATTAATCAAGCAGAGAGACAACACGAAGCCTCCTCTCTGGCAATCCGAAAGCAGCCACCTACACATGAACAATTACCCGCACAAACACTAAACGCGAAGATGCGACTTTCAAGCGCCGTTGTGGTTAGAGACATCAAGCTTCGCTATGAAGACATGCCGTGTAAGAAGAAGGATAAGAACCTAAATTTGCCGCTTTTTGCTATAGGCGTCTATATGGACGGATGGGGGGAAACAAACAAGCTTCTAGGTATCGGCACGGCATTGGGGAAGAAAGAAGCAGGCGAAAAGGCGGCGACTGAAGCACTGGAAAACCGGAAGCTTATCAAAGTCTACGAAACCAAGAAAAGGGCGTGGATGGAGGAGGCACGAAGTAACAAGTCCAAGAAGGAAGCAAATGAGTGAACCAGATACCATTTAAGACAATCGGTTGATTGGACTATTTCCTAGCTGTTCTAGTGCCTATGAAGTGATCCTAGTCAATGGAACAGCATGTTAGGGCTATTTCCCTGCCAAACAACCCGCCTCCGTACGGAATAGGGATGTATAAAATAGTATACTGATTACAGGATTTTAGATAAGTTCTTACAGTAAGATTATATAGGATTATATAAATGAGAAATATTTTTATATACTTTATATAATTTGTATAATTTATAGAAAAGTAAAAGAGTTTTAGTACAATTCCTATTATCTACATTTAAAAATGAAACGAGTTTATTAGAATTTACAAAATATATAAAATAGAAAGAGTTTACCATAATTCATACAAGAAAGTAAGGGAATTTATCGTGGCTTTTGCACGCCCACTACGTACAAAGCTGTAATGCAAATGCGGGAAACCAGAATGCTGGCCTCTAATGATCATAATGCGGAAATATATTATGCTAACTCGGTTATTGTATCACCCCAAACCCAGAGAATCATATCTTCACGTGTCTCGGTCATTAGTATGCAGAAGCACATGCAGGGGTTGAGACAGATCCCGAGATCTCGAACCGTTCCCCATGAGAGGGGAAGAAAAAGCCTGAGCGAGGTCTAATGTGCTGTGATGATTTCATAATAATACTGACAAGTTACTTCAAGGGTGTTTAGTATTTCAAAACAACATCTTTGAAGTAATGAGTTTCTCGGCTAAGTTGAGCTTAGGTTAGTAATTTTATTAAAGATTTATCGCAAGATGAGGTGGTTTTTGGACTTTCTTCTGTTGCTGCAAAATGTCCCAGACGTCAGGTCCCTCCCCCCTGGGGACGTGCCTCTCGTAGTGGAGGCGGTCCCTAAGAGCTTATCCCGCGTGGTGGTGCCCTTGCCGTGGGCGCCGAGGTCAAATGGATAGTTGCCGATAAACGCTCTCCGCAATGGCGAGTCCCAGATCTCGCATCATCATTCATTCAGTTGCTTCTGATCAAGCATTAACCTCATCTTAGTTTCAAAGGACCCTCTCCTTCTTTCCTAATGGAGTCATAATACACGGGCGACTAGGCGTTTTTGTATTACCTTCTACGTGTACACTTATTCTCACTCTTGTTTAATCTTTTCATCTGATATATCAATCGCTGCTTTACTCAAACTTGTTGTTCTTGTTCTCCTTTCCATTCTCAGCCGTGTGTCTGTGGGGTCCCGTTATCTCGGCCATCAAGCCGTGGTCCGGACGGCTCAAGGTCCGATAAAGGACCCCAAATATTGAAGCTCAACTTGCACCTCGACGCAGTCGCCACTCCCTTCTCATCGGCCGCAACTTGCGAGTCGTGCGTGAGTCGCCTTTTACATACACCATAGCCGCCAAAATGGCGGACTCAGTGGGTAAGTCGTATTTATCAATTAGTGCTCGCATGAGTTGTAGTGGCTGACGTGATGCGACAGATCGCGTGTTTGTACACGCTCTTAATACCGTCAAAAAGATCCCAAAAACCGGCGCATCAAGGCCACCTCCGACCGATCGACTTCGACTTTATGGACTCTACAAACAGGCAATGGAGGGTGATGTTGATGGGGTGATGGAGCGTCCAACTGCAGCTTTGGGAATGGCACCCGACGATCTGCAGCGCGAAAAGGACAAATGGGATGCGTGGAATCTACAAAAAGGACTCAGCCGGATGGAATCCAAGAGAAGATATATCGAGGCGCTGATAGATACGATGCATCGATATGCGACTACGCCGTAAGCTCTCCTTCAGCCCGAGCCACGATCAACTGAATTAGACTAACATACGTCCTAGGGACGCTGAGGAACTTGTGTCAGAACTCGAATTTGTCTGGAACCAGATCAAAAACAACAGTCCGAGCTCGTCATTATCATCGCCGAGAGCCAACCGATCGACTGGTGCCTCACAGCCCTACGAAGAACCCGAACAAGCGAGCGATGCCGAAGGCCCTTTGAAGGAGATCAGGCCGATGAGCGAGTACGACGAAGCTGAGCTACGGTCTCAACAGCAACTGGACCTCGAAGATGATGATATTGGAGGAGTACAAAATCACAATCGAGTCAGTGGACGATGGCAGCGAAAGGTCGAACGCGCTTTAACGACCATGTCCGCTGAGGTAGCTGCTTTACGAGAACAAATCACAACAGGTCGAGAGTGGCGAACAAAAAAGGAACGGAGCTTTCCGGCTTGGGCTAAATGGTTTGCCTGGTTGTTGGTGAAGCACCTTTTTGCCGACTTTGTCATATTGGCCGTTGTGCTGCTGTGGCTAAGAAAGCGTAAGGACCGCCGACTAGAAGATCTGGTTAGGGCGGCTGTCAGGCTGGTCAGAGAATACGTTCGAAATGTCTTACCATCAAGGGGATGATGATTGTCTTCTCAAGACTCGCACGGAACAGAAACCTTTTGGAGCGGTTGTTCTGTTCAACTACTGTGCCCATTTTCGATATACATTGGGCACAAGCAGTACATACCAAGTACGTGAGAACATATTTTGGCGTCAATTTCGACTGACAGTCAAGCAAAGAAGCAAATACTGCTTTACTTGTTGGATTATTATTTTTTGGAGAGGGCAAGGCGCTTTTTGGAGCAAGGGATTATTATTATTGTATTTATAACCAGCCAAGGTGGACATTGTGTATTATGGACATATACTAAGTGAATATTACCATGCTCAAAATATTTACCACGGGTTATCCAAGCCAGCAGTTAATGTAACAAAGAATTTGAGATCCTCAACGTAAACCTTAAGTAAACAATCTCATCACTGGTCTACGTAGGAGTACGTGCCTCAAATTGCTACGGTATCTATGGATGTAGGTACACTGCAACATACATCACCGATAACTTACAATATAGGATGGTTAAACTGTCTTTCCGTATCTAAAATAGACAATAAAAGTCACAGCTGCTTATGCAGGTACAGACGCAGCCATTGACGCATTATTTTATTTCTCATGTGCAACAGAAGCCTCTCTCCAAAGCCTCCACCCATTCGCCATTCACCACTCGTCAGTCGCCCGCCTCCAACATCATCCGTGGTACAACAACACCACACACCTGTGAAATAGCCACTAAATCAGGGTGTTTATAAAACCAACAACCATTAACAGCGCAACACGACACACATAACAACATGTCCCAGTTTCCACGCCGTCCTCCAGTCGTAGACCCTCTGCGGGACACTCCAGACCCAGAAGGTCATCCCATCATCCCCGAACTCGTCTCATTCACGCCCGCCATATTCTGTCCCATTGGCGAAAACGACAAACTCCAAGATACCCTGACCCCTGCCTCCTTCACTAAACTCGACCGTCTGCAGGCAGAGCTTGAGGCCCTTAGTACTCACGGCGTGCGCACCCGCGACAATTTCCTCGCTCTATGTGTGCGTGAGCGCGAGCGCATCTTCCAAGAAGGCCGACGCTTCGAAGCCGTTGACAGAAAAGCAAAAAAAGTCGTCCCAGATGTCGAGCGCGGACTCGCCGCTCATGAGCTCGGCATGATGATCGACAACATGGAGGCCCCAGCGCCGAAGCCAGGTTCAAGCAGTTTAGGAAACAGTCCGGTACCTCCAGCCAGTTTCGATATATCCAAGGCGCGGTCGTTACGCGAGCGCCAGGCATTTCTACACATGCAATTTATAGCGACATCGGCCAACACGGCTGAACAGCGTGAGCTAGAATTGGGCTGGCGACAGGCTGAGCTCGAGAAACAGATCAAACAGGAGCAATTGAAGGAAGATCAGGAGCAACACGGAGCCCACTAGAAATCGGCTCGCTCATCTGCATCACAATTCAACACATCACCTCCGCAAATCAAGTACGTTAACGGAGCACCCGCCATCAACGACAAGGAAATGTACATGTTCCTCAAGAATAACAACCGGACACGAAAGTCATGAATTAGAGAGAGCCCTTCCAGAGGTGCACATCGTAGTGAAGGAATTAGGTATTCAACTTATCTACCTGCAGCCCTCCATCCGACGTCCTATATGTACAGATACTACGAACTTCCAGACGCATAAAACAAAAGTAAATCTTTCTATTCTTTTACAACCGCCACCTCATACGCCATACTCGACTTGGCCCATAGGCTTATCCTCCTCCATACCAGGAGCCATAAAGTTTGTCCTAGCGTCACCAGTTGCCTTGGCCGCTGAGCAGCGTGCCATTGTGGGGGAGCTGCGAACACAGTCAGTAGGGAATTAAATAATTGATGAAACAAATCAACATACCTTCGTGAGATGACGTCTGTGAAGTAAAAGTTGTCGATAACCTTCTTGAGAGGTGTTCCAGTAACCTGGGCACCCTTGTTCTGGTCCACAAGCTGGACCTTGCTCAGGGCAGGAAGAGCAACGGGCTCAACGACATCGTAGGCAGCCAGAGCAGGGCTGATCTCGACCATGCGGTCTCGGACCATAGCAACGTCGTCGTAGGGGAGAGGAACGCCGAGGAACTCACTGGCAGCTCGGAGGATCTTCCAGTCAGTTCGGGAGGCACCAGGTAGAGAAGTAGCAGCTCGGGTCATTTGAACACGACCCTCAGTGTTGATGTATGTACCAGCCTTCTCAGTGTAAGCAGCACCGGGGAGAACGATGTCAGCAATCTGAGCACCCTTGTCACCGTGGTGGCCTTGGTAAACAACGAAAGCGTCCTTGGGAATATCGGCCTCGTTGACCTCATCGGCACCAAGGAGCCAGACGAACTTAGGCTTGGTCTCGGCAACCTCAGCAGAAGGAGTGGTGAAGCCAACCTCGAAAGCACCAGCGCGAGAAGCCTCCCGCTGGAGGACGTTGTAACCCTGCCACTCCTCAGTTCGGAAGTTAGAAGCGTGCTTGTCAACGAAAGCACCGATAGTCTCGTAGTAAGCCTTGGCGTCAACGTGGTCAGTAACACCAGAGCCGACAATGATCATAGGTCGCTTAGCGTTCTTGAGGGTCTCGGCGAAGGGTCCAGAAAGAGCAGACTTTAGGGCGGCGTGGTCGGAACCGAAGTGCTCGAACTCAAAGGTGGAGTCCCATGTCTCACCAACAACACCAATCTCAAGGTCAGATCGGAGCCATTGCTTTCGGATACGGGCGTTAAGAACAGCGGCTTCATGTCGGGGGTTGCTGCCAACAATCAGGATAGCGTCGGCCTCCTCAATACCCCAAATCTGGGAGTTGAAAAGGAAGTTGGATCGGACATCAATGCCGTGAGCGAGAGGCTGGCTGCCAGTAGGGGTATCAAGAGCCAAGTTCTCAGAACCAAGCTTGTTGGCCATGTCCTTGGCAACAACGAGAGACTCAACCTCAGTAAGAGCACCAGCAATAACCTTGAATTCGTTGCCCTGAGGGTTCTTGATCTGGTAAGCACGGCCGATCTCGGTGAGAGCCTCCTCCCAATCAGCAGGCTCGAAGCGACCCTCGCGACGGACCAAAGGCATTGTCAATCGCTGAGTCTTGAGACCGTCACAGGCAAATCGGGTCTTATCGTTGATCCACTCCTCGTTCACGTCGTCGTTAAGTCGGGGGAGAATACGCATGACCTCAAGGCCTCGGGAGTCGACACGGATGTTGGAACCAAGACCGTCGAGAACATCGATCGATTCGGTGTGCTTCAGCTCCCAAGGACGGGCGCGGAAAGCATAAGGCTTGGAAGTAAGAGCACCAACGGGGCAAAGGTCGATAACGTTGCCAGACATCTCAGAGTCCAGGTTCTTCTCAAGGTAGGTACCAATCTGAATATCGTTACCACGGCCGGTGGATCCCATCTCCGGGGCTCCGGCGATATCGTTGGAGAAACGAATGCAACGGGTGCAGTGAATACATCGGTTCATCGAGGTCTTAATCAGGGGGCCGATGTTCTTATCCTCGACGGCTCGCTTGCCGCCAATTTCGTGGAATCGGCCTCGATCCGCTCCATAACGCATAGACTGATCCTGAAGATCACACTCACCACCTTGATCACAGACGGGACAATCGAGGGGGTGGTTGGCGAGCAAGAATTCCATAACACCCTCACGGGCCTTGTGAGTAAGAGGAGAGTTGGTCTTGACGACCATTCCCGGCTGTACAGGCCAGGCACAAGAGGCGACGGGCTTCGGGGCCCTCTCGACCTCCACCAGACACATTCGGCAGTTACCGGCAATCATAAGCTTCCTGGAGCATTGTCAGTGATATGTCGATCGTGCGAGGAACCGGAGGTATCGTACTCATGGTAGCAGTATCTAGAAAGGGTTAGCCAGGTCATGCAAGTCCAATATGATGTGTGCTAACTTACCGAGGAACTGTTGAACCTGCCTTCTCACAGGCTTGAATAAGGGCAGAGCCAGCTACAGTTCTGTCAGAAGACGTCGACGAACCCGTCCAAGCACCATATCGTACCTTCAATGGAGATCTTCTTTCCATCTGGTAGCACTATTAGCCTCTCTCTCGTCGTCAATGGCTCCATGCACAAAGATGCTCACCAATTGTCAGCTCCACCTCGGCCGGGCGCTGGCTTGTCGTCGCGAAGGTTCGTGAGACATTGACCGCCCGCCGACTCGTCCGCCAAGCCGAACGTGCTAGAGTATTTCGGAGCATCGTGTCGCCTTGACGGAGGGTATATTAAAAAGTTGCAAGGTTCGCTGGCGGCGAATATATGCTCAGTCGTTGACGTCTTGAAAGGGAACCTGCTTGCTGTTCGGGTGATGGATTTAGTGGCGCTAGCCCGCGATTAATTTACGTTAATGCTCATTGGTCAGCGCTCTTTGCTCTGTGCCTCAGGCCAACAAGCTCAGTCCACTACCTCTTATTCCACAATTTGCAGCGAGCTTTGGAATTTTTTTCTTCTTCTACTAAATTAAATTGTATACGGGCACATTTTATTGTAGGTGAGCTTGCGCAACAGATCTGCTCCGGCAGAACTGCTGCATCCAGTCGAGTCTACCTCTATCTTGTGTTCAAGATGAATATTTCAACGCCGTTTATGGAAGCATGGGAGAGTAACCAATCTCCATGACCGCTGCCTCTTACCGCCGGTCGTTACATACCACCAACTAGGAACTTGTAGATTTTGCGTGAACCGAAAGCGAAGGCTTTTTTGTCGAGGAATGCTGTCTAGATGTCTATCTCATGAACTGCAGCTGCATTGCATGGCTCGCTCAGTCTTGGGGGGATCGTCTGTCCATCGAAGCTCCTCGTCCTTGTCACCATTGTATGTCTTGCCTTCGAAAGTCTCGCCGTCCCAGCGGTCTTCGAAGGGGTTGAGGGCCATCTGCATGACGCGGTTCAACACGTCTCGCTCGCCGTCCTTCTCCACGCGTTGAATAAGCTCATCGAGAATCCAACCACGAGGCACGAAGTTGGGGTTCACCCGCTTCATCGCCTCGATTCTCTCAATATCTTTGGTTTCCGAAACGGTCTCTCCTTCGTCCTTCCAATCTTCAACCATGCGCTGCCGCCAGCTTTCGAGCCAGATCGCGATGCGTGCTTTGGCATCGTCCTCAGAAATGGTAGTTGGGGGTCCTTCCTTGTGGAAAAAAACCGATGCCTTCTCCTTGCATGCCTCTTCAGTGGCCAGATCCTGCAACCTGATCTTACTGAGGCGACGGAAGAAATGGTGGAAATCAAGCTCTAGAGCTTCCATGGTATCCAAAGCTTCGCTGAAAAGCACATCAAAATCAGAATCCTTGTGGGTCTTTAAACCCAGTCGAGCAGTCATGAGTCGCTTGTACTCTTCAAGGAATACGACCTTGAACTCTTCTCCAGCTTGAGTGATGAGTTTCTCGGCCCGTGCCACAACTTCTGCTTCCTGGTCTTTGGTCACACCCTCTGAGATAAAGGTAGAGTCGTCAACATTGACGCCTGCCCCCATCAGCTCTCCAATCGCCTCACCGAAGCGAACAAGGTTCCACCAGATAATGGTAGGTTGGTTTCTATAAGCGTAACGAAGGGCATAGTCATCATGGTTCGGTGTGTATGCCGGATCAAAATTGTCCATAAAGGCAAACGGACCAAAATCTATGGACAGTCCATAAATGGAGGTGTTGTCTGTGTTCTGTTATGCGTTAGCAGGATTTCAATAAGGCCAAAGAGTCGGTTACTCACCAATACACCGTTCATAAATCCGTACGCTTGCCAGTTAGCAACAACCTTGGCATTGCGTCGCACAACTTCACGGTAAAGTCTCGTAAATCGGTTCTCCTCGGAACCTTCTGCACCCTCGATACTGTCAGCGGCAACTCCACGCTTCGGTACCGGTGACTTCTTAGGTTCGTCTGGGTCTTCCAGTCGAGCTGGCAGCTTATCCCAGCCACCAAAAACTTCTTCGGCAATGTATGTGGACAGTTGCCTGATGAGTTTGCGGTCTCCTCTGGCCCTCAAGATGTCGAAGTTGCCGAGACGTACCCATGACTGCGCAAATCGCAGGACAATGGCACCTGGCTCAATCGTCTCTCGGCGAACCTTCGAATGTGGTAGAAGTGTGAGAGATAAAGCTCTTGTAGTTGGGATTTTAAGGGCATTGAGTGCTTCCGAGACGACAAACTCTCGAATGCTGGATCTCAGGACTGCCTTTCCATCAGCAAACCGTGAGTAGGGTGTCATACCAGCACCCTTGAGTTGAAGCTCGTAACGGTCTCCGGAAGCAGGGTTGGTTGTCTCGAACAGTGAAATGGCTCTGCCATCACCAAGTTGGCCAGCCCATTGTCCAAATTGGAAACCTCCATAACATTGAGCCCATGGGTAGCCACCCTCAAGCTTCTCCTCATCCCAGCCGTATAGCTTATTTCCAGCAACCAGTTGTCTGAAGTTGTCTGTCTTCTCCTCTCCAAGCTTGATTCCCAGGTCGCGTAGCGCAGCTGGACTAACAGCGAGAAGCTCAGGGTCTTCCTGCTCGGCAGGACGTACCCATGTATATGCGGCATTGCGCACTTGCCGAGGTGTTATCTGATCTCGAGGAGTCTTGTGGGAGTCGGCGGGTGTAGGGAAGATTGAGTCGGCGGGGAGAGATTCGGTAAAATGCCACGACTTGGGAAGATCCTCAAGCGAAGCACCCTCGTAGTTGGACGCAGGCGACGATGCGCCGTTGCCATTGGAGATGTGAGCAGCCATTTGTTTAATTCTTCGTAAATGCGATGTTGGTTGTGAGCGCGGGACAGCTCTGCGGAGGGCGTTGCGGCAGAGCATCAACAGCGGGTTATTGTGTTTGGGGAGATGATTTTATAAGGAAACATGTAAGTAAGCATTTGGAATCATTTACGTTAATAAGTAAATCGAGAAATCATTGGCACATGACATGGTGTTTGGATGACAAAAGTGGCAATTACTGACGGCTCTGGTCGTTTATCTTGACATCACGCCCGGAGCTCCAGCGCCGGCCCCACGATCTACCTAAGTTAGATCTGACAGGTCTTGTAACTTGCTCGGCAAGCCCCCGGTTACTCAGACGCATGTAAGACGGCAACGGGCCACTATTTCGACGACAATTGCATGGTTTAAACAGAGTACTGTATGTGGGATAGAATAAATATTGAAAAACACTGCAATGCTTGAATAAATAGACGGTGCATTTGCCGATCACTTGACCGGTTGTGTTGTTGCTGTTTACCCTAGACTGTGTTGATAATATGGTATTGGTATTACATACGAAGCAGCATTCTATTAGTGTAAGACACGGTTACAATATTTATATCGTGCAAATATGTAAGTGATGTATAACTTTAAAATATGAATTCTTTACAGCAACTTTTCACATGCCCAGATGGCTCAGTGTTTAGATCACAACACCAATACTTCCGGTTAGACGTTCAATAGGTTAAAATACACAATACGCCTCAACGACGAACAAGTTACATAAATATCAATGGGCATGTACTGATAAGAGCATATCCTTCACAGTATACCAAGCTCGAGAATACGAAGTTAGAGAGATATGGGGGGTAGATACCCCTCCGTAGTTCTGCATCACGCCTTAATAGTTTGATATGATCACATGCTGGCCAATGATTGTACGTATTACTCCGTGTACTGTATCCCGTAACCTCTTGGCTTCACTCCGCATAGCTTACTGTGAGTATATATGTGTATGTGAGTTTTATACATATATTGTACAAGCATATCCAAGCCGACCAAACACAACCATATTGCCTTGCTATCACCTCGTCATAGATACCGAGCTGTACTACTTCAATAAGCACGAAAGACATGTACAAGTGACATGCAAACTTCAGCTAAAAAGCAAGCGACGCAGCCAACCATTGAAGTCTGCATCACCAACTTACCCCATTATCCCAGTATTGTATTATAAATCACGGAAATAGTCCCGCCTTAGATCGTAATGCTGTCCATTATTATCGATCTAAAGGTGGGGGCCAAATGGCAATATTTAAACGGCATGATGTAACCCCCCGTCCCATAAGTGACGATAACTCTTGACCATCAATTAAGCTTTCGAAGCCGTAGTTTCAATTGCGAACTCCTCCAAGCCACTATCGCCAATACAAATTCATTTTGAGACAATCCGTCAATATGGGTAGCGTTGTAAACCCCCGAAACGTCCCTCAATACAAGCTCAACGACGGCAATGAAATCCCGGTTGTATGTTTATCATCCCACATCTCCAAACGGGCCCTATGAGACAAATCATGCTTCGAACAAGAAACTCACAAAGATTAGCTTGCTTTCGGTCTAGGTACAGCCCAATACAAGAGTGACCCTAATAGCGGACTCGACCAGCATGTAGTCGACATCACCACCAAGGCTATCAAGGCCGGGTATCGTCACCTTGACGGTGCTGAGGGTGAGCCTTCCATCCGTACTACCTGGTACTGGACACTTCTAACAGCTTCATAGTCTACGGCAATGAGGAAGAGCTTGGACAAGCCATCAAGGCTGGAGGTGTTCCCAGGGAGCAGCTTTATGTCACCACGAAGATCCCTGCTGAGAAGAAGGGCTCTGCTATTGAGTCCTTCGAGGTCTCCCTTCAAAAGCTTGGTCTCGACTACGTGGATCTTTATCTGATTCACGGCCCCTGGTTCGCCCAGACCGACGAAGACCTTCAACAGCGCTGGGCTGAGCTGGAACAAATCAAGGAGTCTGGCAAAGCGAAGTCTATTGGTGTCTCCAACTTCTTGCAAGTGCATCTCGAGGCAATTCTCAAGACAGCAAAGGTCAAGCCTGCCATCAACCAGATTGAGTACCACCCATATCTCCAGCACGGCGACCTTCTCGACTTTCACAAGACGCATAACATTGCCGTGTCCGCATACGCCCCCCTCACTCCTATTGTTACGGCCAAGGGAGGACCTGTTGACCCTCTTTACACAAAGCTGGCCGAGAAGTATGGCGTCACAGAGTCCGAGATCGGCCTTCGATGGGTTATCGACCAGGACATTATCGCACTCACGACAAGCAACAAGATTGAGAGGCTTGAGGGCTACCTGTCTAAGCTACCAACGTTCCAGCTCACACAGGATGAGATTGCTGAGATCTCCAAGACCGGTGCCAAGAAGCACTTCCGAGGGTTCTGGAAGGTGAAGTTTGATGAGAATGATAGATCCTGAACGACAAAGGGGAAGTTCTCAGGAGCTGTGCTTGAATGTGTTATGACAGACTGATGAATGTATTGGGCGATCTATCTTCGCTCATGACCAGCATCGCCTAGAATAAATGTGTTGAACGATTTATTAACCCAAGAATTAATACCATGCTATGCAATTTTCTTCAATCGTGATTCATAGCTCGTCATCTGACTCAGTTTCACTCCCTGCTGCCGGTGCCGGTGTAGGCCTTGCAGGTTTCTTTGCGGTAAATGGAAGGGCTCTAGGTGGTGGAGGCTCATCGACTTCCTTAGGAGGAGTCTTTTTTGATGCCAGGGCGTCATTCTGTTGTGAGGAACTCAAATGAACACCGTCGTCGTCACCGGCTGCGTTGTTATCTTCATCGCTGTCGACAGATGCCGTTGCTTCTGTCGTGTTTCCAGGGTCCGTATCTTCGGCTTCTTGTTTCACGTCAACATCCATCGTGTCAACAGCAGCATCGTCATCTGACTCTTCCATTCTCCTTGACGCAGGCGCTTTTCTTTTCGAAGCTCTCGACTTGGCAGCTTGGCGAGCAGGCTTCCTTGACTTTGGCTGTTCGACCTCGACCTCGACAGCCTGGGAAGGTTGTGACTGGCCCGCCATACTAGGATTGATCGATAGCAGTGCCAATGCTTGTTGCTGCTCACGAATCTTGATCTTCTTCTCATTCAGGAGATCCCGGAACTTTCTCAACAGAGCGGTCTCATCTTCATCCTTTGCTTTGATCAATTCTTCCAACTGAGACTGGAGTTGAGTCACGGCCGTCTCCGCTTCAGATGATTTGACGGACAGGTCGGCCACAGTCTGTTTACTAGTGGTAGAGGTCTCAACAGCTGCACCGCACCACTCGAATAGCTCAATGGCCTCATCTGCATCATGGTTTAGGGTGATTGCGCCCAAGCGTTGCTAACATGGTTAGTGACAAGCCTGGGTTTTAGAATGGCATCACGATCTTACAGTGATGCCCTGTATCTCTTTACGAATGGTAATCGAGATAGATTTTTGGCTTTGAACCGTGGCTGTGGCCTGGATATCAGGAAGGGGTTCCTGTTGAAACAAGTCTTCAAGAATCTGTTGCCATTCGCTCTCCGAAGCAGGACAGTTCTTGACACGCAGAGACACGACCCTATCATGTTTCACTAACAACAACGTCAGTTTCAGGGATGGAAAAGGCGACCAGGCTCAGACAGGCTGGAAATTGAAGACCGGGGTCTAGATCGCAGCTAAGTCGAGCAGAGATGGAATGACTTACATGATGCGACATATGGTTCCTCCCCCTCGGTTCCCACCAACTTGAGGTCCAACCGCTTCGAACCTTTGGACGTCACCTGCAAGAGAACAAATGCGGATTTGTCGTCGCTACGAGGAAACCTCAAAACGCGGAATGGAGCAGCCATTGAACAAACTTAGGAAGTAAGTACTATGTAGCCTTTGTATAGCGGTTGACGGTTCAAGGGAGTGGTTTGGTGTATTCTTCGATCGGATGAGTGGAATGATGAAAGATGACAGGGCGCCAGGAGAATACTTAGACGATCCGTTTAAATTCCGTTGTTGGTGCAGCAAGTAAGACACGGCACACGGGCCGAAGATATCGATGTCTGAGATTTGATGTATCACAGGAATGGAGGCTTCAAATCAAAGCATGTATCGATATAAAGCTGGCTTAGCTGGACGAACAAGCGTGACAGGATTGGATGGCCAAGGCAAAGTAAACAATCCCTTGAGAGGAAGAGTTATGAAGGGACCGTGCAGGAGATTGGCGTCAAGGTATTAATTAGATTGTCAGTTTGGTGTTTTGTTACGTCGTCAGGGTCTTTGTTGTTATTGATGAGTGATGTTTTGTTGATTGTGCTTGGACCATTCGGTTGGGTGATGTGATGTTCAAAGCTCGGGCAGCCTGTACTTTCGAGGAGGGGGATTGGGCGTAAAGACTACGGCCACAAAAGGGGGACAATAAAACAGAGGAGTTCAGATAGAGAGATAGGATCGGTTTGGTGTTGTTTGCCTTTCTTTATTAGGACGAAAGCAATGGATCAGATCTATCATCTGACAGCAGGCAGCCATAGGTTAGTACCCAGGTGTTGGGGCTAATTACAGGCTGTAGCATCGCACCTCATCTCTCTAGCGCTCTAGCCCAGGGCCACATGGTCATCCGCTTCAGGCACCTACCGCTAAGAAAATAGGGGACCCTCGTGTTGGGCTTGTACCTCAAAGCCGCCTCAAGTATCAACCACATGCCATTGTAATATTCATACAATGAAAAAAGAGAATCACATCGTGTATGTTCACTTGACAACGCAATTGTATATACAAAACTCAAACTCCCTTTCGGTTGTCGCGGTTTCATTCCAGTAGCTTAGTCGTTCTGTACAAAGAGCTAGAGTTCCATGCCTGCCAAAACTGCTTCTGTTCAGGATTGGATCATGTACGAAATAGATTGGAAACCCACTGCCCTTGAAGATCCCTGAGCGTTGGACTTTAAAATCGTGCCTTGTCAGGCTAGTGGAGTAGAAATGGATACATCATACTGGTATGGTATCAATCTGATGGACGGACGTTTGACGAGACATGTGAGAAGTGTTAATCTAAATGGTACGGAGCACTGCCATAACGGAAATGAGGAGTTCACAGTCACTACCAACAAGAACAAGAGTAGTATCACCATCTCATCATCATCATTCGTCCTATTCTAGGGTAGCCAGCCTGTGGACTCTATGTTTGTCCAGGTTTCTAGTTCGGGCAGTGAGATCATCCAAGATCGTCCAGGCACGCCAGGTACAAGATGAGGTGGATGCTGGCAGCTGGACCAACCAGCCACCTAACCAACGCTGACGTTTGATGGGACAAAGAGGAAAAGCCTCTTCTCTCGTCGCGACTGTGACGCGTGAAAGGTTTGACCAATCGGGCGGTTCCCCTGACTGCAAACGGCTGGAGCAAGACTTGTTGTTTTTGCAGCTAAACTTGATCGTCTTGTGCTGCAACTGTCACGTGCAGCTACTGAGAACACTTAGAATCCTCAGAAATTCTCAAACCTGCCCCCAAGATTTCCCTTCAAAGGTCTGGCCATATTCTGATCTGCCCCTGGTAGGGGACACCAATCTAGGTGTAGCGTCAGTATCCGTAACCCTACTGTCTTTCGTAGTGTTTAAATAGCGCAACAGCCAAGAGTGACCACTTGCAGGTTGCCCGTCCTGTGGGGATCCAGCTTTAGCGATTGCAGCACCCAGCAACAGATGGTCACAGTGGGACGTCCCTTAGCAGTTAGCGGGAGCCACCTCCAGCCACGCCTAAAGTAAACCCCCCAGCCTTCCATTTCTCTTTTTGCTGCTAGACAACCCACCAAAGCCAAATCCAACCCAAACAAACCATCACATCCCGTCCTCCACCGACCGCATTCCTGACCTTCGCATCCTGTCTTGCACGTCACCCACTCGACCATCGAAAAAAATCCTCTCCTACCGCTGTCAAAATCCGTCCCCTCCGCCTGCGAAAAATTCTGTCGATCTTGATTTTCTTGTTTGTTGACTCGCTCAATACGGCGACGTTGCAACGTCTTTCTTTGTTTCTACTGTTTATCAAACGGCATCTCCCATTTGTACTTCGCTTCTCTACCCGTTCGTCGAACGCTTCATCACCAGCACGCACAAAGTGACCAACCAAACGTCGGAGCACCTGCAGGATCGACGCATTCTCTCCCTACGATTTTCCATTTTTTGTTTTCTTGACGTCGCTACTATTTCAAACGCTGCATCATACAACGCCGTTTTCTTTTAACCTTGGGGATATGCTTTTGTATGCGGGGAACAGTCGCCGTTGACAAAAATGACTGCACGCAATTGACATTACGTCCCCAACAGTCAGGCCGAATAACACTCTTTGCCTAACATTGGCCCTAACACATATTCCTACTAAACTTAACAACACATTCACTATCATGGAACCTTTACGACTTAAGCCCCGGCAACCGGTAGAGGCCGATATCGAGAACTGGGACGACGATGACTTTGAGGTGGACGGCGACGACTTGTCCTTTCGCAGCCCATCAACCGCCACAAACAATCCCTCACGACCAACTTCTTCAAGACGCCGCGATTCCGGTTCTTCACACTTTTCCTTTCGATCAGAGTTCGATGGCGAGGAAGAGAAGCATGTTCATATCCCTGGAGACGACGAAAAGTCAACTCTAGACGCCATCACCGCAGCACAAAATGCTGGCATCCCATTACCTACAAATGTACCATCCTCTGCCCTCATGGGGGGCACTATCAAGCGCCTAGGTGGACGAAAGATCCGTAAGATCATTCAAGATGACTGGGAAAATGACCTAGAAATCCCCGACTCCTCTCAAGGCTTCAAGATTAAGAAGCCCGAACAGCCTAAATCGCCAGAGAGTATGCGACATGTCAGCTTCGGACCATCTACTCATACTAGTCCTATTAACTGGGGTAACTCACCTCCTACGTCTCCTTTTGATAAGAGCAACCGACGGGAATCTACCCAATCTATCCAATCGATCCAGTCCGTCCAGAGCATTCAGTCCGTCCAGTCTGCAACAAGCAATCTTTCGGCTGCTATTAATTTGGACAGATTCAAAGACGCTGACGACGATGATGATTTCTTTGGGGATGGAGGCGACACGATCAGAGCCTCTAAGCGTCAACTTCCCAAACCTGTTTCATTTATTACACCACCCACCCCTCAGAGGGAGGCCAAAGCTGCCAGTACTGAGGATGATTTTGAGATGGACCTTGAGCTTCCATCGGATGGGAAGCTCAAACTTACTACGAGAAAGGAGATCCCCAAGACCCCCGCCAATCAGTCAGAGGACTTGGACTGGGGAGAAGGAAGCCTAGGCACTCGATATGGTGGGACTCGGCGAGATCCACGTTCTGCCCGGAGCTCAGCAGCTTCTGCGCTTAGCCCAAGTGTCTCGAGCTCTATTACTGCTGAGAGTGAAGACGAGACATTCGATGGATTGATTTTACCCTCAGGGCCCGTTAACTGGACTGAGAGGCTACAGCAGCGACGAAAGAGCCGATCCCCAGGCCGAATCTCCGAGGAACCCATTGTGCCCGCAAAGAAAACTCCTCCCTCAGCTGAAGCTGATAAACCTGATTTTCTTGACGGGCTTGATATTGGTGAAGGTGATGTGTTTGACTCGAGCAAGCTCACTCTTCACAAGAACGTTCGGGTCAAGGAAGCACAACCGGCTAGCCCGGCTCGACCCAAGACGGCTGTGTCGCTCACGTTCACAAACAAGTCTCTGAATTCAACTCGGATACCTCGTCTGAACCACCATGAGCGAACTCACTCAACGTCGCTTGAGCCTGTCTCCGAGAGTGGTGGCCCTATTCCACAGCGTGCCCGTCGCTCGCGGTCTAGAATGGGCCATTCGTCACAATCATCCACTGTTAGCCTGCCAACTCCTACGACAACCTCGCCGTCTCATGGACTGCCGCCTCCTCCACGCAGGAGGGAAGTTGGTGTACGAACATCAACGAATTCACTTCGGACTGAACCTACTACGACCAGTGCCCAGCTACTTAAGCAGAAGCGCTCGCTTCCAGTTATCCGAGGAATGAACACACCAGGCAAACACTCATCGTACCGCCATGAGAGACCACCTTCTAGATCGGAAAACAACCGACCATTTTCTGGAATGCGACCTAAGACCCCCACGGAACGTCAGCGTCAAGGCTCGACAGATAGTCCAGCAACCGTTCGCAAGTCTCACCTACCTTTCCTCCTGGCCGGAGCCTCTCAATCACAGTCGCAGCATGTTGCTACCAAGCACACTCGTGGATTCCGTCGACACGACTCAGACACCTCTATTGGGTCTATTGACCTGCGACCAAACTCCCGTACGATCTCCCGATCAACAATGCGATCGCCTAGCCCTACTCATCGCTACCGCGCTACTGGTGACACATGGGAACGTCTGAGCAAGCCGAAGAATAAGAAGAACTTTGGTGATGGTCATGAGCTGGACGGCTTCGATGATTTACCTACATCCAGAGAAAGCGAAACCAAATACCTGAAGCAGCCTACTAGCTCAGGACCAAAGGTTGCGCTGCGCAACAAACTCTATCAGAACGTGCTTCCAGATAGAACCTCGACCTTCTCTCCATCAGTCCCTTCTACCCCTCGGCCATCCTATACTCCCCATTTCGCCCGCGACACGGCTGCAAGTAGAATTGCACGAGAGACTTCTCTGGCGCAACGGGTTCCTAGTAACGGCCCATTGACACCCATCAACTCTCAGCGGACTACTCATCTTTCGTCGAGAAATAATTTGACACCGATTCCTCAATCCACCATCAGATCGAGAAAGCATAAACGACCGCAGCAAACAAAGCCCCACCTAATCTCGAACCTGAATAGTGGCAAAGAGTCGAAGAGTAAGTCTATTCGAGCGTACGAGTAATACCTCAGCTAATCAAGACATAGTGGTGAATGGGATGTTCTATAACGCAGACACATTCAGGTGGGAAGGCAATGAGAATGCCCTCAATCTTTTTGACCCCCCTGTACAAACACCTACCCAGGTTGTCGTATCAACCACCACACGCGAGAAAGAAACGGCGACACCCCGACCGGCACTGATCACGAATATCAGCGCCACCAAGGGCGTCCAAGTTGTTGGTGGCATGGTTTTTGATCCACAGAATATGTGCTGGCTCAAACTCGACAACCCTGCTAAGCCAGCTTCCGATGCTAGTGACACAATGGATGGTTTCGACGCGCTCGAAGACGAAGACGTTTTCAAAGATATTCCTGATCTGGAAGACAACACCGCCGATGACGAGGGTGCTCAAGGTCGTGTTAGCGACATCAAGGATGAGTGGCTCGTCGGCGAAGAGTTCGATGTTGGACCCGAGTTCATCAGACGACAACGAGAAGAAGAAGACCGCTGGAGAAAGAAATGCGAGAAATGGATCGGCCGAGGATCCAGGGATCGCGAAACTTGGCGGTGGACGATACGCGAGCTAGTCTCACAATTTGACGATTTGGCTATGTGATATGTGGAAGTCCCGAGCCTCAACGATTGGCTTTCATCATTCTTCGGCACCACTGTTAAGCAACAACTTGTAATACGCATACTCACTTTCTGAGTATTTGGAACACACAACACGGCAGAGCACCTACACGATGTAAGGCACAAGCAACCGTTTGTTATGACGGTACTATGACTGGATACCCCCGGATGGTTTGGGATGATTTTGTGCGTTATGACGAAGTAATGGAGGCTCCATCACTTCAGGTTTTGATTTTCTGCAGGTTATAATGATTTTTCTTGCGAGCGCCTAAGGACTATTGACGACGAACGACCCTGTATTATATGGCAACGATGGGTTGGCCCTGGCTTTGGGTTTATTGGGGGAATGATAGAAAAAACTGGCGGCAAGCAGGAAACCCCCCTTACGGCCGGGACGCTGCCCTGGGCCATTTAATGATGAAATGAACTTTACGACTTGCTTTAACTGCAATTTTCTCTGTCCGGTTCTGCTCTAGACTGTGGATGATCTAGTGAGATATCATAGATGTGAACACATGGTACTTGTCTTTTGGCGATGGCTTCAGTCTCATGTTGAAAAACTTCCAAACATCTCCTGTTTATTATCTAGCGTATAATATTGAAAAAAACGTCTACATGAACAACAAAAAAAGTCGTCAAACCCATAACCATTTTTAGAACAACAAACTCCTGCCAACGGTTGAGAGGTTGGTACTTATTTTTTGCTTCCCTTCTTGTTCTTCTTGCCCTCCTTCTTCACCTCCTTTTTGCTCTCCTTAGGCTCCTTGACCTCCTTAGGCTCTTTGACTACCTTGGCCTCCTCAACCTCCTTGATCACCTCCTTGGTGACCTTGGGCTCTGTGGGTTCCTTAGGCTCCTTGGGCTCCTTCTTACCCTCCTTTGCCTTCTTGAAGTTGCTGTTAGGATCCAGACCTCTTCGGCGCATAGCATTCCTTCGTCCCTTCTCCATGTACTCCTTATCCTCCTCGTCGTCCCAGTCACCGAAGTTGTCATTAGACTTGGCAGCCTCTTCCTCATCTGTGGCAATAGGTGTCTTGTCGATGATCTCAACTTCGTCGGCAGGGCCGGTGGAGCGATCGCGGGCGTTGGAGGCGTTGGCGGGTGTAGGGCCGATCTTGTGGAACTTGGCGACGAAGAAACCGTCAACGTTGTAAGTGTGAGGGTAGTAGCGGCGGGTGTGGCGCATGGAGGGGTCGAACTTCTTGCCCATGAAGCTGGTGAAGCCCTCCTTTCCGAAGACAAGACCAGTGTCCACGAGGCGCACGTTGGGGCGGCGAGAGAGGGCGTACTGGACAACCTGCTCGTTCTCCTCGATGGTGACGGAACAGGTAGAGTAGACGATGTAACCACCTGTCTTGGAGGCGTGGTTGACGGAGTCGATGGCAGCGAGGACAAGCTGTTTCTGGATGTGGGGGAGTTGCATGAAGTCACGCTCTGTCTTGTTGGTCTTGACGCTAGGATCCTTTGCGATAACACCAGTTCCGGAACAGGGAGCATCGAGAAGGACACGGTCAAAGCCTCCCATAGGCTTGGGGAACTCTCGAGCATCGTAGTTTGAAACGATAACGTTGCGGCATCCAAGACGGTGAATGTTACCAATCAGACCCTTGGCACGAGCCTTGTTGGGATCGTTGGCAACGACAACACCGGTGTTCTTCATCATGGCAGCCATGTATGTTGTCTTTCCACCAGGGGCAGCGGCCATATCAAGCACGCGCTCGTTCTCCTGAGGATCGAGAGCCATACAGGGCAGGAAAGATGAGGCAGCCTGGAGAATGTAGTGACCAGCGAGGTACTCGGGAGTCGCACCGAGAGGCACGCTGCTCTCGAAGACCTGGAGACCAACCTTGGACCACTTGCCGACAGGCTCAAGGGTGACACCACGGTTGATAAGAGCTTGAGCAAGATCACGACGGTGAGTGCGCAGGGTGTTTGTACGGATGACGACAGGACGCGCCGACTCGTTGGCCTCGAAGAAAGCGAAAGCCTCACGCGGTGTGAAGAGGCTGAAGAGCTTGTCGGCCAGATACTCGGAGTATCCGTAGTAGGAGCAAATATCCTTGATAAGCTGTGCTGTGTACTCGGCTCTTGATCGACCCTCCTCGGAGAGGTTAGAAAAGTCGTCGAGGACGCGGATGTTCTCTGTAATTCGTGTTCGCAGAAGCTGCAGATCGGGCGCTAGGAGGGCGCTTGTCTTGGCAGCGAGCTCGTCGTCGCTGTCCTCGTCGGAGAGAATATGAGGCTTGTCGCCGTGGATGTTGGTCTGGAGAGCCTGTTCAGCCATCTCAGCCTCCGCCTCGGCGGCTTCCTCTGCCCTTTGGGCGTCCAATTTCCTTGTAAGACCCTCAATGTTGGCAGCTGTGAGCTTCTCCTCGGCGTCTGACTCGTCCTCGTCCTCGGAGAACATGGCCTTTGTGTTCCTGCCTCCGTCGTCGTCAGAGTCCATCACAGAGTCGTCGTCATTGTCTGAGTCGAGGAAATCGTCCTTGAGTCCAGCGCCGCCCAGATCTGAGTCGTCCTCTAGATCGTCAAGGTCGAACTCATCGTCCATCTCCTCGTCGGAAACATCCTCCAGAGCCGGCACAGGAACCTTCTTGTTCTTCGTTGATCTGCCATTGACCTTGGGCGCGGAAGCAGACTCTGCAGCCTTTACTGGCTTGGTGATCTTTGTCTTCTTAATATCCTTCTTAGCGGCGCCATTCTTCTTGGACTCGGCGACCTTTGAGGTGGTTCTTCGCTTCTTCCTCTCGGGGGCCTCGACGATAGGATCAGCAGGTAGACCGGCCTTGCGCTTGAGCTTTGCAAAGTGTTCCTCGGACAGGGGTTGAGGAGGACCCTGCTTCTTCATGCGGCGTCCGACACCCATTTTGAAGTAAAAGGGTTGGAATTGGTTTGTTTGGTGAGGAATTAAGTCGACCGAGATGCAAAACTGATCTGGTCTTGTTTCTTGGTTCTTGGGCCTAGGAAAAGTTGCAATAGATCGCGCCCCGCCGAAACTTTTTTCTGCGCGCGCTGCGATAACAGGGTCCGATAAGCGGTAGAACCTCGTATCGGGTCGCAACATGCATGTGGATGGTGCCTTATGTAATCGCCTGATGGCGCCGAATGCTGCGCTGCGGGCGTGGACTCTGGAGCTTGCTTTAGAGGTGGTATTCAATGACGATACTCGAAGCTGGCCACTACAGAATACAGATCATATCCCTATTATCGCAAGCTTGAGCAAGTGCAATTTTTGAAGTATCCTAACACTCTCAATACTACAATACTCTTGGTATTGCTTTGTATTACTTCAAATTCCTTCTCCTTCCACCTAACTCAACCCCGCCTTATTGAGCTTATAGCCACCTACCTACCGCAACGAAGCCATCACCATGTCTGAGGTCGCCTTTGCCCAAACGTTTCTTGGGTCGCTTGAGTCGCGACCCATCAGACTCTCTGCCGACCATGTTGAGGATCCTAAGTCTTTCCCGGCTCGACCACCCGTATGATCTACATCCTCATCCCCCCAATCCATCTTCTAACACCACATTTAGTACATCATTCCTCGCATGTCCAAGGCCATGAGCAAGCCCAACGGTCTCGCTCCCGGTTCCGAACGAAGCATCACCGTGTCTCTCAAGTCCCTGCGTAACCCTCCTTTGAGCATCAAGCTCACATCCCAGCCCCTCGACACCTCGATCCTGGATATCAAGAGCAACATTGAGAAGCAGACGAGGATACCTGTCGCTAAGACTAAGCTGTTGCACAACAAGAAGCCTATCCCGGATAGCAAGATTCTCAAGGACCTATTGGGAGAGACTGATATGTCTATTGAATTTACGGTTATGGTAATTGGAGGCGCCGCTGCTATTCCACCTGAGGAGCCTGAGGCCACCCCTGCGGCCCAACCCACTGGCGCACATGCTCTGGAGACAGACGCATTTTGGAGTGACCTTAAGGGATTCCTAATGCAGCGCCTAAAAGATGAGGCTGAGGCGGAGCATCTTTCAGGCCTCTTTAAATCAAGTTGGGAGTCGAGTCAGGCGAAGCCATAAACGGTGTTTACATCAAGGCAGAGTATTACAGAAACAAAGAAAATAGATGAAAAAATCCCAGTGATTGCCACATACCGGCATGCGGTGTTATTTCCTTTGGTACGTACGATACATGGTCAAGGCTGGCAATTGTGTGAATTCACGAGTCACGACTCTCCCTTGGAAGTAGACTCGTAGGTCTACATCCTTCCATCATCTCCCGCGCGCCTGATCCATCCGTTCACTATGCACTCCTACTCATTTGCTTGATTTGGTGTCTCAACTCTTGAAACGACCATAGGTATGTTCAAATTTCATGCCCGTCCGCTTCTATAAGGGAGCGCGGACAGCGGTTGGGTAGTTCGTGACAGTGCGCTTAAGCAGCAAGACCCTTGCTGACGTTCTTGAGGATGGTGTCGTATTCGATGTCATCAGAGTCGTTGGCCTGGTGCTCGTGGGCAATGCCGGTGAGTGTTCGCTTGAGAGCCTCCTTGGAGGAAGCGTAGATCATCTTGGGCTGCAAAAGGATGTTAGTGGACACACTCGCAATTGACCAAGTGGCATGGATAAGACTACGTACCTGGATACCAGCATCATCGGGGGACCAGGCGATGAAGGTGATCTTGTTTCTGTCCAATTCTTTAGTTTACTGGCTGTACTGTTGGGCCACGTAGGAGGCCAGCGTAAGACTGCGCAGAATGCATACCGGATACCGTCGCCAGAGGCTAGGCTGTACTCGAAATCGTAAACGGCGTATCGGGGACCCTTGCCAACGGCGCCCTATAACAAAAACGTCAGTATGGTGGTTCGGTAGTATTTCCCATTTGTTCGTTAAGTTGGCATGCGTACACTTCGGCTCTTGGAGGTCGCGTTAATCAGCTTCTCGCGGAACTCATCGTAGTCCTTGCTCTCGGAGGCGTGCTCGACGACAATCTCCTTGTAGTCATCGGAGAGCTTGTAGACGATGTACTTGTACTTCTTGTTAAGCTTGAGGTCGTTGAAAGCAGTTATGCATTCCTGGTTAACGGTGGCTCTGTATTGAGAAAAAGCAAATCAGAAAGTTAGCGCGGTTGTCTCAGAAATCATTGTTAAGCTGTTGCGTGTTGCCCCGCGTTGGGCGTCATGGTCATGGCCGAGGGGGAGGGGAGATGAGTGGGCGAAGCGAAGCGAGACGAAGCCGCGGGCGGGGAGATTTCAAGCTCAAGCGGACGCGCGCAGATGGAAATAGTTGATAGAAATAGGCAAGAGTACGAACCCGGATTGAGACTGTGAATTAATGTTAGATTTAGGGACTTTTGGGTGGCTTCCGAGGGGAGCTTACCATGATTGCGGTCTACGTCAGGAGACGGGATCTTGAGATTGAGGGGTGGATGGGCTGGAGGGAGAGCTTCGGGTTAGCTGTAGAAATCAACAGAGATAGAGAGAGACAGCGATTAAAATTTAGAGGGGTTACATCCGCTGTAAGCGTAAAGTGGTGAAGGGGATTGACGTACTAGAAGTAGATTGTAGGGGAGTAAGAAAAAAAAAGCAACAGTCTCACGATGCGAAAGCGAAAGGACAAAGTCGTTGGAAATGGCTGAAGACCAAGAGTGGGTTGTATTCCTAGTTTAGGCGGTAGAGAGAGACACTGGAGAGCCAGTCCCATAGAAAGGCGGGGCCGTTGCGGGAGAAACTTGAGTCGGAGTCGACTTCTCCCCTCTTCTGAATTCTGACCTCTCCTCTCTCTTTCTTGGTCCATGCTCCTCTCTCCTCTTCTTCCTCTCTCCCAGTCGTCTTAGGCCCCCCCTCCTGGACCTCCTGGGCCTCCTGGGTTTCTTGGTGGGGGTTGGTTGCCTGTAAGATAATACCCTCCACGTGACACCAATAGAGTGTGTGTCAGTACAGCCAGTAGACGTCAACTTTAGTACCTACTTACCTATCCCTGGGTACCTACATTTGACTGTCCATCACTCAGGGATATCTTAAGCTTTAACGTACATTCCCGCCATATTTTACTATATCCTCTGACTCGTAACAACACAACAATTGCTTAAACAATATGTCATTAACTTGAAAAGCTAAACCAACGTCCCAACTCATCGTCTCCATCTTGTTCATCCAATGAACCCCTGCTATATCGCGGCCTCTCGGAACCTGTTTTCAACCCAAGCCAAGATAAACAACTAATCGTCCGAATATAACGAATGCCCAATCTCATCACCAATGGTTCACTTATACGCAGCACCAATCACATCACAAACTTTTCCAAAATGCTACAATGCTGTTTGACATTCTTTTCCTCTCCTTTTAGTTCTCATTTCTTTTCATGATAGTGCTACAATAAATGCTATAATACAGGGCTCTCAAAATCTAGCCTGAAATTCCGTAAGGGGGTATGAAGACAAATGTCGTGGTCCGACAACCAATAGAGAGGAGATGAGTTTGCAAGACCACTTCACCCGTCCCATGATAACTCGCAAACCATTATGCGCCGTTCATCCGTCCAGCTTTTTTTTGTTATACAATACAACATCAAGTCATATCATTCCGTCTCTTACATCATACCTCCCATACCACCCATGCCGCCCATGCCGCCCATGCCACCCATAGGAGGTCCACCAGGACCCTTCTCCTCGGGGGCGTCGACGATGGCAACCTCAGTGGTACCTAGAAGAGAGGCAACACCGCTGGCGTCGATGAGACCAGTGCGGACGACCTTGAAGGGGTCGAGGATACCGGCATCGATCATGTTGACGTACTCGCCCTTGGAGCTGTCGAAGCCCTTGTTGAAGTCGGCAGCGTGCTCGTCAGTGAGCTTACCAACGACAACAGAGCTCTCAAGACCGGCGTTCTCGATGATGGTGCGGGCAGGGCGGGTGATGGCGTTCTTGACGATGCTGACACCGAGCTGCTGGTCGAAGTTGGCAGTAGGGACATCGTTAAGGGCCTGAGCAGAGGCCTTGATCAGAGCGGTACCACCACCGGGGAGGATACCCTCCTCAACAGCAGCACGAGTGGCGTTCAGGGCATCGACGAATCGGTCCTTCTTCTCACCGACCTCGACCTCGGAGGAGCCACCGACCTTGATGACGGCGACACCGCCAGAGAGCTTAGCAAGGCGCTCCTGGAGCTTTTCCTTCTCGTACTCGGATGTAGTAGGGTCACTGATGACACCACGGATCTGCTCACATCGCTGAGCAATGGCATCCTTGCTGCCGTTACCGTTGAGGATAATGGTGTCCTCCTTGGTGATGGTGATGGAACCCGTGGAGCCGAGCATGTCGGGGGTGGCCTTGTCAAGCTTGATGTCGAGCTCATCGGTGAAGACGGTACCGTTGGTGAGGATGGCAAGATCGCCGAGGATGGACTTGCGGTTGTCACCGAAGCCAGGGGCCTTGACGGCAGCGACCTGGAGCTGGCCACGGAGCTTGTTCAGGATGCAGACAGCAAGAGCCTCGCCCTCAATGTCCTCAGCAATGATGATGAGAGGTCGTCGCTGCTGGGTGGAGACCTCAAGAGCAGGGATGATGTCCTGGACAGCAGAGATCTTCTTCTCGGAAAGAAGAATGAGAGGGTTCTCGAACTCGACCTTCTGGGACTTGGTGTCGGTGATGAAGTAAGGGGAGACGAAACCACGGTCGAATCGCATGCCCTCGGTGACCTCGAGCTCGTCGGTGACGGTCTTGCCCTCCTTGCAGGTGATAACACCCTCCTTGCCGACCTTCTCCATGGCGTTGGCGATCATCTGGCCAATGTGGACGTCGCCGTTGGCAGAGATGGTAGCGACCTGAGCGATCTCGGCGCTGGTGGTGATATCACGCTTGTTCTTCTGGAGGAACTCGACGACGGCCTGGACAGCAGCCTGGATACCGCGGCGGAGGTCCATGGGGTTGCAGCCGGCAGCAACGTTCTTGACGGTCTCGGAAAAGATGGCACGGGCGAGAACGGTAGCGGTGGTGGTACCGTCACCGGCGACCTCGTTGGTCTTGGAGGCAACATCCTGGAGGAGCTTGGCACCGAGGTTCTCGAACTTGTCCTTGAGGCTTATAGCGCGGGCAACAGTGACACCATCTGGAATTGGTCAGTTGGAAGTTTGATGTGTGTTTGGGAAGCTTGTACGAACCCTTGGTGATCTTGGGGGAGCCGAAGCTGGACTCAATGAGGACGTTTCGGCCCTTGGGGCCGAGGGTAGTAGCAACAGCCTTAGCGAGGGTGTCGACACCGGCGAGGAGAGCGGCACGGCCCTCAACACCGAACTTGAGCTCCTGTATAGTTTGTTAGAGGACAATTCGATTACCATGACGTCGCAGTATCATCATACCTTGTGAGCAAATCGGACCTGCTGGCTGAGGCTGCCAGCTCGGTACTTGGTAGCTGCCGAAGAGAGGACAGAGGCTCTCGCCCGGGTGCTCAATGCGCGCTGCATGATTGTGGAATTAGGAGTAGAAGAGGGGGGAAGGGGGTATATGGAAATAGAAGAAAAGGAGAAAAGAGAAACGCTCGTGAGAATTCGACCTTGGGAGTTAGGACGGACGAGGAGAGGTTGGAGTGAGGAGGACAAAAGGTTCATATGATGGCGACTGAGAAGCTCTCAAAAAAATGGAATCGTCCCCGTCGCTCGGAGCGTCGGATTCGGCAAAACCCAGAGGCGACGCTAAGCCGGACATGTATCAGCCCCACCCGCCGTCAACTTCTACACCCTTCTAACAGTGTCTGTGAGGCTCGCTGCTAAATCGCTTCAATCCCCTGGAACGACCTGTAGATGGGGCATTAGAAGGCCTGGAACTCATATTACCGGACCTAGCCATAGCCGAAGACGACAGACAAGAAACCGCCTTTGACTGGATTTTAACGGGTCACGAGCGGCTTTCGATGTCCAGACCGAGCATCTTACTCCTCCTCACGGTGAACGACTCCACAATCCAATGTTGCATGACAAATGACCCGTCTGGGGTTCGTTCGATTTCCATGGAGCTCAAGCGTGTAAGTTGCTTGATTGGCACAAATGGGGATTGATTGGGTGGTTGATATGGAGGCGGTGATGCCCTCAAGTACCTGTAGTTATATGGTCGTTTACGGTTCACATCTGGCTGCAACATCTAAATAGTCGCATATAATCGAGTCTTGGTCCAAGTGGATCGCATCATAATTTCAATTCCAGTGTCTGTTATGGTACAGTCGCAGCCCAGCCCAGCCCAGTTCAGTCCAGTCAACTCAGTGGTTGGGACAAATACCCGTCCTCGTCAATTAATACATCAAGTTGATCAAATCCGTGCTCCATCCCCCAGATGAGCATCGTTACTCAGCTCCATTCTCCATTCAATCACGCGAAATGCGGCGGCGCTTGAACTTGCAAACCATGCGGTAGAGCGAAGATCGCTCGCTTCGTTCGATTCCATCAGATCCCTCGACGAACTTCTTCTTCTGTCCAACCTTCTCAGCCTGAAGAGCGGTGTCAGTGTTGGGGAGAGCAAGGGCTTCTTCGCGGACGACTCGAGTGATCCGTTCAAGAAGCTCATCAGCTTGCTTCTGGGCAGCCTCGTCAAGAGCCTTCTTGATGGCCTTGGGGAACTCCTCTGCCAGGTTGTTGACGAGCTGGTTGGCCGAGGCGAGGTTGTGGGCAGTTGCCCTGTTGTTCTTCATCTCAGACCCGATGACGCCGTGCAGCTGAGTGAGAGAGGCATTGTGGTACTCAAGGTTCTGTCGCATGGCTTGGTTTTGCTGTTCAAGGGCGCCAGTGTGCTTCTTGAGAGCTCCGGTTCGCTTGTCGAAGAAGCGGCTCTCAGCGCGGCTGGAGAAGCCTCGACGTTGGTACAGTTGGTTCTGCTTCTCGATAATACTAAGCTGCTGCTGGAAGAACTTGTCTTGCTGGTTGGATTGCCATACAGACTGCTGCTGAAGAGCACCGGTATGCTCTTGGAGATCACTGGTATACTTCTGAAGGGCAATGGTTTGTTGCTCAAGAAGGCGAGTTTGCTCTTGAAAGGCTTTGTTTTGCTGCTGAAGATTACCGGCATACTTGCGAAGAGCACCAGTCTGGTGTTGGAGGTCACCAGCATACTTGCCAAGGGCGCCAGTCTGCTCTTGGAGTCGACCGACATTCATACGAAGAGGTCCAGTGGCATCGGCAATACCCTGCTCGATAGTATGCTCGACCATGGAGCACATGTCATCGTTGTGGTCAATAAAGTCCTGCTGAACAGGGTGGGCAACTCCGCGGCGCTGGAGGGTAGTGCTAGCAGCGTTGTAGTAGCGCTGCTCAGCCTCGACAGCTTGAAGGTAGTGGTTGACACGACGGGTGACTTCCTGGTGAGCCTCGCGTTGACGGCTTGCATGGCGCTGCTGGATCCCTAGGGCAATTTGATCGCGAAGATGGATGTATGAGTCAGGAGCAGGAGCAGCCAAGTCACCACGAATGCGGCGAAGATAGTTCAGTGAGTTGAAGTCCTCGACGACGGCGTGGGCATCAGAGATGTCCTCGGCATCAAGAGGAAACTCTCCTTTGTGTCGGGCTTCAGCAAGCTCAAGCGCCATTACCTGAAGCTGCTCGTAGGTGTAGACACGACCATTGCGGAACTTGAACTTTGCGGCAGGGTCCCAGGGGCAGTGAGCCTTGGGTGTCTCGGGTCGGGGGAGGAATGCCTCGATGGGGGACTCGGGAGGAGTGCTGTCCTCGTGGAGAGTCTTGCTTCCGACAGAAGTGTCATCCTCAATGGAGGTGCAATCATCGGTAGTGAAGGAATCCTCAACTTCGTCATTCTTGTGACTGACAGCCAGCTTCTCAAGACGAGCAACGACGGGAGACATGGACTCGTAGTCGGGAAGGCCGATCTCAGACTCGGAGTCACTGTCCTCGAAAGTAACAGCGAGAGGAGTGCGAAGGGGAGGGGAAGAGGGAACTGGAGGCCACATGATGAAAGCTTTTTGGATAGCAGTGAAGCTTGGTGATGTAGCTGAAGGAGTGGTTGCTTTGGTGCAAGTGAAGAAAAGCGATGAGCGTGCCTTGAGAGAGTGTTAGTTTTGAGGGTAGAAGATGCGGAGAAGGCAAGAATACTTACGAGAAGTATGTTCAACGCAGGAGTTTGTTTGAAAGAGCTCTTCAATGAAGCAAACGGAAGCAGCAATAAATATCAATCTTGGCAGACGATTGATGTTGGCGATGAAGCTCGGCGTTGGTTGAAGAGAAGAACCAAGAGCGAGTTTGCACGAGCAAGAAGAGAGGAGCTCCGAGCACTTAAGAGGAGGATTTAACAATGGGCAGAATTGAATACATAAATTGATAATAACGGGGCACTGCAGCAGAAATGCCTATTGTTCTCTTGACCCTTGAGTGTTTGACAATAGAAGTCGCTCTGGCATGGTGGGGCTTGAATAGAGGCATCACCGGCAACGCTGACAGTGCCAGGCAATGGTGAGAACCGCAGAAACTGGCAGGTTTCATTAAAAGTTATGTTACAGTATAGCATTGACTTTTTGGGCACGAAGACAGGTCTCTGTGGGCGAATATGGTTGACTTTCAGTCTGACGGATGAGATCGGTTGTCTGATAATGGATATGAGACGAACACTGAACACCCTTTCATCTGACATTTAAAAATACACAAAAATCACTGTAAGCACAAGTTAGAGATTAAAGTTTGGGCAGTCATTTCAAAAAATTCCAAGTTGTGTCATAAGTACTAACTTGCATCCCCTGAGACTATCCTCAACTCATGATACTGCTACCGATCTCAGGTATTTCTGTGCATACTGGCCCCTGAGATGTGTTACTGGCCGCAAGGGCGTATTGACGAGTGCTACAAGAAGAATTCGTCCACATCCACATCCATGTCTCTACGAACCACTATCCAACGGCCGGTGCCAGTGCCGGGTACACCTGGTCTATGCCTAGGACTCAGTTTGACCCAGATATAAGCCTGAACATAATGGTGACTTTGAAGCCTTGGCCAAAAAGAACAACGTCGATTTCAAGTCTGTTAGCTTTTTGACAACTGGGGGTTTTCCAGAAGGCCAGTGTCTCGACCAAAGTAGCTTCGAGATCGGATAGGAATTTGGAGATGGTTACCAGAATGGTCATCAGTAAGGGCATGAGCTGTACCAGGAGGCTCTACCTATGAGAGCCAAGTACGCAAACTCTCCTTGATCTACCAGCATTATGCCTGCCGATAACCCTAGTGCAAGGGTTCTAAAATTAATCAAGAATGTCACGTAGCTGTCTGAAAAGATTGTTTGATACAAGTTGGTAGATTGATAAGATTGCGTTTTAAAACTCCACAAACTAACTAGACCATCCTTGTCTGCCGTACCCCAACTCTACGCATACGCATGCTTGTCACATCCTAATAAGATATCTAGCTCGTAGTGAAGATCGGTAAAAGTCACAGCACTGTCTCGTTTTAAAACTTCTCCCTCGCCGTGTAACCAGTGTGTCATGGTCAGTTGGCTTAAGCCTCGGAACCATCCTCAGAAGCGGGAGGGCCTGTAACGAAAATGTCAGTATATAGTCAGGATGGAAGATATCAGGTAGACATACCAGAAAGGGGGGAGTCTCCAGAGTCAGTAGCCTCTTTCTCTTCCTTCTCTTCCTTCTCCTTCTCCTTCTCAGCTTCCTTCTTGATCTTGGGCTTGGCCTTGAGCTTGGAGGCAGAGACCTTGGGCTTCACGTCTTCCTCCTCGTCATCCTCCTTCTTGGCCTTGGAACGAGGAGTTCGCTTGGCAGCGCTGCCGGGACCTTCGGTCTTGGCCTTGCGCTTGGTGGGAGTGGTAGGAGGAGTGGCATCGCCGTTGGCAAGGGCTCCGGGACGGCTGATGCCGTGGGCCTTGAGCATGCGCTCATATCGCTTCTGGCTGTTGTGACATATGTCAGTGTCTGCTGTGGATGATATGGAAGAAGATGAGGGTACTTACGCAGCAGCCTTGGAGACGATGGAGAGCTCATCAGCGACGGACTGAAAGTCGGGCTATATATGTTAGCTAACAGTTGATAGTAGAATATGAGAATATGCTTGAACTTACTCGGCCGTTGGTGGTGTGTCCAATGCAGGACACAAGGAACTTGACCTGATCGGCGGGCTCTTGCTTGGACATGATTGCGGATTTCGGTTGGACTGAACAGGGTGAGTATGAGAACAGAAGTAAGTAGCAAGGGGAAAAGAAAGGAGTGAAAGTGAAGGTAAAGGACGTTTGCTAGACGTACAGTGTTTGTGGTTGTTGTGGTGGTTGAGTGTTGCGGTGCGAAGATGTGATGACTGAGGGCAACGTTGGGAGGTGAGAGAGGTTGAATAATTTGGGACGAGACACGGCGAGCGCAGTTTCACTTCGGGCACAGAGAGAGAGAGAGAGAGAGAGAGAGAGAGAGAGAGAGAGAGAGAGAGAGAGAGAGAGAGAGAGAGGGTTCTAGGCTAATGCAAACGAGGGGCAACGGAGCAAACAAACACCGGCACAGGCTAAGGTACGTAACGTTGCTGTAGGTGAATATCAAGACCGGACGAAAAGGCAGCAATCAAACAAGACGAGACAAACGTACTAACACCGCCCGCTTCTCTTTGCAGGCTAGGGACCTAGCCAGGCCACGATTGAGGAAACTCAGGCACAATAATCTTGCTTGGGTAGGGAGGTATGCGGACTGGCTTGACAGCTGCCGCCAGTTGCCAACTGTCAACTACGGCCTCGCCAGCGAGACGTTTCCACGGCTGTCATAGACACTCACAGATAGATAGCTGTGGGCTAGGAAAGACACGTCGGTAGAAGATAGATACGCATTCAAGTTTTACGGATGATATTTCGTCTTCAAAAGATACCCATGAATGATAGTGTGGCCAGAGACCATCATGTTACCAATTCAGGGGTAAGCATTTCTGGTGTCGTCAAGAACAAAATACGCAGCATCCATGTCACAATTCTTTTACGGCCGTTTAAAAGATAAATGTCAATCTCTCAATAGTAATTCAAATGGAAAACATGTTGGTAATATTTTAAATACTATCCTGTGGTGTGGTAGTACTACTCTCATATCGTTGGATAAAATCAGCTTCACCAGACCACGCATACTGATCAACATTTGGTATCACATTTGAGTTCACACTAAAGCTCTTAAGGTGATTTCAATATTCCCATTTCATTGCTGCTGTATCGTCAAGATATTGCTAGTCAGATCCTTGGAGATCACAATACTGCAATTGACACGATGATGAATCTCCCATACCGTAGTCTTCAATATCACTTCCCCAAGCAACCAGAGACTCATTCTTTAGTCTGATTCTTCGTCATCCTCGTCGACACTCTCAACCTTGACCTTCTTGTCCTCGGCCTTGGTCTCATCTTTGACATCGTCTTCCTCCTCAGCCTTCTTGGCAGGCTTCTTGCGAGGAGTGCGAGGAGCGCGAGGCTTCTTGGCAACTCCAGTGGCAGTGGCAGCAGCAGCAGGCTTGCGAGGGCTGGAGCCAGAAGCAGCATCGCCGCGCCAACCGTGGCGGACGGACATCTGGCGGAAGCGCTCCTTGGCACACTTTGCGTCTTTGAGGCTCAGGGATGCGGCGACGGCGTCCCAGTCGGCGTCGGGCTTCTGGGTCATGTTGTCGAAAACGGCTTTGATGAAACGGAGTTCACCGTCCGTGAGGCCAGTGGGCGAGCTGTCATCGCCGGAGCTCTTCTTGGGAGGCATGGCTGACGAGCTGCGTTTGCTGTCAGTTGACGATCAATGAGTTGGGGCATTTGGGATGGAGTACATACTGGTAGATGATAGTATTTGAGAGTTGTTGAGTATGGAGAGTGTTTTGTTTGATAGGCAGTGGAGGTTGTTTGCCGTAAGTTGGGAGAGTTGAAGGATGAAAAGGTTGGGAGGGAGGATGATGGGCGGGGGGATTTTATGGTTGGAACCACAGAGGAGAAGTGCCAAAGGTTCAGGGTGAACAATGGGTCAAATTGAATAGGAATGGCAAGTAAGCAGTGAAGGGGGGGTTTCTTTCATTGTTTAAGCGGTTATTGAGACAATGGTAGGCAGTGCGAGTGTGAGTGCTAGTGCCTAGAGAGCATATGCACCAAGGCAAAAGCAGGGTGAGCTCGGCTGGTGAATGAACTCGAATATACGGTTGTTCTGATTTTATGATGGAAATTAGAGCTCAAAAGTGAATTAAACTATGAGGCATAGATATATCTACGAGTTCCGTCCTAGTGATTTACTCGGATCGGAGGCGCCTTCACGACTGACACTCATCAATCAAGGCTCAACACATCAAATTTTATGCTTAAAAGTATTCAGAAGCATATAAACAATATTAAAGAATCATTGGAAATGTGCTAGACTTTTCTTTCATTCTCATGTCTTTGTACTTGGGTACGATATCTCCCTAGCTGGCTTGCGCCCTCAGATTCAATACCCATCTTCATCCTGCCAATGCCAGGTTCTCCACAACCTCTGTAGATCGTAGTTCGATATTCCGGTCATTCATGTCTCAGTACACATGAGCTTCGCGAGCTTACTGGAAGAAGGGGAAGTTGAAGGCCGAATCGGGACCAAGCTCATCTTCACCACCGAGGTCCTCCTTCTCAGGGGTCTTCTCCATCTCACGGCTCTCATTCTTGACGGAGGTCTTCATAAGGTCGCCTTCTTCATCCTCGTCTTCGAAGATCTCCACGTTCTCCTGCTTGACTTTGCTTCCCTTTCCTTTTCCCTTGGCGCTGCGAGGAGTCGTCTTGGAGACGCGGGAGCCAGTGCCTTTCTTGGGAGTGCTGGTGGGAGTGCGGGCGGGGGCAGTGGTCTCAGTAGAGATTCCGAGCTTGCGCTTGACCTGACCGAAGCGGACCTGGTGTTATTGGGTTAGTATGTGGTGGTAGGTGAGGTAATGCGATGTGCCACTATGGGCGACATCACTGGTATCTATGGATAAAGGCTCACCTTGGCGACATCGGCGTTTTTGAAACCAGCCTCTTCAGCGACAGCGTTCCAGTCAACGTCGGCCTTGTTTCGGGTGTTCTTCACGATGCTGAAGAAAAGCATGGCCTCAGCGGCAGTGGGCTCCTTCTTGTCAGCCATGGTAATGGTGGTCTGCACAAGGTCAGTCAGTTTAAGATATCAAAGCACTGAAAGGAAGATAGAAAAGGTTTCTTTACTTTTGTTTAAGAAGGGGACGTTGAGATGATTTCCAGGTGCAGTTATTGCAAAAGATGGATGAAAGAAGGAAATAGAAGGGATGGTGATGAGGGGGTGAATATATATTATTCACAAGCGAAAAAGTTCAGGTCCAAATCTTGAGAAAGAAGGCAACAGAAATAGAAAGGAACTTAGCGAGCTTTGGCTAATATGTAGGCTATGTTTGCTCTGAAATAAATTTGGAAACTGGTAGTGAATGCACTGAACGGGTGCGCTGCATTACAATAGTGAGACCTCGTTTGCAATGCCAACGCTCTATCTGCCAGGGCTGCACCGTTTGTGAGGTTTATGCTCGGTTTGCACTGCATCTGGCTGACGATGGCACTGCCAACTATCACTTTAGTGCTACAGGACGAATCCAGGCTGAGTATCCAGAACTTAAGGTATCCCAAATCAAGGGTTACCGATCAAACATAGTACATAAACTGCAAATCGAAACTTATTCGTGGAGATATCTCTCAATTAGACTGCAGATAAAAGTGCTAGTGTACAGCTCCCAGAGCGACATATGAGTTAAAGCAAAACAGACTTTCCGTAACCAGCGAGCTTTTTATCCATTGTTTAACGTCCGCCCAGGACCAACGATGATAGTTGGTTTCAGTAGACAGACTAGAGTAGAAACCAGAGCTAAGCAATACCTCGACAGTAAGGAAATAAGAAAGAAACCATATGAGAGAATTCATTGTCATTAAGTCATGAAAGCAAACGCAGTCTACCAAATCACCAGTTTTGTACATGGACGATCCTCTATCCGTATCGTATCGGTCTTTTTCTGTGTGGGTATCAAAAGGAATGGTCACCGAACTGATCGGACCAGTCAGGGTTGCAGTCCGTAAAAGTAGGACCGCCGGTGAGGTCCAGGGCAGTTGGGCTCTGGACATCACCGATAGCAGACTTGTAAGACGTCAAGTCGTAAGCGGCGTCAAACGTATGGAAAGGAGATTGTCCCATGGCGATGGGGTCGTGAGTAGGCGGAGGCATAAAGTCAGGGGCAGTGTCCATTGAAGGACCAAAGCCATTACGCATTCTCAGATCTTCGAGAGAAGCAGGGTTGATGGCAAGTCCCTGAGTCATGTCATCACTGCAAGGAGTAAGGAACCGAGTGTTGAAGTCGTCTCCTCGGTTGTCGGTGAGATAGGGAGATGAGGTCGAAGCGGGCGAAAACTGCGCCAGATAACCATGGTTTTGCTCCTGCTTGATGAGAGGACTTTGGTGGACCTGAGCATAAGACGCGAGATCGACTCTTGAATCGGTCTTGCCAACAGTCTCACGCTTGGGTTGTTGCGGCTTCTTTGTCTTCGTTACCCGGCACTTGTCGGCAGGACGAGTTCTCTTTTGTGGTTCGTGGCCAGTGACAGTGGCACGGAAGCGGGCAAAGCGCATCCTCGCAGCATGGCCGTTGGTGATAGGTTGAAGAAGGACAGGGTCCGCAGCGACTTGGTTCCAGTCGATCTGTGAATGCGTTAGGAGGCGAGCGAGGAGGAGATTCACGATGATGAGCACTCACGTCCTTAAGGTTCTTCTGGTTCAGTATTGCCAGCAAAAACCGAGCCATGGCGTTCTCGCTGTTGGGAGTCATTATGAATAGTTTTGAGTTGAGTAAAGTAAAGTAGAGTAAGGAAGAGAGAAAGAATGTGTGGAAGATGGCGAGTTGTGGCGAGAACGAGGCTGCAGAAGCAGGCAGAATATGGCGAAAGGTGAAGGATATATAAATTAGAACATGTAGTGGGTAAAACTAGGCAGCTGTGCCTTATTGATGCCTCGACGATAGCGTGAAAATGCTGAATCGGGATAGAAACAGAGACCTTTTGAGGAGGGTTGTAGAGATGCAGATGAAAGAAATGGCCTAGTTCAGTTGAGTCGAATCTGAGTCACCGTAGCCGTGAAACCTGATGCTGTGAACTCGAGGAGGTGAGATGGTTTCGGCAAGGCTGAAGCAGTCCCGATGATTGAATCGAGTGGATGTGAACGGTTATAGATGAGCGGGTGATAAGGGATCTTGCAGAAGTTGAGTCTTTTCCAGCCAACGGGATAGTCGAGGCGGAGGAGGAACGGCCCGAGGAAAGCGTATCGGCCGGAGAAGGGTCAGCTGAGCCAAGGTAACCTTTTATAAGTGCATGTGTAAGAGTGGTTGAAGCCTGAGGAAGAGCGTGAATGGCACGATGCGAACAAGGCAGAGGCAGAACGGAAGCAGGTGAAGGAGGAGGGGGGAAGAGATGAAAAAGAGGAAGCACTATGAAAGAGGAGATGGGATCCGTGTTATATGTATGAGTCCGCAGTTTGCTAAGATCCAATCCCAACCTAATGTGATGCCACACACACCTACAGTACACCTACAGTACACACCTCCCGTCTAGGTCTACTAAAACCAGGCAGATACAGGGGGTGCGATCTATCCATCCATCCATCCCTACCTACTAACCTATTCCCCCAAGTCCAGGCACAGCATCTGAAGGTACCCGACGCAATGTACGGGCTCCGTAGACTAATGCGCATTGGAGGGGATTTTCATGGTTCGTAGTCCATGATGGCGACGAAAGGCCCCATAGTTGCCTGAATTAAAAAGATAAAATAGAAGCGACTGGCATTCTCCTCCTGTCGGATTGAGACGATCCCTCCCGTTGATGGAAAATGGGGCGCGACGAGGGGCTGCGGTCGGCGCGAACACCGCGTAAAGTGGTTGAGGTCCATGCTGACCCCCCGCTAAAACCACTAAACTCTGAGTCTAAGACCGCCCCATGTCCCCTGTCCCCCGGCGCTAGGGTGTGCTGCAACCTCTACACTCCAGCGGGTGCCGCAGGTCCCAGCAATTAATGATTATTCAGGCTTTTGAGAGGAAGCAGAATTGATCAATTGAGATGAAGGGTGTTTACAATTTATACAGTAATTAGCTATGCATGGAGTACAAGCAATGGCTGCAAGTACTTCCTACAGCGGTAATGCAGACCTTCTCATCTTTTTAAACTATACAGACTCTCTCGTAAGCTCAACAAAAGTCAACGGTCCATTAACCAAAGACATTTCAGTTTTTCAAATCGGCACATCAAGGCTCAAGCTAAAGCACAATTTAACAGGGGTGGCAGGCCCAGGAATGGAGTGAAACCGCAATGTGTGACTCATTCCGCGGGTCACCGACGAATTAACAATGGCACGTCGGGGCATACGACATGCAACAACGCAGGGGGAAGAAAACCACAGCGGACTTGGTTGGGCAGCTTGGCGATCCATAGCGACAATTGTAGTTGTTTACATGGCCTCGTGGCATTTATGCAGACGTAGATTCAATTGGTTGGTTGGGCGAATTGATCTTGAGCTGGTGGTGTTCGAGCATACTCAAACATGGTTCTTGTTGGAAGTGATTAATTGAGACGAGACAAGAGGAATCAAGAGACTGGGGGCCTCGACGCTCGAGAATGAAAGAAATTGCACCACGCAGCTGATCCGCCGAGGTTTGCTTTGTCCGTTTGCCCGTTTGCCTTTTGACACTCAGCTGAGGGGTGTAGCCTGGAAAAAAGTCGATGGATGGGCTTTGTCGCAAGCCATGACGACAGAGTAGAAAAGCAGCAATTCGGCAACCAGAAGAGCTTTGGGGATCTGGAAAATTCACGAATGGGGTTTTATGAGTTGAAACATTCATCTTTGACAGTAAAAACAGCTTCCATGGTCGCGTATGGCTCTGTATCGAGAAGGTTGTGGTTATGGAGGGCATGGGATGAAGTGGGTGGGAGACGCGACGGGCGCGAAGCTGGTGGGACCTTGCTTGACCTTGCGCATCAGGAAATGGGAACGAAAGCACGTGAGGGGACTTGAGAGACCTCGTAAAATGGGCTCCACTTTAATGTCCTCTTTTCTTGTCCCCTTCCAAGGCTTCCAAGGCCTCCAGTAGCCCCTTGCTTTAGATTGTGGCGTAGCCGCGAGATCCTCGCCACTTCGGACGGGAGATGATCTAACGGTGGGTTTAATTAGTCCCGTTTTGACTACCGTTTGTTGTACCGTTTGGGCAGTTCATTTACCCACCAACTCTTGGATTATCGCTCAAGTGATGTGATTACTGCCTATTTCAATATCTTATAACCCTTAAATTGAGTAGCTGTATACGTATTTCGTTTTCTGTCTCTGAACCTGGCAAGTTGTTGTCTCTTTCTATCTTCCTTCTTCCTAGCAAATCTCAACAACACCCATCCAAGACTCCCCCTCGGAGCTGCAGTTCACCCGAGTCCGGTGCGCACCTTCTCTTTCCCCATGCCAAGAAGAAGCTTGGACCAACCCGACGCCATCATTCAAATGGAAGGCCCCATCAGCGGCTCCCTTAACAATTTCTCACTACACTATCAATTTTCCCATTGATCCAGCCGTTGCCTTAACAGCGTCTAACCATCTACAGTCGCGTTATTGCGTTACCACCCATCAAGACTTGTCACGTTGACCAGATCATCAACTTTCTCTTTTCAGCATGAATAGTAAAAACTGGAATGACAGGGCTGATAAAGACTTGTTCTTTACTATTCTGTCAGTCAAGAACATTGGCGTCATAAGCGGCTCTGAATGGACCACTATTGGCAATCATATGAGATGCCTAGGCTATGGCTTCACCAATGAAGGCTGTCGGTGAGTACCTCAACTCTACTTGCTTTATAGTTCTTGCCTCTTCGATTGCACTGTAGTTCATTGCATTTGATTGATAAACCTTTCGTCACAAGCAAGTGATTACTGTTATCGCTTCGTTTAACGCGTCAAGGTGGCTTATACCCGCCGAAGTCTTATCTCACTTACACCCGTACACCTTCAACTCGTTCTCAGCATTCCATTAATTCTTTAAAGCCATCCTTGAATTATCTATCCAGTACAGGACTAACACAAAGCTAGCCAGCACTTTCAAGGTCTTCGCCGGGCTCAAAATAAGTCAGATACTGCTGGTCCCAATGGTGAACCCGTGCGACGACATGATCCCACCATGAATCCAATCACACGTCGTCCTGGTCCTGGAAGAGGTCGGCCAAGGAAACAACCTCCTGTTCCAGTGGATGGAACTCCTGGTGAGGCTATTCCTAGCTCACCTTTGGCCTCCGGCATCGTTCCTGGGCCTCCCAACTCTGCACCACCTTATCCCCATCCTCATCCCCAGGTAGCCCCTGCTCACAGTGCTCCTCTCGGCAATCATCAACCTATATCTCCTCTACCAGCACAAGCTGCCATGAGGCCTGCCAACATCTCTCCCGCACCTCCTGCCCAGCAATCCCCTGCTTCCAATGACATAGTTCCAGCTCAAGGCCTGGTTACATACCCAAGCCCTCCTTGTACAACCGACCTCACTGAGAACTCTGCCCATATTCAACCGCTTCAACCTGGACAGCCTGATCAACCTGACCAACCTGACCAACCTGACCAGCACCCTGAGTCGGAACAGACTCAACTTGGACAACAATCCCAGCCCAATTACCCACCTCAACCTGATCAGCAGGCCCAACACGAAGTGCAATCCCAGCCGATTACGCAGCTTCAGTCTGACCAAGAAGGTCAACCTGACTATCAATCTGAGAGTCTTCAGCAGGAGCCTCCAGAGATTAGAGAAGCTACCGATACAAGTGCCGCGTCTCAACCTCCGCCTTTAGAGCACGGTCCTGAGCATCGTGCCAGTATAACTTCCGAGGGCTTGCAGCACATTGACCATGACATCGATGCCGATGGCGACGCTGAGGGTGATGACGAAGGCGATGCTGAAGCAGATGTCGATAATGATGAACCTAATGCTAAGCGACAACGGTTGAGTTCGCCAGAGCCTTCAAAAAACGACGACATGGACCATGAAGCTGTCTTGGCCCTTGCAGCTCATAATGGGTCATCAGATTTTGCTTCTGAGTAAGTTATCATAAATCTCTCACCGGAAACATTGACTAATTGCCTACAGTTTTGCCACTTATGGAGAGGCATAGTAGTCCCACATTTGGGACAATAATGATACCACGGGCATAGGCGTTAAAGAATAGGAGTTTCTTACATGGCCTTTGTTTTTGCAGGGTATAAGATAGACACAAATAAGCGAGGACTCGTGTTTTTGGATACCAAACGAAAAAGGACCTGGATTTGTTGATGTCAGTCAATATGAAAGCATTTATTGCATGGAACGTATGCGTCTGTTTGCGGGTATGTTAGATTACATGCAGATTAGTAGACAACATTACCGGTATTGTAGAGCCCTGATATTGAATGGATGTTAAGCTGCGGTGCAATGCAGTGCCTGCAGAGTCACTTTTACAGAGGCAGTGAGTGGCGCTCTCATTCAAGGTCGGCAGCTTGTTAATAGTTCGGGGCCATTGTTTATTGTTCACCCTGGGAATATAAATTCAGTTGCTGTTCATATACCTCGCTCTTTTTCTTCTCAGCACCCTCAGCTTTTTCTTCTTCTCAACACCATCACTTCATACTGGATTTCTTCGATCCAGCCTCTTCAACCTCAACTCTCACCACACTATCAAATCGACCACGTCAACTCAACTCATCATCATGCCTGGAAAGCCGAGCGACTGGGACAACTCCGAGTTCCTCATGGATCTCACTCTTGCGCTCTACACGGGTGCGCAGGTCAACAAGGGCCTGACTCCGGCCATCAAGGATTCTATCGAGGAGTATCTCAAGTCTCGTGGATACTCGACATCCTTTGATGCTGTTCGGTACGTATTTGAACTTATTGTTGTCTCATTTGTGTTTCTGTTCTTTCTGCTTTTCATGCTTCACTTTTCATCTTGGGGCGGATTCACTGGCAGTTTGCCTGGCATCACAAGTTCTGTGCTTTGTGGTGCACGCTGGTTCTCTTTGATGAAACTCCTTCGCCATTCACTCCCCATTTTCTTTCACTTTCAACCCCTCAATCTTCATCTCATTATCATTTCAACCCCAACTCCTAGCCAAGCTACACCATATCAGTGCATCAGCAGTGCCTCACTATCCCTTGTCTTTTTCTATATATTTACTCCCTTGCACACTCGAGGATCATGTCGAAGCGCCAGATTATGACGTGGGACGCCAACGTCCATGAAGATATCCTCATTTGCCTATTCCAGCACGTCAAGCCTACTGCTGAAGATTGGAGCCTCGTCATGAGAGATCTTCAGGGAAAGGGGTACTCTTTCACCGAGGGTGCCCTTCGGTACGACGCTTTGCATTTCTGTTTTTCATGTTTGCTGCCTGCCTAGTACCTAGTGGTTCACTGTTTATCACCTCCTGTTCTCCACTCCCCTTTATGGTCTACTCTTCATCTCTTCTCACTTCCCTTCCATCCTTCATCCATCCTCCCCCACCCTTCTTCATCCACCATCTCAAATCAACATTTCTTTTACATCAACACACTCTTCCCTTGCATTGATCCTATCCACCATCATGCCTGCCAAGCCTGCTGCTGGAAAGCCCGCCCGTGGCTGGGACGCTTCCTCTCATGAGGATCTTCTCCTTGCTATCTTGGAAGAAATCAAACCCAACAAAAGCGATCTCACCAGCGTGGCCGAGAAGATGCGAAACAAGGGCTATTCGTACTCCTACGATGCGATCAAGTACTTTTGATTCTTCTGCGTTCTGCTATTTTTCTTTCCTTTTTCTCTTTCGCACCCTCTTCTGACATCAAGCTAACCTCTATCTCCCTATAGCCAGCACGTCCAGAAACTCCGCAAGGTCCGCGACGCCTCCGGTATCCAGAACGCCGGCTCTGAGCCCGCTACTCCTCGCAAGCGAGCTGCTGTTGCCAAGACTCCTGCCAAGCGAGCTCCCAAGAAGAAGGTCGCCAAGTCTGCTTCCATCGCCGACGATGACGATGAGCTCGAGGAGGAGAAGATGCAGCTCAAGATGGAGCTCGATCCCGAGGACGATGAGATGCCATCCCCCTCGCCAGCCAAGCGCGCCCGCGCTGCTCCCAAGTATGTTTGCAATCTTGTCATAGTTTTGCTATAGATTTTGTCTTTGCTAACTATTTCCTAGGAGTGAGCCTGATGAGGACTCTGGGTCCGGCAATTTTGAGGCCTAAGTTCAGACTGTCGGTAAGTTGATATTTGACAGCCCGTGCATTCTTTTACATGCTGACGATTTCCGATCTAGACAGGGCATGATCAGGGTGTCTCTCCACGAAGTAGAGACGACCTTTTTATCTAGAGCCTGAATCTTCAGAGAGATGTCCGGTACATCTCAAGTGGTGAAAATGGAGTGGTAGGGTTCCGGCTTCTAGGCCCATCGCAGAGAGATTCAGGGGTAAAAATAGGCTATGACAATTTCCATATGCCTCGGATGTATCGACAGGTTTGCCACATGGAGGCAATATTACCAGCATGTCTCTGCGATCAATGGTCACGCAAAACTGTTGCTCACTATCTATACTGTATTATGTGATCTGCTGTGACTTTGAACTGTGACATGCAACTTGAAATTCAATTATCCTCAACGGCGGTTATCATAATCACTATATTCTCTAGAACTCAGTACTATACCTAGTGAACAAACAAATTGATTTGCAGTGCCATCTCCAGGCAGTTTGGTTGCTCAACAAACAACGCCAGTGCCTCTGCCAGTTGCATGACAATGCGCAGCCTACACTCTCCAACCCATCTCTCTGCCTCGGCCTTTTCCTTTTCTTAGCTACGCATCCTTCTTCCTCTTTACCTCACTTCATTTTACTCTTCATACTCTTTCATCCCCCTTCACCGTGCCCCTTGTTCCATCCTCTCATTTTTCACTACTCATCTTGCCCCCCCTTGCCACTCGGGGTCCTCAACCTTCCACCTCTACCACTCAACCCTTACGCAACACCACTTCACATCCTCAACCACAACCACAAAGTGTCCTATCTGACATCACCATGGCTCCTGCTGAGAAGAAGTGGGATGCCAACGCTGAGCGCGACCTCTGCGTTGCCATCATCATGGGCTCCGCGGATGGTGATCGCCTGCGCTACAACTGGCCCAAGGTACACAGTTCCATGGAGGCCCTTGGGTACTCTTTCACCAAGGATGCTATCTCGTATGTACCAATCTACTCTCTCCCATGTGCAGACACTGACCATCGGACCAGGCAGCACTTCAGCAAGTCCATCATGCGCGACTTCAAGGGCCGCCATGGCGACGTCTCCTCCAACAACTCCCCCGCCCCAACTCCCAAGAAGGCCACCCCCCGCAAGCGAGCTGCTCCTCGCAAGAAGAAGGCGGCTTCTGAAGAAGAGGATGACGATGTTGACGTGTCTCCTGCCGCCAAGAAGATGAAGCGCAAGAAGGAGGAGGAGGAAGAGGACGATGACCACAAATCGAGTGACTTCAACGCTGCTCAGAACCAGCGTGAGCGCAGGTATGTTCTATTCGTCTGATATCTAGATACACAGCTAACTCTTTGGCAGTGCTACGGCTACTGGTGCCGATGACAAGTTCGCAAAGTGGCTTGCTAGCGGTAACCTTGCTATCGATTGATCCAACACCGTATTTTTGACACAATGATCATCTATTTGGAAGCGCGGTGACCATGGAGGCTTGAGTTGGCAGTTTCTTGATGAAAGACGCAGAGAGAAGATTAACTTACAACTCCGAGATACTGGATTGGTAGGTAGTCATTGCTATATCAACATCATTCTCTTAGTTCTCACATATTGTCTACTATTGCGGCGATCATGTGGACTTTTTCTTGTATATGTTCACAAAATAGGTTGCTTGAAAGTCTAATTGGGTCTGGTGATCTTGGTGGCAGAATCCATCTGCTTGTCTTCTTCAACGATGATCGACTCCTCGTTCTGTCCTTCCATGGTTCCAGTCCCTGCCTATGATGCAAGGTCAGATTGTGTCCTCATCGTTAGTAGATAGTTGTCCCATACCTCTGATTCTGACTCCTCGTTCGTCTTCTCGATCATAGCCGTCTTTCCACGGAAAGGAGGAGCCTATTTGATACTTAGTTCACACTCAATAGCAAAAGGTTGAAACAAACATACAGTCATGGTAGTATCCCATCTCAGCTTCTCCCTCATCATTTTTTGCTTAGCTTGTAGCTTTCGGTAGTCTTCTCGTCTCCCCTTTATCATTATCTCTTTCTCCGCTCGCTTACAGAGTTCTTCCCAGGTCAACACTGGGCTCTGGAGCACTTCGTCGATGGAACCATAGCGCATCTTGACAAGAGCCGGAGGTAAACTTTTGGTGATTGGACCTTGTCTTAAGAAGGTTGACGTTGCAAGCTGAGGGTGAAGGAGAAAGGAAGAAAGGACTTTGCCCTGATATAGACTTTGTGGTTTGTGATTCATAGAAGCAGACCTTTATACAGCGTCCACTTCTTCTTCACTACTCGTTTTCTACAGTAAGCATATGGCTGCCAACTAACTGATATTCCACTGCGAGTCAAATTATTGTTACCATGGAGGTTTACAATGGTCCTCAAACTGTCTGCAATCGAGTACAAAAGCAAATAGCAATTGCACCACGTGGTGATGAACCAAGGTGACAATTCTATATTGTTAGTCATCCCCATTGTCTTCGTATAGACTTAGCGAACAATAAGTACCACCAGATCCGTTCCCATCCATTCGCAAGATAGTGGTCTGGCACTGTTGTACCATAAGTATCAATTATCACAGACCACCTAGTATGGTTTCAATCAAGCTCTAAAAGACACATTCCCTACCGCCCAAACGCCGCTCCAAATCATTGGCAACACATCATTTACCTCGGTCGTCGACCATCCAGTCTGTTTCCTTCACTAGTGCCCTTCTTCTCGGGTGCCTTGGTCTTGTCGTCTCCCTCCCCCTTTCTCTTAACCGCACCTCGGAGAGTTTGACCCTGACCGGCAAATTGGGGCTTGTTGGCGTTCTCTTTTTCCTTCTCCTTATCGGCGTCCGTCTTTACAGGCTTAATCTCGTATCCGAAGAAAAGCTTATTTGGTGGCAGACGGAGGGCCGCCGGGGCACCGTCGCGGCGCTTAGGCATTCCAGGTATATCCACTGTAGGAACAGGAGTGGCTGGCTTTGGTGTTGGTGCCTTGCTGCCCTTCTTGACAAGCTTCTGGCCCTCTCCAAGGAAGTTGGTCACGTTGCTGGTAACTGACGGAGCGATCGCATTATAGTTGATGGCCTGAGCCATGGTTCCTTGGTTGTGTAGTAGACCTCCGGCAGGAACACCGCCTCGTGTGCTTCTGGGGGTGCTTGTTCCGCTCTGGCGTTCGGGTTCCACGTAACCGACTGGTGGTGCGAACTCTACCGACACATCGGTTTCGATCATACTGACTCCCATCTTGTCCGTCTCAGGTTTGACATCAAGAACAGCCACATCGTATACTTCGTCGTTATAGGAGAAGTTGAAAACATCACCCTTGGTCAGGGTGGCAAAGTTACGGAACGCCTTCTCCAGTACTGCCTTGGGATCACTAATCTCAAGGAAATTGACAGACTGGGGCTGTAGCTTAACCATCTTGGCCAGCTCCAGAGATGTTGTGCGGATTTGGATCATATCACCTACATCCATGCCAAGTGTCACCATCATCTAGTCAGCATTAGCGGAAAGGCCTCCCAGCGGCAAAGTGGTTTCCCCTACCCATTGAGGAATGTATGCTCTGCCTTCCTCTGCGATAAATTCCAACACACCAGCATGCGAATGGCATCCCTTCTCTCCGTTGATCAACTCCATAAGCAGAGGCCACTGTACGTGGAGCTTGGACACCTTATCGAGAGCCGAGGGTGGCAGAATAATCTTTGATCCGTAGTTGAGCTCTGGTCGCTCAGCTCCAGGGGCCATAATGAGAGGATAGCATCGGTAGTATTCGTCGAAGCGTTGCATGATGGGTCGTCGTCCATGGCGAGCCATGTTGTAGAGGTGCTCCGGGTTAGCGGGGTCATACCCACCGCCAAAGCCTGAGTACTACCTTTTTGTCAGCAAATAGGCTCGGATATTGTGAGTTTCTGGGTCGCAAACCATGGTGATAGTGGTTTGTCGTGTACGCAATCGATTCGTTGATGTGGTATGTGTGAGGTCTGCCGAGGTTTGAAGTGCAGAGGCGGTCAATGAATAGATCAGTTATCTAGCGACTGGGCTTGAGATGCCTCTGTCCACAACGTAAGAAGTGAGTCCTTAAATAGTTGGAAAAGTCGACAGTGGTTTACTGTGTAGAGTCGAAGTGCTGAAAGAGCGAGCTTGTCCATGCACGTTTGAAGGCTCAGAGCCACAGGTAACGTGGGGGCATGTGGAGGCTACAGAGGCAGCTCTTGATGACGCAGTTTCTCAGGCACACTCGTAGAGGAAGGCACTAACACAAGCAACTGCAAGCATTCATTATGATAGACAAACCACGTCTTGGGCAAATTTGCATCATAGCTTTAACTATAGAATACGATGCAGATTCCAGTAGAGAATATTCTGCATATCATATAAAACCCCGGGTCAAGTCTTTGTTTGGGTTGTTTACAACACGCTTTGAGTCCCAGACACAATCAAGCACCAAACTTCCCGCATTTGAATTAGAAAGAATATGTAGTAAAGTAGCAAAGAGCCGACCGGATTGCACCTGACTTGGTTGCTTGGGCAGTTCATAAAGCTTCTTTTAAAATACTTATTTATCCTTCAAGCCATATTTAATGACTTCCATTCCAAAAAGAAGCACTTTTCCATAGGTATGATGGGAAATATGGAGCGGCCACAGTGCGGATCATTGTCTTAATGAGCATAGCGCGGTTACTGATGACCGCCTAGAAGCTTAGTGTTCAAGCTTCTTGAAGCTTCATTCTTCATTCTTCACTCACTTTCGCTTGCTCCAATTCAAGCAATCATCACCTTTCAATACTACAAAAACAACGCAGCATAGTATTGGCACTCCATACATCTTAGCAGTGACCATGGCGTCACGATTTTCAGCAGCTCGCCCTAAGCGCGACGGCGAGAACTTTGCGCGTACCCATCACAACGAAGACGATTCTGACTCAACTCGGGTCAAGTTCGACGTCCGAAACCCTTCGACACTTGCGCCTGATGCCCGCGAAGAAGACGCTATCCTTGACGCAGATGTCATTGGTGTGTCTGCAGCAACCAAGCGCGGCGCTGTCAATCTGGATGGTTATGACAGCGACTCAGATAACGAAACCTTCAATGCGCGCGCTGAGACTCGCAAGCGAGGCAAAGTCGATATTCTCCAGCAACTCGATAACTATGACGCCACCAATACCGAACCTACGGCTCCAGTCACAGCAGCTCGCGACGATGACGACGACGATATGTTTGCTGCAGATGATGTCAAAGAGGAGAAAGAGGTCCCCGAGGAGGGCGATTTCGAAAAGAGCGGTCACAAGAAAGACAGAGTTCGCTTCCTTGATGCGGATCAAATCGTCGGTGTAGAAAACAGCAGCAAAGACAAGGAAGGTATCCGACTTGACGGGCACGAAACCAGCGACGACGAGGCAGATGTGGAGCTTGCCATACAAGAGGAGGGCATTGACGAGGAGGTCGGCGCGGGAGGGCTTAAAAAACACGCTCCCAAAGTCGAGGCATTCAATCTCAAGCAGGAGATGGAGGATGGTCAGTTTGATCAAGAAGGCAACTACGTTCGCAAGGGTGGCGATCCTGATGCTGTTCACGACAACTGGTTAGAGGGCCTCAGCAAGAAAGAAATGAGGAAAGCGGCGGCGGCGCATGAGAAGCGCGAGGCTGAGGCACGGAAGCAACGTTTGGAAGACGACGAGATCCTCGTGTCTGATCTGCTCAAGACTCTGATCCTCAACCTTGAACGTACTGAGACGCCACTCGAAGCATTAGCTCGACTTGGTAAAAAGCAAACCAAACCCAAGAAGATCCCCAAGTGGAAGCTCAAGAAGATGAATAAAAATGCGGAAGGCATGGATGTTGACGGTGGCGAGGAAACCGAGGACCCGGAGCAAAAGCAAATCAAGGCTTCGATCGATGCTATCACAGAAGCAGCAGACAAGCTATTGAGCCGAGACCATGAAGAGATCTACGAAGAAGAAAGGGAGCTTTTAATCCGCGAATATCGTAAGGAGACTGGAGAGGATTGGGTTGAACCAGAGGCTGCAAAGACAAACGACGAACATGACGATGGGGAAAAGACAGCGGTGAAGCCGGGAACCATGTGGGAGTTCCGATGGGCAGATGGACGTGATGGAAACACCAAACAGGGGCCATACGACGGGGCTACGATGAAGGCGTGGAAGGATGCTGGTTATTTCCAAGAGGGCGCGGTCGAGTTCCGAGCTGTGGAGGAGGGTCGAGACTGGTCTTTACATGTCGATGCCTTTGAGTGAAGGTATTGCAAGCAGATGGAAGGTCAGCCGAGAAACAAACAAAAAAAACAAGGTAGCGCATGCTGAGCCGGCATTTGGTGTGGCTCGGCGTATGCCTGGTCTACAGCAAGACAATTGGCGACTAGCAAGCTCCAGTTCCAAAGGGTACTACGGCTTGTATCAAATTTCGGAGATGGGCATCCGTCGGCTCATGTTCTTATCCATTCGGGTGCTCGGCCAACCAGTGCATGTGTATATGCAAAGAATGCACTACAGACTTGTAAGTGGAGGTATGATACCCCGAAATCATGATGGCCGGCGGGTGGGTCCCGTTTTACATGGAAAACTGAAAACACAACTGCCCAGATGAGCAGAAATACATGATACAGATAGCTTCGGCGTTGTGGTTCCGGCCATAAGACAAGGTTGCGAGCTAAGCACGCTTGATGGCTGGCCACGTTAGAGGACGTGTCCAAGAGAGAAGGGGTACGCTGATCATGCGGGCCTAGCTAGGTTTCATGACGGTTAATGGTCGAGAAGCAATAATTGTGCATGATGGTGCCGCGGGAAGATGACGAAATAAGGAGACTAAGAACCAAAAAGGCCAGCCAAGAGGCTGGAAAGACTAGGATATATGGACATGATGGGGCATAGCGTGGCAGCTTGTTCCTGGGGATCCCGATGCACGCCGGGAACGGGTGAGGCCGGGCGAGTGGGATCTCGAAAAGAGGCTGAGAAGCTGGGGCATTGAGTATGGAGTAAGACGATGGAGCCGCCTGGGGATGTCAATGGGGTTGTATGGGGTTATACGGGTGGACGGGCAAGGCTTGAGCCGACCCAAGCCCGTGATCCCGTGATGCTCCGGTGCGTGGAGCGAAAGCCGGGGGCCGCAGCCGTAGTCGTTGCCGAACGGTTAAGCACCGAGAAGCAGATGCAGAGGGCGCCTCCCGGCGACGAACGGGCTGAACCGGGGCACAGACAGGGATTATTCGGAAACGGTGTAAGATAAAACATAAAAGTATGTAAGTGAATTGTAAGGGTTCGGAATCGATTCGACGATGAGTTTCTGTACGTACGTAACATGACGAAGTTGTAGGTGGGTTGTCTTGGATGAGACGTCGATCTCTTTGCGTGTTTGGCAGTGTGAAATTCGTATCATCAGTAGCATTCGTGCCCCGAGTAATGATGCCCGTAAAAGGATCGATATCATGAACTGATAATGAAGATGTAGGTTGGCCCCTGGTTTAGCTTAGGTCCAGACTGACGTCGGATTCGCCCAAGGATCATGGTGGAGAGGGGATCGAAGCAGTTACAGCAGGGGTTCAGTGGGCTGAGATCAGGAGAGGTTCGATCTCAGGTGAGGAATCTCGGTGAGATTGGAAGAGTTCCATGGGCAAACATGAGGCCATAAGGGTCCGTGTTCTATTTGCAAGTAGGAATAGTAGAATAACAGGGCAGACAGATCCAGGGTCCCCGTTTTAATATCATCAGTCAGCGGTTTTAGAGGTGCACGCCGAGGGGGTCCAGGCAAAGGCCCGATGTAAGATAAGCGGATTTATGGATATTGATGTGTTTGGGCGATGGAATTGACAGATGGAGATGGACTGATTTAATCTGATCTGATGTGATGTGATGCTATGATATGATATGTTTTTTTATGTTTTATGTTGTAGGCATAGAAAAAGAGGAAGCGAATCCAGTCGGTCCGTCGACGCTCGTGGCCTATCAACGGGCCGACAGAGGCGATGTTTTCGGTGAGCTTTGAACTGGGCTGGGCTGGGCTGGTGATGCCTCAACAATTGCCTCCCCTCTCACCGTAAGAGGAATGGATGGATATGTCGAAGTGAAACAGTTGAAGGCTTGCTTGCATTGGCTTGCATTGGCTTGGCTAGGCTAGATGGCTTCATGACATATAGTTTGAGTAGCTATGTATGTCTTTGGTGGATTGGTATTGTGCTTGATAATTATCCGATATAATTGATACTTATTATCAAGATAGACTCTATTATTCTATATCATTTACATAGTGACCCCCGCGACTTGACAGCATAAAGACCCAGACTCCAGGACAACGCAAGCCCCGCCGCATTGCGTAAAAAGACGCAACGCAAAGCAACGCAACTGTTAAAAAGCCCGCAGCTAGACTCGAGCGAAGATCATGTACTAGGCCTGATCTAGTGTTACCGTCGTGATGGGTGAAGCTTCTAGCTCTATTAAGGCGGCTCCGGTATATGAGTGGGCAGTCGAAAAAGGACAACGTAAGAAGGAAATTAAAATTGTATAAAAAGTAGGTTTATCGCAGAGACAGAAAGAAGCATATCGAAAGATGGTCCATATAACGCATTAGAATTAGACCTGGTTAACTCAGGCCAGGTCCTCGAAACTGGAACCGTACGACAGGCTCTGTGATGGGTGAATAGGGCGAACCGAGCTTTGAGAAGCAAGGGGACGTGCGTAGGCGCGTGGGCGGCGGCAGCCGTTTAATGATGATATTACCATGAGAGATAGAGAGTAAGAGATATATCAATCGTAAAAGATTACTCTAATGGTGGACGATCCATGAGGTAGTGCAGAACATGTCCACTCACCGGAGTCTCCGGAGGCGAGAAGGAGTTAGTTGGTTGATGGATGTGATAGTAGAGTGAGAAAAACATCTGATGTATAAAGTGACGCATTCATACAAGCATTGGCCCAAGATAGTTGGATAATATCGAATTGTTAGGTCTGCCTAGGATATGGTATCACGGAGAGTTGCACGGTAGAATACGGTGTGTTGTTCGGCGGCACCTACAAAAAGTATCAAGGGATGGAATCAACTGAGATCCATGACTGACACCTCATGGAGGGGCAGAAAAGATACCTGAAATTTTGGTGAGGATCTCATAGTGTTGGGATGTATCTTTCCAGGGCATCACCCCACCACGCAAGCTCTCGTCACTAGTGGGGACCTTGAGAGGTCTTTCTCTGAAGATGGGTTTGTAAGTAGAGAGAGTGTGTGAGTGTGAGTGAGACTGGCAGTGACTCAGTATTTTGAATTGGTTGCTCTGTAATATAACGAAACAAGACTGTGGAATTGGTCATGATGGGCTCGGCTCTAACTGAATGTGTTGAGCACCTGGCAATGTGTAGACAGAGAGACAGAAAAAAGAGCTCCCACCTTAGCCTTGGGCCACCCTCTCATCCGATAATGAATGATCCATTAATTATCCATCCATTGGCCCCTGTTGGGCATGATACAGCTAACTACAAGCTACAAGCTATTGCTGCACTCTATTGTTCCACCCCCTAGTTAGTCCATGGTCCTTGGGGCGTGCACTCGTGGGATGATGTGGTGTGGTGGTGCCTCTAAAGTGGGTGTATACATCCATTCCCAAGCCAAAAGAGTTGATGAGTGAATAATCTGGCAGGCCGAGAATTCATATTTGTACTTGTACTGCCCGCTCCCTCCTCGAACTTCTTCTCTTTCCTTTTCATTCTCATCATCCTCAGCATCACAACAACAACCTACTACAACAAACCTTTTTGGTACGTAAACAGCTATCCAGTAGCTACCTACCCCTCCATCACCATCATCATCACGACTACATCACCATCATAACATGATGTCTTGTCTTTCCCTTTTTGCCTCTACACAGGTCATATCATGCTGCATTTGATCCCAACCGATACGACGATACGTCAATTTGCTATGGAGACGACCATTGGCATTGGAGAGAGAGAGAGGAAGAGAGGAAAAGAGAGGGAGTAAAGGAGCAAAGAGACTGCAAATTACAATCCAAGCTCTACTTTCTACTCTCTACTCTCTACTCTCTTACTCTCTCGACTCTTTTTTTAGCCTCTGCCCCTCCTTTGCACCGATGTTCAACGTTCCACATTCCCCCCTCCTTCCCCCTCCACTCCCTTCTCTTTTCCCTGTGGCAACCTCAGCAAAAAAATATTGTCCCTCCGTCTCCGTCATAAACGCTTCAGATACATATAAATTACCCCACCCCCTCACCTCAACCTTTGCCTCCAGCTCTTCTCTCTTCTTCTCTCCTCATCAACACCATCCTACAATAAAAAGGAACTTCTCATCTAACTTAACTCCTTCCAAACAGAAACTTATCCTATAATCAAAATGGCTCCCATCAAGGTCGGCATCAACGGTTTCGGTCGTATCGGCCGTATCGTCCTCCGCAACGCCGTCGAGCACCCCGATATCGAGGTTGTTGCTGTCAACGATCCTTTCATTGAGCCTCACTACGCCGTAAGTTGACCTCTCCAACGATCTTCCGATCTCGCTCGATCCTATATACGATCTACGGCAATGCAACCTTTGGCTAAAGCTTGAGTTTGAGCTTGAGCTTGAACTTGCTGTTTGGTTACGCCTCTGTCCTGCACACAAACCATATCATGATCTAGCAGCAGCTTACAAATCATCGAACCACTCTCGATCACATCATCACATCGAGAATGGGACATGACCTTATTGCAAGCTTCTGCTAGCTTGATATCATAACGCAGTGCCAGAGAGCAATCCTCACAGCCAGCAGCTGCTTCATACCCCGCCTAGCTGCCCCTCATTGCCCCACGTACATTCCATCATCGGCCTTTGATCAAAAGCTAACCTCGATTGCTCTCACAGGTCTACATGTTCAAGTACGACTCTTCCCACGGTGTCTTCAAGGGTGAGGTCGGCAACGACGGTAACGACCTCGTCGTCAACGGCAAGACCATCAAGTTCTTCACTGAGCGTGACCCCTCCAACATCAAGTGGTCCGAGGCCGGCGCTGACTACGTCGTCGAGTCCACCGGTGTCTTCACCACCATTGACAAGGCCAAGGCCCATCTTAACGGTGGTGCCAAGAAGGTCATCATCTCTGCCCCCTCTGCCGATGCCCCCATGTACGTCGTCGGTGTCAACGAGAAGAAGTACGACGGCTCCGCCGACATCATCTCCAACGCTTCTTGCACCACCAACTGCCTGGCTCCCCTCGCCAAGGTCATCAACGACAAGTTCGGCATCGTTGAGGGTCTCATGACCACCGTCCACTCCTACACTGCCACCCAGAAGACCGTCGATGGTCCCTCCGCCAAGGACTGGCGAGGTGGCCGTGGCGCTGCCCAGAACATCATCCCCTCCAGCACCGGTGCCGCCAAGGCTGTCGGTAAGGTCATCCCTGAGCTCAACGGCAAGCTCACCGGCATGTCCATGCGTGTTCCTACCGCCAACGTCTCCGTTGTCGACTTGACTGTCCGCCTTGAGAAGGGTGCTTCTTACGACGAGATCAAGCGAGTTATCAAGGAGGCCGCTGAGGGTGACCTCAAGGGTGTCCTTGCCTACACTGAGGACGACGTTGTCTCCTCCGACCTTAACGGCAACACCAACTCCTCCATCTTCGATGCCAAGGCTGGTATCTCCCTCAACGACAACTTCGTCAAGCTGGTCTCTTGGTACGACAACGAGTGGGGTTACTCCCGCCGTGTCCTCGACCTCCTGGCCCACGTTGCCAAGGTCGATGCCTCCAAGTAAGCGTAGAGCGCTCGAGGGGCTGGAACCAAAACCAAACCTAATTGGACGCGATATGATGACAACACCAATCTGCCGCGTGTTTTAATGAAGCAAAGAAATGAAAGGAAGTAAAAAATACCAAAACCCGGGGAGATTGTCAGAGGGGATGAAAACGAGATTGTTTATCATCGGCTCGAGTTCCCTACTAGACAATTGATCTTAGTATAGCCGTGGACAGAAAAAATATATCCATCCCTCTTGAAAACCGTTCTTTATCTTGAAGTCTGATGTCTGTTGATAAGCGATGAAGAAGTATCGAATTAGCGTTTTGTCATCGTTTTACCAACAGTTCTAGGTTCGTGGCCATTAGTATGAGTGTAACGGTTACCCGCGTAAACTCAACCTGTGTGGATTTCTCACCACAATCAAAGTTAAACCCAACGACACCTAATGCAATATCAGTATGCTCTACCAGTGACCGACCTTCAAATTCATGTCACGCAAACAATATGTATGTATATGGCTGATCTTGAATATTCGTAATAGCTTGAATGTCCATTCATATCATCAACTCGACACTTTGAAGCCCTCCAGGCCAGGCCAAGTCCTGATCCTCAAGCTATGGTTTATTTCCCTTATCTTCGTTCCATGCAGTTTATGTATGCACCCAATAACACTGTCCCCTGTAAACATGCCCTCCTCTCACTCCCTTTTTTTTTCGCCAGATGCTCCTTTACTCCCTCCCCTCATTATCTTTTGTCCTTCCTGCAAAGCAATCCTTGTCCTGCAAGATAAATCACCAAACACATATATGAACGCAACACCACGTCTGAGACGAGACATGACAGATAAAATAGAGCGCTTTCCGTTTTGATCCGGGGATATCATAGTACAAACAATAGTAACTTGCCTTGGCCGTTACCAAGCACCTTAATTAGGTGGGGGACGAGTGTAAAATAGGTCACGACCATTCTTGACGTGAATATGGCAAATGAGCAGCCATGCCAACGAGTGATCCTTAAGATACGTGTACTTGGTCGACGAAACACAACGAATTGCCAAAGCAAAATCCATGCTACCCGTTTGGCCGATATGTAAATGATTTCGTAAAGTGTGTGGAAGACAATTCCCTCTACCGGGCAACCCGAATACTTGCCTCTTTGGGGTCAAACTCGGGTGACCACTCAACATTCTCGTCCTGACACCATTGACGAATAACACGCATTGAAGCCTGGCAGACTTCCTCAACTGTCGACCAAGGCATGATATCGGCACGAAGACGTGAGCTATTTATACCCTCATAAACTTCGCGAACAAGGGGCCAGTTGCGATAACGAATCGCCTGATGCGCAAATAGATCCTCCTTAGAGATGTGCTCATAGCTTGAGAATGCTTTGAGAAATTCGTCCGCAGTAACAGCCTGCAAGATCAAGACAAGGGCGTAGATAGGCTGATGCCGCTTCATATCGCGGCGTGTTTCCTTCTGCAAATAATCGACCATCTTGATCAAGCTAGCCCAGGAGCCTGGATCGGAGGCCTTGTGTTGCATGTTGCGGCTGACATTGAGAAGATAAAAACTGGCCATAAAAGCAATGGTGCTTTCCACTGCAAGTGCGTAAAATTGCTTGCGACTTGAGTCGCCGCCACGTGTATCACCACTGTTTGCAAGCTTATTGCACCTCTGGTTGGCGACGTCACCCTCGTGCTTCAGACGTCGACCTAGGTCGGAGAATCGGGTGTGTTTCTCAAGAAGTGCTCGGGAATCGGCCTTATCGTCCCGGGTGACATATGTACCATTGGTGGTAGGGCGATCTGAGGAGCCAGTAGGTACAGGGGTCACTATGGCTACTTCACCAGGTGTTTGGGTCTGTGAGTTATTAGAACCAACGCGTGACATGGCAGCACCTTTCTTAGATGGTGTTGAGGGTGGTGGCGGTAGACTCGAGGAAACTGAGGGTAGCCGGGGTCGTTTAACAGCTATTGTGTCACCAGTGTTCTCTGTTGGCGCAGGGCGTTTCTTCGCCTGGCTAGCTGGCGGTGCTTCTGTGCTCTCTGAACGATCTCTGCGTTTTGGAGGCAATGCCAATATGCGCTTGAACGTTTGCCGCAGTCGCTTGGATATTCGCAAAGTCACAACAAGTCGCCTTCTTTCTCTTGGACTGGAATCTTCTTCCTCTTCTTCCTCGTGCTCAACTGGTGCCTTTCTTGCTGTTGTTGACTTGTGTCGTTCTTCCATGGGCTCATCCCTGTCCCGGTCATAATGTGCTCCATGATCCGTCGCAGTAATTGTGGTCTTTCTTCGCGACAGCTCGGCTTCCAGAGCACTTGGTAATGTAGGCGACAGGAGCGTAGGTAGGCGGAGTGGAGACCTGTCTCGGGCTACATCGTTCTTTGTCTTGAGTGGTGGCGGTGGTTCGAGCTTCTTGGTCTTCGGTCTCGGAGCGTCATCCTCGCGTGTCCTTCTCCTATCGCCTTTGTCTGTTGAGTTCTGGTTATCCCAGCTTATATGGAGAGGTGAAAGTAACGGGGGTACAGATGATCGTGAAGCATGGTCGGCCTTGGCCGGTGTACCCTTTGTGCTCCCTAATGCGCCAGGCCTGACGCCGTTGACTGAATCACCACGTGCGCGGCCAACTGGGGAAGGGTTCCGTGCGGAAGAGACTGTAGTGCTTTTCAGGATACTACGTCCATTGGAAAGAGATGATGCGCTGGCCGGTTTGTCTCTCGAAGGGATATCGGAAGGTGCCAAAGAATCTCTATCTTTTCGACGTGGGGGCTCGTCCCGAATCGGTCGCGATCGGTCGTCGGCTGGGCGAGGTACATCAGGTCGCCGTTTTTGTGAGCGATAATCATCTTCAACATTAGTTGCACGTTTCCTGCTATCGGGTGAAACGGGTCGAGGTGGAAGGGATACAGGTGGCTTGGGAGGAAGTCTGCAGCAAGGTCAGTAACAGCGCGATCAGATCACCCAGGCAAACACGATGTGCGGGATGGCGTAGCCTACCTCATATCAACAACAGGAGGTTTGGGGTTTTTTTGTGGTTTAGCATCAGGGTGATAGTCCCTCTGACGCTGCAAATCGGGTTTCCTAATTTCGGATACAGACTTTGGCTCTGCGGATGCGCGCTCGAACTCGCGCTTTTTGGCACTGGGGGGTTCTGGGGTGGAGGTGTCTGAGGTAATACCAGAAGTCTTTTTGTTCTTGTAGTCACTCAGCGATAGCTTCTTCTTCTCGCCGCCCTTTGCGAGAATGCCCACATCCCGAGGGACGGGCTTTGGGGGCTCGACACGCATGTCGTAATAAGATCTTGTAAGGAGTACGCCGCGATCGGCTTCCGACACGAGGGTCGAATATTGTAGGCGAGTGTTATCCCATTCCTCAATATGCTTCGTTCGGGACTCGTTGGCAGGGATTTGGTATCGCCAATCTGCAGAGTAGGATAGGTGATGAGGCTTCTCGGGCAGGATGCGCTTGGTGAGCTGCTGAACCGTCTTCGTCGCGGCTTCCATTGTTCATGGATGTCAGCATGCCGGAGGGACGAAGACGGGGGGTACGGTGCGATGCAGTGCGAAAAAAAAGAAAAAGAAGCTGCAGTGTCGTGCGTTGCGGCGCGGTGCGGTACGAGGTTTGGCGATCGTAGGTGACGCGCGCGAGGGGTACGTAGGGAGGCTGTTGACGCGACGATAGATGCGTTGAGGTGAAACGCTATGCGAAAGGAGGACTTAAGGATAACGAAAATCACTGGAAATATGTGATTCGCGAGTTCGGCGTCATTTGAGGCCGATTCGCAGGGTTGTCGCGATGGCGATGGTGGCTGATAGTGGTAGTGGTTGATGCTGAGCGACAAGGCATGGAAGTGACCCAGTCGCACACGATGGAGGAGGATTAGAGTGCCTATTAGCGCGCACCGGAGACGAGACGACAGCAAGCTGTGGATCAGAGCCAAACGCTCCGCCGCGGACCTGACTATTGACAAAGAAGGTTGAGAGAAATGGTTTGTTTGGTTGAGGCTGAAGAATAGAGTAGAAGGGGGGAACAATGAGGTAGGTAACGTCAATAATAATAAAAAGGTCAGGATCTTCCTTCCCGATTGTCTCTGTCTCTGTTTCTGTTTCTCTTTCCTTTTTTGCAGTGGAGGTCTATGTTTGAGGAGGCAGTAGCGATAGCGATGACAGTGGTAGTGGCCCCCTAGTGGGACAAGTGAAGTGGCAGTGACAATCGGGTGGCAGTTGCAGTTGCAGATGCAGTTGACAGCGGTCAGGTAGGCAGGTAGGGTAAGGGGTCCGTAGGAAAGAACTAATAAACTACCTACCTAAGGGCCGATCCAGAGTGGGAGAGTGGAGAACGAAGAGTGGATTATGATTCCCGTTCTTTTGGGGGATCAGTTCCCCCAATTCCAATTCCCCTGGGAAACGTCACCGGCCATGTCCGTTTGTGGCTTCTTTTCTATTGGTTCAGGTTTATGTGGCTGATGATCGGGGAATCTAGTCCCCTGTCCTGGCCCGTCCCTGGTCTGTTTCGTCCTTAGTAGCATTAACATTAATTGGTGTACTCCATGGCTTTGTAGACTACCCTATGCCCGAGATATCTATAAGATATATGGTTTGATATCAACATAATCGGTTGTATTTTCTGTCCATCCATTCGTCGATTGGTTTGTTTGCCCATAGTAGGGCCTGTGTGGTAGGGCATCTATATATATATATGTCTCTTGGTGGATTTAACTAGTAGCTAAATGCATTACTCACCACCAGCATTATTATAAGCAAACCCCTAAAATATTGACCAGCCGGTGTCATCACGACCACATCACTACTCACTCACCCAAACTCACAAGGCTCTAGTTGGCCAATTAATTATACCACCCCAACGCTATTCTCACTCGTCTCACCTCAAGATATCACAAGTGCATCGACGTTTGTGCCAATCATGATGAGAATGGCCTAGATATAGCATCAGCTCACGTGCAGTGTCGTACCTGCGCTCTGCTGACTTGCATACATCAATAATTGATACAATATGCCCGTATGTGCTATCATAATAAGCGAATACACCCCAAAGCCTAGCCACAGCAGGTACGGGGATAATAGGTCTGCTTTGTTTCCCCGTTCTCATACATGAATTATTAGGGCCAATCTTGGTTGCTAATCCGATATCTCGGCTCCGTGTCGGCTCCGAAAGTAACCTCTTTCACTCCAGTTTCCAACACACTACAGTCTCGCTCAAAGTTACGACAGTCCATGTCATTATTGTACATTCAAATACATGCCTTTTCCTACCTACAACTATCAAGGCCACAGAACGCCGTGTCCACAAGGGGTATAATGCTACCTCGCTACCATCATCCTTTATCGCCCACCCAGTTTAAGCATACCAAAAGCAACCCAGGTCTCCCAAACCAACACCCGTGTGATATGAGATCCTACAGACATAGTCCTTGTCCTCCTGACATCTTCCATACAGCTGGCAGTTCCGGCTTAGACATACTGAAACTTGCTCAGTAGGAGCCGTTCAACACCAACGGACTGCCATTAACCCCCTTACGCCTCTTGTTGGCACCCTCCGCGTCATTACCCCGGCTTTCAAGTGTACTGACCCGGGTAGTAAGACTGTCTAGTTGTCCCGTGAAATGAGCTGGTACATACGCTGCGATTTGCTGTGCAACGCTGTCATGCCACTGCTTGGAGCCGAAGTTCTTTGCCCAGTCAGTCATATGTGTCAACTGGAACTGCACATCATCCGTCCCGGCCTTTGCCTCCCTACGAGTTTTATCAAGTTCCCGAAAAGCCAGGGCAATTGAGCCCTTCATCGCATCGACTTCAGCCGTCTGCTCCTTGAAGCCCTTCTGCAGACTTTCGCCCGTTTCTCTCATTTCCTTCTGACTCTGCTTTAGAGTCTTGTCAATTTTAGAGATGCGTTCGTCCAACTCCTTGACATCTGCCTCAGACTTGGATGTACGTGCGTTGGCTGCATCAATGGTCTTACCGAAGTTTTCAGCCACGATCGTAAATTTCTGAGAAAGATCTGATTTCAAGAGGTTCCCCAAATCCCGAATTTGAGGGTTTACCATCTGCATGACCATATCCTTTGTCATATGTGCAGGCGCAGGTGCAGGCACTGGCGCGGGCGTTGGCGTATTTGACGAGCGTACCATGGCTTCTGACATAGATTCTTTTAACTTTGGCACGTCTGCAAGAAGCTGCTTTAAGTCCTTGGTAGGAGGTAGTTCTTTCAGAAGGCGCTTAAGGTCCATTGCAGGTGGCAATTCTTTCAGAAGGCGTTGAAGGTCCGTAGCAGGTGGAAGTTCTTCCAGGAGGCGTTTGAGACCCGTTGCAGGTGGAAACTCATGGACCTTTTCACCCAGTCTTCTGAATTCTTGATGCGACCAGCCTGCAGTGGCGTCTTGCAGAGAGGCGAGACTTTGTTCCAAAACATCGCTCTTCTTCTGCTGCCGCTGAATAAGTGCTTCTAGAGAGACTATCTCCGATGCATGCATGTCGTGTGACTTTTTGTTGTCTTTGCAAGATGAGTCCAGAGAGCTTACATCCACCGCCAGAGACTCTTGCCCTTGCGAGAGCACCTTCACAGTAGAACTCAAACCGGCAACGGTCTTGTCCAGCAACTTGTGCCTTTCTTCTTGATCATGAGACAGGCTTTTCAGGGACGTAATCTCCTCTTCCAAAGACTCCTGCTGTTTGCGCTGCTCTGCAACGGCAGCATCTTGTAATTTCAAAAGGTCTCCGTTACTTTCCACATCCACCTTGTTTGAATCCGTCAAAATCTGAAGCTTCTCAACTTTCAACACTTGCGAATCTTGCTTAGTCGTTAAAAACTTGATATTGCGTCCTTGCATTTCAACAGTCTTCTTAAGCTGTTCGACTGTCGCATTGGAGGCTGCTATGCATGTTGTGTTGGAGGCTGCTGTGCTGCTCTTGGCGGCCATCGAAGCGCTACGTTTCAGACTGGCCAACTGTGTCGTATGGTCGTTTAAAGACGTTTGCAACTCTTGTATCTTGCTGAATTTTTCGTCGATGCTCGGCATTTTCTTGTTCCATCTTTCGTCAACTTCTGTCGATATTTGCACTTGTGTTTTCGAGTTGATACCGATGAACTTTTGTTCGAGTCGGCTGAGCCTCTGTTCCAACATTTGGTTTTCGCGCTGGCCATCTTCCAACTTGCTCGCTAGGAGCCGAGTCTTTTGTTTTTCTTCATCGAGGCTACTCCGTAGATACTGAATCTCATTGTTATCAGACTCCTTGAGCTTTTTGAGTTCACGTTGCACGTGAATTTCCATCCCTGATGTTATTTGTTTCTGCAGTTCTGCTAATCGTGGTTCGAGCTCTGATATGGACCCCTGAGTATTGTTCGCTGGGGAGAGTGTTTCGTGCTGCCTGTCAGAGGTTGTGGGTGGTAGTTGTTGCTGTAGCTGTTTGAGAAAGGAATCGAAGCTCGTTTGCAGTTTCTGATATATTTGTGCGAGCTTCTGCTCTAGCTTCGTCCTCTCATCTTCGTATCGTTGCACCTCTCTACGTTTCAGGTCTTCAACAGAAGCAAACTCAGTCGGTTTTGTGTTTGACTGGCTTAGCTCTCTTTTTGTCCTCTGAAGTTTGGCCTCAACTTGATGCAGTTGAACGCGATGATGGGCCATATCGCCGAGGAGCTCCATCATGGCTTGCTGACCGGGTTTTAAAATTCGTCGTCCGCTTGATGCGCTTGAGGGCGTTCTTGATCCTGTTTGTACCGAATGAGCCATACTCTTCTCGTGCTTTTTCTGCCGATCCCAGATCTTACCATGGTCTCCAGCATTGATCGACCGATGGGAAATCGACTTATCGGAAGGTCGCCTGGTGGACTGGTCCCGAGATGAAATTGATTCCCTTTCGCGATCTGAAATTAGGTCTTGCGGCGAACCGTGGTATCTCTCTGATGATCGGTCACGGTAATCGGGTAATCGATTGTGGTAAGCGGCTGGTGCGCGGTCGTCTCGACGGTCGAAGGAGCCAGAAGACCCTGGGTAATCCCCTCCACGCCTACCAGCCATGGCGGCTCTGGCAGTGAGGCAAAGTCGCAAGCATTCGGCGATGGGACAGGACGAGAATGTGAGACGAGACCGATGATGTGCGCTGTTGGTGAATGTGTAGACGCCGACTCAACCACAAGGCTGCGTTATTGTGATGTAAGGGATATAATGAAGATGGCACTAGCTTGAGCCCAGTAGTGAAACCTAGCAGTGTAGGTAGCTTAATGTGTAGAGTCGATAAGATAAATTCGTCGCGTCTATGGGCGAATGTCTGAGGCGGCTGAGTGGGGAGGGGGGGTGGGAGGGGAAACAGCTTCAGCAGTTGAGAGATTCAAAGGAAAGAATCAAAGCAACAAGTGTTGGATGGGAAAGGGGAGAACGACGATACACGAGGGGAATAACAAAGGACGGGGGGACAAAATACGAAATGCGTAAAGAACTGGGGACAGTGGGCATTAAGGAGAGACGGAGGTAAAAAAGCAAATAGCGGCGACACAAAGCGAGGGCGTGGTTGCTAGGTAGGTAGGATGCAATAATTCCATCTAAAGCAAAAAGAGAACGATCTCGCGTATGCCTGCAGTACCGAAGTGGAGTCTCCCCGTCTATGGTCTATGGGGAGTACGGAGTAGCCCTCAATTTCTACCTTTTATCTAACATTGGGTACATAGGTATAGAGCATATTCTTCGTTAAGTACTTACGTAGGAAGTGTCGGACTGTCAAGCCCAGTCAAATCCAGAATCTATGATTAATTCAAAATATCCTACCTTACCTATAAATAAGTGCGTACCTACCTAGCTAGGTACCTACCTAGATATAGTCCTTACAAATTCATAGCATGATTCTTAGCCTTACCTAGACCCCATGACCAGATAGTTGGTTGATGTGGCGGTGCACGCTAGACCTGTGGCGCCAAGAGCCAGTCGCTTACGTACTGGCATTTTTTCTTGTCAACTCAGAACTGTATGCGCAGGCTCGTTCAGTACAGCTTTCGCGACCTAGCTTCCAGCCTCGTTCTTCCAGGCTTTCTTCACCACTGACGCAGCCTTACACATCAACCATTTATAATTCTTGACATTGCTTGCCTACAGCACGCGACAAGATGGCTGCCGTAAGTCATGGATACTTTCTACTAATACCATCAACTGCTTACAATGAACTCTACAGCCTGTGATGACCGTGTCAGAGTCTAAGGACCTTCGAGGTCTGAACCTCATCGCAGCCCACTCCCACATTCGCGGCCTCGGTGTCGATGCGACAACTCTTGAGCCTAGAGCTGCCTCTCAGGGTCTTGTTGGACAGGAGAAGGCGCGAAAAGCCGCTGCTGTTATTCTGCAGATGATCAAGGATGGAAAAATCGCTGGCCGTGCGGTTCTCATTGCAGGACCTCCCAGGTATGTTTGCCTAGTTATTTTGCTGCTCTGCGCGCACTAACCTATGCCCAGCACCGGAAAGACTGCCATTGCCATGGGCATGTCACAGTCTTTGGGCCCCGATGTCCCATTCACAACACTCGCCGCATCAGAAATCTTTTCGCTCGAGATGTCCAAGACCGAAGCCCTCACCCAAGCATTCCGAAAGTCGATCGGCGTCCGAATAAAGGAGGAGAGCGAAATAATGGAGGGAGAAGTTGTCGAGATTCAGATTGACCGAAGTGTCACTGGAAGCGCAAAGCAAGGAAAGCTAACCATCAAGACTACCGACATGGAGGCTGTCTACGACATGGGCAGCAAGATGATTGATGCCATGACCAAGGAGCGCGTCATGGCGGGCGATATCATCTCGATTGACAAGTCTTCCGGTAAGATTACCAAACTCGGCCGATCTTACGCCCGATCTCGCGACTACGATGCCATGGGTGTCGATACCAAGTTCCTCCAGTGTCCTGATGGAGAGCTTCAGAAGCGCAAGGAGGTTGTACACACTGTCACGCTACACGAGATCGATGTCATCAACTCGAGGACGCAGGGCTTCCTTGCTCTTTTCTCTGGCGACACTGGAGAGATTCGCAGCGAGATCCGAGATCAGATCAACACCAAGGTTGGCGAATGGAAGGAAGAGGGCAAGGCCGAGATCGTTCCTGGTGTGCTGTTTATTGACGAAGTTCACATGCTCGACATTGAGTGCTTTTCATACATCAACCGAGCTCTCGAGGATGACCTTGCCCCTGTGGTCATCATGGCCAGCAACCGAGGTAACTCGCGCATTCGTGGCACCAATTACCGCAGCCCTCATGGACTTCCCCTCGACTTCCTGGATCGAATCGTTATCATCAACACGCACCACTATAACCCCGAGGAGATCAAGCAGATTCTTTCGATCCGGGCGCAAGAAGAAGAGATTGACGTGCATCCCGATGCCCTTGCTCTGCTTACCAAGATCGGCCAAGAGGCAGGTCTCCGGTACGCTAGCAACCTGATCAGCACTTCGCAACTGGTTTCTGCTAAGCGAAAGGCCAAGCAGGTTGAAGTCAACGACGTGCAACGTAGCTTCCAGCTCTTCTACGATCCCGCGCGCAGCGTTAAGTTCGTAGGCGAGTCAGAGAAGCGTTTGATCGGCAATACCGGCGCAGTTGATTTCGCAGTCGGCGCGGCCGCGAGCAACGGCGAAGAGAAGATGGATCTTAGTTAATTATTACGGCGAGCAGAGCCTGGCGTTAAAAGGGTATTGGGACGCGAAGACGGGTAGACCTGAAGTGTGAAGGATATTTGTACCATACTGATTTGGCGTAGAATGGGATCGTACGAAAATTCGCAAAGAGAATTTAAAACAAGTTTACTTATCATGTATGTGAGCTTGAGACTTGGTCTTTTGAAGAAACGGCGAAATCTATCATGACACCTGCAACTATATCATGATAACAAGACTTTGAGCATCATGATGCCTAATTAAATCGATTTATATGACTGAACCACTATATACATTGAACCTCTGGAGCACCTGTCTTCCAGTTTCACGTCTACGATACCCTCGAAGCTTAGCTCAAGCCTGGGAGCACGGCTGGGCCTTAGTGGGCGGGATGTTAAAGTGCTTTGAGAAGGGATCGTCAGTCGCAGCACGAGGAACATGCTCGACGATGCTGGCAATGCGTTCAGACTGCTCTGTGCCCCAGAAAGTGCTGATGAAAGCAAAGATCAGATCCAGGCCCGAAGTGACCTAAGAGAATATCAGATTAAACCAGTCTGCGCCAGCAAGGCAGGGTATTCTATGGAACTTACACCTGAAGAAGACCAGAGTTTTCCATCGATGACATAACGAGCGGGAGATACCCAGTTCACTTTGGGTCCCATCTCCTTCATAGTCGCCCAGGCATTCTTGTTAGTTGTCGCCATGTGTCCGTCCAAGACACCCGCTCTGGCCGCAACACCAGCACCGGTGCAGATTGTCATCAGGATCTTGACCTTGGGGTACATCTTGGCGATATAAGCCGTGACAGCCTGAAGATTCGGGCTACGCGCACCGCCGCCTCCAGGGACGATAAGAAGGTCGAGATCAAGATCGTCATCAAACGTGTTAGTCGGTGGGATCGTGGGGAAGAAGCTCGAGTTGAACTTGTTCATGGATACGGGCGCTGTGGTAACAGGGTCAAGCGTCTCGGCGATAAGATGAAGGTTGAGCTTCTGGACGCTGAGGGAGATGAGCTGGAGGGGGTCGAGAGGACCAAAGACATCGATCATATCGAGAGCCTGGAAGAGGACGACGCCGACGTTGCGGATCTGGGAGCCTGTGATATTGGGGATGGCACCTGGGGTGATACAAGTCGGCTCGGCATCTTGGGGAGCATATTCAGCATGTCTGGCGACAGCTGAGGCAGATGATGCTGTGAAGAGAGCGAAGGCGCTGGCGAGGAGAGAGGTTGAGAACTTCATGATGACAGAAGTGAATACTTGAAAACCAGTGTCAAGATATGAAGCTGCAGTGAACAGTAATACAGGTCAGAGAACACGAATGATCAATGTTGAAGTAGAAGAGAGAAAGGCAAAGCAACCGAAGACTTCAAGGTCGTATATTGCAACAGCCACAGATGTACTATATATACTCATCCCACAGCCCTCCAATATCACCTAGAAATTAATCCTCCACTCAATATCAGACAAATCCTTCATCCTAAACCCCAAAGAAGAAACCTTCTCAAACCCGCGCTCAGCTGGCTTTATCCATTCAACCAAATGCAACTCCCCAGAACCAATAATCATCCATATTCTCATCCCGAGCTTCACCAACCATGGATCCTTCGTTGGCGATCAAACAATCTCAGTAATTCACGGATAGGGACCAGGGATATGTCTTTTCCCCTGTGGCTTAGACGGGATGCGCTGTGCGCAATTCAAGAGAGTTGACAGGCTTCCATAGCTTTAAAGTGCATCTTGTATCCGTGCTATGCCAGCAAACTCTTAAGCTTATCCTTGTCAAGGTTATCTTCAAACGCCTAAATTTCGCGAAACAACCCATGGATCTTGAGCCCTCTCCTCCCTTGTTTCTGTCCAGAGTATACTCCGTAACGTCCATCTAATTGCTATATACTTGATTTCTAAACCGTTCGAGTATTTTCGATAAACGTCCTTAACAGCGGTTACTTGATTCGCCATACAATAATCACACAGCGATGCACACTTCACTCCATAGCGAGATCTTTATACAAGTGATTCAGCTACAGCTCCTAGTTACTTGTTTCATTCTCGCATTTCTCGTATAATTCTGCTTACTCCATCTTGCCATGGTATCCGAGCCAGTATTTTTAACCTCCGTCCGTACATCGTTATTACCACATCTTATCGCTCATATTGGGTATCCAACTGCGCCAGCAACTTGCGGCGTCCAGCTCCCTTGAGAAATTATCTCACTATCTGTGCCGAGTGAGTACCTTCTTCCCACCAACGCCAGTACGCACCAAGAGATGTCCTTCCAATCTCTGTTAGTCCTGACTTGAGAAGGAAATAAAAAACGAGTCGCCTGAAATAGCATGTCTATACATTGATACAATGGCACATGGTATACCCAGTTGAGATTGAGGGTTATGTGCGCCCTTCCAGAGTAGCAAGCTGGGTGGCCAATGCCTCGTTTCCCTTTAGCAGATCCTCGAGCCATTCGGCCGCCATGGTGAGCATGGTACTCTTGCTAAACCCTCCACCACGAAGTCCAGGAACTAGGTCGCACAAGTCATCAAAGCCCTCTTTGATTAGAGTGCGTCGCTTTTGCTCACTCTTTATGTGGTTCTCGCGTTTTTGTTCCTCCGAAAGGTTCTCTCTTGATAGTTTGCTATTATTGACCGCTGACTTGCGGCGTTTTCCGCTGGAAGGTTCATCTGCAACAGCCATTGTGATCGAGCCTGCGCGTTCTGCCTTGGGTTTTCGCCTCCGTGCTGGTTTTTGCGTACCCGTTTCTTCCTGTACTTCTTCTTCAGGGACGTCCTTACTGTTTCTACTCTTCCGCCTTTTCCGTGGGGGTGTATCTGCTTCTTGCGCTTTTGTGAGCTCTGATAGTCTGCTATGTGGGAGTGGAGCCTTGATCTGAAGCGGACTGCTAGGTCGTGTGTTATCGGCACTTTTGCTTGGTTCGAAACATTCAAGATATTTCAGCTGTTCTTTGGCTAGGGATTCTCCAGTTTCCTTTTCTGAATTTGGAGTGTAGCCTTGGAGGCGGTCAAAGTTGGCATCAGAACCCCATTGGTACTCGGCTGGTGGTGCTCCTCGATGCTGATTCTTTTCATGAGGCTTCATCATCCAGTCCGGATAATGTTCTTGCTCACTAGCTGCCACGCTGCGTCGATGCTCTTCGCGGAACTCCTCTAACGGCTGATGCCTTAAGTGGCCTACTGGAGGGCCTATTAAATGCCTTTGCAAAGAACCATCGACTCCATTGGAATTTTGTCGCTGATTTGGGCCATTCTGAATAAGTGTAGCGGCCGCATTAAGTACATCGTCAGGGGTGTGTCGATGCTCAGTCTGGTGTTGCGGATGGGGTGGAGGCGGCGGTGGGGGAGGCATCATGTTAGATCCCATGGACGCCATACCATGGAATTCGTTGAGACCATGGGGAAGCCCTTGAGTTGATGGGTCGGCTAGCGAAGGTCCCGGCTGTTGGCCGAATGAAGTACTAGATCCCATAAATTGTGGTGGAAGATCAAGCCAAGTATCACTGAAGTTGAGTCCCTCACCAAAGGAGGGCATGTTGAAATGATCGGCATGAATGTCGTCGAAGAATGAGGTCAGAAGTCTGCTGTCATTATCTGACAAAAGAGGAGCACCAGGCGCGGGCTCCGGCGGATTGTTGATAGGAGGATCTTGATTAGGATCGAATGAGTCTAGAAAGAAGTCCAGGTTAGCAGCTTGGACGCGATATCGGCGCACAAAGGGACATGGCGCAAAATCTGGACGAGTGGTTCACATACAGCCAAAGGGCATGAAAGCATCTGAGGGCGGCTGCGACGAACCCATCCTCGGAGCGTGTTGTACGGCGAGCATGGATGCGTCTGTAGTTATATTGAGCTCTCTGCTGTTCGTGAGTACTGCGTTTCAAACGAGCCGCAGTAGAATTGTGCTTTTGGTGGATTGAAAAGTGTTGATGTTCGAGTGTCGTGGCTTGAATCGTCCGTCTTGTAGTAGACAATGTCGTTGGAACCCTGTATTTCTTCGTCCGGCATCAAGTATGCAAAAGCCAGTGATAAATGGACTAGAAGCTGTCTAACACATCACACACAATATTCTTTGAGTTGACAAATCAGTGGGCTTCGTTGTATTGTGTTGCTTTCATGTGAAGCGCAAAGAAGCCACTGATGATGAGGGCGGTCGGGGCGCAGAAGCCGGGTCGTTCGAACGCGGGTAGGAGTAAGATCGATATGTGTATGCTGGTAGGTATTTTGTAAAGTTAAAGACTTGGCAGCTGGTGGTATTGAGTATGCGATCTTATAGTATGTGTCTCTGGGTGTAAAAGCAGAGGAATTATGGCGGTGGTTGAGGCTTGTCGTTACGAGTAAGAGGAAGTGGCAGTTGAAGCGGGAAGAGAAAAGTCGCCGATCTGATGTACGTATATGTATACGATGTGTATGTATAGCTTAGTCGGAAAGAGCTGTCTGCTCGGACCAGAGAAAGAAGAGGAATAAGAGCGACAGGGGATCAACACAAGAAGTGAGTTTGAAGTTTGGTTTGGACGGAGAGTGCATGTGCTAAAACGTGCATCAATGCGTCACATCACGCCAGTGCACCAGACTCCCAGATGAAGACAAAGAAGGAGCGACTAGGGCCCGGCTTCTTCTGTCTCTTCATAGGATAGCAGCTATGCTTCTGGCCCGGAAAGGTTAGAAATCCAATACCTTGTAAAGGTCAAATGGTAGCGGCCGAGAAAGGATGGGATGGGATGGTTGGGAAAGATGGTGGTGGTGGTGGTGTTTAACTACTACTACTAACTACAGGTACGTACGTGCCTAGGAGGTAGGTAAAGTGGTTCAGGTATGGAGTCGAGGTAGGTGCCAGTCAGTAGGCAGTAGGTACCTTGCGGATAGGACTTGGCAGGTTGGAGACGACGGCAGGAGCCCACCGTGACTGCTCTGTGTCTGTGTGTAGAGTACAGAATGCAGAGAGAATGCAGAGGAACGGTGCGGCAAGCGGAAGCCGGTAGTAGCTGCTACATAGGTGAAAAGTAGCCAGGTTTTTTGGGGAAGCGCGTTCGAGGATGTAACTTGGACGGTAATTGGACCAATCGTTATGGTTTGAGCAAGTTCTCTCTCGAACCCAACCCTGTGGGGATGCCTCGGAACTTTTCACGCCTATCCTACAAGTATCGTCTACCTCGACTACATCCGCTCTAGTAATTGATGCCCCCATGTTCCCCTCCTGGGTTACTATGTCACCTGCAACTTTCATCGACGTCGACCAAAGTCTTTTAGCCTTTGCGAATCCTTGGCCTGGGTGCTCTGTTGAAGATGGATCGTGAGTGAGGTTCGAGTACTGGATTTCGTGCCGCAAAAAGTAGATAAAGAGCTTTGAGTCCCCTCATCTTGTTCAACAATTACCAAAACTCGTCAACACATTCGTCGTTACATGCCCCGAGCCACCCGGTAGGGGTCGTCCGAGGTACCATGACGTATCTCTATATCCATAACCTGCCGACCAACCGCAGCGTATGCATCTAAAGGACTATCACATGCTTCGAGTTCATGTCAAGACCCCCCAACAGCTCTAATCTGAATTTTTTTTGCGATCTGGTTGACGACACCTTGGCTCCAGCTGTCACTCATTCGTCCAGCCAAGTCTCAAGAGACAGACAGATCCCCCCGTTTTCATTGGTTCTCATCCTAGGCTTCTATGTAGATACTAACTTTTATCCTATCTGCTGAGTCTCTGAGAGAGCAGAGAACAGAGAATCTAGTCATCTTGGCGTTGCACGCAGAAGACTGACTGCAGATTTGCTCACAGTCACTTGACTCATTTGCCTTATGTCTAGTCAGCAATACGGTACAACACGCTACAACACGCTGAGGCTGAACCAACGATACTGCGCTCTCTCTTAGTCTGTATCAGCATCGCCTCAAGCACATGCGCCTCCTGCCGCCTTGTCCTGTCAAAAGGCGACAGGCTTGGGTTTGCTGGTTCGACTCGTGACCATGATCGGCCCGTGCCAGTATGATGCTCAGGGCTAACCAGGGGTCATGGCCACCCAAGAAAAAAGACCTCCCTGGAAAGGAAAGATGCCAACTGAGATTATGGTTCAAGGGGAAATCAGGCAAGGAAGAAGAGCCGAAACCTGCTGAAGCTCCGAAATTCATCGTGGGGCTCCCCTGCTGGTGGCTGCTTTCGAGAACAATTTTAATTCCATGCGAGAAATGCACTTCATGGTGTTACTAATGCGGAACTATTCAGGCTCAAACAACTATCGGATGCCGCAAAATCTGGCTACTGTGAGTTGTCTTCTTTCCTAACAGTTCAACTCTCTATACCAGTCTTGGAACATATATATGTATGTTCATTCAAAGGATATTTCACAACGAATACTGTCTCCCTATCATAAAGAATTATCAATTACTCGGTTTTATAGAGTAAAATTTACGTACCAGTCCCATCGTGAGCACGTGCCCTTTACCCAATACAGCAGCTGCACGATCCCTGTACCCCAGAATTGGGGATCAGGTAGGGACAGACAGTGGGACCTGCCTTTGACCACATGCAAATTGCTGTACCTACAGGTGCTAACGGTAGGTAGTGATAACCTCACTCAAACGTTACTTTAATCTTACACCTCAGTACGAATACCCATTATTGGTACCTGACACAACCCCATTCTCTTCTACCCTGATCCTCAGCCGTTGAAGGCCTGGAATCAGAAGCTGCATCCAAGTACCGAGTCTAGACCTAAGCTTAGTATTTTCGACATTGAGTTCACCTGAACCCCTGAGCTCTCAGGTCATCGTCATCGTCATCACAACCATCATCTGCACTCCAGCTCGGACAGTATCCGTATACTTTGGGCCAGGACTCGTTAAGGTTATTATTCTACTGCGCTCTCACTAGGCTGTTTCATACTCCAGCCCATTCCCGGAGCTGTTACTCAACGAAATATTGTTTACCTAGGTTAGTTCCACCCTCTAACATCACATCTTGTATGATTTGCGACTGCATCACCAAGTGGCTGCACCACACTATACCGCCTGTAGCCTTGTCAGGGGTCGTACGATCTATTACCTGTCAAGGCAAATATCATTCATGTATCCTTCGGCCTCTGTCCTACAGGAATACAATCCATGTTGAGTTCTCACACACGACGTGATCTATCAAGCCGAGGCTCAAAATGAGAACTCGGCGATGCATACCCGTATCTCCACACAACTTCAAGGAGGGGGTTGCTATCGTGTCAACCTCCTTATTGTTTGTTCTATTAAAATAACCCTCAAATATCTTCGCTGCCCCTACCGTTTGAGTTTTGACCTCGAATCCTTGGGACATTGTGCCAGTGCATCATGTTGTCGTATCCCGTTGCTACTCTAGATCGTTGACCCTCCTCTTCCGGGTTCTTCTTACACCATCTTTTTCATCTTGCCATTACGCTTCACAGGGGTAGCTCTGCCATTAACCGTTCGTTTACTTCCAGGATCCCCGCGATCATCTTCTCGAATACCCACCTTCTGAGTGCCCCCTCTTCTCATCTCACCGGCAGCAGGTGCCGTAGCCCTGCTTCGGGACATTGTTTTATGCTGGGTCATTATGCCTGCATTTGATGTGCGGCCAGCCCGCAAAGGGCCTCTGAGGCTCGATCCTATCCCCGAGATCCTCCGCCCCTTGATTCGCGCCTATCTCCTGGGCTATGCATCTGCCGTGGCTCCCCGGCTGTTGACATTAGTGTTGCAACATGCTGCTAAGAGGAGGCGAAAACTGGCCAGCCAAACTTCTCCAGATCGGGACGACAACTCTTTTATCAAGTCTGCAGCACATATAGTAAAAACAGGGTTCAACCCACAACGATTTCCAACATTTTGTGCCATATTGGCCGGTGGTACTACTCTCCTAAAGGTAAGCAAACTAAACGTACTTCTCATACTTCCATACAGTTCGCCGAAAACCCCACCCTGGTTTCCTAATGTTGTTGGTCGCGGGCTGTGCCGGCAAGCCTCATTGACGCATTGGTATTCCTATGGCACGCTCTTAGCTAATACACCGAAAGGAACCTTTGAAAAGCATTCTAGAGAAAACTGCGAAAGGTCTCAGTAAGGAAGGTCGTTCGAGGTAAGTCGGTAGTTACCTAATTATATGCCAACAGCCTTGTTGATCCAATCTTCTCAGGCTGGCAAGATGGTTGTCGACATTCCTTGCTGCATGGTTTGGCCTCCGCCTACTACACTCGTACGAGGGTAGAGCATATACAGAAACTGTGCCGCCGAAAGAGGGATCGCCCTCTGAGGCGGAGCCTCAAACTCTTAAGTTTGCTGGTCGAACGATGGACCTAACCCTGTTTGCCGTCACTCGAGCCCTTGACGTTGTTGTTGGTGATCTGTGGATGAGACACAAATCCCGACGACTAGCTTCCAACAAGTGGTCAAAGGTAGTTCATGCACTTCACCTGAATACCAAGCATTCGAGGTTACTGACGCTCTCTTCAGACCGAACGGTTCGTTTCCAAGTTTGTTGACCCCCTAGTCTTTGCCGCCTCATCAGGTCTTGTTATGTGGGCTTGGTTCTACCACCCAGAACGTCTTCCCCGCAGCTACAACAAATGGATCACCTCGGCGGCATCCGTAGACCTGCGGCTTATTGAGGCCCTTCGACGTTGCCATTCGGGCGAGTTTCAGTATGGTAAGGAGACCGGGCAGGCACATCTCTTACAAGGCATGTGCGTTGACTACGAATGGCCCCTTGCTTGGGGAGATCCTGCGGTGGTTGTTCCCATTCCTTGTCAGATGGTCCACATGGCAAGCGGGCCTTCATGCGAATATCATGCTGCCAGCCGCTTTTTTCGTGCCTGGAAGTGGTCAATGGCTACGTACTTGCCTCTGACACTCGCCCTTGCTCTTCGGAACCCTTCTCGCAAAGCTTTGCGCCGAGCCTTAATCTCATCCTGCCGCTCGTCTAGTTTCCTCGCAACTTTTATCACTCTCTTTTACTACGGAGTCTGTCTTAGCCGCACTCGCATAGGGCCACGGCTCCCTGGTGGTACTACCATCGAGCGTCGTCAACAAATGGACAGTGGCATCTGTGTCGGTACAGGCTGCCTGCTATGTGGTTGGAGTATCATGCTTGAGACACAAGGTCGAAGGAAGGACATTGCGCTGTTCGTTGCGCCTCGTGCCTTGGCCACCGTCTTGCCTCGACGCTATTCACTGGATAAGGAGTGGCGAGAACGGCTTGTATTCGCCGCCAGCACTGCAATTGTATTCACTTGTGTTGCCGAGAACCCAGAACGAGTAAGGGGCGTCTTTGGAAAGCTTCTAAATATGGTTCTCAGCGAGTAGGCGAGTCGGCAAGGGCATATCTCAGGACCGCGATGACATCCTGATCTGAGCCTTTCATTCTGATTCTGATTTTTTTAATGTACCCAGTATGTATAATAGGCAACCGTTTTGTAGAATAGTGTGGTACCATAATGTATAATTCAAACCTCACGACTTATTCACGAATCAACCTTTTGATGTGAAATTTTAACTCTATTTCCATGTGACAATACGCTATCAACCTCTATTCATTCATTACCCCTTAAACCAAGCTACAGCTCCCAGCACAAAAATACACGCCAGCATGTCGCTTCTTACCGTTGTGAATATTTGTCCATAACGCATCACGATCTCAATATAACCCTTGGCGGGCTGGGGTAAAAACTGCATCACGGTGCCCACGATGCCAGTAGGTGGGCTACCTCTTTTGTCCAGGAAAAAGCGTGTTGTGAGGAGCAGGGTTTCAGCAGTAGCAAACGTCCAGAAGAACAGCTTTTTGCGATGCTCAAGCTCTGTCTCCATCTCGGGCTCGGCTGCTGCGATAAGGGGATCCGCGGGTGTTGTACCAGCAAGAGCGGCACGCTCGCGCTCGATCTTGCTGCCAGTGAAAGGGGTGAGGATGACGATGTAGATTCCAAGACCGAGAGCAACAAGGGCGTGGAGAAGACGCCAGAGATTCGTAGAGGCGCTGCTGCGCACGGCGGTAGGCGGTACGAGGGGTGATTGGCCAGGTACTGCGCCAGGCATACCAGGGAAAGGGGGCATGGAGCCCGCAGGAAGGCCGGCGCCGGCCATGAGCTGGGACATCATCTTCATCATGGGATCCTCGTCGGCGCCACCGGGTGCAGGACTAGCGGAGCCGCTGGCATTGCCGCGGTCGAAGCCAAGCATCATTTGCCGCAGCTGGTCTTCTGAGATAGCGGGTTCCGGGATTTCAGATGCATTTGTGCGGGAAGTAGCAGTGCGCTTGGGTTCGTAGTAATGGTTCGAGATATCGACTTCATCAGGGTCGGCGTGGTCGGCGGTGGGAGATGCTACAGAAGCCGATGCGGCGGGTGCTGGAGCTGGGGAGGGAGCATCTGTTGCAGTAGTCGATGCAATAGCAGGTTCTGGGTCTATACCAAACGATTAGCATCTATACAGACCCTGTTTATAGAGTGTTCAATTAATACCTCCTGGAATACGGCCTCCGAGGCCAGTGATCTTGTTCAGTCTTGCAGACCCCCCAGCCTTGAGCTTGGCTTCACGGCGTTCCTTACGAAGACGGGCCTGCTCAAGAGCTCGCTGAGCAGCGGCATCCTCTGGGCTTTGCGTTGTCTCCGACATGACTCTATGGTTCAATTAATGGTGCCTGCTAAAGGCGAAAGGTGGGCGTTGATATTGGGTACGAGTGACAATGAGACAATGATGTGGTGCTTTCACCAAGTGGAGAGTGGGAGCTTTGGCGGAACCAAATGCCAGCTGGCCATGATGTAGGGCAAGTTCGACTCTGCTTACCCTAAACCAATGTACCTACTCAAATAGTTACTGTTTTTCAAGTCAACTTCTCAGATCTGAATATTATTGTAAATATAATATTTACTGACTTGACGAATCAGAGTTATGTTCTTCCTCAAAAATTAAACGAATGGTCTTGCTATTCCATGGGAACTGACCGGCAACTGTCATTAAGGGAGGCTATGATCTGGAGTTTGGTATGAGAAGCTTTGCTACATCAATATTACAAGGCTATGCAATACACAACATTACATGAATGACTTCCCTTCAATGAATCTTTAAAAAACAATTACCCACGATCTTCTTTTACTTAACAGTACTAATGATGTTGCACCGCACATCTAGGTCTTATGTCACACACCATGAAGATGTTTGGAATCCACAAATGAAACAAAGAATTAGGAAGTGAGAAACATGGATAACAGACACGCAATAACCTCATCATATACTTTTCTAATCTACTAAGCGTTCAGCGTGGGTGTCATCTTGAATTCCATTCCCAGTCATGCACCATTCGCTAAACTATTCAACACCACAACCCATGATGCACACCTCATAAGCAAGATGAAATATAACATATTGTAGAATCAACACCACATTTACGGTGTAGCCTTGCTCATGCTAATAAGCCTCTTAACACCAACCTGTTGATAAGTTAGTTATATACTCATGTTGCTCGAGGATGGAAAACTTACCATCCAGTTACCACACTCCTCGGTCTTGTCTCGCTGAAGCTCAACCTGAAGCTTGTGTGCTCCTTCGTAATCCTTGGCCTCAATAGCACTGGCAAGCTCAGAAAGCTGCGCAATCGTGTCAGGCTTCACCAACTCCTCGTTGTTCAAGTGATCAAAGAGTAAGCCGAGTCGCTTCTGGGTATCCTTGACTTGAGGCGCAAACGTTGAAGGAGCCTTGGAAGCAACTCGCTGCATGTCCTGGCTCAGAAGGTCTACCAGGCGCTGAGCGTTGGGAGGGATGTGCGATCGGTCGCCAGCAGGATGTCTGGCCTTGGGAGGGGTTGACGACTGGGGAGGAGGGGTTGGCCTGGGAGACGAATTGGCGAATGGACCACCAGGGGGACCACCAGGAGGTCCGGGTCTGTTCATCGGGGGAGGTCCAGTGGGAGGTGCAGACTGTTGACTAGGAGGGGCACCATATGGGGAGGGAGCGTACTGGCCATGAGGAGTTGACTGCTGAGGTGGGGCTCCAAATGAACCGGCCGGAGGACGGCTTGCGGCTCCGGGAGGGGGCGCCGATCCTGGGGGTTGATTGTACTGTTGCTGCTGCTGTGCTGCAGGAGCGGGAGCATATCGGTTTGTGGGAGGTGCTCCGGCAGGAGGGGCGTTGTAAGGCGATGCTGTTCGTCCGACGACGCTGGGCATTGGTGACGGGATAGCGCCGGCAGCAGGGGGAGGAGGTGCGTAAGGGTTATGGCCGCTTGTAGCAGCAGGAGGAGCCTGGAAGTTCTGGGGGGGACCTGCTAAGGGCGACTGAACTCGAGGCGGTGCTGGTCCCTTCGGAGGAGGCGGAGGAGGGGTCGAGCCAGTTCGCTGTCCATAAGGAGATGCACCCGGAGGAGGGGGAGGTGCGCCTACGCCTTGCTGGCCCGAGAAAGGAGAAGTGATAGCCTGAACACTAGGTGTGGTCCTGCGTGCAGGAGGTGCCTTGGTAACGAGCGGGACATCGTTCCAGTTATCCATGTCCTTACGATTCGCCGCAGGTGTTATGGATGAGGGAGTGGTGTTTCGAGGAGGGCCGCCCATTGGAGGAGGTGCAAGGGGAGCGGGAGCACCATAGCCAAGTTGAGTGGGAGCGCCATAACCAGCCTGGGCAGGAGCACCGTAAGCAGACTGAGCGGGAGCACCATAGCCAGACTGAGCATGAGGTTGATAACCAGCAGCAGCTCCGTATCCAGTTTGCGCAGGAGCAGCAAAGTTGCTCTGTGGCTGGTAAGGGTTAGTAGGAGGCTGGTATTGCTGTGCAGGCGATCCGGTTGTTCGAGGAGCAACTGGCCCGGGGCCGGGGATGATATTGCTGTAAGGATCCCGTGTGATGGTACCAGGCGGGCCATTAGCTGCGGTCAGGGGCACAGGGGTTTGGTAAGCAACAGTAGGCTGCACCCTGGACGACGTCCTGCTTGACGAAGCTGGTACTCGAGCAGCGGACTGAGCAGCAGGCTTCTTTGTAGCTAGGCGTACACGATTCCTTGCCAGTTCTGCAGCAGGGTAGTTGGATGGGAGAAGGTCCAGGTACTTTTGAGCAGTCTCCAGTTGGCCGTGACCAGCCAAAATATCGGCATACTCAGTGTACTTGTCGTACAAAACTGAGAGCTTCCAATCTGAAGTCAAACTTGTCTCGCTGTCCTGGAACTTGGTAGCCTGGCGGAAGATCGTTACCTTCTCGATGAAGTTCTGTAGAGACCTGGCATGGACAGAGAAGGTAGAATCTTCAGACTCCTCCTTCAAACCAGCCTCCTCAGCTTCATCAAGCTCGTCAGCCCAGATAGAGACCACCTTCTCCAGCTTGGATCCAACAAGATAGCAGAATGAAGCATCCTTTCGATCGCCTTCCTCGTCAATCCTGTCGCCCAGGGCCTCACAGAGATCCGAGAACTCATTGGGGTCAGAGAAAGTACAGACGATAGCCATGGTCTCTTTCCAGTTCTCCAAATCAGCATTGTAGACAACATCCCAAAGGTTCTTAGTAATGACTGAGCCTAGTAGACGCATGTAGCTGGGCATGCCACTCTTACGCGAGAGATAAGCAGATTGGACCTTCTCAACAAGTTCCTGACCACCGCAATTGGCAATCAAGAATGCATCGGCGAATCGATCTTCCTTGAGACATAGTTCAGTTGCCTTGGTAAAGTTGCCCAGCATGAGGGCAGTGGTGATGCTCTTCTCGATAGTGGTATCGGAATCGCTGAAGAGATGAAAGGGATTATCAGTCTTCGCACCCTTAGTAGCGGCAAGATCGGACAAGAAGTCATCACCATCACCCTCAGTACCTTCAAAGAAGCTGGAGACGCGCTTCTTCTTGTTGTCTTTGGCATCCCCTGCTGAGGCCTTGGTCTCTTCATCCTCATCGTCGTCATCTTCATCGTCGTCATCAGCATCCTCAGTAGTTTCCTCAGCACTGCCGTTCGTGAGGTCGTCCTTGTTGAAGCCAAGGTACTCCACAATCTTGCCACGAGGGTTCTCGCCAACAAGCGTCTTCATCACTTCCCAATCAGCCTTTTCCTCATCAGTTTTGGCGTGTTCGACCCGCTCGGCACATATTTCAGTGATGTTGCCAGCAGCAATGTCTTCTTGGAACTTTTGGGTGGCAGAAGAAATATCGGAATCGATAGAGAAGTTGGTGATCGTGATCTTAGACGAACGCTTTTGTCCAGGTTGAGTAGCGTTTGGCCTAAAAACAATAATCTTACCGCCAAAGCCGAAGGAAGCACCCACAGGCCTCTCGAACCAGTTGGGAGCCTTGGCCAACGACCACGAGGCGTCTTGGGGCTGATCTTGAGCAGCACGGAAGAAATCCTCATCATCGAGGTTCTTCTCAGCCGCAGCCTTGGAGGTGTCAGGGTTGGTGTTCTGAAGGGTCTGCACCGTGATCTTTCCGTCGAAGCTGGCAGTCGCTGAAAGGTTGGGATTGTGAGGGTTGAAACGGGTGAGGAATGTCCAATTGGTAACTTCAGGTAGCTCGCCGTATCGCTCGCCAGTGCTGGGGTTCCACACAATAGTTCGGTTGTCCTTGCCACATGAAAGCAAGAGATCGGCATCCTGCTGGCACCAAGAAAGGGAGAGAATACCAGACTCATGACCCTGTAGTGTCCGCTCAGGAGCATTGGAATTTCGGAGATTCCACAGCATGATAACGGGGTTGGTCTCATCGGGAGTTGCTGTCAAGAGCTTTGTCGAGTTGTTGGGATCCCAGGCAATGGAGCTGACAGCTTTGCGGTTGTTGTTGAGAGTCAGGGAGGCTTTCTTAGTCTTCAAGTCCCAAACGGTGACAAATCCACCGTTCCCACCCGTGGCCAAGATGTGTGAGACTTTCTGGTTCCATGCGAGGCATTCGATATCGTCGGATCGCGCAGCAGCGTTTCCCAGTCGGAAGGGGTTGGCGATATCGTTGACGTCGTAGATGAAGAGCTCTCCTTTCGCGCCAGCAGTGGCAAGAATTTGAGGCTTCAAGGGGTTGAATTCTATCGCCTTAATAGGACCACTGTGTTTTGATGTTTGAGAGATCAGGGCATCTGAGTCCCCAGCAATGAGCTTCTCGGCATCCCAGAGATCCAATGATCCATTCTCGAGAGCGCCGGCAATAATACCCTGGGGGTGGTCTTCGTTGGGGGGACCCCATGCAACATCGTAGAACCTGGAGGGTTGATCAGAACATGGTGTCTTCTATGCGATTCTTGAGTATCTACCTAGCGTCGGTGCTGATGCTAGCGACAGGTTGTAGCTCAAGGCCCTGCTGTTGGTCGTCCAGAGCAAGATCCCAGAGTTCAAGCTTACTCTCGCCAGAGAAATCGACATCAACAGCCCCTGCACGAGTGCCGGTAACTAAGATAGGCTTGCCAGCACCTGGAGACCAGGCAAAGGAGGCCGTTCGGGGAATCTCTCGAAGGCGCACCATGATGGCAATGGCGGGGAGTTATGGGCCAATGCGACGACAGGACCAGCTCAGGATGACGTTGAAATATGATGTGAGGGCTTATAAGGCAAGAAAATTGTCAATTACAGTTGAGCAAAAGCCATGCAGTTCTCAACGTATATCACCTCTGCCCGCAGTAATGCTTCAAAGGAGAACGAAGCAGGGCGAGGTCGGTGGGAGGTGTGTCTTGTAGTGGGAGGTATGATGCCAGATTGCAGGCTGTCCCCCATTAGGTTGCTCCTGAGCTCCCTGTGGCCACGTCCGTGCCCCCTGAGTTGTTTGGAAGGTGGGGCTTGTCATCACGTGAAGACACCTTCGACGAGACCAAATAGTAGGTACCATCAATTCGCATTGTATTGTCAAAGGCCATATGAAAGACTGACAGCAAGTACTGAACCATACTTATAGTATCTACGAGGATCTATCTTTGAGTTGTATTACTGCAAAAATAAGGTTAACTGGTAACCGGTCGTTTGTCCTTGTCGTCCTGATGTTTAAAAGGCGGAGGTTATCTTTAGAGGGGGCAGCGTAATTACTCAAGTCCGCGGGCACAAGACTACCGACTAATTCGATATGCGAAAAGTCCCAGTTGCAAAACTCGATGACTGTGCCTAAGATCTTAATACTTACGGAGTAGATAAATGTAACTTATGTGGGACTTGAGACTTTGCATTATTGATAAGTTATTCAAGGGAAACATAACTTAATGGTTATACGTCGGCAGCGTTGAAATATGAATACAATTAACAATGGCCTACCAGGGAAAACGACAGATACCTACTCGAGGCTTAAGCATTAACATGCAAGTGAGCAATAAGTAAAACATATTGGCGTACCAACTTCCTGCCCAGTGATAGTAGGTAGTTGAGAACTTCCGACTACCTACCTATCAATGTAAGTTGAAGCTCTGACAGCTTCTACAGTCACGTGATATGCACGGAACCTCACAATACCTCAAGCAAGTAAGTGAGTTGTGAGTCCAACGCCAACGACTTCGAAGCTCACTTTACCACCAGTCAATTTCTCACAATCTTTCAAAACACATATTTCAAAGTAAAGATGTCGGACTCAGCTCGATGGAAAGCCACTGTCTACGTGGGTGGTCTGTCTCAAATGGCGACTCAAAGTCATGTTCTGGACGCTTTCATCCCTTTTGGTGAAATTGTCGAGGTCAAGGTGCCAAAACCTGACGCGCCAAATTCTACAGAGTCTCACAGAGGATTTGCGTATGTCGAGTACGAGGATGCTGCGGATGCGAAGGAGGCTATCGACAATATGGATCAGTCGGAATTTTTCGGGAAAGTCCTAAAGGTATCGCAAGCCAAGGCACCCAAGAGTGCAGAGGATGGCCTGGGCAGCAAGACAGCTATCTGGGAGAAGGTATTTCAGAATCTCAAGCTTATCAACAACACCACTGACTTGTATTGTAGGAAGGATGGCTGGCTGAGCAACATGGAACAGAAGATGCGGATGCAGTACAAGATTCTGGTCCTGACCCTATGCAAGGACTGGAACAACTGGACGTTGCAGGGCCAAAGCCTGAATGAGAAGGGAACTTTGATATTTGTTATTAAGGTTATTGCCGGCATAGCGAAGGCGTTTAAGGCATTGGATTCACGGTTACTAGTGGACAAGGTTGCGATATATAACAATCACCGAAATATTCAGGATTTTATGCCGGATGGATTTCCCTACTATTGTGCTGTTCTGAAATGTACAGTACTGCCCTACCCAGGACATGCAACCGATATCAATCCCCAGAGCTCTCCTTATCTTCTTGCATAACTTAGTGACCTTCACTCTCACCCTCACCGTGGCTGTTACCAGCGGCGCGCGCAGCAGCACCCTGTCGGGAGAGACGGAGGTTCTTGTCGACGATGAACTTTCGGGAGATGGAGTAGGCGGCAGCGCCGATAGCGAAGCCAACGACAACGGCTAGATATACAGGTTAGAAGAGAAATGGGCTCAATTGATCATTTGTTGTTTACCAAGAGGGTACAGCTCAGGAGGGATCTGCTTGAGCTTTCGGAGTCGCTGGGAGATAGTGTGGCCTTAAATTCGGTCAGTGTCCAGCCCAGTTCAGACGTGCGCAGCCGCGTTCGAAGTGTCGAGTCGTTTTCATAAAGCGTCGAGAGCTCCCAACATTACGTACCAGCCTGGTCCTCCTTCTGTAACACGAAGCTGGGTCAGCAAATTGATGTCATACTGAGCCGAGGGCTAAAGAGCTCGTTCCCTCTGCCATTGGATTGAAGATACTCACGGGGATGGGTCGCATCATGCGAGGCGTCTGCCTGAACATTCGGAGAGCAGCGGTGGAACGCATTTTGGACGGAGTGGAGAGGGTCGAAGAGAGGTCCAGAGGTGGTGATTCAATTGGAAATTGTCGGCCTTGGAAGGAGTGTTTGGAGTTGGCCGAACGAACATCTGATGTGCAATTGCGAGCAGCGGGACCCACCAATCCTGATGCCTTACGCCATTGGCCCGAAGCAGCCTGAGGCATACACTGAGCTGCCGGGAAATCGAACCACCTGATTCGAGCCGACAACGTCGACGCCTTCAACCTCTCCATCCAAAACGCACCGAGCTCCATACTCGCTGTCATTGACCCCAGAAAACCTCTCCCCTCTAAGCCAATTCCCCCCTCGATTCATTCATAATGTCGGACGACGGTCAGGAGCTTGTCACCAAGCCCTTCAAGTTTGTCACTGGTATGTTCAATGGTCCCTGATAATCCCGCTGCAGCTGGGGGCTCGAAAAAATGACCTGATGAGATCCCAAGGCTAACAATTCCGCGCAGCTGGTAAGCACGATCCCATAACCACCATCAAATTCTCGGCGACGATGGCGAAATCGATAACGCGAAGCCGAGGACGAAAACCAATCGCACTTGCACCGACAGCTACGACACGATCTGACATCTTATAGGCACTGATGCTCGTTTCCCCAACATGAACCAGACCAAGCACTGCTGGCAAAACTACGTCGACTACCACAAGTGCATTATCGCCAAGGGCGAGGACTTTGCGCCCTGCCGCCAGGTACGACTTCTCGGACAACAATTCTACCCGCGACGGCCTGTACTAATCGGTGTCTAGTTCTGGCTGTCTTACCGATCCCTTTGCCCCTCCGGCTGGTACCAGCGTTGGGACGAGCAGCGCGGTAAGTTAAACCCAATCCTGGCAATTGGTCTCAATCTTGGACTAACAGCTTGCGCAGAGGCTGGAAACTTCCCCGTCAAGCTCGACGCTTAAGTCCGACCTGTAGACATGGATTAGTGGATATTGCTAGAAGAGTCAGAGCAGACACACTGCAATTGTATCATTTGTGAAGTTGCTTTCAGAGCTAACCCCAAATATTGACTGTTGTGTTTGACTATATGGCTCTCTCAGTTACGATGACGTCTCTTGAGTCATAGATCATCAAATGAGAATTGTTGGTATCATTTTAACTATGTGAGGCTTGACCTAAAAGCGCTGGCAATCCAAATTCCTAGTAACATTCCAAGAGTCCCATACTCCGTAATCCATTAAACATGTGTCGCAATTGGCCAGGCACGAATCGCAAGGGCCTATCTGAACGCAACAAAGTATTCCTGTATAAGTGGTTGCCTCACTTTTTCTCGTCTTCATCCGCATCTTCTTCATCCGAGCTCATGAATTCATCGTCTTCATCGAACCCAAAGAATATTCTTGCTTTGCCCTTGTCGGCCTTGACTTCGTCAGCAGGGGGCGGCGTTGATTCCTCTGAGGAAGCGTCCTGTTGTTCCTCCGATCCGGATTGGTCATCGCTCGGTTGAGTAGAGCTAGAGCCTTGAGAGGTACCAAGCAGATTATCCTTGTAGTTGCCGGCCTTCATGGCAGCCAAAACCGCCTCCCGAGTCCGCTCACTGCTCTCTTCCTTGTCCTCAACCCATTGGCCGTCGAGGCGACTCTTACTGCCTGACTTGATTTCTGCTTCTTTCTGCTCTGAGAGCTGAACGATCTGCTCCCAACGTTCACGGCGTTTCTCTTTCTCCTTCTTCTCCATTTCGGGTTTGATGGCTAGATATTCGGCTAGAGCCTTAGCCTCGTTCACAGTACGTAGTCTTCGTCCATCCAAATTTCGGCTCGAACCGTGGTCCTCTTGACTCTTCTTCTTGCGCGAGGACATGCGACCACCGGCCGCTCGAAGCTGTGATCCAAAGCCACCTTTACCACCGCATAGGGGCACAGCCAGTCGTAGGGAAAGAAACTCATCATCGGTTGTGGAAAGATAGTCGGAGATAGGAGAGTCTGATGATGTCGGGAGCTGCTTATTTGATAGAGTTGTAAGGATGAGTCTTGACTGAGTTGTTGGTAATCGATCATCGATACGTTCGCGCAACTCTGAGACTGTTGTTGATGGCGGAAGAGGAAGGACCAGAGTTGGTGGCAGTCCAAGACCAGCAAAGCTGGTTACCAGCACGTTCAAGCTTCGTGAAGACATGGTCTGTATCGTGGATATTCTATGAAACACGATGCTGAGTGGGTTGTATGGGTTGAAATGCGAGAGAGCGCTGTCGCAAAGATCCGTCGCCAGGTTTGGTTGTCATGCACATGCAGCCAGTCTGCAAGTAAGTGGCTCTCTCAATTGCCACATCTCACAGCCACACCTCCTCATCACGTGAATCAGCCACATTCGCACATTCCCCACCCCACCCAGTCGCTACTGCCCTATTTCGTGGTCGCCCACATTTCACTGATCAAAATTCCCCCCCGAAACCTCTGCCATCTTCCCAACATCGACCCTTCCGACGAGCAGCAAATACCGCCACGATGTTGATTCCCAAGGCCGACCGCAAGAAGATCCACGAGGTAATAACCAATGCATTCGAGTTGCGCAGCGACGACAGAGGAGAATTGGGAGCTGCATAATTCAATAAGCGCACATAACTAACATTTTCCGTCAGTACCTCTTCCGTGAGGGTGTACTCGTCGCCCAGAAGGACTTCAACCTTCCCAAGCACCCCGATATCGACACCAAGAACCTGTTCGTTATCAAGGCTCTGCAGTCGCTCAACTCTCGCGGCTATGTCAAGACCCAGTTCTCTTGGCAATACTACTACTACACCCTGACCCCCGAGGGTCTCGACTACCTCCGCGAATGGCTTCACCTCCCCGCTGAGATCGTTCCCGCTACCCACATCAAGCAACAACGATCTCACGCTCCTCCCCGTGGTATGCTCGGTGAGGGCGAGCGCGAGCGACGACCTTTCGGCCGTGGCCGCGGCGGTGACCGAGGTGACCGTGAGGGCGGATACCGACGAAGGGATGCTGGCGAGGGCAAGGAGGGTGGTGCTCCCGGCGAGTTCGCTCCTCAGTTGTGAGTTACAGTCTTGCTTGTGGATGTCTCTTGGAACGGATTGCTAACTACGAATTACAGCCGTGGTGGATTTGGCCGTGGCCGTGGCGCTGCTCCCCCCTCTTAAACGAACCCATTTCCTTTAGGTGGTTATGAATGAGTTGCATGGCGAAGGGTATCGGCATGTACTCATAAAAATGGAGGGCAATCTACCATGGGTTGCGAGGGGGACACCGTGGGAGTTTGAGGGTCATAGAACCTCGGAATCATTTGCATCAAGGTCAATGTTTGCCGCCGTCAAAACGAGATAATTGCTCGGGAGATACGTGAAGACGTCAATCTTTTAAGTGATGTGAGACGAGACCTTATGTTTATGCCAAACGCCCACCGAGGCACGTCTGAATGAAGGATACGCGCTGTCACCCCAAACTCCATGTCCGTGTAACCTGATCGTATCCTATGTGGTCCTACCGACTTGTCCCCGGCCTTGGTGCTTCAGTGTGATGTCCGAAGCACCAGCGATGTGTTGTTCTTTAGCCGGGCGGAACATTCAACATCGCACGGGGAGTGTTATACCTAGTAATTGGCATGTCCAATTGAAGATTCATGGTGACGTCAGGTACTCTGTACCACGATGTTAAAAGAGGTTCATACACACCTATGTCAATGCTGATCCATGTTCAACCAGTACTCAAGTGTCCGTATATTATGGCACAGACCAGAACTGTCTAATATACGTCACTGAAGTAGAAGTGTTCTGGGCAATTACCCTGCACTGATGGAGGACTATGACAGCCGAAGCCTTACATAGCGGGAAAGCTTTTAGTCTCAAGAGCATATATATAATATAGCTTGAAACAGATTTGGCCTCTGGACTTATCAATTGATACCTATTTCCTCATTTTGTCCTAATATCGAATGCTGTGCAAGCTGGAGCACCAGCTCCTCCTATTGTTTCACACTACTATATTACATTTGGCTTTCTTCCATCAAAAGCGAGTGTATATTACCAGGCTAGGTACGTATTTTCTAGTTGATAAGATACATCCTAGCTTTACTATATTATTCTTTATTCCAAAAAATGCTTTCTTGACACCTTTAGCCGTATCTCATAGTGTCTATTCAGCAAAACTGTATCTCGACTAAGACTGAGTTCATGCACACAATCACAATCCATATGAACCCGCCAAACTCGTCGATTAATACGCTTGAAACTATTGTAATCAACAATTGTGCCTGGTTGAGATTACTTTTGCACTGATGGTTTATTTCGTAGGAGAAGTCATAGTATCCCTTGTCTTCTACCCACGAGTGGAAATGCCAATACTCAGCCATGGCTTAACAATGGACGGTAACCCTATAAATCATGAAAGAGGTTTGTGTCATCACGATTTCCGAAATCTAAAGCTTTTCACCACATATTCTCCTTTCTCTTTCGTACATCTGTTCTTAATCACAACCCCCAGTAATATTCGACTACTACATCTGTAAGTTACAGCACTGTATGGTTGAAGTTGGATCCAGCAAAGTGCCCCCGAGGCTGTCTTCCAGGTTCTAACGGAGGGTATATCGTCAGCAGTAGGCACAATGACGGACAACACCCAATCATGGGCACAACCCTCCTGTGAATACGGTCTACGCCTCGACGATATGAGTAAGATGGAATGAGAACTAAGATTTCGCCCTATCAACCCTACATGTAAGCATAAGCACTGGAATGGAAAGGAATGCTACGCCTTGGTACGTTGAGTGGTGATTGGTTTTGAAAGTCAGCCCTCACACGAAGGATGGCTACGAAAAGGCACACATGCATGGCAAAAAGAATAGCAGCAGATTTGTGACAGTATCTAAGGCAACGATCTAAGCTGGGCTGCTGGGGGTCGCTTTTGAACCAAGGACCTACATCCCCAATGAAGGTATATGAAGGCGAGTATGGGCGCAATATGAGCTTTTTTTAAAGATGCAGTGCTTACTTACACCTGACAAGCACTTACAGCAGCTGACACTGACACTGACAATGACTGAACTCTCCGGATCCTGAGCCTAGAAGAAAACAGATAAAATTAGGCTTACTTCATTTCGAGAACCCTTTTCACTGTTCTTCCCTATCCTTATCTTCCATCTGGTTAAGTTGCTTGTTTGTGCGTCTTCGAAAGCGAATCCAAAACATTCCAAGCAAGTTACACAGCCAAGAACCAGATCCATCGATACCTACACTTCCCTTCTCTCATCATGATTATCTCCGATTCTCCTTTATTCAAAGAATATGCCCGATCGGTTCTGAGCCCCGAGTCTCGGCCTGCAAGGGCGTTTTATTCACCCTTCGGCATTGTGGATATTGTGGTACAGCATTTAGTAGATTTTGCTAAACTCGAAACCACCCAGTTCAAGATCAGTAACGCTACTGCAGAGTGAGCTCACAAATAACGAGGGAATTGGTCCTCTGGCTGATCCGTGATCTAGCTCCTTCAATCTCGCCGTCGAGGGCCGTGTGGTCGGCACAGGGACCTTCTCCAGTACCATAGAGGCAACGGATGCCAGCCTAGCATTCAACGGTCTTATTTTCGGAAAGATCAGACTACCTCAGATCCGAACGAGTTTCTGGGGAACAAATCTTGCTGTCCAGGAGCAGCGGGTTGATATCACCGACAGTGCTACCTGGCATGCCTTTATTCGAAGCCTCATCGTCGATGATAACACCAGCCTTCAGGTCGAAAGCAAAGAGTGCACAGTGAGAGCACTGGGTACTTCATCGACATGCGACTTGCACCTTGAAATGCCGCTCAAGGCTACGGGGGGGCCACGGGTGTTACTCAAAAAGATTGTTCGTGTGGGCGAGAGGGTTACAGCGGTATTCAGCTTGGAATACTCAGGGCCTGTGGAAATCGACTACGGCCATTGTGCATTTGAGTTCCGAAATGGCCACAATGAGACATTGGCAGAGTTGAAAGGCGACTTGAACCTCGTCCAGGACCAGGCTGTCCTTACTTTGCACGGCACGATGCGAGATGGGGTAACAGTTTCCTCGAATAAGATCAGGTTAGTAGGAGTTGATGTACCAGAGAGGGAGAAGTCGTGGCTCAGCGCGACAGTAAGAGAGATCGACACTGTTTTCAACCTAGAACCGAGATACGCGGAACAGCTGTAGCTTTGATTCTCTTTTTCAACAACCGCGACTCGCTGTGTTCCACACGGATTGGCTGTCTCTGTGCTGAGACATTCATAGCATGGAGTCAGGGTATACTGGAACCATCAGTTGAACACCAACATTGGTAATTACTTACAGTACATTACAAGTAATGACTAAACCATGACTGTTTGCTTGATATCTGGTTAACATAACGGCATATTCCTTTTTTCTATATCGCTTAAAGGATAAGAAGAAAAGTACGAATTAGAAGGTGCCTGAGTTGCAAGCACGCTCAGTTCCGTCCAAAAAGGAGCCGGCTTCGGCCGCTCAACTAACGCTTAAGCGGCCGCTGGCGTCAGCTGTCAAGACGTTTGCGGGGACTCTACATTTCGGCTCGTTTTGACTTCTTGGAACCTGGGCTTATTAGACTTGCAGGTCGGCATTTCCCAGAGATTGTTATGAATGGCATTGTCTAATAAAACCAAAGGATAAATAATTCTCGACTTGTTAGGTAGCTTCGACAATAGCCGTCATACCTACCAGTTAAAGCAATCGATACGAGAAACTAGGAGTGATTCGATCCAGATGCGGCCATTAGCTTCATGATCATTGGACCGAGCTAAAAGTTGAACCCAACCACGGCAATGTTAATAATACGAGATCCTTAAGACGAGAAAATTACAAGGAAAATGTAGCTAAACCATATTTCTATTGCGGTAGAACAAAAGAAAGGAACTGATTCAATACTCTGATCTCTTCTTTCGTGCGGCCCATTCCTTACTGGCCTCCAGTGATTGCACTTCTGCTCGAATGTCCTAAGATCACCCGTATCCGTCGAGGCTTTCACCAACCCCTGCTTCTCGGCGTCTAAATACGATATTCGATTGGAGATTATGGCCCCAAACTTCCGGGTATCGCGGAGACGTGTAAGGAGACGGAGGAAGAAGGAAAGATTTTCGAATGAATTCGTCAAAACAAATTAGGCCAAATTCCGGCTGCCACGCGTTGCGTCGCATGTTGCTAGGTTCACAAACTATGGATCCCAATACATCACTACACCTACGTAAATATTGGATACATATCTAATAATACTGTATACATTACTCTTATGTATAAACCGGGCTTGTTTCACCAACTGCAGCCACGGGCTCTGACTGCACTCATCAGTCATTGTTCCACGGCCTCCGTTTAACACCGGATTTTGTTTCTCTTCTCTTCATCCCCTGAGACCGGGTCGTGAAAGCATGCGTTTGTCTGTCCGAGATCCCTGACCTGAACTGGGCTTGTCTTTTGTCAACTCCAGACTCTACCTGTTTGGAATATACTCCCATTGGATCATCATCACCATCGTCATGCTTTTTTTTGGACAAAATTCTCTGAACTCTGAATCAATCTATTCCTTCGTTTAAAGCCATATATTTACGTGAGCCTCCAGAGCTCTTTCTACAGCAACACTTGTCGACCAAGTATCCCATGATCAGGCGCGAGAACGCCTCCCTTGATCCTTAGTAGCTTCCCTAGAAATGGCTCCCTGGTCGAGCCGTCGTGGGTCTCAACCCAACAACTCTACCAGTGACCTCATCAGCCGAATACACAATACAGCTTTACACACGCCTACGACTCTGCCCGCTCTTTACTCGGCCAATCTGCCGAACCAATCCAACAGCAATCGCATCGATCTTTCCTTCTCCAATGCAAACGCCGAGTCAAGCTCCGACGACGAATTTGACCTGCATCCTTCGAGACCATCCTCCAAGCACCCACATCGTCCTCAGCATACGCGCTCTATGAGCCAGCCTTTCCCTTCTCTTTTCAGCAGCAAGAAAAAGAGGCAGAACTCGGTCGGCGCACCTCCGCCCGATCTGGGCTTCGCCGACGATGATACTGCGATGCATCGACAAGCGCCCAAGACTCATACCCGAAACCCATCCCATACTCGAACTGGTCCTGCGGGAAGCAAGGACTTTGCGACAGGGAGTTGCATGACTTGCGGCTCCTTAGTGCGTTGGCCAAGGGAACTCAAGGTCTTCAAGTGCACCATATGTACGACGGTCAATGATTTGGAGCCTATGAGTGCAGATCATGATGTCTCGAAATCGCGGCGGGATGCAAATCAAGGCTCGTCCCATGCAGGCCCAGCACGAGGTACGCCGGCAAGAGAGGGATCGAGGATAACTACTAACGTAGAGATAGTTCCTCATATCTCGATTGAACAAACGAAGCGACTTGTTCACGAATCGATACGATCCTTCTTGACCAAGAGACTACAGCCGATTCCCAAGCCTCCTACTGAGCCACCACCGCAACCTCCTGTGCAAAACAAGTTATCCTTCACTAATCGGATGCAAGCTGCTGGCCAGAAACCTGCGCCAATAGATTCAAAACAGGAAGCAACGCCTTCTTCCAAGTCTCCTACTATACATGTCTCTCATTATGTGTTTGATGAGGAGCCGACTCTACGATCGAATCCTGTCAGGACAAACTCTGCGCCAATGTCACGGTCATTTTCCTCTTCGCACACGGAAAGACCGCCAATAAGGACAATGCTGCAAAACAACGTTTCAAAAGAACAGCAGAAAACGCCAAATACAACTGAGAACGATCCGAAAAGAATATTCAAGCCTTTGGAGAATTACGTTCTTGCATGTTTTGGTTCTTTCGAATGCATCCACACTGCTTTCCTAACCCACAACCATCGCGTTCCCATTAAAGGTGGGAGTGAATCGACTAGCCGCAAACCCATGCCATCTAACGAGCCTTGGGGAAAGCGATCCCATCGCCGAAACCCTTCAGGAAATCATGTGGTTCGTGAACAGCGAGAGGAGCGAAAGATGCCGTCTCTTGAAGACAGTACATGTGATCTTGACCCCAAATTGCTGCTTCTGGGTGATTTTGCTGAGAACGGGACATGGTGGATGGCAAACGAAGAGGAATCCCGGCCTAGAAGACCGTCAGCACACCGAGTTGAGCGAAGTTTTGCTAATGCGCCAATCATCACAAAGACGCCACAAATGAGCTGGGCCGATCTAATGAAATGGTACGCTATTATCGTAAACCCTGCTGAAGAATGGCTAGCAGTTTATGAAGAGCTTCGTCAAGAACAAAGCTTTTTGACGCCTCCCCAGCGGGATCTGCAGTCGATCGAACGAGATTTGCTTCAGGGACAGGAGCATGCTCGGCGGGTCTTGCTCAAAGCGACAGAAATGTTACTGAAGAGGCCTGGAAGACCTTTGAAAGATCCAGCAGACTTGAGATTTCTTCTAGTAGTCTTAGAAAACCCGCTCCTGCACGAGTACGAAACGTTGTTTCGTGGAGTACTACAACCAGAGCGCAGCTCACCTACTGACATGGTTCCGACACGGCCGAGGAAGACCATTCCCCCCGAATCTGGCCCTCTATCAGGACAGCACTCCGGTATCATCAAACGCATAGTGGGCCTGATATCTAATTCGTCACCTGAGTGTCATAATCAGTTGATCACTTGGTTCGGAAGACATCACCCTTCCCGGTTTGCTAGGACGAAAGACCTTGCATCTGGTTTCCTGACCTATAGGATGATCCGGCAGAGTGGAAAGAAAGAAGAAGTTAAAGTAGACATCACCGCTGGACTAATTCCACAAATGCAAGAAGGTCGTTCAGGGGCCTACCTTTATGATGAGATCCACCGCACGACCTCGTCAAAGAAAGCTAAGGAGCCTGAAAAGAAAATCATGTATGCTGAAGACTGGCAAATCAAGGCTTCTTCGCGAGTTTTGGCACTATTATTCGCTGCCAATAATTTGCCATACAATCGGAGGAGTGAGGACACTGTCCCAAATTCCGCCGAGAATCGAGCCTGTGTTCATTCTTATGGACAGATTCTACCGACGAGTGACTTCTACAACTCAATGATCGATTATACTGACTTGGTCGCGGATTTTGAGAATTGGGAAGCCCGGAGGAATAAGTTTACGTTCTGTCAGTACCCATTCCTTTTGAGCATCTGGGCGAAAAATCATATTCTCGAACACGATGCACGTCGACAGATGCAAAGCAAAGCCCGCGACGCCTTCTTTGATAGTATCATGAGTCGCAAGGCTATCAATCAGTTCCTAGAGCTGAACGTTCGTCGAGATTGTTTAGTTGATGATAGTCTGAAGGCGGTCAGTGAAGTGATCGGAAGTGGAAGCGAAGATATCAAGAAGGGTCTTCGTATCACCTTCAACGGTGAAGAAGGAGTAGATGCTGGTGGTCTTCGAAAAGAATGGTTTTTGCTTCTTGTTAGAGAAGTCTTCAATCCCGAGCACGGTAGGCAAAATAACTTGAGAAAGAAGTGCTTCAGCTAACATTCGATAGGCCTGTTTCTATACGATGAAGACTCACAGTATTGTTACTTCAACCCAAACGCGTTCGAAACTTCGGATCAATTCTTCTTGGTAGGCGTCGTCATGGGACTCGCTATCTATAACTCGACCATTCTAGACGTGGCTCTTCCACCCTTCGCGTTTCGTAAACTTATCGCATCTGCTCCAACGCATGGTACTGGGGCATCAGCCCATCCAAAACCTCCCATGCGCTACAATCTTGAAGACCTTGCTGAGTACCGACCTCGACTGGCTCGGGGACTAAAGCAACTGCTTGAATATGAGGGCAACGTGGAAGAAACATTCTGCCTCGATTTCGTTATTGATATGGATAGATACGGAACTCAGGTTCAGGTTCCTCTTTGTCCTGGAGGCGAGCGCATTCCCGTCACAAACAGCAATCGTCGTGAATACGTGGATCTTTATGTTCGGCACGTAATCGATGTGTCGGTAACAAGACAGTTCGAGCCCTTCAAACGAGGTTTCTATACTGTATGTGGAGGCAATGCTCTTTCTCTCTTCAGGCCAGAAGAAATCGAGCTCCTAGTGCGAGGCTCGGATGAAGAGCTTGATATCAACTCATTGAGAGGTGTGGCCGAGTACGATAACTGGGGCAGCAAGAAGCCAGACGGCACTGAGCCTGTCATCGACTGGTTCTGGGAGAGTTTTCAGGCGGCCTCTTCACAGGACCAGCGCAAACTTCTTCTGTTCATCACTGGCAGCGACCGTATTCCTGCCATGGGTGCTGCTGTGTTGCCAATCAAGATATCCTGCCTTGGTGAGGATGAAGGCAGGTTCCCCATTGCTCGAACATGCTTCAACATGTTGTCTCTCTCACGATACGAGTCCAAGGAGAGGCTAGAAAAGATGTTATGGACTGCCGTTCGTGAGAGCGAGGGCTTTGGCATAAAGTAGGTGTTGCACCTGACGAGATTACGAAACAGACCTTCTTTTTTCCTACATGGAGTTTTAATAGGGAATTCTAAGGGTCAAGGGAGTATCAATCGACACATATGACCTGCAAGGTTCTTATAGCTAGATGCTGTAATTGTTTGACTTACCTCAGGGAGGATTTGTTAGAAGTATGGTTGTTACTTAACACCTCAAAATGTAAATTATACCTTCGATCCGTACCATTGAATGCGTTAGAGCTTGCTGGCGTGCAATATCGGGAACAAAGAATGCCGCCTCCAGGCAGAATTAGTGGTAAGCTTTTGATATTTCCAACTAGTACACTTGCCAGATATGCGGCATCAAGTCATACACATTTATTGTACAGCGTCATTCCTATATTTTCCGTTCCAATGTTGTTTACGAGTCCTCTTCCTCGGCAACACCACCGGCCGCCCGAGCTCGCTTCAACATGTCCTCCTCTCGCTGCTTCTCCTCGCGCAAACTCCTCATACGTGCGCGGTCAACATCGGCCTGCTTCCTCATGGCTTCAATCTCTTGCATTTCCCGAATCTCTTCCTTTGTGGGTTTCAGAGGAACCGCACGAGTCTCAGCAAGGACGTATTCGAGGATGTGGGACGAGTGCTTCTCGGTCATATCGACGGTGATGATCTTCTCGTCGGCGTCTGGTGGTGTGGCCTTGGATAGGCTATCGCGTGATGAGGCGGGCTGAGAACGAGTAGCTGGTGCGGGAGTTGAGGCGTCGGGCTTTCGGAGGTAGATGGTAAGTGTAGGCTTCTTGTTGTTTCGGTTGTGGCGGTTGACGATCATAGGAACCGAGGGGTTGTGGTACTTTAATCGAGGGAGGTTCTCAAGCCAGAACTTCCTATTTTCGGGTATTAGTCTGATGTATAGTTGAGTGCGATATGTGCAACGAACTTAGCACCCATATGGCCATTCTTGAAGCTCTTGGCAAAGTCCATATGTATTCTAGTCACCTCCGGAGGGAGAATTGCTGCACCAGGACCGCATCTTAAGGAGACAAGCTGTTTATAGCGTGAGCAATGGATCGTAACTCGCCGTGTACGGGGATATCTACCTTCTATACAAGTTGTTAGCCATACACTTGAGGCCCAATACTGAGGAATTGACTCACCCTGTGAAGCTTGTTGAAACGCTCACCGAGAGACCTCATCTTGAACTGCCAAACCTTTGATCTGCAAAGGCCCTATACAGACGTCTCTTAAATCGAACCGGTTTAGTGGTCGCAATGCCTCGAAAAGTCGACGCCTCTAGACCCAGAAAATCATAGAGACCCCTGCTAACGCTTCGAAGACTGCGGGCCGAGCATTGACCCGGAGGATGGGTGGTGGGTCTGTCCCTCGCATGCCACTTTGACATGGATGCTAGTAGCAAAAGCTGAGGTTGATTTCCTAGGAAATTTTTGGGACAATCAGTTTGTGTAAGTCCAACTTTTTCCTAGTTGCGACAACTCAAATTCGACCTCACGACCAAGGAAACGCAATGCATCGCGCATTGTCAGCTCGATGGCTCAATCGGGCTCTCAGTATCGGTGAAGCATCTGCTTCACCGAGTGTTCCTCTATTCCTATGTCCAGCTGTTGGAGTGTCAAGCCGATTTTATAGAACACCAAGAGCGGCGCTGTTACAGACTACCATTTATACTCGACGATTTAATCATACCGAAGCGACGACAACTCATGAAGAGCCACCACCACCAACAACGACAACAGAAAAAACTCCTTCCCTTTTCGACCCAGAACTTCCTCGAAGAAAATTACCATTAAATTGTACAGGATGTGGTGCCTTTACACAAACCACCGATCCACAGCTACTAGGTTACTTCGATCCTGAGAGTAAAAGAGTTAAGAAATGGTTGGACCCGAAGGCTTTTGAACATCAACATACGGCGACTGAAGAGGATGGAGTTGTCGACGATGTTCTTAAGACACTGGATCAAAGCCAATTAGAAGCCCTTGGCTTAGATCCCTCCCTCTTAGTGTCCGGGGCTGAGACGGAGGGAAGTGTTGCCCCCAGTATGTATCTCTAGTTTAGCAACTGATGATGCAAGAGCTAACATATCTACAGAAGCGCCTCAGAAAGATAAACAGCCTGTATGCGACCGATGTCACAACCTACAGCACTATTGCACGACAAGCGACACAGCGAAGGTTGCTATGTACCATCCCACCGTGGAGTCACTGCGCGAAACGATCGAGGAGTCGCCACACAAGTACAACCACATATACCATGTTATCGACGCCGCCGATTTCCCGATGTCACTCATTCCTCGACTGAATGTTCTGTTGGGCGACATTCCTATCAGGACTCGCAACCGCCGATCGCGCGGAGGTAAGTTCCAGAAGGATCGCCAGACGGAACTGAGCTTTATTATCACCCGTGGTGACCTGCTTGGTCCTACAAAGGAAATCGTCGATTCGATGATGCCCTACTTGCGCGAAGTGCTTCGAGACGCTCTGGGGCGACTTGGAAACAGAGTCCGACTGGGCAATGTCAGGTGTGTTAGTGCAAAGCGGGCCTGGTGGTGCACAGATGTCAGGGAAGATATCTGGCAACGCGGAGGTGCAGGATGGATGGTTGGAAAGGTCAACGTGGGTAAATCTCAGCTATTTGAAGCTGTCTACCCCAAAGGTAGGATGGGGCCGGCTAAGGATACAGGGCGAGCATCGGTGGCAACATACCCCCGGGATGTCATTAATGCGGAATCAATTGCCGCTCAAGAAATCCAGGAGGATGATATGGATGTTGGAGATTTGCTACCGCCGCCTCAACCAGCTCAGAACTATCCCGATATGCCTCTGGTATCTTCGCTCCCGGGTACAACAGCATCTCCCATTCGAGTTCCTTTTGGAAATGGGAAAGGCGAATTGATCGATCTTCCCGGCTTAGCACGAAGCGATTTGGATCTGTTCGTAAAGGAGGAGTGTCGCCAATCCATGATCATGAAGAAGCGCATCGTGCCTGAGCAGATTTCCATGACGCCTGGCAAATCTCTCATCTTGGGAGGAGGACTTATCCGCATCACGCCTAAGAACCCCAACTTGGTATTTCTTGCATACAACTTCACGCCCCTGGACGAGCATCTCACTCAAACAGAGAAGGCTATTGCTTTCCAGGACCAGACGAGGGAATCTATGGGTGTGCCTAGTATCATGCTCCCTGGTATTGGAGACAAGATGAAACATGCAGGGACGTTCAAGCTATCTCACGATGTCACCAGGAAGAGGGCAGGACCTCTTACAAGAAAGAACGCAGTTGGCTTGAATGTCGACAGGCTACCTTTCAGGGTACTATCGACAGATATCCTTATTGAGGGTGTCGGCTATGTTGAAATTGTCGCTCAAGTTCGCGCTCAGGATATTGCTATGAAGGTGTTTACTCAACAGCAACAATCCGAGTTCGATGAGAGGGCCAGGCAGAAACGAGTTGATACATCTGATCCTTTCGCTGCCATGAAGTCTCAGCGAAGAGATACATCGGCAGCGCCTGTGGTAAAGAAGCGCAAAGAGCCTGAGCCTCCACCACCAGAACCTTCCTGGCCAGCGGTCGAAGTTTTCAGCCCTGAAGGTCGATTCATCGGCACTCGCCAACCTCTACAAGGATGGATTCATAACAAACCTCGAGTATTACCGGAACACAAGAGGAGTAGACCTCGAAGGAGTATGAAGGGCGCGAAAAAGAACGCCAAAGCTGTGAAGAGAGCTGCAGCATGAAGTTAAGTGTCAAGTTGAGGATGTACGATTTAAAACGATATGATGAATGAGTGTAAGATTTAGCACTGGATGATCATGGCACCTGTATATCACATAAAAGTATGAACTGTACTAAGATTTTGTATAATATATAGAAACCTACCTAGATAGCGCTGATGGCTGTGCTTGGATATACAAATGGACAATGACCTATGATGCTGCACCTACCTACTAAGGTAGGTACTAATGCTTTGCCTTATACGAATGCTCAGTAATTAATGGCCATGGATGCCCTGACGATCACCCAAGAATGACGTGGGGCAAACCCAGCCCAACCCCGGATTTTTGTTTGCGCCCCTCCATAATCGCTAAACCCGATGACAATTCATTCGTTTCATTTTGCCATACGATTCCAGGAACAAGCACCCGACAAGATTTCTTATTTTTCCTTCTTACACTATTTACACCCTCGGAGGATAAATAGGATTCACTACACGACTACATCAAGTTCATACAAAAGGCATCATGTCACAACGACAGCAACAACGAAGCGCCCCAGCACCTTCGCAAACACAGACCGAAACCCCAACACCGGAGACAAGAGAACAAGCTCCTCAAATTCTGCGACTTCGGGGCGCGCATACTTCCACCGGGCGATCGGTTCAGTGGGCAGAAGACGTGGTAGACAACGAAGGTCTTGGACGCAAGAGTTCAAAAGGTGCGCATCATGAATTCTCACTCCCAATCTTAATTGAATAAATGCTAACAAAAGCTGCAACCAGTCTGTTGTATCTACCACAAACCCAAAGCGGTCGATGAATCCAGCGACGAGTCCTCTTCTTCAGACTCCGATTCGGACTCTGGCTCTGATCGCGATGGCGCACAACCGGCAGGCGGTAAACGTCAGGGTTGCGGACATGGACATGGGCACAATCATGGACGGGGACGAAGAAGCGGAAAGGGAAAAGAGAAGAGAGCGCCGAGTCCGAATGCCTACGAGAAGGTGCCAAAGCCAAAACCCAAGGATGGACCTTCGGAGACCAAGTCATAGAGTAACAAGGACCGCAAGCTACGCAAGAAAGGGTCCAGAAGTTGAGCATGGGTTTAATGATTATGAGCATAGATTATGAGATGACAGCGATGTATGTAGATGGCTGGTGTTGGCGATATCAGGTTATTCTGATCACGTTCAACCGAATGCGACTACTAAAGCACATAGTGAAACATGAATAATTTGAGAGGGTCCCTGTGCAAGAGGATATCATATACGCTTCCTATCATTTCTGCGTGTTACTTTTCGGCATGTGTATCTCTATTATTCTCCACCTTCAACGTCCTTCTTTCCACTCTCGACCACGAAATATCTTCCAGCTGTCTTGCCTGCTGTACCAAGAGCATCCCACTTCTCCGCATTAGACTCAATCTTTTCTCTAACCCGCCTCGCCCGCTGGTAATGTCCTATACGGACCTCCTTGCCCAGGGCCTCTTGCAGCTCTTCAAGACCAATCGTCACCTCTTGTCGAGCCTCTGGTGTCTCGTCGCGGATCGCCCGCAAGGGTTCAACGCCGGTTGTATCAACACTTTGCACAGCACGAACAAACTGTAGCTGGCTCTCAAGGGTATTTATCATGGCAGTCTCGTCGGCGGGTGTTGTAGGAAGCGGTAGGGCTGAGAGACGGAGGAGGTGGTGTAATTGCTTTGGTGTAATCTTCTCTGCTGGTACTGAGGATTGCGAAGAGGGAAGTAGACTTCGAACGGACCACGTAGGCTTCTCTAGAATCGAGGCGGCCGTTGATGGGCTTGTAGTTATTGAACGAGCTGCCATGGGTTTCGTAGGGTGTGTAGTGATAGTGCGCCGCAGGGCGAAACGGCAAGAAGCGCAAATTGCCATGATGTTGAGTTATGCTGAGTAGTCGGCAGAAGTTTTCTGTGTATATGGTATAGAATATGAATCTCGTACACGGGTGGTGGCCTGTCAATCGAATGCTATAGTAGGTAGGTTTCAACTCATGATAGAATCTTCAAACGTCAAATTCCGTTTCAAGATACCTACCTGTGGTGTCACGATAGCGGTTACGGCGGCCCACTAAATGCCGGTGCTGGGGGGGACTTCGGGCTGTGGCTCAGGCGGCCGTCGTCATAGCTCAGCCGCCGACCACGCCGCAACACCACTCGCCATCTCTACTTACAACTCCAAGTCAACTCTTGATAACTTCCCCCAACGTGTCACTTTGTTCCTTTTGTTTCTGTCTCCACTCTTACTTGATACCCCAGTTTCACCAACTTACACGATCATGGCTCAAGATCCTCGAGCTCTCCTCCAAAAGGTTCGTTCAGTAACCCCTCCCCCGCCTTGGTCTTGGCTTGAGGAGCAGCGCCAGGCGCTATTCGACTCATGCTGACGTTTCGCGGAACTCAGGCTCAGAAGCAGCTTCAGAGCGCTGGTGGCGGCTTCAGCTTCTTTGGTGGACGAGAAGACAAGTATCAAGAGGCCGCCGACCTCTTTATCCAGGCTGGCAATGCCTTCAAGATGCAACAACAGAGTACGCTTTTACCGCTTTGTCGCGCCACTCTGAAACCGAAGCTGACAGTGTCCGACAACAGATCTTGAGGCCGGAAAGGCTTTTGAACAGGCCGCGCAAGTCCAGACCGACAAGCTCAAGGAGCCCGATGATGCCGCCAACACCCTCGTCGATGCCTTCAAGGCCTACCGCAAAGACGATCCCCAGGCTGCTGCGAAATGCCTGAACGTGGCCGTCGACCGATATTGCGCTAAGGGTAACTTCCGACGTGCGGCTTCTCACAAGGAAAACCTCGGCGAGTTGTACGAGGTGGATCTTGGGGATGCTAAGAGCGCGATTGAAAGCTACGAACTTGCTGCCACCTGGTACGAGGGCGATAATGCGGCAGCGTAAGTCTGATTTCCATGAATATGATATTTCGTTAGTTGCTGACAGAGAGCGACAGCCTAGCCAACAAACTGTGGCTCAAGGTCGCCGACGTGGCTGCCATCGAGAGCGACTACTACAAGGCTATCGAGAAATACGAGAAGGTGGCCGAGCAGTCCATCAACAACAACCTTATGAAATACAGCGTCAAGGACTATCTCCTCAAGGCTGGCATTTGCCACCTTGCCAGCGGCGACCTGGTAGCTGCGCAGCGGGCCCTTGAAAAGTACCGTGACATGGATCCTTCGTTTGGCGCTCAGCGAGAGCACCAGCTCCTGACTGACCTGTGCGAGGCCATCGAGGCCAAGAGCCAGGAGCAGTTCACCGATAGACTGTACCAGTTCGACCAGATCAGCAAGTTGGACAAGTGGAAGACAACGATCTTGGTTCGTGTCAAGAACCAGATTGAGGAGGCGGACGATGAGTTTGCGTAGAGGAATGTCGCTGAAGGAAATAAGAAGGGATATTGGTACATAAATGATCACGGGCATTGGCAAAGGAGAGATTGGGATATATCATATTCAACAAACATTCCGGCAAAGTATCTGGGGTTTTGCAGTTGACACTAGTCAAAGAGATGGGCAATCGAGCTGAGGTAGTCGCATGTCTGTTTATGATGGGTTCGAAAGTGGTCAAGGTTAGGCATAGAATCAACACGACTATTATGAAACCATGACAAGTCCTGGTAGTTTGAGGTTGTGTAGCTTAAGTGAAACGGACTTGCTAACTTTCTACAGTTGAAAGATTATTAGGTCTGGTAGTAAAATGGCCTGCTACTAATCGATGGGTGCTTCCAGACGAGAGGGACAAAACTTCAGAAGCTATGGGTCAAAATACTCGTTTCATTGTGTACGGACGCACGAGTCAATAGTAAGAATATTCAATTTGTACCGATACGTGCGTATGTTAAACCTTCTGCTCCTTTACATTTCTTTTCCTCCGTCGCCAAAGCAGCATCACGGGTCACCATAAAGAGAACCTGTCCCATCCTAACCAATAAGTGAAAAGAAAGATGGTCGTTATATGAAATCAGTCAGACATCCTCTCAGGACTGCCACTTGTCAGACTGGGTGGCCTTTGTAGCGCAGGTCTGGGGGACAGTGTATGTGCGGTTAGGGTCCTTCTCCCAGGTGATGGAGCCATCCTTCTTCACGTTGATGTACTTGTACTGAATAGCTTGTCCTGCCGTGAGCGAGATGGTGGCCTTCCATACGGGGTTCGACGAGGTGTAGTCAGAGGCGCTCAGGGCAACGGCCTTGGAAGTGTCCCAGTTGCCGAGAGCAGCGATGTTGCCAACAATCTTGATGGTATCGCCGAAGTTGGTGACAATGGTCTCTTGGAAAGTAACAGCTACAGATGTAGCGATAGCACAGCTTGTGGAGGTGGGCGAGCTTGCTGGCTGAGTGCCTGTAGGGGTTGGGACACCACCCTTGGGCGTCTGCGATGCCGGGAACGAAGTCGCAGTAGCAAGTGAGTATGAGCCAGCGACAGTGTTTGTTCCGCACTGCTGAGGAACAGCAGCTGCACCGCTCGCCCAAGAAGGAGGAAGAATACCAGCACGGCGATCAGCGGCTGAGAGGAAAGCGGCGTATGACCAGGTCAAATCCGTAGCAGAAAGGGGGTGGCCGTCGTTCTTGTCAAACTGCTCTGCAAGGGCGCCGTTTGTGCCCACGTACTTTGCAACGATGCTGACATATCCATCAGCATATTTGGAGACAGCGTCGGTGATGCTCTTGAAGGTGGCAGAGTCGCTGGCGTAGGTTCCGGTAGAGATGCCAGAGACAAGATCCTTGAAGAAGGAAAGGGACACATCGGTGACAGTGATAGATCCCTTCTGCTTCCAGACGTAGATAGCATCGTAGAGCTGCTCTGCCGCGGCGAGGGTGGCGAGATACCAAGGGTTTCCGTTGTAGTAGACGTCCTCGATGTAACGTCCAACAGCGACGGCACTGCCCTGCGAGATACCCTTGTTGATGTTCCACGAGCGGAAAGAGTCGGTAACAGACTTGTGATTGGCAAGGGCCTTGTCACTGCATGGCTGGAAAGTGGCAGCATCGCAGCTAAGAGCAGGGTCGAAGCTGTGGATTGAGGTGAGGATACTGTTTGCGTCCTTTCCGGTACGGCCATCGTTGACGTTGACTAAGAGAGTGTGAGTAAAGCATCTTATACCGCGAGAATATTGGACTGGGTGGTACTTACTGTTGGAGTCGACGTATTTTTCAGAAGGGATCCAGTAAGTTTGCATGAAGCAGAGAACTTGGGGTGCAATGGAAGCATAGTTGTCTCCTGACTTTCCAAGCTTCTTTGCTAGAGCGGCACCTTCGATGAGAGCTAAAGAGGAGATGTTAGTTGGTATCACAGACACTAAATAAGGCAGCTTTGTAAGAACTCACCTCGATATTGGGATGCAGTTGTAAAGAACGAGCTGCCCTTGACCTCTTCCCAGAGATCGAAACCAGTTTGGTTCCTATAACTATTAGACCTTGCTGTAGAAACCTGTGCTCTGATGCTTACCAGTATTGAGCTACATAGTTGAGATCGTTGCGGATAACCGGCCACGCAATATCAGAGGCAGTAGAAGAGTAGCCGTTGTCGATCAGCCAGTTAGCATAGGCGATGATGGCGGTAGCTCGGAGAGCCGGGCCATCTCGCTGGGGTCGACCTTTGCAAGTGTTAGTCTTTGGTTAAGATTAGGGGTTGAAACATGTCGATCAACTCACCCCAGCCGCCAGTGAAAGCGCTAAGATCAACCTCGAACTTAGCTTCTCCTAGACCAGAGCCGTCGGAGAGTGAGCCGGAGGGGTTGGACACGCCCTGAAGCTTAGCTTGAGAGGCAATGTACTGTTGAATTCGCTTCTGCAGGCCAGCGTCGTACTGGTTAATGAACCTGTCTACAACGTACTTGAACACTAGGGCAGCGTCTCTGGTCCAGGTGAAGAAGTCTGTGACCTGTTAATAGATACACCATTTTCGTCCCTATGATTACTTACAGTCGGGGTCTTGGGTGTCTGGAGAAGCAATGACAACACCAGAGGCTACGTTCTTGGCGTTACAGCCCTCAGAGCCGATGTTGCACAAGAGTTGTTCTATGGCAACCGAGCTCTCGGAGTTGATGAAGGAGTCAACAGAAGATTGTCTCTCCAGAACTTGACTTCGTTCATTAAAGGCAGGTCGACCCAGGACGCTCTGGAGAGCGAACGAGCCGAGTAAGAAGGCAGAGGATACAAAGTACATTATGGGATGTATCAGAGAGGCGGTAGAGTTGACTGAGAGTGATGAGGCTGGATCACCAACATCGAGTAGATCCATCATCAAGGTTTTATAGAGAACCGGCATACCGGCTCTTTCAAAAAATTCTCTATAATTGACGTTTTGACTATGTCCAGGGTATAGTTGTCAGATGCCTGATTTGGAAGTCCGGAAGCTGAAGAGATCGTGAACAACGGACGAAGGCCTTTTGGGGGGATAGTGCGGTGTGGTTCAAAGGGCCGAATAATAGAATGAAGCCGAGCTGGCCTCTGTTAGTCTGATGCAATTTCTAGGTAGTGGTGTTGTTCTTTGTACGTAGTTGATATTCGCCTCTGCTTGGTACTTGGTGTAATGTGATATTGGAGCCAAACTCGTCACTTGGTCACCACATGACGACCTCAGTGTCTTTGAGTGATATTGATATCTCAAAATGTCTCACTTGAAGAACTTCTCTACTCTCCGTGGTATACACGACTCACATGGGCACCCAGGTGACTCTGGGCTCTTGTGACGCTTTCTCCAAATTTTACAATGAGATGAGCTCACTAACAAAGCAGTCTCCAACATTTAGAATGTGGGGTAGACAACATCTAACTTACCTACCTGCAATAGGTGGGAGGCCCCATGTCCCTTGTAAAAAGAAAGGTAAGTACTAAGGTATTAGGTAGCAAAGCCCTTCACATGTGAGCCTTAGTATCTCGCTTCGTTCCGTCCCTTCCCCCAGGTTCTCTCCATGATGCTGCGTTTCTTGAAACCCCGGACTTTTATTACATACATAATGAACTACTCCGTAACTGGAAACTATTCCCAATTCTTTATGGTGCAGGCATCGGCAGTGGACGGATGAATATCGCGTGGCTTGTAAAGCGCCGAGTACGGCCCAGCCCAGCCAATACGCAATAGCTATGCAATGCAATATGTACTGTGTATGCACGCAAGTTGCAGGCCCTCGGTTATCGGCTGTTGTGACATGGCATCTGACGTTGGATATAGCTTCTTTTGTAATACTCCGTATGCAGAAATGTGCCTACCCTGTAGTTGCAATATTGGTTCCGAGCCTCGTGACAGTTCAAATGCACCCTGACAACAGGACACTCCGCCAGCGTTATGCGATCTAGTCGCATCTTGGTACCAGCCCCGAAGACGGGCCGTAGATCGTGAAATATTGGGTGTTTCTTTTGTCATAGAGTATCATTTTCCCCAGATTCAGATTCAAGAGCCGAAGCCACCAGAAGAAGACATGACTCCGGGGTATCAAGGACGATCCAGACAGAGTACACGCAGGCAAGAAGACATGAGAAGAAATTCTGACGGTCGAGAAACATGGAAGTCGAGCTACTTCGGATCACACACACGTACGTTGCTCAGCAACCTTGCAAAGGGTCCGCAAAAAAGTTTTACGGCCTCTACAATCACGTCGCATGTGCAACAGGTGGTGGGCAGCTCGACACACACGGCAGTCAGACATCACGCACTGCTGAACAACTAATTATGATATGTAGGTAGGCCATGGTTTTCCCCAACCTCACTAACCAACGGTCTCGGAAAAGGGGGGTGGAATATAGCTTCTCGCTGCAACAGCCCCGACACTCAAGCTGCCTTACGGCAACGAATGAAGCGGCTGGAGCAACTGTTACTCTTGGACCTGTCGATAGGATGATTGACACCATAACAAGTTGATGGCTCCTTATAAGTTATCGAGTTGCAGAGCAATCGACCCTGACTCCGAAGAGCAGGGGATCGCTAGGCACAGATCCGTGTTTGCTTGAAGGAAGGAAAAAGTGAAAATAAGAGGTCGCCTTGAGATTTAAATACATAAAATTTCTCAACGGATCCTGCTTACATAACCCGGCCCAACCGCGGAATTTTTGTCACGTCTATTGGATTGGTCCCACTCCGTCGCGTTGGAAAGTGATCCGTGCTCATCAACCTCAGGCCTATCTTTCTGCCTACCAAAAAGTTACCCTTTCATCATAGTTCCCAGTCGCACAGCATCACATATATCAGCAGCGCACTTCAAACACACAAAATGGACGCCGCAACGATAGAAGAGACGAATCGAATTCGTATCTCCCTGGGCATGAAGCCTCTGCCTGTCCCAGGAGCAGATAATTCCGCCCAAAACCAGTCCATGTACGCTGATGGCGATGCGCCCAGCACTCTCGAGAGCCGTCAGGCCCAGGCCTACGACAACTACAACAAGGTGATGGAGGCGGAGAAAGTCAAGAAGAAGCGTGAAGAAAAAGCAGCAGCCGTTCGAAAGGCACGAGAGCTGGCGCAACGCAATGCACTGCTGGAAGGCAAAGGCTTCGGAGACGCTGATGAGGGTAGCGATCTCAGCGCCAAGGATTGGCTAGTAGGCCAAAAGAAACGACAGAAGAACATCGCCAAGGTCAGAAAGCTGGAAGAGGAGCTGGCCGCCGCCGAGGCCGAAGCAGCAGCTGCAGTCCAGTATACCTCCAAGGATCTTGCAGGCATCAAAGTTGGACACGACACATCGGCTTTCCTCGATGGCGACGACCAGATCCTTACCCTCAAGGACACAACTATCGACGAGAACGAGGAAGAGGGCGACGAGCTGGAGAACCTGAACATGCGCGAGGCCGAGAAACTTGCCGAGAGACTCGATACCAAGAAGAAGAAACCAGGCTACAACCCCCTCGACGATGATGAGGAGGGCGAGCGTGGTATTTTGTCGCATTACGATGAAGAAATTGACGGCAAAAAGTCAAAGAAGTTCACACTCGACACAAGTGGCGTCATCGCAGAACTCTCGGATATCCTGGAGAAGCCAGTGGACAAGACCAAGAATGGCCAGAACGTGAGCTTGGACGATATTATTGGTAAGTCGCACATGTGTAATCAGCGAAATGATTCGAAGCTAACCTCCCAACGTACAGGTGATGCCCCTGTTTCTTCAGATTACATTGACCCTTCACAAATCAAAGTCAAGAAGCCCAAAAAGAAGAAGAATAAGAAGGGCACTAGACAGAAACCCACCGACGACGACGATTTATTTCCCATCGAGACGGAGCCAGCACCCGCCGAAGACACTATGGACATTGATTCAAAAGACACTGCTGTTAAGAAGCGAAAAGCAGTTGATGACACGTTTGTCGACGATGACGACCTTCAAGCAACACTAGCGATACAACGAAAGAATGCCCTGAAGAAGCGGAAGAAGACTCGACCTGCCGATATTGCCAAACTTCTCAGAGAGGAAGAAAATGACCCAGAGCCTGTGGAACCACAAGAGGGAGGCCTCGTTCTTGGCGAAGTATCGGAGTTTGTTGCTGGCTTAAGCAAGCCTGGCGAGGATGAAGAACGTAAGCCCAGAAAACCAAAGAATATCTCGAAATCACCGGAACCTGATGAGGATCACCCTATGGATGGCGATGCCCAGGTTGTTGAAGAGGAGAAGCCCCAATCACCAGTCGTCGGGGAACCGGAAGAGACAGGCGTTGAAGAAGAAAAGGCTGTTGGAGAGGGCATGGGCGCAGCCCTAGCGCTACTAAGAGAACGTGGTCTTGTGGAAAACACACGGGGCGACTCCGAATACAGCAGCTTGCGTAACCGAGAGGATTTCCTCGCCAGTAAACGACTTTTAGAGGAAGAATTGGACGAACAGGCCCGCAACCAGCGTGAGCGCGATCGCATGAGTGGCAAGCTCGACAGGATGTCACAGCGGGAGCGTGAGGAAATGGCACGCCAGCAGAACACTTGGCGTGATCAGCAGCAGTCACGACGAATGGCTGAGCTCTTCTCGGCCGGATACAAGCCAAACGTCGAACTCAAGTACACCGACGACGAGGGCCGTCCCCTCGATACCAAGGAGGCCTTCAAGCATCTCAGTCACCAGTTCCACGGAAAGGGAAGCGGCAAGGGCAAGACAGAGAAGCGCCTCAAGAAGATCGAGGACGAGAAGCGACGCGAAGCCCAGAGCATGTTTGACGCATCCCAGTCTGCCGGTATGAGCCTGGCGGCTCAGCAGCAACTCAAAAAGCGTCGGGAAGCTGGTGTACGACTTGCATAATTCACTATTTTATCACAGGATGTCTTGGTGTTTTTGGGGAAGCTACGAATAGTAATACCGGCAATGGACAATTCATATCAACAAAAAGGTGCTTTTTACCCTTTACTCATGTGCTCAATTTGAGATGTTATTTCCTGCTGACACTGTGAAGCTTTAGATTCAAGGTATTTGTATTTGACTGACTATACCTAGGATTTCCTTTCTTTGCTCGTTCCGGACGAGTTCCATCTTTTGACTTTCCTTGGTTCACTCTAGGTTCGAGATATGCGCCACAAGCTTCAAGTGAAGCATCATGCCTCCTTTTCATATCTCTTCCTCAATCGTAGGAAGCTTACCATTCTCAACGGCCATTTCATCCCAGATGGCTTGCATCTCCGCCATCGCCTCTTCTATCTCTGATTTGAGTGCTTTGACCATTCTCTCCAAAGCCGGGACAGTGCCAGACTGTTCATGGCTTAGGTTCCTGGCTGGTGACAGACTCAGTCCTTTCGGCGTCGGGCTTTCGGGTGCACTGGAGTTGTCGATGCCGACCTTTGTAGGAGTGGAATACATGATTGATTGTGGAAGTGGTAATGCCTAGAATAATCAGTAGATTAACAGTGAGTATGGGACCTACCTCGAAATCGTTCAGATTTCTAGCTGGGCCTACAGGCTGGAGATGGATGTCTGACTGAAGATGATAATATTGAAGCCAATAGGCTGGTTTCTTATACTACTGTCATTATTGCCTTCTCGCTACGGACTACATTGTATAGATCAGGAGTGTCTGACGAACATTCTCATGTTCTTGTGAACGAGCAGTAGTACCTTTGTGTCTGCGTGCTTTGTCTCGTTTATTTGTACATGATTGTACCTCCGAACTAAGAATGATAGATATAGGACTATGATCATTGTTCAGTGCCAAGCCTTGAGAATATTAGGGCTGAGTAGTTCAGCTTAGAAATAATAATAATAATAGAAAGAAAATCAATTTCATGTATCCTAGGGGTTTCTATAGGTAAATGTAGTAATGCGTTGTTCAATTGTTCCACGTTCTTCCAATTCCAAAAAAACAAGAACCTCCAACTCCAAACATTTCTGTATCAGAGTGATTCGCAATCGATCATCTATAGGCTAACCTTCGCACCGATGCCTTTGCCTACGTAATGTATCTTCTCAGTCCAGCTGCCCAGTCTGACAGTAACATTGGCTATGGCATCTAGCTTGAGCGATCCGCCCAAAGCTTCTTTGAGCTTGCCGTAGCCCACGCGGCTGGGAGACCATTCGACAGGGAGGCGTGGGGTCTGTGATCGTCCAGGCGTTGCTGGGAACGGCTCGTCGTGGATGATCTGGCCGATTGGCTCGGTATGGTTGTAAAGAGCCGTGGCGTTAATGTGTTCTATGTATAGAGTGTTGTATAGTAAAGGAGAAAGAAGCGTAAAGGAGGCCGTTGACGAAAAAAGGTGAAAGGTAGCGTCTGCGATAAAGTGCGGCTTTCCGCCTTCTTCTTCGCCAGGGACGTTTATTCGTGGCGTTGGGAGAGTGATGTTGATATTGGACAATGCCTCGCCTATTATAGGAACGTTGGGAATACTCAATTTATGAGTTCGAGCCGTCAAAGTCGTATTCTCCCCAGACACGTAGTCTGATAGCAATTTGCGGCCAATCTCTTGCGCCTTCTTGCCGCCAAATCGTTGAGGATCCCAGGTCGCGTATACGGGAAGGTTGGTGTTCTCGCCCAGATTGAAGCTTACGTTTCTTGATATGGCCTCGCCAAGAAGTTCACCGTCATGAAGAATATGCACGCTGAGGTAAGGAACAGTTGCTGCGTATGGTGTAGGGTTTGTGAGGTTGACGAGGGCCCTCATCTGAATCCCCGTCTCAGTCGTTTCTAATACCTCGATCTCACCAACCTGAGGCTTGAGTTTCCCGAGCGCGTTTCCAGGAAATCCTGGAGATGAGTTAGCATTGGCCCTTGACACGTTCGCGAGGCGTTTTAGTAAAATACTTCAATGTGTAAACGAGGATTATTCATCCTCAGGGGGGTGCAAGAGATTACCACAGCGATGACGGACCGTTTACTGGAATCTTGCCCTCTGCAGGAACCTTCTTCACCGTCAGGATTCCGAGGACGGTCTTGACCTTGACGTCGACTTCGGCTTTAATGTCGAGTGTGATATCACCGCCGCCAAACAATAGCTTTTGCATGACTTCGCTGAAAACGTCGCCATCAGTGATATTCAGGGGGACATCAACCAGTCGCGAGGTGATGTTGAGCAAAGTCTCGTTGTTTTCTTGGACTCGCGTCGAGTTGGCGCTTTGCCAGTGATCTAAGTTCAACACTCCCATCTTACGCTTCTCGTAGAATAGGTCAGCATTGGCGCGAAGCTTGTCGACTCCCAATTCCACATTGAGCTCAGGGGGTAGAGCTGCTAGGACTTGTGCTGTGCCAGATACCCGGGGTGCGCCATCGGGGTCGTCAACGTCTGCGAATGGGTCAGGTAGTTTGAAGTCAACATCCGTAAGGGAGAAGTTGCGGATCAAGCTATCAAATGATCGTCCGGGAAAATCGACTGGCACTGTGATGCTCTCAAGAATATCGGAGATCCACTCTGGAGTGTCGGTATCGTTGAGCTTCTTTCCTCTTACAAACACCTTCGCATCTTCGCCGTGGAGATACCGGTCCATGAAGTTGTCCAAAGGAGATGATTGAGAATGAGGGCATGCTTTCGTCAGGGATTCTGGAATATCACGGATGATGCCCTTGGCGTCAGCTTGAACATCTGCCTTGGCATGGACATCGATAGGGTCCGTAATAGCATCTGCAACACTGATAGAAGGCAGTGACGAGTCACAATTCGGCACCAAAACTTCAAAACCGAGAGTCGGCACTCGGAAGGATACTGGATAATCATTGTGGACCTTCAGGGATACGTCGGCCTCGATAACTTCCCGTCCGTGGCCGTCGACAGGACGATCGTGAAGATTCAGGCGTTCGATATTGTACTCAGGCATGGACGGGATCTCATTAGCTGTGATTGTGTCAGTTACGTTTGGAAGGATAAATTTGCTTTTCTGATTAAAATAGTGTTTTCTTTCCTAAGAATAGGGCGGCAAAGGAACGGTAGAGAGATTGACCTTCAAAGACCATGGATTCTGCCACGTCGTGAGAACCAAGCGGGAAAACTCCTGACTGAAGGTGGATCTTGGATTTACCCACAACCTTCAGTTGCTTCAATTTTCCTTCTAGCCAGTCGTTTGCGATCTTGCGGATATGTTCGGGGTCACCAGGGTTGACCTCTGCCACAAAATCCAGCTCGTTTGTGTGTCCGTTGATAATATCCACTACCAGAGGGGGGATAACAGCAGTGCCAGCAAGAGCATCAGCATAGTCAGGTAGATAGACATTGACAGTCGTTTCCTTAGTCTCAAGTCTTCGCATAATGCCAGTTACTGCTTTTCCGATGCGGCGAGAGTTTTTGTTGTCGACTCGCGATCCATCAAGATAGACATTTGCGCGAATACGCGCCCGGATGCCATCACTGGTAATGTTTTCGATGGACAAGTTGGTAGGTTCAACAACAGCAGCTTTCTCGGCATACTCCTTGACGGCAGGAGGAACAAGGAAACCAATGACTATTATGAGAATAATGATGATGCCGAGAATCACCATGGCAATTATGGAAGGCCATCGCCAGGAAGACTTGGTACCGGTCTTGCTGCCGTCACGTCGTGGCCAGAAACTCCAGCCCTGCGACTGAGGTTGGGCCGAGGTTTCATCGTGCTCCTCGCTCTCATTATGGACATCGTGGCTATGACTAAGAAGAGGCGACGACTCAGTAGGCTCCTCGTCCTCGCGAGTTGGCGAGACGAGGTGCTCGTGTTCGTCGACCGGCATTTTATTGAGCTTTTTGGGTAGATGTGGAAGGCCGTTTGATGGAATTTGGCGCGCGCATATAGCGCAAATGGGTCAGAAGAGGTCGCAACGATATCGGGAGTTATTAGGCTATAGAATTGGTAGTTAAAAGGCGTTGTTGTCGAAGATGACTTGGTGTGAAGTTGATGTAAGAAGAGCAATCAAGGGACTCGTCATCGACGGGTGAAGTCCACCTCCGCAAGGTTTAAGTGTGGTGATGATTGATAAGGATGTTGCGGGCCTTGCTGTGATTGGTCTGCGTCTGCCTACTTAGACCAGGAACCAACACCCGATCCTCCACTGAGACCTGGGGTCTTTAAGCACGACGTCATTTTTCCATTAAACAGTTGCCTTGAAATTTGAATGAGAAAATCCAACATGGAACGCTAGTGCCTCCCAGGACGCTCGATGCAGGTGCCTGAGGATCATACGAGTGCCAGTTAATATTGCTGTGTTAGGTTAATCTAACACTCATGGTATCCTCCGTGCACTAGACACTTCATGCCCACATAAAGAACCTTGAAAGGTGTTACTTGCAAGAGATAAAGCTACTTATATAGTATAGTATTGCACTTGGTTAAGAACTATATTAAACCAACATGAACTACCTAGTATATACAGCTGTTCAGGTATCCTAACCTGCTTCTCGATATGAATCTTGGTGTAAGTTGGCTGAGGGCTCAGTGGACCAACAGGACAATTACCATTAGAAATCCAGCTGCCGGTAACGGAGGGGCTCTTTTGTTCGAGATCCCATGATTACCATTCGGATTTTGAAACAACAATCATCGTCCAAGCATGTCGATTTGTTCTTGACACATCATTGATATCGTTATCTGTATTCGTGAGCAATGTCTGATGCAAAATGCGACTCATATATACCTATATCGGATACTATAATTGAGATAGAGTCAGCCGCCCGAGACCGGCTCATGATAAAAGCGGGGCACGCACCATGAGCTCTTCCCACTTGTCGTTGAGGAAAGACCCTCCAATAGCGACTCCTCCAGCTGTTGGCTTAAGAGGAAAAATTCATTCCCCTTCCATTGATATATCTAACGTACAGACCAATTATAAACCCATTGGCTCGCTCACTTCAAGCTATACAGCTCCCGTCAATCAACTCATCCGGCACACATACACAGCTCATAATGAAAACTTCAGCTTTCCGAATCGCTCAAGGAGCTGCTGCAGGCCTTCAAAGGCGAGCATACTCACAGGCCGCGACCCCGAGGCATCTCATGACTATTGCTGACCTCACTCCTACTGAGTTCGCCAATCTTGTTCGTGATGCCAACACTCGAAAAATGGCTGTTAAGGGTGGTGCTCCTGCAAGCTATCTCAATGCTGGTCTTGCTGGCAAGACCGTTGCTATGATGTTCAGCAAGCGTAGTACTCGTACTCGAGTATCTACTGAAGCTGCTGTCACGATGCTTGGTGGTCATCCTATGTTCCTTGGCAAGGATGATATTCAGCTGGGTGTAAGTACCGAGACAGCAGTTCAACATACGCTAACGTTCGTCAGGTGAACGAGTCCCTTTATGACACTTCCAAGGTTATCTCATCCATGACCTCTTGCATGGTCGCCCGAGTTGGACCTCACTCTGACGTCGCTACTCTTGCTGAGCACTCGAGCGTCCCTGTTATCAATGCTCTATCTGATGATTTCCATCCTCTGCAAACCATCGCCGACTTCCTCACGCTTCACGAGACTTTTCCCTCAACCAGTGCCAAGGGAGCTACCCTAGGCCTCAATGGCCTCAAGGTTGCCTGGGTTGGTGATGCTAACAATGTTCTCTTTGATCTGGCAATCGGTTGTATCAAGATGGGTGTTGACATCTCGGTCGCTGCTCCTAAGGGGTACGAGATCCCTGACGCTATGAGGCAACTCATCACCTCCGCTGCCGATGGTGTTTCTTCTCCCGGCAAGCTGGTCGAGACCAATGTACCGGAGGAGGCGGTGAAGGATGCCAACGTCCTGGTGACAGACACATGGGTTTCCATGGGCCAGGAAGCTGATACCCAGAAGCGAATTAAGGACTTCGCTGGCTTCCAGATCAACAATGATCTTGCTAAGCGAGGAGGTGCTAAGGCGGACTGGAAGTTCATGCACTGTCTTCCTCGACACCCTGAGGAGGTCGCTGACGAGGTCTTTTACAGCCCTCGATCGCTGGTGTTCCCCGAAGCCGAGAACCGCCTATGGGCTGCTCTTTGTAAGTTTCTAACTTCATATCTATCAAAACGTAGGGCTAATATCATCCAGCCGCCCTTGAGGGCTTTGTCGTGAATAAGGGTAACTTCTAAGGTGGAATAGGAAGAAAAGGCGCCATACGGATGTGGTTGTTACACCTGGTCACTAAAAAATAAGAAAAACGGAGCATCGGCGTACGAATAATAAAAAATAGTCATTGGAGTTAAATCAATTAAACCAGATCCTTTCCTGGAAAACGCCATTGGCCTGGGCCACTAATCGAGGTATCTAGTTTAACCGGGAGGAAGCTGGCTGGCGTCAACAACCTCATCCGCCTCCATAGCAAGGGACTCCTGGTTGGTTTCCGACAGAGGAGATCTTGGCAGAGCCATCAGACCTGTGCGAGCAGACTCGAGAATGCCGAAGGGGGCAATGAGCTTGAGGAATGAGTCGATACGGGATTGCTTAGCGGAGCTAGAATGCTATGTCAGTATCTTGCAGGATTATGTGTATAAGATGGGATGGGAAACATACACTTCGACAATGCAACTGTTGGTGCTAATATCCAGAACCTTACCACCGAACTGGTGGGCAAAGTAGGTGATGGACTTCAGATGCTCATGCTTGTGTCGGAGAGCCTGGCTAATAGCCAGCTTACTAGGGTGGAAATCCTTGGCGGTATCGGAGAGGCTGCGCTCGATGGCCTCATGGGCGTAGTCGACCTCAACCTCACCAGCAGCAATTTCTCGGTGGTGGTGGAGGAGCTCCTCGAAGTACTCGGGGCCAAGAATGTTGATCTTGGCAAGAAGAAGCTCACGCTGAACGAGAGCAGCGTTGGTGTAGTCGAGAACGGCCCAAACAGGGACCAGATCCTCGAGCTGTCGGCGAGCTTGCTCAACAACACCGTCCTGGCCAGTGAGGACAATGGTCATACGGGAGAGATCGTCGACCTCAGTGTTACACACGACAAGAGAGTCAATGTTGAAACCACGCGCAGCCAGAATACCCGAGACTCGGGACAAGACACCGGGCTCGTTCTGGACAAGACAGTTAAGAATGTGGCGCTTGGGGGGAGCTGTAGATGGGACCGGAGTCTCATAGAGAATGTTGGAGACGGCAGACTGGGCGGACCAGGCAGGAGGGCTGTCGCTCACGGGGAGAGGAGCAGAGCGACGGCGGAGGGCCTTGTAGGCGATGGCAGAGGTTGAGGAGGAGCTATATCGCACGGCGGCAACGCCCCTCGCGGAGGCAGCCCAGCGCAAGGACGCAGTCAAAGGCCGGAGAGATGCCATCTTGCAGAGACCGGAGAATAGTAATGGTTCTCTGGCCAAACAAGAAGCTTCTCGTCTCTATAGAAATAGCAGTTGATTGGGAGCGGAATATGGGATGAAGGTGACTCAATGTCAGGAAGAGAAGGGTAGCTCGAGGGGAGTGCCGAAAAAATGATTAGGCCGCCGATAGGCCGGTGACCGGAGGCAACGAGGACGGGGGGGCAGGTGTTTGCGGGGGGCACGGATGAGCTCGGCAGGGGTCCGCTGTAATAAGCGTAAGCTTGCTGATATACCTACTTATCTTACAATAGCATTGAAGCTTGCACTGTGAGATAGCAATTACTGTTTAGGTACTTCTAAGTCAATCTAGTGATATATATGCATCTAGCCGTACTTGCCAGAAACTAAATTGATATTTGCATATCATAACTTTTCTGTTTTGCAATGCTGCAGACGAACCTGGTGCTTCACGGTTCGAAATCCCCCAGATTGATGAACCCATGCAAGGCTAAGTCACACTAACCGATTGTCCAATGGGCCCTCGTCTGTTTTAATCACTTACAAACAATATCAGAAGTCATAAGATAGCAGGAAGCAAAGCCCAAGTATATTATTATCGGTGCAATACGAATCACCTTATCCAACTACATTATCATATTTATATACACTGAGAGTATCTTCTTTATCCATTGTTCGTGCCTGGCGTCCAAGCTTTCCCCCCATACTCAATCGCCGGTCTCGGGTAGCTCAATCAGCCACATCAACTGTGGCGGAAGGCTGCCAGGTAGGACGTGCGCGTGGTCTGAGGCTTGCCAATGGACCCCCTGCCAACCTTTGTTTCTTTCACTGAACAATATTAACTCCACTCCAGCAAAGGCGCATTTTGTCTGCTATTTTTTACACGGATTATCTCCTGGAGCCACACACCAGCATAGATCAGCAGCGCTACAATTTACTACGACAAACGAATTCCTTCGTGTCGTATTCTCAAGCGACTCCCGACATCACGATCGTTCCGCGCACTTCGCCCGGCATGGATGATACCGAACGCCGAACGGTGAAGCGCTCGCGCTTCGATCAGACCGAGCCGGAACCCAGAAAGGCGTCACGATTCGACCGTCGTTCTCGATCTCCTCCGTCGCGTCGCTCCGAATCGGGTCGAGACCGTAGCCCTATTGCGAAAGATGAAACTCCTGAGATGAAAAAGTCTCCAACCGATGCTGCCGCTGCCGCTGGTATGTCTTCATGTTCCTGGCTCTATTTTGACACTGGAAGCAGGCTTCTCTCCAATGGAAAACCACTGACATGATTTACAGCTGCTGCCGCGGCCAGAATCAATGCGCAGCTCCAAGCTCGCAAAGGAATCCAACACGTCGACGTGCCTCCGATCAGGTCTGCCGACACTGAATCACCACCACCGCGACCATCTTCGACCCCCCAGAGCGCAAACAAGATAGCGCCCGCGATTGATGGAGAGATGTACGTTGCGGATGGTGATTACATCCAGGATATCGAGGTCAATGATCTGAGGAATCGTTACCTCCTCACTAAAGGGTCGACACAGAAAATGGTAAATACTCTTGATTCAAAGTCCACTGATCTTCCCAGAAGCGCTCTCTCGGATTACCTTGTTGCTTGAGTCGAGGATATCATGCTTACATAGCTTGATAGCTCGTTTCAACACCCCATACGCTGCTCCTGCTGACTCCCGCTTGATTAGATTAAAGACGATACCGGCGCTGGTACGCAATTCCTTTATGCTTTCTTAGTAGGATGTATTATTGACTTAGCAAGATGTCACCACTCGGGGCAATTACTATCCTAACAAGAGCATGGCAACGGCCGCTGTAAGAGAACCCCCTCGTTCTGTTTAATTCGTTTCCTAACCGTCTGTAGAGTCCACCTCTCTATCTTCATATCACGAGCACGAGCAAGGCTGGTTTAGAATCTGCTGTCGCCAAGATCAACGAGCTTATCCAGCAGGAACTTCCCCAGCTTGTTGACGAAAGACGCTTCCGCCGCCGAGACCAGGAACAGGTCGAACGTGACGAGTTTGGACGAGTAAGGGTTTTGAGGTGAACGGGCTGAACGAGTTACGCTGACATTCTATGTGTAGCGCAAATGGCCCGAGGAGAAGATTCCGATCAGTTTGGAGCCTGTCCATGGTTTCAACCTGCGTGCTCAGGTCGTTGGACACGGCGGTGCTTATGTAAAGCACATCCAGCAGGAAACAGGCTGTCGTGTGCAGATCAAGGGCCGGGGATCTGGATATCTTGAGGCAGCCACAAACCACGAGAGCGATGAGGATATGTTCCTCCACGTCACGCAAGTATTATATATATTGTGCAAGAGCCATCACTAATATTTGAACAGTGGACCTGATGCCAACATGGTCGAAAAGGCAAGGGAGCTTTGTGAGGACCTGATCGCCAATGTCAAGGAACAATATGAGGAGTTCAAGAGCCGTCCACCTCGCTACGGCGGTGACCGCTATGGAGGTGACCGACACGGAGGTGACCGACACGGAGGTGACCGATACAATGGTGGTGGCGACCGCAACCATTCTCACGGCGGCTCCCATGGCGGATCTCATGGTGGCTACGGCGGCTACGGAGCTAACTCTGGTGGTGCTTCTAATAGCCCAGCACCTGCTGCCGTGAACAGCCCTACTAACGCTGCTGATTATGCTGCGCAGTACGCCCAGTACTATGGCAGTGCAGATCCTTATGCAGCCTACGGTGGTTATGCTAAGTGAGTCACTCTGATCCTTCCGCTACCCTTTCAGCTGATAACCAATGTCCACAGCTATGTCGCTATGTATCAGCAATACTACGGTGTCCAGGCACAGGCGCAAGCGCCAGGTGCACCGGGTGCCCCTGGCCAGTCAGCTTCACCACCTCCGCCCCCGAGTGAAGCGGCTCCCCCTCCCCCTCCGCCGCCCAGCTCGGCGCCCCCACCTCCTCCACCCTCCGGATCCCCCCCTGGAACTTCGGGAGGCTATGGCTCGGTATGTGATACAGATACTGAGAGTATTAACTCGCTCTCTATACTATCTTTTATCTCCATCTCCCCCTTGGTACATGCTAACCTTCTGCAGGTTCCTCCTCCGCCGGGACTTTAGGCTGTAGTCCTCAACGTGTGCAGTTGATTATAGCAGCAGCCGGATGCCTAAGAGAAAGGCTTTTTACTAGAGTTGGAATTTATTGGCTCTGTACGTGAACGCTCCAGTTTGCATTGTGGAAAGAAGGGTGTTGATTCAGGCCTCGCATACGATTTCGAACTGTTTAGGAGGAACCTATGCGGCCCATCTTCGTATGGAACCGATTAAGAAATAGCAGTTCTGCTTTCCAGTAGGTCGCAAAATTTGGTTTTTTTAGTAATGACTATATTGCAGGTCGAAGTACACTCGCTGTGAAGAAGGTGATGTTATTTATGGTACACTTGCTATCTGACACGACTTAGGACAGAAAATCTTCGTGATTCTCGCTTGTAATATCTGTAGATACTAACCCGAAGGGCAGATCATATATCTGACCTTGGGATATTTGATAAGATGTTATTCCGAAGTCGCATATAGTTCGGCATGATACTACACCTGGTACCTTTGCCGCGAATGAGGGGCCGGGATCTTATCGATAAGCAACACACGACAGGGCCTTTGTCGCATCGCATGGTTCACTCTCTATCTACCTACCTTAGCTTGGAACATCATATATAATACACTTGTCGTATAACACACCTTGCATATACACAGAATATCTCTTTTCCATATATTGTAACAGGTACTTCGAGAGTAAATTATGGCAAGATGAGCCATCAGAGATACCCCTCCCACGATCCCATCAAGGAACCCCATTCTATCTCTCTCAAGGTTCTCCGGTAAGCTATGCAAGGTGTACAGCTTGTAAAGTTAATTCTCGCTAACGTGTAATCGATTGCAAGATTGTCCCGACCGTCTCTTGTCACGCAACACCCCATCGATCCTCCTTTATCAGCCGGCGCATCTATTAAACCAGCTCCGATCCCGGCATCGCTCACTTACCACTCGCAAACGGCCTCGAATCCATCTCCTTTCCTCCTCAGCCCGATTGTCAATCTTCCCGTGTCGTTCGGATCCGCCTATGTTGGCGAGACATTCAGTTGCACTCTATGCGCGAACAACGACTTACCACTCGACGCTGGAAAGAACATCCGCGATGTTCGCATAGAAGCGGAGATGAAGACTCCCGGAATGGGTGCCGTGCAGCGCCTCGAGCTCGGCCCGCCTAACGGCCAGCCTGAGGCCGATCTCGAACCGGGTAGTACGTTGCAGAAGATGGTATCGTTTGATCTTAAGGAAGAGGGCAACCACGTGCTTGCGGTGACAGTAAGCTACTACGAAGCGACGGAGACGAGCGGACGCACAAGAACGTTCCGCAAGCTGTACCAATTCATCTGCAAGGCATCTCTCATCGTACGCACAAAGGTCGGTTCGCTAGGATCTGACGATACCCAGGGGAACGGAAGATGGGTTCTGGAAGCGCAGTTGGAGAACTGTAGCGAGGACGTAGTGCAGCTGGAGAAGGTGGTGCTGGACACCGAGTCTGGGCTGCGGTATCGTGACTGCAATTGGGAAACGAGCGGGAGCGCAAAGCCGGTGCTTCACCCAGGCGAGGTGGAACAGGTCTGCTTTGTCGTCATGGAGGACGGCGCCAACGGGGTCGAGGTGACACCGGACGGAAGGATCATCTTTGGGTCACTTGGCATTGGGTGGAGGGGAGAGATGGGAAACCGAGGATACCTGGCTACCGGGAAGCTAGGCACGAGACGAGCGGCACGATGAAGATTTTTTGCTATGCGACGAATGAACGATACCCACGAGCATTGGTACAGACACGGATGTCAATGGTATATGCAGCACAATGGACCCATAACATGACAGCCGATATGCTGCCACATAAGCTTGCTGGTCTGTCAGATGGAAACTCAAAGTACACGTTCATCGAAGCCCTGAGGTTTGGGTAACGTGCACATCGAGAAATAAGTGTGGATAGTCCGACAACAGCCTATCAAAGTCAAAGCATCGGCAAAGCGTTTCTGATAGCCTGAACTCGCTTGAGGAATGTCTCAAACTATATATCTGATCTTCAACGTGGGTTAAAGATTAAGCAAGATAAGGGCTGAGACTTATGAGTCGTGCGGACACAAGTTTAATACCAAGACATGAGGCCCCTCGTTGTGATTTTAAATGATGTCTCTGGCTTTGGTGATTCAAGACAATGTCTCTCATGAGTTTGATCTACTTGATCTAGTTGAACGAACGCAGATATTTAGGACTCCAAGGGGGTATCGCAGCTGGGTTCATCCTCGTCAACTGATCCAATTTTTATGAGTAATATATCTGGCTGAGACGAAACTGTGACACTTGGTGAAGGAGCCTGGGAACGCTAGGAGTAATATCATATCGGGTTTTGCTTACGACATGGAAGTTCTCGGAGTTGATGGCGTGATGCTATTTGACTCTACGTGGGTTCACGAACGATAGAGTGTCTCTCAGACAGCTGGGTTTGATTAAGATCCGCATATTATAGCCTGTCAACGACAAGTAGAAATACTCAGGAGATCTTAGTAGTTGTTTTATATACAAATAGACCTCGGCGAGTATAGCATTAACATGGGAATTATATCATTAAGATGTTATTAAGAAATAATATTCTTAAACTTCATGATTTGCCCCAACTACTAGTCGAACGACACAACAAGCAGTAGTAACAGTTTTATTAATACCCTTCCTAAACCAATTTGGTTTCCATTTCACGATATTCTGTTCGCAAGCAAAGAACGAACCCCTGACGACTCGCTAGCGCAAGGAGACGGCTCTTGGTTGGTAGTAGGCCAGGGCGTGGCGATCAACCAGGATAAGGGGAACCCAAACGGAATAATGTGTCGCAGGGCACTAAGATCTCTGATAGCCGTATTGCCGTACTGTAGGGGGTAGTGATAATACAGCGATAAGTATAGTTAGGCCAGGTTCATGTACTTATAAACACACGGTCCAACGTGGAGGGCAACCTGAAACAAACGACGCCGTCGAGGTGTAAGTGCTGTGGATAGGGACGGCAATGCGCTTAGCTCTTTGCCCCAAACTTGCCGATTCGCGAGTAGACGTACAGTACGGAGTACAAACCAACATCTAAAAGATGAAGAAGATGCTTTCAAGGAGAAAGGATCATGAGCATTGTTCCAACTTGTATGAACAGTAAACACAACTCGTTGCTGTTGTTGTTGTTGCTTCCGGAGCAGAACTGTCAAGGCAAAGCTGAAATGTAATGATTTGGGATATCAAGCCACTTGGTTGATCAGATATGACTGTATTGGACAAGTTGAGTTGTCATGTATGATGAGATCAAGGCTGAATACTAGACCGGGTTCACAAGAATGCTGAAAGTTCAAACATTTCGAAGCAGCCTTTTGAACGGGCTTAATGACAATCGTCAGTCATGCTTCTGTCAAACCAACAAATTCCAACTTTAGCACCACCGCAGCATCGCACACAAGACCAGACAGAAATCCCTGAGCGACTAGAAGAAGGATTCGTTCCGCTTTGTTCTGGTTCTGGTCAAGAAAGGCTCTTAAAGGTTGAGTCTCCTCAAGTCCACGTTTGTCTGTTCCCTTCAATTTTGTTTCTCCTTTGACAGAGACCGAACTTCAAGTGTTTATATAAACAAAACGTCGAGTGGATGCTGCGGAGAGGGGACTGTGGATAACGTGTCTGCTTCGTGTGTCTTAACCTGAGTTGATTAGTCCGAATCCTACTCGCGTGCCATGTCTTGGATGTCGTCAGTTTCTCTAGTGCTCTGTACCTGCATCAGAGGCTGGCTCGTGCTTTCGTACTCTCGTGAGGCCCGTCAGGGGAACACCTTTATTTAGGTACGGTCTAGACGTGAAAAGAAAGGTCTTGGAATAATTAGATCCGTAGGGTACCTAAATAAAACTTGATCAGCCTAGAGACTGCTTTTCCAGGAACAAAGATGCAATTACGGGGGACTTGGCAGAGAACAACATCCATATCCATTTCTTTCCTTCCCCCCTGGGGAGGTAGGGAGGATTCAGCTTGGGCCTCAGACCAGCCAACACGATGCCCGATCTGGCGACGCCTTAAATGTCAATGGCTGGATCCAGTTTTCATATTTCGTTAGCGACTGGCTTTCTGGGACGACTTTTCTTCGCTCCTTTCTAAAAGAAGAAAAGATGTAAAGACGAGGAACTCGGAGCGAATTTGAGATGATGATATGTATCAGCAAATACCGCGAATAAGGTAGGATATAATATTATACAATAGACTCCACAAGTAAGGTATTGGTGATGGTTCAGTACGAAATCGAGTAACTTGACCAATCACAACCACGTTTCAAACACCGGCGTCAAGTTCTGTAAATGGCAAGAGCTATCCATTTCCATCATGGCGATCTACAGGGTTTTGGCAATTTTAGGATTCGAGACTGGCTAGTATCCGCGTCTCACCTGCCGCCCTCGTACAACGCCAGCGGCGATCTGAAAGAACGACGCCGAGTCTTGGGAAGTGACGAATGATGTATGTACCTGTACAAGCCCACTTCTAGGCTTGGAGAATTGAGTATCGACTAACCCCCAGTAACAGGTAGGTAACAACTAACACCCAACGTTAACATCCACACAACATTGGGTTATAATCAAGATGGATGGATAGACCCTACGTCAGTTCTCTTCCCTTGCATTGTGGAAGAAAAAAGCAATACAAACAAACCCACGACTCCATCATAAAAGCAATGCCTACCTAAACAACACACACCCAGTTGGAAAAGTTTAATAAACATCACAGATAATGCTCAACTAAACACCGAATGAACAAAAAACAACAACAAAGGAAAAAAGAAGAAAAAAAAGCAGGCTCTCATTATGCCAAGACAATACTGCATCTTCCAACAAGTTAGCATGACTGAGCCCTAGCAGGTTCTGCCAAATCAAAGTCTGCACCTGCTGGTGTTGTTGTTGTTGTTGTTGGAGTGTCTGCAATGCCCCTCTCTGTTGCTGATTATCTGCACAAAAACGGTGAGGGCGGGACAATCATCCACGAAGAAGACACGCTACAATATAATATGTAGGTACAGAATAATACGCTAAATTGTCTCCAATCGGGGGTTTCCTTCGACTGCTCACACATCAGCCTAACGGTTTCGCGTCCTTCTTCCCGTCAAGTACAATCAACATATCCTGAGGGTTTCAAACAACGGACACAAAGCAATATATCCCACACCCGCACCAGCCGTTGAGCAAGCCGTGATTTCGAACGGGGCGATATTAATGGGAGATCTCATCGGGGGCCTGACACAGACCAAGGCTAATATTAAGACCAAGTCCCTCCCTGGTTGTGTTCCTGTTTTCTGTATGACCATAGACATTGTCTCACTCCCCTCGCCGGACCACACAGCACAGCACATTACGCTGCTCAACACACAGTTTGGTTGATATCAGGCACAAAGGAGGACATGGCAGGGAACAAGCCAACTCATCAGTCCAGGAGTGATGAGTGCCGTCTCCTCCATGTGGCAACCGCATCAAGCATGCGTGTTTCCGTGTGAAGGATGGTGATGCAGACGGATACAGCATACCGCATACACACACGCATACGCATACGCAGGCACACCCAACCCACCGATGCTGGTTTGACGCCTCTATCGTCTGCAGTGTTGCACTCGCAGCGTGGCTGCCCAGCCGCCCCATCGGAACCGTTACCTTGGTGAACGATCCTCACTTCTGGATTCTTGGCCTGGTTTTGTTCGCATCTCTGGTCGTGTGGTTTATAATAAGTCCATGGCCCAGTATTGCTACTCCAACCAACAACTTCGTGAGCTTGCTGGAGAATATTGACTCGCTCAGCTAATGTGGCACCTCGATCCTTAGACACGGCGACTAACTAAGTGGCTGAGTGGGTATGCTATGAGGGACGGGAGGACACCCATGCTGCCATGAAGTTTGGCTCCTGGAGGTCTGACTGGGATAAGACTTGACGCTAGAGATTGGTAGGCTCGCCTGTAGCGCACTATCCGTACATGCGCAATTATTGTACCCACCACGAACAGACATGAACAGACGGACAAAATAATAGAACGGGCGGAGGGGTGAAGTGCTCACCATCTTTCATATTCGAATGATCCACGACTGACCCTGGTTTGGTAATGGAAGGACTATTAGCAAGAAATCTTACCTCCATCGTGGCCTGTGGGGTGTCCGCTGGCGCCGAGGTTTTCGTTCATTGTTATCCTGAAACCCCTGAAGTTGGCTAATAATGGTACCTGAGGGAGAAACTCGACTTGACTGCATCTGTCTACGTTTGATGGTTGGATCTGTCGAATGGTAGAGCTTGGAAAAGCGACGGCTTGCGCCTCAAGATCGACGGCTTGCTTGTTTGCGGAATCGATTCACATCTACGGGGTATGACCCATCACCAAAACACAAAAAGGTCAGTTCAGCCAGCCGTCAGGTACCGTGCAGTAAATGCACAAGTGCATGTACAATTGTGTTATTAAGAGTATCTATAGTCAAGATCGATCGATTGATTACTTGGGCCTGTTGACAACATCTCATCTCTGTTGCTAAATCTGTTGCAGATGGTACAATGCATGTAACAATCCCTGTCGGCCTAAGCCCAACTTCAGACAAATATCTTGAGTGTAGAGTGGACTTCAAGTTTAGTGTATCAGAGACGGAAGCCAGCGGTGAGTGTGGTAACTGAATGATTGATTCTTGTGAGAGCCCAGATGATGGAAGGATAGTAATGTACGGATAGACCTTAGTAGTGATGATTACCCGATCACTTCAGTGGATGAATACCTAGTTTACCTAGGTAGCCAGGGCCTGGCGCAATTCTCAGTGGTCCCCTAAAAACGGTCCCCTACCGTCCGGGCACTGCAACCCCACGGATTTAGGCGTGTGTTCGGTGTGGCAGCCCCTGGACCGTCAGTCACCCGAAGGAAGCTGAAGCTCGTCCTTCTCCAACTTTTTGAGAGGGCCAGAGACCACACAGAGACACAGACACAGATTAAATCTGGACCTGGGTGAGCCTGGACCCTACGGATACAATCACTCATTCATTACTCACTAAAACGACAGGAACCTCCAGGTACGGGGCACAGCTCGTATGGTATCCGTACCCTGGGGCTGCATTGCATCGACGCCCCCAGTCTGCTCTATTTAGTAGGTATATTGATTGTCATGGCTCATGGCAGCTTTTCATAAGGTAGTCATACAAACACCCACCCGCAAGTACCTATACCTGTACCTGGGCATGTACACCGGACGTTCTTCATCAGGCAACTTCCACTATTAGTTACCTTTTACTTTTACCTGGAAAGGTTGCGAGCACAACGCAGATCGACACTGAATCCTCGTTCTTTCTCCTGGATCCTGGGTCATCCTGCTACGTACCTTACTTTCTGTGCTCTTCTACTATCGCAGTCGCTTCCTTTTCTTTTCTTTTCTTTTCTTCTTTTTCTCCCCTCTTCTTGATCATTTGGTTCAGGTGGCTTCCTGGAGTTCTTGCATCTCTCCTCTCCTCCCATCTATTGGGCTTCAGTTGACCGTTGGCCCCGTTCATCCACCTTTAACCTAACTGTTGGCTCCCGTCAACGACTGGCGCTGGGCGACTGGCTCATCGCATCCCCTTTATTAACCCCATTTCGAGTTTCTTTTTTTTTTTGCCCACACTCGACCTCGAAAAGAGACAAAACTTCTTTGGCCGTAAGTCGTCCGCAGTTGAACCTGCTGTTATCGCGGTCTTCGTACTCGCCTGATAAAGGGCCCTGGTACTATCGTTCATGACCTAACTGCAACCCCAGCAACCCGACCTGGTTTTGTCGATCGCCCACGTCTTCAGGCCACAATCAAAGCGAAGCGACGCGAGCAGAACAGACCAGCTCGGCAACTGTTTCGATTGCTCTCACTCACGCTCCTTGGCTTGCTCCAATTTCGCCCTTCTGTGGCATACACATCACGATTGACATGTCATGGAGAACTCATCGACCCCTCTCGCCGAATATTTCTGGATCGCCGGCGTAGAGTCGGTGTCCTACCACGATCCCAACTCCCAGCCTGCACCCGCCTCTATTCCTGTCGAGTCCACGATTGTCGAGGACGGCGAATCTGACGACGAATACACAAATGGCGACCAAGCAAAGACAAAGGCGCGGCACTCACGCCAGGGCTCAGCCAGCCGCACGTCTAGGATATCTCTCACCGACCGCTTCTCTATACAGGCTCTTGACGAAACAGATGGCAACACCAAGAGCAACCGCAGTAGCGCCACTATTCGTGCTGTGAACCCTCCCAACTTTGGCAACACCAATGGAACTGGCAACATCAACACCAATGGCACAGGCCAAAGCCCTGGCCCCAGCAGTATTCTTGGCGAGGGCTCCATGTTTATGGATAACTTTGATTTCGACAAAGCTTTGGTCAAGTTCGCAGCTGAGCGAGAGGTCTTTCTTGAGGACCTGAGCTTCAGTGCGGGCGCCAAAGTACAAGCCAGGGTACCAATGGTGAACCCTCGGGCAGAGAGGATCAAGGCAGAGGAAAGCGACAGCGGCAGACTGAGTCCTCTCAGGAGCATTAAGGGTAGCATCCGCCGCAAGATGAGCTTTAGGGATATGAACAGCGTGCGCAAGCAACCCAGCAACAGGATCAGTACGAGCCGCGCACGTCAGTACTCTCTTACTTCGGAGCTTGGCTCTGTCATATGACAAAGACGGTACAGACATTTGCTAACCCCCGCTTGCAGCCTCAATCCGAACTACCAGACGACTTAGCAACTATAACTCCGTAATACCACCTCCCGAACCTCTCAACACCGATCCCGACATGCACCCCCTCAAACGACGATTCGAACCGGTTCTCCTTGATCGATATCCTCCTCAGGAGGCTGGAGATGAAATTTCACGACGTGGAAGGTTTCCCGACTACGTTCCCATGTTTGCTTTCCCCAATGACATCCAGATTGTGTCATCCGATGACCGACCGCGATCGACATGGCATGGCTTCACTATGACTTCAGACGACAACTCAAAGCTGTACGGCATTACCATTATCATCTGGACTGCTCTCAATGCCGAGGTAGCTGAAGACGTGGAGAAGAAGTGCGAACAGTGGCGCCAGAGCCACATGTCAGAAGAAGAGCGAGAGTTGGCAGCTAGCTTGGGAGTTCGTTTGGCTGGTGAACGAACTCACCTCTCACAACTTCTTGCGAAACTACCCACGATCCCATCAGGTTCTCCAGCTCGTGAGAGGCTCGAAGACGAGATCAGTACAGTGGAAGAAAAGATTACGCTCATGACAGATATGCTTAGGCCCCTGAGGCACGGCGCTGCGTCTAAAATCGAAGGCCTTACTGCTGGCGAGAGTGGACTTTGGACGCCTCGTGCGTACGGCATACTGGGCCGAGATATAGGCAATATGTCCTTCTGGAAAGAGTGGCTCAAGGCTATTGTTACACCCATGACGGATGGCGGTGTTCTGAGAATCCCCCCTAGCTCACCCAGGGTTGGCCGCTGGCAACCCTTGGAACGATATGTCGTCAACTTATGTACAGAAGCGTTCAACCCCCTTGGTTCCAAAACTCAAGTTGAATTAGGGGTGCGAGAATTGCGACTCTACGCTCGGAAGGAGGCAGATAATGAGATTCCCGGCTCGCGATCCATTGACCTCTATGCCCTATTTCGCTGCCTATCGCTCGAGAACATCGTCGCTCTGTTCGAATATGCCATGTCCGAATCTCGGATTATCTTTCTCTCCTCCCACACTAGCATGCTGCACCTTGCTTGTCATGCGCTGGCAAACCTACTCTATCCCCTAAAGTGGGCTAGTATCTTCATTCCTATACTTCCAGCACGACTCTTGTCAGCTCTGGAAGCGCCTTGTCCATACATTGTGGGCATTGAGCGACGCTATGATAATATCGAGCTCCCTGAAGACGATTATGTACTAGTTGACTTAGACAAGGATACCATCGATGCTACTGCACAACCTGTCCGGCTTCCTCGTCAGGCACGTAGGAAGCTTATGTCTCTGTTACAAGTCGCAGCCCCGCACAAGCTTCGATTTGGAGTTGCAACAGGCCCTCCTCCTTATGCTATGGAATCGTTCCCCTACGACGCCTTCTCGACCGAAAATGGCTCACTGTTCAGAACATCAACCTCCAAGAGTACTCTCGGCAAGTGGGTGTCGCAAAGCTCCTCAGGATTTGGAGAGCCCAACCCGCCAACCGAAATCCTGCCGCCACTTTTCAACGCCTTTGCCTCGGCAAATGTCGAGAATGGCAAATCAGATAGGCCCAGTACAAGCAGGTCGGGAAAGACTAGTCCTCAATCGTCTGTGTCCCCTGTTTCTGTGAACTTCCCTCCTCTGCCTTCTACACCAGTTTCTCGTAGTGATTCGGGCTTCGCCCTAGCAGCTACTCTTCGAGAGAAGCGTTCGGGGCATTTCGGCGAGGAAAAGATGCGACGCAGCTCCTCGTTCGGCATCGACAAGCAACCTCCGTATCACAAACCGAACCTCCCCTTCCTCAATGGCCACCAGGCCAACTTATCCATTTCAGCAATATCGGTGGAGTCCCAGAACTCTGTTGTGGGAGGTGGTGGAGGATATGGAAACGGATATGCGCCATCAACATACGCCCAGTCAACGATTGCGGCGTCAACTATCATGCCTAGCATGCAGATACAGCCTGTTCGAAACACGGAGACCACGGTCTGGGTCGAGGGACATTGTTTCAATTGGATCCCCAAGGACAACACCTCAATCTGTAACATCTGCAACGACCACGCCGAAGGCGATGGCATCTACAAGTGTACTGGCTGCAAGATCTTTTCTCATGGTAGATGTCTGGGCCATTGCTCGCTTGTCTGCCCTGAAGCCTTCCATCCAGACCGCATTCGGGCGGCTTTTGTTCGCTGTCTTGCAAGCCTTTTGTATACATACCGCAAGTACCTCGGTCGACCTTCAAAGCAGCAAAAGTCCAATGGCCAGCTGTATGCCTTTGATATGGACGGTTTTATCAAGAGTCTACCGCATGATCAGCACGATTATGCTGCGATGATGCGAGAAACACAGTGTAAGTCTAACCACGCACTCCCTTTTAACGTTGAGACCGTTCGATTCTAACACAAAACTCAAACAGGCTTCAATGAGTTTATCCATGATCGAGAGATGCAACCAGCCAATAACGCTTCGATCCGATTGTTCGATGAAATCATCCTGGCTAAGAAGGCCCGAGGCCGTAGTGGCCTATCCACAGGTCTCTCCCGGTTGTCTACGCTACGCGCCTCTCACGGCGCCTCAACTTATGGCGGTTATAACCCTCCGCGCGGCGGTTCTAATAGCAAGGTCCCCGCTTTCCTCGGTGACACATCCGACCATATCTGGCGGACTGCTTCGGTCCCTTTACCGAAGGGTAACTTTCCAGGAGAGTACCGGACTGTTGTGACACGGACTCCCGCGCGTCTCGATAGATCCCTGATGCGGGAGCCTCGGTCTATCCAGGGCATGCCTCGTGTAGAGCCACGGGGTGCGCGTGGTCTCGTTCGAAAGCAGGTTCCCAGTATGCTTGGCACGACTCCACCTACTTGAGAAGTGAGTCTTTGAGGAACCAATTACTTCAATGAATGACTCTTTACGCGGAGATAAGGAAAGACCACGTCTCGATCTCAGTCTTATGCTCGCCTTGGGCAAGCGAGATGGGACATAAAGACAGATTTAAAAAATAACAAAAGCAAGGGAATTCATTATGTACGATACCACATGGTGTAACAATCTAGGGAAGGAGGAAGCTGTGTGCAGCCAGCAGGCCAAGAGAAAGTCACTTAGATGAGAAGTACCGAGTAGAGTTATTCGAGGGGCAGAGCTGAGTTGGCGGGTGCTCTTACATATGTGTGACGGCGCAGAGCAAGCAGAAGGGGCAGAGGAAGAAGGGTATTGCATCTCGTCTACGATAGATATATATTTGGATTCCCTATTTGCTCGATATAGCTAAAAGTTTGATTTGGCATTCCTCAACTAGAGCATACAGACATACAGATCACATACAGTTATGTATTATTAAGGCATTAGCATATAAGGGATGGGAGTGTTGCGCTTTATGGATGTTTAGGATAGGGGAGTTGGAGGCTATGCGAATTACAAAAAAAAACTCGTTAATATATGCCCGATCTCTGCGGGAACCCAGACCTAAGATGCAATTCATGGGTGCTAGTCTTACATATAACCTATGCTCTTTCAATTTTCCTGAGCGTTCACCAGGAAAGATATTGTCCTCCCGCCCAGTCCTGCCTGAAATAATGCCGACACTTTTCTCGTTCTAAGTGGTTCTGCGCAGCTTCCCCGCCTTCTAGGCGTTAAGGTTCAGGTCCTCCCAATGAATATCCTTAAGGATTTTTCCTACCAGGGTAGAATAGCGCAAGTGTCCGTTCACAAGGTTGCTAACGTCGTGGTTTTCAACACCATCTGCACCCTGAATTCGTTGAAGGCCGGCCACACCAAAGTGAATGTTGGAGGTGCGATACAAAAAGCCCAGAAGGTAGTCGCTCTCTGAGTATACGTTAATCAGACGACCAGTTACGACACTCTTCAGAGTGAGCCATACCCGACTCTCGGAAGGAGCCGGTGTTCCCATCAAGACAACGGAGTCGATTAGGCCAAATTGACGACGCTCAGCAAGTATCATCAGGCAAACGTAGATGGCTCGGGCTGCCAGGCTGAACCCAATTAGAGACACAGGGCGGTCACCTTGAATCTTGCTGCGCATGACTGCATCTGCGAGAACAGTGCCGGCTTTCTCAGCTCGGACCATCCCCATGCTCCACGGGTTGTCAATAATCTTGCTCACTTTCATGAGCTCGGTTGGCCAGGTTGCTTCGATGAGATTTGAAAAAACTAGGAGCTCGTCAGTTTGTTTACTTCACAATTCAACATCAAACGCACTTGTTCGTGAGGCGATGGCCTTTTTTGCCGCAGTCCAAGCTGAGCTCTTGACAACTGTCTCAAGTGCAGTACCTATGTTGGTAAGGACGTTCATTTCCCATCTCAACACATAAACTTCCCCATTATCACCAAGGACCTTCCAAGGGCCAGTAAGATCATATTTGTCAGTCACCCATCCGTTTATAGCGATTACTAGGCGAAGTCGACGGGAAGTGGGTAAAATTGCCTTTGCATCCACATAGTCGCCCTGATCCCCAGAACGTGTAGGAATGAGGCCAAAGTCTTGGATCTCACGAGAGAATGACTCGATCATCTTAGCGGTTGGCCTCGCCATATAGATCCCAAGCATTGAACCGGTGGACGGGCCGTTATCGGCCATGGGTCCTAACAAACCAGCTGCAGTGGGAAGTCGGAGACCATGCCCGGTATGGCCAGTGCCGATGCCTACAGCAATAAGTTGTGCTCCCAGCCTGAAAGGGCCCGTCATGGCGGCAATTCGGGCCTTTGACTTCAGAATAGGTTTGTTCTCTTCTTGGTTTGGCTCTGAGGCTTGTTCGATAGCTGTATCGACAGCAAGTTGGCTGAATCCCTGCGCGAGACGCTTTTCTTCCTCATGGAGGAACTTTAACGGAAGGTTCAGGGATGAAGTGAGATTTAGCAGGGTCATACGAGCATATGCAGTATACTCTTGAAGTGAAATGAGGATTAGCAGTGAGATATGCAACAATAGCTTGCGTTTGTCCACAGGAAGAGCCCAGAGGGACGTTGGAATAGGGGGGAATTGCCGGCATAGTTCACGATCAACATGATTCGACGGTACCCTTGGAGGACCTTAGCAGATATTAGTACTCGTTCGCATTGACCAGTCCATGTTGAGTATCTTGCGTCTGCATCACATTCAAGAACTTTGCTTGACTTACCTGTTGTCAAGGCTAGACCTCCACGGCCGCCTCCTCTGCCACCACGAGCCACACGACCACCTCGTACGCCTCGCATATTACCACGACCACGACCACGCATGTTAGATTGAGGAGCGGTGGGTTCTGTGACACTAATATCGCGAAGCCTCTGCAGGAAGATCGACTGCCACTTTCGGAAAAAGATGAGAGCTTCTTTCTTAAGCTCTCTCAGTTGAGGAGTGATGGTTTCGGAGCCCTCTTTATCTGTTGGCTGAGTTGTATTGGTGCTTGGCTGAGATGCCGCTGCTACTTTTGGTACAACTTTTCCTAGAGAAGGAGATCGGGGTTTGACATTCTCTTTTCCATTCGTCTGGAGCGATAAAGCCAGCCAGTGATGATGGCCGATATCTCCCACATCTCCAAGAGTAGGTGTGACGGGCGGAGAGTCAAATATGACGCTGATATCGTTGTGAAGCTTCTCTGTAATGGCCGTGATTAAAGTCGTCAGGTCGTTTCTTTCAGCGACAGATAAGTTGCCGGTCAGGTCAACCGGTCGGCGAGGGACCGGACTTCCTCTTCCACCTCGGCCCATGATGAAGTCTTTGGCTAGCCTTGAAAGCTATCTGGTGAGATTATAGACAGGAACAAAGGCAAAGCGTGCTTGGGTATAGTAGGCCGCAAGTGAGCCTGTTGATTTCCTTTCCGGTAAGGATCGTGAGAATATGAACGTGTTGTATACTGATGGCTAGAACAACCAGAAGGATCAAGTTAGTCAAGGTCGAGCTCTGGATATTAGTGAGAAAGCAGAAGCTATACCATCAAATGAGGAATGTTTGGCACTTCTTATGATCTGGAGATGGGACTGTTGCTCACACAGCGCATCTCATTCATGTGAAGTGAATAGTCAAACAGGAGACGTAAACAAGCGGCCAGTCCTTGTGCAGCTGGAATAGCAAAGCCGATCGAACAATGAAGGAGAATGAACAAGGAGATTATACGAAGTGAAGAAGATGCAAGGCAAACAGAAAGAGCCCGACGAAGAATAGAGGGAAGTTACAGAGAGAGAGAAATGCAGCATGCCAAACGGCAGAAAAGACGAGGATGAAGAAGCAGTTGCGTGGTTGCTCCAGTATCTTCCTTGTTGTGCATGTTGGAAACCGCGAGCGATATGCGGGTGAAAGAAGTATATGGTGTTTGCACGAATAAAAGAAAAAGAGATGAATGAATGAAGGAAGGAAGGAAGGGATAAATAAAGGAAGGAAGAAGTAAAGTGACGAAATCAAGATGGCAGGAGTGAATGCGGTGCACCTTCAGGATGATGCTTCACCGGTGCCTTTGGCAGTGTCGCCAGCTGGCAGTCGGATGTGACCTGCCACTGGCACTGGCACTCACTGGAATCTCTACTACGCCATGTTATCATGATTCCCATCTGCTAGCCTGCCTATATACCACTGCAGTCAGAGCTCGTCTACCGCTAGAGACGGGTGGGCAAACGCGGATACAGAAGTGTCACAATGTACGATGCTTATGGAGTCATTCGCCTCAGTGCACGTGTCTTCTAACTACCTACTCTGGTACCCATGTGTGTATAGATGGAGAGTCAAGATGTGAATCGCTTCAGCTTGGCTACGTAGGCCAAAGCCTTGCATATTTCTGGATATGGGTATTCGTGGAACTTGATTCTAGTTTATGTTTGCTCTTACATGCTGTATCACTACGTCTCGCCCATGGTATTCCTTCGTAGACTGTTTATCGTATCTATTAAGTTACAGACGAAGATACCTTTGACTCTGGATGAGAGGGGGCTGCGACTCCGCAACGCTGTGCGACTCGGGATCCGGAGGTTGCTCAGTATTGGGCGGTCAATTAGACAAGGGACCGAGGGTTTAAAAGAAGCACTGATCGACGTTGTCTGAGTGCAAACATATGCTACCAAGCTATCACCAGGGCTACCTATTTATGGAGTGCAGATTAGTTCCATGAACTCTCATAAACCATCATCAAAACAGAAAAGCTTCAACACATCACGTAAAAGGCCTCGGCTTTGCTCCCCGGTGTATCGTGGCTAATTGACGTACAAATCAGAGCTTTGTGTTACCGTATCTCGGTCGAGCCACCGGTGAGCACCAGACGAACCGCGTGATATCTTGACATCTGGGAAGTGATTTGTAAACAATTGGCCATCGTGGGGAGGAAGGTATTATCATCCACTTTTGACATCTGCCATCAGCTTCATTGGTTTGGTTGTGAGTATCGTACGAACAAAGAGTATAGCCTCCTTCGCCAAGAAAATGACACTGCCCAAAGCATATACAACACAGCGATATGTTAACCATCTTCCATTTCGTGATATCTCTGGTGCGCTAGCACAGCAAACAATGGGATTGAGTGTCCGCAAAGAGGACATGGTGTATTATCCCCCGTCTCCCAATCATCGTCTTCTCCATCCTCGCCGTCGCTTTCTGACACTGATTGAATTGTTTCTTCGCTCTGCGCAACATCCAACTCTTCCATCACTTGGAAGGGCCTCAGCGTTTCGTCTTGACGTTTGAACATGACAGATATGTCCCTGCCTGCTCCCGTCTTGTCATCCGCTGCACCGACTACCATGTTCGCCACGCAAATGTTGAGCATCTGCAAGTTCCACCGCTGCCCCTTTTCTGGTGACAGGCGTCGCAACAACGGTAGCAAGGCTTCAGAGACAAGTCGCTCCGCAATGTGGCCTATATCATCTTTCAGGTCAAAAATGTAGTTTGGCAAGGGCCCTGAGCGTGAAACACGACCATAGTTCTGACCTTGCGTTGAGTGCAAATATGCCCATGTTCTGAGTGATAAGCGCAAGGTCTTTGGTCGGGCCATCCATTTTTGTGCTCCTGGAGTGTCTGCCCCATCATCGGGTACAAGAAGATCTATCCTCATTCTTCGAACGAGTGAGCACGATAGTTTGCGGAGCTCTTCTACAATCTGTGTCATGACATCTAAGCCCTTGTAAGTATCCTCGATACTAATCTGACTTGGCATGTCACTGGCTTCTTTGACCTCAGCAGTATCGACTCCATGTAGCAAGCCCCAAATCCGTGACCCTATGCCCTTCTCCGCCCCAGGTCCTGTTAATAGACTCTCTATTGTTCCAGGCGAGATGCTAGGATGAAGGCGCACATTGCCTACTGTCACAGGATTGTCACTCAACTCGGGGACCTCGGATACGCCTTTACTCATGTCAGCGCCAATATGAGTTCCCAATACTTGCACAGTCTTGGATCCCAAACCAGGTATCCTGCGCAGTTTGTGGTTGTCTACGAAGTCAATTACCTTGTCTTCGGTAATTGCCAATAGTGTCGTTTGATTCCGAGGCTTATTCTTGCTACCCACAAGCTTGCTAAGCATTTTGTTAGTCGAGATTCCACAAGTGGATGTAAACCCATGTTTCTCTTCCGCTTGAAGGCGTAGAAACTGGGCAAAATGCGATCCTAGTATGAGGCGCAGATAGGCTGGGTTGCTAAGGTCAAGGGTCGTCGAGGCTGTGCCTTCAACACAGCCCGCTAGGCTCGTCAGATCGCAATAGAAGCCCCGTTCAGGGTCGTTTTTAGAGATGTAGAAAAAAGAGTTTTCCAGAGTTGCTCTGTTAAGGCAGGAGAGGTTGTATTCGATAATATCGGTGACATCTGCAAGGGGCATGGTCTTAGTCAACACTAAAGTTCGGGAAAGAAACCACAGTACGACGTACCCATAAACACCTCATCAAAGCCCAGGCGCTCGGCCTTGTGGTTCCATGAAAAAGTTTTGAAAAAGTTGAAAAGAGTTTTGCTCATGTCACGAAAAGGTGTAAGGTCTTCGCCGTCTACAAGGACGAGCTCTGGGCACTTCTGTTTCGCTTCGGAGACAGGCATGAGCTTCGTGAGACCACGGGCACGAGCGTTGTAATTGCATGTTGCTAGGCAGTTCTTTTGCTTGACGCCCAATGGTAGCTTCTTGAGTTCTGGCTTTTGGTTTTCATAGACTTGGGCGTAGAAACAATCATAGTCCTGTCCAATAAGTTAACAAGGGGTTGCGAATATGAATGGCTGAAACGAACAAATTGCAAGATGATTCGCCCATCGTTTCTTTGAGGCCTTTTCTTGTTTGGCGGCTCCATTATTGACTATGGCTGCCAGTCTTGAGGACGGAGGATTGGTGGTCATAAGCTTGAGTTTCAGGTGTGAGTGGGTGAAGTTGTTTGGGCAAAGTTGAAGAGGACTACTGCACCGTACTTGACCAGCAATTTTAGAGGCGGTGACTCAAATAGCCAACTCCAAAGTTGCGATGGTCCGTTTTTAGGGGACTCCTATTGAAAATCGAACTCAGTAGAAGAGATCCTATTTCAAAATACTCGCGGGATAATTATATTCGATCTAAAAGTCCGTTCACGATACCCGTTTCAAGTATACCTAGGTAAGTTAGCTTGGAGCTCCTGCCTGCTTTGGCGGTTACAACTTGTGCCTAAGGTGTCAATGCGTGCCTGCATCCTACTTACATGCAAAGCACCCATCCAGAATATGTGACTTAATATATGCATCGTCTCTTTAGGTCTACTTATCATCAAAATGATTGGTTTTTTCTACGAAATGAATCACATTTGACTCAATTGCTCCAAAATCTCGCTGGTGTTGCATTCAAAAATTGAGCTACCGAGGAAAGGAACTGGCTGCCTACAACCTCTCTCTTCCATAATCTCCCCCCCGACCGAGCAACACCTATGTCTTGGTCTCAACAAGCGATGTCACAAGTTTGCTCCATCGTACTCTATAGCCATTGAGGAGATTTATGGAGCAAGATGACGTTAACCGTTGAAGCTGGAAAGCAGGGATGAGGTGTTGGTGTTTGCAGGAGAATGACTGACATGGCATCGTACATTGAGAATCTCGCGTATGTCCAACTGCACCTGCATCTCTCTTTGAGTGTGGACAAGCAATAGACGCGGTGTTCGGCTAAAAAATGAATAATTCACCATCTCGCAGGAAAAAACGACGACGGACACAGTCCAGTTACTTCTCGACTACGGAGTACCCCAGCTTGAATTCCGATCATTTCTCAATCCAAGCCAGTCTCACTCTTTACTATCGAGTATGATTCCCCGCTTTCATCCTTGTCCGGACGAACGTTAGACCTTCCGACCATCCACGGTTACGCTGTAGCCGCCCGAACGATTGCTAGATCTGCGAGAAAGAAGGTTGTCTGATCCCTCCAATCACATCAGCTCTAGTCTCTGAAAGACTTGAAAGCCATGCTGACCGCGATTTGAGTTCATTCTTTGAACTTTGGACATTGTCAACAATCACTTTCAATCATACTGTTAACGTTGTTTCTTTGTTTCGAGTATATGGGAGTATTTGAGTCAGCCCTAAGCAAGCGCGGTTTCAACCGAAATAGCTGAAGCGTTGGAAACAAGGGCGGGTCTTGGCTGAACCATGGCTTGTAACATGGCTGAGCAAAATCTCCACTGTCGCTCGGCCTTTGTTCTTTGCAAGCAAGCATACCGACATTTCGAATCCTTCGACAAACCCGTAACCGGCTTTACTTATACACGCAGAAGAAGCACTCAGCATACTAATAAACAACCGATTGACCAGTCATTATCCGCTCAACTTCTCAAGGCCGATCCTCCAACGGTCTTAGAGAGGGGATACCAGCAACCCTCTTGCATAGACGCCAGCGCGAGTGAAAGAGCCGACCTGTTAGCCGCGTGATTGGGCCTGACTAGATGCTTACCAGGATCACGCTTCAACCTGGGCGCTTGCGCCTCTGACGGTTCCCACCAAGTTGTCCAGACGAGCCAACCACAACACCCATCAGTGACATATCCTCGTCAATTTACCACCCATGGCGAAATCCTTCTCAACCCCCCGAGAGTTCCGCGTCTACGCCATGAGTGGAATATCACACTGCATGCTGCATGCATGGCTAGGGGCGCTTGTTTAGGTGCCTGGACTGGGCCAAATAGAGGATGATTGTCCTAACGATGTCTCCCCGCCCACCATCAACCTGGTGGGATGCATGTCTAAGTGAACATCATCCTATATAGACGCATTGTCCTCGTTTCTTGCTGTATGCTCGTGTTGTTTCTGCGTTTTGACTCCGTATCATTTTTTAATCCCTGCCAGTTCCAGTCTCTCGGTAACAGTGTCCCAAACTAGACCTGTTGGACGTTGCTTGTCTGTTGGTTGATAGATTCAGCCACCTGCAACGGAACGAGAGATATTTGGCAACTCACCTCCCAATTGCTTTGGTATATCAACTTTCTTGACCCGTTGGGCGACCATATTCGACATCATGGCATCTCTTCAAGCTCCGTCCAAGAAGCCTCGGCTTTCTCTTCAAATCAAGACAGCATGCAGCCCGGCCACAAGGTCATCGAGGAGTTATGCGGTCGACCCAAAGGACCCAACTGCCTTCAATACACTTTCCAACGTGTATGTTACTACTATCGAAAGAGCAACTCCGTCTCAGCCTGAGCCCTTAACCGCCATCAATACTCTTCAGGCATTCAGTCTTGCATCTCCGGTGGAACACAAGGACGCGAAATACAGAGTTGTTACGCCTTATGTCGCTTCTTATCCAGAAACTCCCTCATCTGAAACAGCGCCATCACCACATCCAGGGCTGGAGATCAACTACCCAAGCACTATGACAGCCACGCCTCCCCTTTCTGCCGGACCAGTCGAGTCCAACACTGCCACGGCCTTTAGTTTCTCGCCTGCCGATATCTCTGCTGCCCCAGGCCGAAAAGACTTCCTCCAGCCTGAAAAACGCACTCTCTCTCGTCCACATACTCTTGCCGAGTTGGCTCCCCAGGCACCTTACACACATCCTCGGTCACTTCATAGCATTCTACGCAACTCACCTCTCCCTCCGCCCACTGCCATCCCTCCTCCATCCCCCCGGCGACAGTCACGGCGGCTGCAAGACAAAGCAAACCGAAGAGTGTGCTATAACAACCCCCTTACTCAGGAGATTGTGACAAACAAATACACCAAATCACATATCGACCTCCTCGTTGAGGAGGCTTCGCCACACTCTCCTCCATGTGTACCACCCCAGCCTCAGAGCGCTATTGATCTCGCCCTGGCATTCCACCCCAATGAGATCCAAGACGGAGGGCAAACCCCTGGACCTTTCGAGGATATGCGCCGCCGGATGACTGGGTTGGCCACAGCCAGTACACCACTCTCCCCGTCAGGACCAAGGGGTATTTCGAAACGTAAGAAGAAGGAAAAGAAGCGAAGGTGGGTATGGACTATTGGTCAAGAGGGAGAGGATGATGATGAGAACATAGGAGGTTCCATCGCTGCTCTAAGGGCAGGAGCTGCAAAGACTAAGGAGGTTGATGAAATCAAGACACCGGTGACTGCCATCAAAGCCCCTCTCATTACCTTCCTTACAACGCCGACACCGAGAATTGAGAGCTTCGAAAGTTTAGATAGAATCTTAACAGATAGCTACGACGTCGAGATGTCAGACACCAGCAGCTGTCTTAGTGTACCAGAAGACGCTCCGTACATGATAGGCCAGATGGATTTGGACTTGAGGACACCGACTGCTCAACCGGAAAGGAGCAGGGATTCAAACATACTACAGCCGCCAGATAGTGGCATTGGTGGACTTGGTCTCGCCCCAGGTATGGAAAGAGACTCTCCGGTACCGCCAGACATGTTACGCGCAGAATGAGATGAAAAAGGGGCTAAAGGAGCGGCTTCTATGTTGGGATTTCTTTTTTCATTTACGGGCGGGTTCTTATGCTTTTAAGGGGAGTTTATAGTCACTGAGATACCGTGCTCTATCTCGAGCATTTATGAGTAACGAATACATGGGACAGACAAAATGAAAATAGTCTCTTTCGTTTCCTTTGGTGAACGCTCTGTGTAATCTGGAACTAAATCGCAGCCATACTTTGTCCCTTCGTAATTTTGACACTGTTTCCTTTTTGTGCGACTTGCAGCACTGCAGCCCTATGGTAATCCGCATAATCCTGCCAACAAGATCAGTCACAACGTAGGCGAGTGCCATGTTGTGGTTGAATCAGAGTGTGTCGCTATAGGGTAGTTGAAATCCGAAGATTCAACCATGACCACAAGGACTGTTTATCGCCAGCCTTTCGATTAAAACATGCCCTGGGTGTCTCGAGCCCTCCCTGCAACTGACGTTCGATGATTAATCACAGACAGAATTTTGCAATTCTCTTAGTATCTGATCGCGTTAAAGTTCAATTAACGAGGTAACCCAGGATGAGGAGTGATTTTATCCTCATGAATAATGCATAAAAACATCGTAAGGTTTTCAGTAGCTTCAACATTTTCCACGTGTCTTTAGACAAAGCTTGATAAGAGTTGTAGGAAATTATGGAGCTTGTCATAGATTTTAGGAGATTTTAGGTTAAGATGATAGAGAAGGGAACTGTCAGAACTTCAACTTGCCCACAGGTACTTAATCAATATTTCACTTCACTTCACTTCACTTCACTACCTAGGTAGGTAAGCAATTAGTCACGCAGCTATAGAAACAGCATTGTATCTCAGTAAAATCATAGTGATTAGAATCGATTTGAGGCGTACTCTGTGACGCTACCTAACTTGTGAATATCTCATACCAAACGCTCAAAACATCAATACATTCCCGAGACATACTCAGCTCTCAACAGAGAGAGCCTTGGCACCAATAAGCTTCCCATCAAAGTGAGACACAACCCAATATTCGGTCCTCGTTTTATCCCTAGATACCTGATATACGCGCACGTCGTTTCCTTGGGAAGCTTCGCGAACAGCGTCGATGACGTCGGTGTACTTGCCATCAGAGTCCCAGGTGAGAGGGTCGAGGATGTCGATGTCTGCTGAGTCGGGGGAGGAGTGATTGATGAGCTTGGCGAATTCAGCTGCCAAGGAGTCAGTACAAAGTTGGTAATTTTTGGGTGTATACATTGGTTGGCTTGGCTTACTCTCGCTAGGTAGACCGTTGCTGCCCTGCCACTTGAGAGACACCTCTTCGAATGGCTCGTCTGCGTCTGAGGTGTAGACGGCATTCTTGCATACCTCGGCGATAGCCTTGGGCACCTCAACGCCGTGGTCCTTGGCCTTGAAGGCTGTCTTCTCCTGAGTTGAGGCACCAGCACCAGTGTCCTGGTTGGCCTTGTTCAGGAAGGACATGTAATCGTCGTCGTTTGACATTTTGAGGGGTCTTGAGTTGCTGAGTAGTCTTGTATTGAGCTGTGAAATTCGAAGGAGATTTGTTCGGCGGGGGATGTGTTGCTTGCGGAGAAGAAGAGAGCCAAGATTCAGGTTTAGGAGTCGTTTGGAGGAGGTTTGGAGTGTCATTGGGAGGGATCTCAGATCTCAGGCGTCAAGGCGAATGAAAGATGCACATGTTGGAGGGCGGGGGTGACGTCAGGTTTGAGATTCGCGACAAGGTACTAGAGCCAATCAAAATTGTCCACTAAGATGGACGTCAAACTACTGATTTTCATATTGTAGTATTGCACTCCGTGTGGTGTGAGGCAATTAGTTACCTAGCCAGTTTTCTACCTGTTTTTATGCTCCGAAGTACACAACCGAGCCCATTTCCATACCAGAAGACTTAATGTGTCCTTCTGTTAGACTACTTCTTCCGGAATGCAAAAGTCCCTTTCTTCAACAGTGCCTTGGCTCGAAAGGTCAAGCCAGTTGTGTTCGACTTGGCAGGAGTGATGATAGCCTTCTTCTTAGACTTATCCCAAGTGACCCCAAGGGCAGATTCGAAGATAGGGGAGAGGTCATGGGAAGCACAGATAGTCGAACCCATTCGCTTGGTAGCCAAGGCGTCCAAAGCTTGCTTAAGAGAACCAGCTTGCACGGGTAGTTCAAGAATCTTGTCACGAACTTGGTCGTCGAAGTAGGGCGAGCCAAGGTAGTATTGGTCGCCAGTGCTTTCAAGACGTTTTCTCGACTTGTCGTTTTGTCCGAAGCTTCGTAGATCATAGATAAACTCCATGCAGTTCTTCTGAAAGTTGGGAACTTTGAAGAAGATGTCTGCGAGAAGCTCTTCTCGTTTTGTCTGAGAACGAACGAACGTGTCCTAAACGTTGATGAACCATTCCTTGAATTGACCTCGGACGAGGTGTGTCTGCCAGACATTGGCATCGAGCTGGACATCATGAGTGATGCCATCCGGTCCCACTGATTGCACCACGATGTCGGTGAGGGGCTTGAGGTTCGCAATCTCGGACTCAATCCATCCTATGTAAGTTTTAGCCGACTATTTGATATATACGTGAAAATTGTGATGCCCAATATACCTTTGAGGTAGTCCGGAGTGAAAGTGAAGGTTTGACCATCCTTCACGATCGAAATCATCTGCTCATCGTCCTTGATCTCTTCGAATGTTTCCATATCAGTGCTTCCTGATACGTGGCGAACCTTGGGCTGAATGAACAGTTCAGGAGCAAGTAAACCTCGACGGGCGGACTTCTGCTGTCGCGAAGCAAGTGAAGATGCGTATGATGGGGCACGGGAAGTGTTTGGAGACAACTCATGTACGTTGCGAATGATAATCTGAACGATGGGATCCTTTGAACAGTAAAGCTTGTATGTTCCGATGATGCTCTCGTTTGTTAACATCTGAACAGCGGAGCTCATGCTCTGCGAATGAATCCAGAATGAAAAATCCTGGGTCTTGCCATGGCTGCCAACGAGCTTGAGGCAGTGTTTACAGCGTGAGATTCATCTTCTTGACATCTGCCAGGATAAAATCGCTTTGCTTGAAGTTTACTGATTTCATGTCTTCGAACAAAAAAAACCACATCTGGCTTTGCTCGGAGTTCGCCTTGACCGCGCCTTGTCCAGACTTTGAAGCCATCATGTCCTGAACAAAATATTAACTTAGATGTCAAATAAGATTGTTTTGGAATGGGATAGACCAACCTGTTGATTTTGGAAACCTTGGTAAGTGTGGACGCAGGTACCATATGTAGGTATTGCCACTTTCTAGGTAGGTAATGTTAAGGAATTAAACTTGTTGCCTGCACTTCGAGAGCTTTCATCAAGCGATGTGCTGACTAAGCCCCCACCCAGCATAAGCACCGCACCACCTCAAACAAAGTACCTAGCCTCTTACATGAAAATGAGAATGAACAGGATTCTTAAGATTAAAGTATGGGAGAGGCCCGAGTAGACTACCTGGATCTTCCACAGAAAGTTTATATTATGTACACATGTTAAAGTTTCTTTTTACTCTATAGTTTATAAAAGCTCAGTCTTCGCTTCAGAAATTTCATAGAATTGCTCCCTTCTACACATTTGCAGATAATCATTACACAAACATTGTGTCCCAGCGTGCTTCCGCTGTCCCAAAGAAACAAAACAAAAACTTTCCTCTTCTCTTTAGTTCCCAGTTTCATATCTATACCAAACAAAAGAGGTTCTTGTGCTTATACCACGCACTGATTTGCCTCGCGCAAGCATGGGTAAAACAAAAAACAAGGGTGCTAAGAAAGAAACGAGCCAAGCACCAGCAACAAAATCCTCCAACACCAAAGCGGCCTCGAAGTCGCCTGCGACCTCAATCATCACAGTCACCACAACTTCTGCTTTAGCCAAAGATCCAACAATCGGTTACAGAGTCCGAGTCCTTCTATATGACTTCATCAATGTCATGAAAGACCCCAATTCCGAGAAACGCATCAATTCCACAACCGACGAATACTATATCAGCGATCCGTATTTCGACGAGACCCAAGCTGCGACGCTCAAAGCTGCAATTGTAGATGTCGACCTTAGTGAGCTTGATGAGGCTGATGATATGGTTCAACTATCACAAGGGCAGAGCTTCGAAACCGCGGTTCGAGCTGTGCTGAGCAATTTCATTGATAAACGACGCGCGAGCGGCGATGCTCGACCGTGCGGGCCACATCACCTCGCTCCTATGTATGCGAGGTTCTTTGGAGTTGATATGGACGAGTTGAAGGATGGCAAGTTCTTGGGTCGGTTGAGGAGAGCAGGAGTATGAATATTACAATTTTTATCACGCTTCAGTCATAAGCAGCAGGCAAATTCAAACTCATGTTCACCGGACAGCATAGGTAGAGTCGTATTAACATTGGGAATCTCGTTAGAATTTTTGAAAGCCATCCCTCTTCTAGCTGGACACTTCTTTTTACGTTCCACGCCAGTTTAAACCTAATCCCAGCCCAAACGCAAGGCGTAACGAACCAACCCTCGACACCGATGCAATGGAATGGTCAAGACACAAAAGGAAACAAGCAACCGCTTTAAGCGGAGGCAAGATCCTTCTTGAGGGTACCCTGGTACTGCTTCTTCTCGGCAGGGGTCTGGAAGGCACCGTGTCCGAACTCGGACGATGTGTCGATCCACTTGAGGCTGACCTTCTCGAGGGCCCTTCGGGAGGTCTGGGGGAACATGGTCTTTCGGAGGGTCATGACACGCTTCTTGACACCAGGGATGGAACCCTTGAGCATGACGAAGTCGTTAGCGACCTCACCATAGCGGACGAAACCACCCAGACTGTGACATGTTAGCGATCAGACGGTTAGCGCAGAGTGGAGGGGAGGAAGTAACGTACGGAGTGATGGTCTTCTTGGTGACATCGATCTCGGTGGCGGCGTTGTCATCAGCGTCGCCCTTACCAATACGGTAGATCTTGTGGTTGACCGAGGTTCGGTGATGGTAACCCATCTGACCGGCACGGGCAACAGTCCACTGGACGTGGGAAGGATGCCAAGCACCGATACAAGCGACCTTTCGGAGACCCTTGTGGGTCTTGCGAGGAAGCTTCTTGGTACCCCAACGGGCAGTGACACCGTTGTATCCGTGACCCTTGGTGACGGCAACGACGTCAATCATCTCATCCTGCTCGAAGATGCTGGAGATGTCGACGGGCTTCTCGAAGAGCTCCTGGCCGAAAGAAACCTTGTCGGCGATGGAACCACCGTTGACCTGGATCTCCATAAGGTGGGCCTTCTTCTGCTTGAGGGGGGTCTTTCGGATCTGAGTGTGGGCGAGGACACGGACGACGGTGCAGTACTTCTTGATGCGCTCGAGCTCGCGGGTGATGGAGGCACCGTTGTTCTCGGAGTGCTTCTTGGCGTACTTGGTGAAAGCCTTCTTCTTGCTCTTGTACCAGTTCTTGTAGAATCGGCGCTTGACCTCGTCGCTCAGATGCTCGGCCCAAACGGTGGTGAGGGATCGCAGGCCTCGGGGAGTCTCGATGTATCCCACAAGACCAACAACGATCATCTATAAGATGTTAGCCATAGGCACATAGCCAAGCGGGCTGCATTGTTCGTACTGGTGGGGTATCGACGATAGTAACAGCCTCAACAATCTCCTTCTTGTTGGCCTTGGCGCCAGGTCGGTCGAGGTCACGAACGATGGTGGTCATACCAGCCTTGTAACCCATAGCGGCCGTCAGGTGGACGGGCTTCTTGGGGTCATCCTTGGGGAAGCTGTTTGTCCCAATGCATTAGCCATTGCCTTTGATTGCTGGGAAGATCGCCAGAAAAATATTTTTTCTTTTTCTCCTTCTGGCCGAAAATACTCACGACTTGACCTTTCCACGGTGACGGGCAGCACGCTTCCTGGGCAGGTAAGCCAGGGAGCCGTGGCGGGGAGCCTCAAACTTTCGGTGCTATTCACATTGTCAATTCTGAACAAAGGCCATCGTCGTCGTCAAGGCCAAACTCACACTCATTTTGGGCGGGCTGTGTGGTTTGAGGGGGTTAGTATGAACCTGAGTTGTCAAAGCCTGGGAGAAGAGAAGTTTAAAAGATTTGGGCGAAATGTGAAATCTGTGGGAAGGCGGACCTGGTCCGAGCACCTGCTTGAATTTCAAGGGCTGGCTCGCCCTGACGCTCGGGAAGGAGCTACTCACGTGACTGTCTACCCGGGTCTTGGTCATAAGCAACATGGGTCAATCGGCTATAACAGCCTTATAGCATCACTTTAACCTCTTAATATCAATAGATTATAATAGCTATACTCCGTATAAGCAACTGATATAGATTAACATCTTTTTAAAAAATTTACGTTGGAGCCAAGCTGTTACCTCAGCAGCGATATTTCAATCCTTTTTCCACACCCCGTAGGGTAAAGCTCGGCTTAGTCATGGTAGGTCATCAAAAGTTTGCAGATTTTACTGAGTACGAGTCAGGCAATACGCAGTACGAAATAGTTAGACACAACTAGGTTTTTTATTGATCAAAGTAAGGAAATTAATGTGCATATTGATCTTGTTCGCCGGTGACATGGTAGCCAAGAAAGACCATAACCTCCGGTTTTAAACATCTCTTGAGCCTCTCCATCCGCACAAAAGAAACCACGCCCCGATAATAATAGGTGGTATACATGAAAAAAAAGACAGACTATTCGGCATGAAAAAAGACGTCTTCAACTCATAACTAACAAGCAGCAAGTCAAATTATAATTCATTCAACTTTTGGGACAGGTCCAGAAACTCCGTTTACACCGGCATTGGCAGGAGTGGATGTTTTGGCGTCTCCAGCCGCGGAGCTGGGTCCAGAGCCATTTGTGACAATGGCCGCCGCCTTCTTCTCATCCTCTCCACTGTCATCGTAGTCCTCGTCAACGTCCATTTTTCTCGCTGCCCTTTCGGGCTCGGTAGTGGGAGCTGGGCGAGGTGGGGGAGCATGCTCCAGGCTTGGTGGCCGATCCTCTTTGGGCGGCGCAACACTTGGTGGCTTCTCATGAACAACAACACCAGACATGGGTGTGGGAGGCCCTTGCTGCATTGGTGGCAAGTGGCTAGGCCCAGGAGCATGGCTTGGAGGATGGTGAGCAGCATCCGAGGGATGATAGCTCTCAGTGACATGGCGAGGTGCCGATTCAGGTCGCCGGGGCTCCTCACGGCGCGGTTCCTCAGGGCGACGTGTGTCCTCAGCACGTCGAATTTCAGAAGAGTTGCGACGGTAGTTATCGCGAGGAGGTGTTGAAGGTCTTCGGTGACGCATATCATCAAGACGGACTCGGTTCTCTTCACTGGCCTGCTTCTTGGCGGCAGATTCCTCTTCCCACTCTCGCATCCTCTTGGGTCCAACTGACGGGGGGCGATCGTCCATTCTTTGCATGGCAGCCTCAGCCACAGCAGGGGGAGGAGGTGGTGGTGGTCCCTGTGGGCCAGGTGGTCCCGGAGGCCCATTCTCAGCTCCTTGTGGAGCCATCTCGGCGTGCTGAGGGTACATCGGAGGCGCTTGGTGCTGAGGGTATGCTGACTTTGGCGAAGGCATACGGTTGTCATGAATTGGTCGGCCATCAGGTCGGGGGCTGTTGGTAGGTCTAAAAGGGGCCATGCCGTTGGGACCATTAGGGCCGTTCATGTTGTTCGAAGGAGGCGCTGAGGCTGACGGTGTTGCTCCACCCCAGTTGGGGTTTGCGACTCGTCGCTGCTCAGAGGCAGGGGCAGGAGGCTGAGACTGCGGAGGAGGGTGGGGTGGTTGAGAATATTGGTGGCCTGGAGGAGTTTGACCACGACGGGGACCACCTCGAGTAGGGTCGTTGTAAGGCTGGCGAAGCTGTTCTTGCTGCTGAGGGCTAGGTTGTCGCAGTGGTGGAGCAGGTCCAGGTCCAGGTCCAGGTCCCGGGCGGAAGGGTTCACCTCGGGCTTCGTAAGGGTTTGGAGGCTGGGGAGGAGGGTTGATGTTAGACAGTCTGCCCGCCCAGTTCTCTCCCGGGCCTTGAGGAGGTGGTGGGGGACCAGCAGATGGCGGTGGTTGTTGAGTCGATCCTCCCCATTGAGGTCCAACGGGCCCAGCTGCCTGATAAGCTTGTGGGTGGACATCTGCAGGCTGAGGAGCAGTAGGAGGAGGACCTCCATTTGTGCCACCTGACCGGAGAAGTTGTAGTCTCGCCTTGATGTGAGGGTTGTTCGGGTCAAGCTCGGCGGCACGCTGGTAGGCATCCAGAGCGTCGGTGATTTGGTTGTTGCAGCTTTCGTACTGTATACAAGTTAGTTCATGATATGGCGGAGCAATTTCTTGGCCAAACATACCAAAGTTCCTAGATCGTACCAGACCTCAGAGATGTATGGGTTCAGGCGGATAGCTCTAGAGTACGCATCAAGAGCATCTCTGTACTGGTTGATCTGGTAGTAGAGGACACCAATGGAGCACCAGAACGTGGGGTTCTTTCCATCCCTGTAAACGGCTTGTTGGTAGGCCTCATAAGCCTTGGGGTATTTCTGCTGCGACATATAGCATCGACCCAAGAGATACCAACTCTGAGCATCCTGATTGTCTTTTTCATGTCAGTATTGGCAATTGAGAGTTTCAGGATCGTGTCTTACCTGCGCCGACCGACTTCTCCAAGTATTGAATTGCGCGATCTTGGCTCTCGTAGGTGTTGCTCTGTTGGTGGTGCAACCATCCAAGTTGCTGAAGGACCTTGGCGTGGTTCGGGGAATGATCCAGCACGCGTTGGTAAGCTGCCTTGGCGGCATCAAACTGATGCGATATTAGAGCTATCACAGCATGAGATACTATCATGAAACACTTACATCCTTCTGTTGCTCATGAACATGGCCAATCTGGAACCAAATATCTTCCTGCGTCAAAGGGCCGGGAGGAGAATTGACAATGTATTTGAAACACTATGCTTGTGAGCGACGCGCATCAAGTGTGGACAGAGAGATAGGAAACTTACATCGAGACTCTGAGACCATTTGTTCTGTTGTTTATATATAATACCCAATCGGAAGTATATCTCGTTTGCCTTTTCAAAGTCGGGCTGGATGTTCATGACCTGGGAGAAAGCCTCTTCGGCGTAGTCGTAACTACCGTATCTGTCATAGAGGATTCCTATTCCGTACCACAGCATGGGATCCTAGATTGGATTGTCAGTACATGGCATTCCATGCCAAAGTTGGAAGCTATTAGATTGCCCGTACCTTAGGATCTCTCAAGTTGACCAATGCCTGTTGATAAGCGTCATACGCCTTCTGGAGGTTTTCTGTCATTAGGTAACAGTGTCCTAGAATATTGGTCAGCGCTGAGTCGTCGCATTGAGAAAGTACACCTACCTAGATTTCCCCAAGCTTCGCCATTGTTCTGGTCCAGCTGCACAATGGCCCTAAAGAACTCGAGGGCCTTGTCAAAAGCTTCACGAGTCTTAAGCAGCAAGCCAATGGCGTTCATGGCTGGGGTCGAGTTCGGGTTAGCCTGGAGGGCGCGCTCGTAAGCCTGCATGGCTTCATCTTGATTGCGCAAGACCTCTGAATAGCTTCCTAGATGTGCGTCAGCCAGTGTCGTCATGCGAACGCGACGCGCCAACTAACCTATTTGCAGCCATACGGCCTCGTTCATGGCTGCGATCTGGTGTGACGGCGCAAAGTGTGCGGGTTGAACTCCAGGCGGCGGAGGAGGTGGAGGAGGGGGCACCTGGCCCTGATGCTGTTGCATTTGCATCATGGTCGGCGACGCGTGATGGTTCGCCATTGGGTCGGGCCTTGGAGCGGTGATGGATCTGCTATGGCAGGGGTCGGACAGCTGATGTGCGACAGGTGCGAGGTGCGATGTTGGAATTAATACGAGGAAGCTTAAAGAGTCGCGGTGGTGATTCAGAAGCCGATCGATACCGGGAGCAGTTCAAGTGTTCGTGATGGGTTGACGACAGCGACCCTTGAGCAGACGGGGGTGACAAGGGCGATAGAATAAAAACGACAACAACAAGGCCGCGGATGGGGCTTGAGGCGTCGCGAAAGTAATAGGTAGGTAAAAAGAAATGTCAATGCAGGCCTACAAGACCAGACAAGACGGGCGGATGATAGGGTGATAAGATACAAGGCAAGCCAAGTCGCGACAGATGAGGCCTTTCGCGGGCATGGAATGCGTTGCAGAGGAAGAAAGTGAGGAGTACAGGATGGGGAGAAAGGACCTGAGCAAACCCGTCGTCTACGTCTACCTGTACTCACCTAACCCACGACCAGCGGGCAATTTAAGCGCACGGTCGGGCGTGGAGTGGAATGCAGCATTAGAACTTTAGAAGTGAGAAACCGAGTACCCACCCACACGCACACACTCCCCCACCCAACTCAACGCACGCGCGCTCAAGGTTAGCGTGCACGCCCCGTGGGACTCAGTTTCCGATGCTGTACCCGCAAATCACACCCTAGCAAGCCTAGGCACCCTACTGCAACAGCTTTCATGCCTCCACAGGACCTACCTAAGACAGGCTCCACTACAGCCCAGTGGCGGCGGTTTACCTCACCTTACCTTACCTTCCGCTAACCTCCATTACTATAAGCACGTACCGCTCGGGGTACGTACCTGTCCACCCAGCTCCACGCACAGGCCCGCATAGGCCACACTGTCCAGGACAGGCTTAGTGCTCGGCGGGCATGGAGAGTTGAGGCAGTCTAAGCCTAATGGAATGAAGTAAGAGATAATTATGGAGCTGGTCCCTTGTCTTTTCTAGTCCGCGACGGACAGATCAGTGGCGCGTTCGGCAAGCTTTTACGTAGGTACTAGAGGTAGCTGGAGGTGAATGATAGTGATAGAAGGAAGAGGGAGGGAATAATTATGATTACAGAGGCTCCGCTCCACGACACGACACGACACGACACGACACGACACGATACAAACACGATTCATCACAAAAGTATGGAGTAAAAACCCGGGCAATAATCTCCAAAGGAAGTGATCGACGGTGTTAGGTTACTTAAGATGGTTGCGATATTCTTCTATTTTTGAGCATACTTGACTGTTTATTTACTCAGTGAAAACATCATCAGTCAATGTTCATCTCATCTCATTCCATCCCATTCATTCTACAATCGCAACATGCCGATTAGGGTAGATACCTAGATATCCTGTGCAGTCCTTCGCTGACCTCGAAATGCAGCCTCTTGGATTGCAACACTTTGTGGTGCAGGCAGACTAACGCTGATCAGAGAGGGAGGGGCGGGTGAATAAACGTCATAACAGAGTTCGCCATAAAATTACATGTTCCTACTTGTTAGTCAACGGAGCAACTCTCTGCCAGCAGACAAAGTTAGATATATTCACGCGCTGTCGGATGCGACAGTATAAAAAAGGCTGTTGTTGACTGTCAAGTCACGTCACGAACAGACAAGCAAAAGTAAAAGGCAAAGTCGCGCACGCACGCACCGATGCTGTGGTGGTGTTCATCTCGGGGGTGCCAAGCGAAACGATACCGATTAAATCCAGCAAAGCAAAGCAACGCACGTCCCCCATCTCTGTGTGGCGCATCTGAAATGTGCGCCAAGACCTTGCAGCTCCAGCCAGGTAAGGTAAGGCAAGGTACGTACTGCCCTGTCAGACTCGCCTCAGGGTTGAGTACGACATTGATGTTAGGGATGGAAGTGAGACAGCGGCAAAGTGATGGGATTGTAACGCAACCAAGATGGCGATCTCCATGTGTTGTGCTGTGCTGTCTTTCTAACAACCAAAAACAATCTGCTGTCTCGGTATTTCACTAGATTCTGGGACAATTAGTGAAATTGTCGCCATACCAAGGAAGGTAATTAGTCTCAAACGTGAGCCAGAACTCTTCAACGAGCACGAGATAGACGATGAGCAGATATCAAGGCAGGATATATCATACATGTGCATATCTATATGATATCAGAAACGTAGATTAACGGGAGAGAAAGACAAAGATGACGGAAACAAACAAATGAATATATGTAGCTATGTAGGATGCAATACAATGAGTACCTAAACATGATATTAAGCGATGTTTGAGAAGGCTGGAGGCTGGATGGATGACATGATACCTAGTAGTGTGAGGCGGTGGTGGCTTTGTCATGTCATCACACCAGAAGAAAAAGACGATCGGAAAAACGAGTACAAAGTTGAAATGGAATGGTTAATCTTTTCACCGCTCACCGGAGTCGCCGCTAAGCTGTTCCGGAAGTCTCCCACGTGTTTCGGCCCATCACCTTCTCCTTCTCCTCTGGTAAGTAGCCTGGCAGCCCAGGGTGGGCCCCAGGCCGTTTCGGAGGCATGGTCCTCGGCTTATTTTGGCTTGGCTTGGATCCAGGGCTGCCAGGGAAGGAGGGGAGGAGGCTAGGGGGGGAAGGGTGGAAGGGGGGGAAGGAACCTGGGAAAGGATGGACCATGGAAACAAACGAGCGAGCGGGAGGGAAAAGGGGTTTCCCGGGACCCAAGGTATACCTAATATTAGCGCCATTGCCCTGTCTCTACCTGCCTGCCTGTCATTGCTGGCGGGAACTTGTCTTTTCGAAAATAGTGGCTAGGTACCTACGTATCATAGGCAGTTGACCATTTCAACATGCTCTTCACCCAGCTTGCAAATCTTGTGGGAACCTTAAGCTGGACTCGGTTCTTACTCAATGCTGCCACGGGGCATACAAGAAAAGCAAGCAACCACATGAGGAAAATTGGGTTGCATCGCGGTGCATTCATAACCTTAACTTGCTGGTCATGGAACTCAACAACAATGTATGTACTACGTACGTATAAACTGCTTAGGTACCTATGCTGCAGGTTTTGGAAATAGGTACGTAGTAAGGCTCGGCAGTCAGTCAAGGCGATCAAAAGATTAAAACCACTTTTTGTCCGTAACAGTAGCCGCGCAATGACATGAGGAGAAGGGGTTTGAAATGCTGATGCTTATAAGCGGAGTTCAAGAGGCTCACTCACAAAGTCCAACGTCACGGGATTCCCTGAGTCTGAAGGAATCCATCAGAGATGGCCAATGCGACCCATAGATAAATGATTCAGCCGCACGCGCAGGGCGGACGTTACTAAAAGGGGAGCGGCCATGGTTTGGCTTGGGGTGCTTGGGTGCCTGGGTCCGTTTGGCGGGCTGGCTAGGTGGCCTACTACTATTAGCCTAAACAAGAGAGAAAGGGACAGATAAAGGAAGCCAATCGGTAGACGTATGGCTTCATACTCCGCTGCAGCGGGTGGATGGGATACTGTCTCTGATTAGGTGAGGTTAGATCGAGGTGATGCCATTCATTTACCATGGGGGGGCGGCAACGCGCTTGTTGGCGGTCTAGGGATGCTGTGATGCACACAGGGCATGAGCCTAAGATAAAGTTGGTTGAATTTCAACAGTGGCCGGGAATAACAACAATGACAACCATCAAGACTCCACTGCACACTGTAGGGAACACGGGGGAGTATATTGTGCGAGTCATATTTTGTGTGAACGGATCAATAAATGCCACCGGGCGGGTAACCGTGACGAACAAGAACAGAACAGAACAAAGCAGATTCAGAGCAAGGCTTGTGGGAGAGAGAGAGGTAAGGCCACTACGGAGTAAAGGTGAGGCTCGTCAATAGTGGAGGATGTGTGGCTTACGGGGATAAGATGACAGGATGGGCAGAATGAGTATCCACAGCCGTCGTTAATTCAGTACCTGTCTAAGCTATATAAGTATCTGTTGTCTGTTGTCTATTGTCTAGAACCTGCACTCAATTCATTCTGTAGTCTGTCTGCAGTTTGCAGTTTGCAGTTTGGCGTCTGGGCGTGACGATGCAGATGGGGGACGGGAGATGACAAGAAAAGGTGGGACAATGGGGTGAAAGCGAAAAGAGCTAGGGATACGCAGTAGAGAACAGCCGCTGGAGAGAGAGAGGGGAGGAGGAAGGGGGCGTGTGTGATATGGAAGAGTTTAGGGTGGGCGTTGGCCCTGGCCCCTGGGCTTTGGCTTTGGCTTTGGCTTTTGGTTCTGGGATCAACCGGGGCCGGGGGGGGGGGGGGGGCTTGGAGGATGGAGACGCGAAGCTGTGCAGTGGGGAAAGGGAAAATGGAAAATGGGACAGATGATGATGATAGATTATGGGTGGGCTTGAGGTCTGAGCCTGCAGTTTTTTTTTCTTTCTCTCCAGGCTTCCCTCACTAGACTGCCCTGGAGAGAGGCCCTGGGCCCTGGGGTGGCCCTGACTGGTTCCATGTTTAGGTAAGACAGATACGTAGTATGTACGGAGTAACTACTTACTAATCCTCCGTGTTAATTCAGTTAGTTTAGTTGACTTGAGGGTTGCATCAGCCGGTAACGCCTGATAAATGTAGTTTGACATGATCTACAGATGGATACGGATACTGCGCGATGTACGTAGTACCATTTTCACCAACAAGCAACAATTCCAACTTGTCAGATACATTGCTCAAATTGCAACAGATAAATCATGATCTATTATGAATCTTTCATATATTGACTCAACCAGCAAGCTATAAATGTAGCAAAGGAATAATACAAAGTTTTAATTATATATGTTGCAATCAGCATGACCACGCGAGCTGATGTGAATATCTTCAATACCCAATGTCTTGCAAGTATCTTACCCTGGAGCTTTAGGTTTGAACAGTTGTGTAAAGTAAAAGCTCCAAATGCTGTCTTTGCTTGATGGATATAGTTCTTAGCTTAGCTGGCGTAATAGTTGCTCGTTAAATAAACAATACTGTATATCTTATGGTGGGAATACTTTAATGCATATCACTG